CGTGATTCAACCAATCGGCAATCAGAGAATAGCAAAGGCCTGTCGGTGCGGCCTGCAGAGCTAGAGAGAGAGAGCGCGAATAAGCTCGCAGCTGGTACGATCGCGCTAGCTGTCTCTAGCTAGCTCACGGCCGGCCGTGCGTGGAGGCGGAGCGGCATTCATGGCTTGAAGTGTCACTGTTGCATGCGCGCTGAGCTAGCTGAGCTGGCTAGCTGTCTGTGAAGTTTTTTCGAAATCGGAACGATCGCTTTTTTGCTTCTGGATTTTGACGACGGGTAAGAAGTTGACGGGTGAATGGTAGAGTTCTTGGACACTAAGAAATTACTGTAAAAGTATCACTTGCCCGAATCGGGCAAGTGATAATTTGATTTACTTGCCCGACGGCTCAATTTGGTTGCCCCGGGACGTCGGGCAAGCGGGTTTGTCGCGCCCTGGACCATTAAAAAAGCTAGTATTTGAATCATTATAAAGGAAGAATCGACAAGCTGAAAATTTGTTACTTTTATGTAAGATCAAAACAAATAGGTTGTGAGAAGTATAAATGATTTCAGCAAAGTTACATATTCCAGCTATTTTTAAAGGAACATATGACTATTTTTCTCAGCACATCCATCTTCTAAAACTGAACTTCCAAGATTTTGCTCTTATCAGAGAGTCAGCACCCACTGCATATGAACCTTGTTGTGTGTACATGTCTCTGGTCTGTAACTGCAGAGATAAGGCATTAATTACCAGCAAGAACAAATACTAATACCAGGCAACAATAAACAAGCAGGCTTTGATGAAGGGATTAATTGCACAATCAAAGTTGCAGACTTTACAAAATCAGACAAAGGTCTCAAGTAATGTCAGACACAAATATCAAGTAAGTGGATTACATAAACAAAGAGCCTTGAAATATACCCTTATTGTTTTGTTGAGTTCAAGCAATTGCTAAAAAGAAGGGAAGTTTAACACTTGGTAATCTGAAGAAATACAAAACAAAAAGGAAGCTATCTAAAAAAAAAATACAACAGCTACAGTGTATCAGTATTTCTTCCTCTTTGTATATCAGATTATTTCTTTGAAACACCAGATTTACAGTAATCTGCAATTCAAAGAGAGAAATGTTTTGGTCTGAAAAGTACAAACAAGGTGTTTTACTCTAAATACTAAAATGGTGCTTGGAAGAGGATTAACTTGGTCCACTCTATAAAGTATTCAATACTTTGATTTATCTAAAGTTCAAACTGAGGCTGCATGCACAATGAGAAGTAGAGAAGGAAAAACAATCAAGGAAACTGTTTTGTTTCTATTTTATACTAGGTAATGTGAGAATACAGGAGCCCATTGTTAAGTGCACATTCTAAAGTTAACTTTATCTTGTAAGGTTCCGACTTTTTTTTACCCCATGACGAAAACAAAAGCTTAAAGGGAAGATGATGTTTTAATCCACATTCAACATTCTAGCCTTGATTAAAGTAATATATTGAATCGCTATAATGGGAAGAAATAGATTCTTAACCTTACCGGGTAGCCAAAATCAGTTATCTTCTGTGCCCCCTTAAAATAGATTTATACCCACTTTAAAATAAGGATATGAAAAATGGGATATATCAAAGGCTGGAAAAGATGAAATAGCCAATGCTTCTAATGCAACAATCAAGATAAATATATTGAAGTACGGCTATCAACCCAATAACCCCAAACCACCGTTTTCCTACTAGTTGTAGCCCAAATTTGTCAAGTCACAGGACACAATCAATATATTTGTTGCGTGGACATATTAGGACATAAATCAACCCACAATGTGCAATCTATATCATAGAGAGTAGATAAAGAAATCTGCCACAACCGCCACTCCCATATTAATTACAAACTATGTCCTGTGTTAATGTGTTTGCAACTCCAAAATCGCTTCCCCAACCTCAATTCAGATTTAGTTTCATATTCATGTTATGCTACGACTTCACAATCAGATCGTCCAAAACAATCATGCCCATACATGTATTGACATTGTGGTATCACTCCAGACATAAACACAATGACCAGAATAAGAGACGGGAAATCCTGTTACAATTGATGTCATTTCCTATAATGATAATCATATTCTGAGTTTATATAATAATTAGGCTTCTATGGCGCATTACATCTTCAGAGAAAATATCAATGTGCTACTATGTATTAATACAATGCTTAATACTATAGCGCTTAATACACCAACAATGTCTCTAACTGCTTTACAGACATATTATCCTGGTCATCAAATTCAGGCTTTCCTGCACACAATGTATGCACATTTTCCACTCCCTGGGGAGCATTTCAGCCACGGGTCAATTAACAGACGCTCACAATGCTGAGCAAACTAAGAACATTTGCATCGGCTACCCATTTAACACCTGGGTAGAGAGTGGCAAATGTACATTAACATCTTGCTGAATGACATTAGTGACTGGGATTTGAACCCTGTGCCTTGTGATCTACAGTCCTGTGACTTATCCACTAGACCACAACACCTCTTCCTGATGAGAACCAGTCCGAGACATAAAAACAATAAGAGTCCTCATAGTACCACACCTTCCATTTTTAAATAGACAAGTATTAATTGTTGCCATACAAATTGTTAAACTTACAGAGCACTTGGAATAAAGTATGCACAAGGATCATGATGAGTTCATAGGTATAACTTATATTTCTACAATTAGGGTCTAATTTTTAGAATGCAAATGATCTTATTCAACAAATACATCTGCTGTCCATGTGTTCTCATAATCTGTCAAATTAGTAAACAGTGTACTCGTCAAAAATGTACATGTGTATATGGTCTAATGACCCACTGGAATACTTATCATTCTTTTTCTTTTTTTCCTAAGAGTACCGGTACTACAGTGGAACCTCATGATAAAGAACTCTGATACAACGAGGTATCTGTTATAGTGCTGTAGTCAAACGTTTAACCGTCCGGTATCCGACCGCCCATGGCGGATTCCGTTTTCAATTGGACGGTTTCGTTTTCCCGTTTTTAATTTTTTTTTTTTAATTTTTTTTTTTTAAAGTTTTGATTTATGCCCCTCCACCTGGCACTATGCCTGGCAATGTCTCCCAGCTCAGTAATCGGTATGATGACTTACCACTTGGAAACTAGAACAACACTCCAATTTGTCCGTCATCTTGGTTTGAAAGTAATCTTTGTAATAGATATCAATATATATTCATCCAAGTTTAACACATGGTGTACCACAAGGTTCTATCCTAGGTCCTCTACTGTTTTTAATTTACATTAATGATCTTACACATTATTCTAAAACGACATTGTTACTATTATTTGTGACTAGTTTACAAGCACAAATCGGCGCCTTCAGTTAAATCACCTCGCAGTCCTTCCCGCTTTTTTATATAAATCGTTTAACCGAAAACCGTCCGATTTTGACTGGCGGTTAAATGGAATTGGAGATATCTGTGATGTTACAGCACTAATCTGTTATATAAAAAGGTGATTTTGCTGGTCCCAGCTGTTTTTTTTTTTTTTTTACCCAAATATAACAAGATTCCTGATGTAACAAGGTAATTTCCTTGGTCCCAAGGATCTCTTTATAACGAGTTTCCACTACCGGTATTTACCGGTAGTAAAGACATACATCCTGCTGGGAAAGCCTCCTGTCAGTAAGCATAGGGCTTCTTTGGAGCAAATTTGACATTGGACCTTCCATTAGAGCTACAATACTACAACATGTACACTGCAGAAGCCCCAAAGAGCATCAAAAGAAAGTGAATGTGGATATTAACACACACAAAATTGCTGACATAATAATTAGACTACACTGACTGAACTTGGATAGTAGAAAAGCTAGAGTAGACCACAGGGTGAGATCTAGAATAATTACTTAACAGATTACTCACCCAAAATTCAGTGCTCCTGAGTCAGAACTCTCCAGGTACCTCTAGTTACCTGAGGTATTGTTTGATCAAAGCCATTTTTTGTACATGTATTTGATAATCTTAGCCAGTTTTAGCTTTCATCAACACCAAAAGATGTTACCATCACAATCTCTATCAACATCTCTCTCCAAAATCTCCATCATCATCGTCATCATCATCATCATCATCATCATCATCATTCTCCTTCTCTTAATCATCACGACAATCTTCATCACCATTAACATCACTGATCAACACCATTGTCATCATCATCATCATCATCATAATCAACATCACTTATCAACACCGTCGTCGTCGTCGTCGTCATCATCATCATCAATATCATGACCATAGAAATAAAATCATCACTATAATCACACACATGAGCACAGCAATTATATGCACCTCAATTGCATAACATATCACCCAGACAGCATGAAGATGGTGCATATATATTCAATAACATTTCTGTTTATAAAGAATGCCCACGGCACAGAAAGTACTCACAATCATAATTGTTAAAGATAAAATATTGAAACATTGTTCAGTGAAATAAAAAATCATACATACAAATTATACAATTTTATAACACCAGATACATGTAGCTTGTCTTACATGCAGAGAGAGATTTTCCTTCTCAAAATGAAAATGCTTTAATATGAGTATGACACATGAAGACTACCACTATCAGATGAATAGTCTGAACATTTCAGACTCAATCAAACATTTTGTTATAGAGAGTGGAAATTCTCAAACTACCTGGCGGTCAAGCTACAAGTATCATACATGTAGATCATGTATCTATTCAATAGAATTGTAAGTGAACATAATTATAAATTTCATAGAAAAGGAAAAAAAGTTCTTTTCTTAAAAATATTTTGAAAAGGTCTATGTAAAAGAAATAATTGTTCATCATATGGCCAAAGGTTTGATTTAGCTATTTTTTTGCCTTTCTTTCTCTATGTCTCTCTATGTCTCTCTCTCTCTCTCTCTCTCTCTTTCACAGGGCAATAAAATCTAAGCTAGAAGCACAAAAACACCCCTTTCTATTGACACCCATTAATATCTTGATAGCATATCTAAAACATGAAATTTAGACTTACCTACTATGCAGTAGCCATCGTTATCCATCACATATCCTTCAACGCAGAAGCATTGATAGGAACCTTTATCGTTCATACATATATACTCTGGTCCTCCACAAGGCTCAATCTCAGTCTCACATTCATTGATGTCTGGAATAAAAGGAGAAAAGAAAGTCAATCAGAAGATTGCATTACCCCCAGTCAATGAATGGTCCAGATTAATCGTTTTTTCCTTCAATAATGATCTATCAAAAGAGGTAAATTCTGAACATTTGTGACAATGTTTTAAACGTCCCTTGCGAAAAACCAATGCCAGGAATGGTTAGAGGAACTAGTGGCATGAACAGCCTGCCATAGTTAAGTCCAACTTAATGTCGATCTTAGTCTTTGTGAAACACTCCCCAGAACATATTGTATGCTCTACACTGAAGAAAATCTCAAAAAGGTTACCTTTAGAAGTGTTCTTTGAAACACTGATTGTACTTACCGACACATACGTTTATAGAAGCATCCCGTTCATATCCCTCAGCACAGATACAGTCATAACCCAAGGCTCTGTTTCTGCATACCTCGCCTTCATAACATGGATTCCGTAGACATTCATCAATATCTAAAAATGACACAAGATAAGTTGGACTTGATTATTGAGATTTAAGAAAGCCCAAATTTTACTCTATAAACCTCATCTTCCCTCTCTCCCTCTTCTCTTCTTTTTTTATTCTTCCTGATGCTTCTCTAGCCTCATAAATGTTTTCCTTCCCCTCACATCAGGCACCTCTCATGTTACTACTACCCCTCTCTCTTTTCTTCCCTCCTCTCTAAATTGTGAAAATCTCACAGATGAAATTGCTTTTGCGATCAAATAAAATATATATATATATATATTACAAAGTCTTATACATGTCAATAAATCTTTTAAAAAATATTTCGAGAATAAAACTATGACTTTGGCCACTTTGTCATAGTTGAGTGGTTTAGGCACTTGACTTGTAATTCGAAGGTCGTGGTTCTATCCCCGATACGGCACTAATGTCCTTTGGCAAGGCATTAATCTTCATTTGCAACACTTGACCCAGGTGAGGTAAATGGGTACCTGGCAGGAATTAATTCCTTGAAATGCTAGAGTGCTGTAATGGCAGCTAGGCTAAAGCAAAAGTAATAATTAATTTGTGCGCCTCGGAATAGAAACGTCTAGATAGACAGCACTATATAAATTAATGCCTATTATTATTATGATTATTTATTAACCAGGCGAAATGCTCATGATACCCTTTTGAATCTCAATTGTCCCACCATCTCAATTATTGGACTTACCAACACACTGGAGGTCATTGGTCAGTCTTCTTCCTGGTGGACAAACCACTGGCTCACAGGTGTGTCCAAAGGCAGTACTCCTGCACCGGGCATCAACGGGACAAGGGTTATCCACACACTGGTCAACAGCTGGTACAACACAATACAGCATGAAATAATGTTATTGTTATAAGTCCCGTCTCAAGATATTCATTCTTCAAGCACTATAGGTCTGCTTGAGAGGGCATCATACTAGGATTTAAAACTGACATAATAGTACTGTCTTGATTAGTGACACATACTTAAATACAGAAACCAAAGTCACTGTCTTTTTAAGATGCGCTATTTAGACAATTTTAGTTTGTTGAACCCACACATCATATTACAAGTATACAAAGAGTGATCCATAACACATTATTCAGAGATATCATCCCCTCCACTTGTTCAAAGCTACGAATGAACTCACTGGTACAGCCCCCGTTAATGTACTCCTGTCCAGGTCCACATAGAATCTGATTCAAGCCTGGATCAGGCATACCTAGGCACAGAAAGAAAAAGAAATCAAAATATTTGAGATTGGAAAACGGAAAACAGGCAGCCTGAACACTTGAAAAGGATGAATAAGTTCTAATACCATAAGATACCTCAAGAAAAATTTACTAAACATGAGCAAGACATTGCTTTATTTTGCATAACTCTTAATATAAACATGGGGCCAGATATGACTCACACTTATAATAATTAAAAGTATAAAAATTACATTTATAGGGCGCTTCATAGAGGTGTTTCTAAGCCCACAAATATACCATTTACTGATTCCATTTTACTATTCTTTTTGCTTGTTTTCTTCACGATATCCTTGATTATTATTGTAATGTAATGTCTGTTGTTACTGGTAAAGAAATATAACCCTATCATTTCATATCACACCACTAACAGATGTTCAAATTAATTGCATTGGAATTTTTAAAAATATGAATAACAACAAAAAACTAAGTACCATCATACAAATATTTCAAATATCGTGACAGGTTTACAGACGAAGGTCAAATGTCAACTTACGAACACATTGATCAGCCACTCCCTTGCGATAGCCTGGCTTGCAGCCCACACAGAGATGTCCAGCATCGGTGTCGATACAGTTCTGACCTTCTAAACAAGGGCTGCTTTCACAACCATTGATTGCTAAAACAGAATAATATGAAGCAACATGAAAATTAATACAGATGATCATTATTGTTTTGCAAAATGCATGTACTGAAGATTAGTATTAAAGTGATACAGACACCAACGGTAAACAGATAAAAAACAAAATAGTATAACTTATTATGGATCTATAAATATTTTAAAGGAAACTGTCAAGCATTATAACTACAAAATTGTACCAGGGTTTAAGAAAAAATCTTGTAGAAGCTCCTAAGTAACCTTAATTTTTAATGTTTTGTAACTTTACAATAATTCTTTTTTAGTAGTAAAATTTGATATAGCTTCCCTTCTTTCTTTTCTTTTCTTTTCTTTTCTTTTTTCTTTTCTTTTCTTTTCTTTTCTTTTCTTTTCTTTTCTTTTCTTTTCTTTTCTTTTCTTTTCTTTTCTTTTCTTTTCTTTTCTTTTCTTTTCTTTTCTTTTCTTTTCTTTTCTTTTCTTTTCTTTTCTTTTCTCTCTCTCTGTCTCTGAAATAGAACTTTACAGATATATGATATACATCTACAAAACTCAATTATCCCCTCCTTCCCATTTCAAGATTCTATCAACTTACGAATGCATCTCTTCAGTCCATCCACAAACTTCTGACCGGCAGGACACAGGATGTACACTGACAACAAAATGATAGAATGACTGGTAGAAATATGGAGAACTCAACCTCATTCTTGTGTCCATATGAAAATATAAACTAAAGGTATTCCTAAATTAGGGATGTATTTTCTATTTCATCTACATAAAAGAAAAAAGTTCTTCTTTCGTTAAGTCAAAAACTAAATTTTGAACACAAGAAGTCATGTAATCACATTATGCATATTTGGACCCATCTTGAGGTGAGTTTTATTTGTTAATCCTGTCATAACAAATAAGCATGAGTATCTAGGAACTGACTTCTTCTTCTTCTTCTGATTAAGTCTGCCTCCTTCAATTGACTGAAGATTCTTGCAAACTATGTGTGTGTGTGTGTGTGTGTGTATGTGTTAACCGCAATTTACGTCCATTCAAGTGCTATTTACATTATAATACAGTTTATTTACAAATATTTACAAGCTTGTGTATAGGATGGAGGAAGACTTGCCACTGTCACCAACCGTCTTCAGTCAATAACGGAAGGCTCCAACAGATGGCGCTGCAACAATACTTATTGGAGTACTGATAGGAAAATTCTCTTACATTCTCTTTTAGAAAATTGTTAACACACTACTAGTTCTAGTCTTGGTTTCTCCATTTCTTTCCCTATTAACAAAATTTCTATCAAATACATGAAAACTTCCTCTATAAGTATGTCATGTACGAGTATTCTAAAGTCTTTGAAATGAACAAACACCAATGGATAATAATACAAATATGTGTCATTATGAATAAAAGTATCAATCACAAATTTATTGAATGCAAACTAAATGAGTCCTTCATTAAACACCTGGAAGAAATATTACGAGATATAAACCAAGTAAAGATATTCATGTTCAGTATCCAACACTTGCTCAAAATAGATTGTGAAAATCTTTGTACTTTATTCCGAAATAAAGCTTTTTGGACCATTTAAAAATTGATTGTCGATCGGAATATGACAAAAATAGACAAAAGAAACGTTGCTCCAATTTTTTTTTTTAAAAAGGTTCAATTCTTTTGTTATGACAATTATGATGCTTTTGTGATGAATGTAAACCATGTATACTTAATAAATCCTCTGATGAGGCAAATAAAAAAAAATGAATAAAAGTGCAAGTATACTTACCATCGGGAGGTCCAAGTTCCCGAGCCACATCCATCGGATCGACCTCATCCACCTGTACGTTCTCCTCTCCACCGTCTACATCACTACCACCTGCTCCACCACCGGTACCCGCCCCCTCGGAGCCCTCTGGAGGGTCGATGAATACCAGTCCATCCACCCTCCTTAGGGCGGCCAGGACAAAGGGCAAGGGTCTCATGTCACCGGCGTTACCGAAGGACTCGCCCTCGGATGGTTTGACCGGGATGGTGTAGAGAAGGGAGGCATCCCAAGAAGGAGGAGCATCCTGGCAGGTGATGTCGTAGAGCTGCTTTACATTGATCTCTGTTAGAAGATGTAATAAATGGGAAAAAGAAAATAAGAATTCAAAGGGGAAGGACGTAGAGATTTGACTTCATCTCAATCCCACTCCTGACACCATGTTATATTACGCCATATACTATGGAGAGTCATAGATCAGAGTCATAGAAGACGTCGTCTACATGGAAAGAAGAAGAGGGGAAGACCTCGTGAAGGCTTTCTAGATGATTTAATCACAGAATTTGGAGCAACAGGATATGAAATGCTGAAATGGATGGCTCAAGACCGAAGTACTTGCATGGAGAGTCACTTGATATAGAATTCTGATTGGGTCACTAAACCTGTCATAAACTGACAGATCACTATTGATGATGACTATGGAAGAATAATAACAGGTATGCCTCAAACTTATCATTCAGAGTGTGTTCTTTAGTGGCATCATTTTCGGATCTCAACTTACATGGTGTCAAAAGCTGGTGCTATCATCCATAGTTGTGTCATAATTCTATGAGCATTGTATTTGTTAAGTTATGTAAGGGATCTTTTACTTCTGAACTACTATATTTTCTTCTTAGATCAAGTAATTGCATGTACACTTCACACACCACAATAGAAGAGAAAATCCTCAGATGCCCAAAGCCGGATATGATCGTTCAAACAGGCTACTGAAAGAGCATTTCATGTAAACTGACCTTATAATTACCTAAAACCTGGACATATTCATCTCACTTTGGTAATCCAAACAGAACTTATTCACCTGACCTTGTCTTGTACTCACCCTTATCGTAGTAGTCAAAGACTTGTACTACTCCCGGTTTGGCATCCTCAACATCTATCTCCTTGATGATGGAGAACACTAAGCAGGTATCCTCATTGGTCAGCTACGTGATTGTGTATGTGTGGGTGTAGGAAAGAGAAAAGCAAAGTTCAAGTTCAACTTGATTGCTTGTTTACATACGGTGTATAATAGATTTCTTGTATTACTGTTTGTCTAAAAATAACAGCAACAGATACTGTAGAACCATGTATTCCTGCTTAAGTGAAGAAAATCATGTGGCAAGACAATAATATTCTCAGATTTACATATATTGATAACTACTTCACTTTGTATTCACTTCAACACTGACTTCCCCACAAGTATACTAAGTTCTCTTACAAACATGCTCACATCACTTCAAATGAACTTTTATTTTTCTTCCATTCAATTTGACAACATATTTGACATCTGTTCAAACAATACAATTATACGTAGGAATTAACACAAATATAATTTAAGAACTTGTATTACAAGGAAGAAGGCGTGAATCCCGGTAAGCAACGCTTGTAATGGGTACGTCTGAATACACAAATACATAGTATACATTATAAATAGAAGAAAGAAAGAAATGAAGAAACCTAAATATACAAACATGCTGATTACAAATCTTACCTCATTGAAGTAGAAATAGATGTTCTTGTTATCCACCTCATAGCGTTGAAGAGGCTTGTGTTGCTTCTGTAGTAATCGAAGTGATTCTTTGTCAGGGTAGAAGCCAGATATCATTTTGACTTCAATTATGGCCATGTTGGACTCCTCATCACTGCCAGTATACCTGAAGAAACAAAAGACAATTATTGAAATAATAGTAATACTGATGGAAAACATAAGATATTTTCTTGAGTGCCTGAAGAAGAGGTATCTCCCCAGGAAGTGGAAGTGTGCATCTGTTACAGCGATTCCGAAGTCCCCCTGTGTACAGGTTTTGAACAGCTTTGACCTATCTCTATCACGTCTGTTCTTACCAGAGTTTTTGAGAGCTTTAATAATAATAATAATAATAATATTGGCATTTATATAGCGCTCTTACAGACATACATGTGTATCACAGCGCTTTACAACATTACATTACTTAATTGACTTACTTTCTTGCCAACTGGCTTATGGGTGATCTTAAACCCCAAATCGATCCGTTGCAGTTCGGCAATATAAAAGGAAATTCTGTCAACCACTACCTTGTATCTATGTTGGGTGTCATCTACACTGTACATAAATCTTGAGCAATGAGGATGTCATGCCAACATTTGGACTACTGATTTCACCAAAGCATTTGTTCTTGACAATCACTCCAAGGTTATTGAGAAGTTGATCCAACTAGGACTTGATGCTTCAATACTGCCCACTGTTTGTAGTTTTCTTTCTGACTGTCATCAGGGGCTGGCATCAAGCCCAAAGAGCCTCACATGCGATGTACCTCAGGGTACAAAGTTGGGACCAATCCTATTCCTTGCCCTTGTAAACGATGCTGCCTGAACGGCAACATACCGATGGAAGTATGTTGAGGACTTGAGTTTGGTGGAAGTATTGCCTAAAACCTAGCAAAGTTCCACACAAGAGTACGTTGAGGAGCTCAGTGAATGGAGAATAGGCTTAGTGCCGAGAGGCAGCTTCCACAACCTTCTCTGAATTAATCTGAATTTACTGTTTCTTCTTATTGGATGAGTTTTGTTTTTCAAGTGTCAAGTTATTATGTGCCATAGATTCAACTAGACTGAGGTTGAGCAATTCTGTTGCTGTTTGGATGATCTTTTTTCAATCTTGTTTTAGGGCTTCCTTGCTGTGTGTTTTATATATATATATAAGTATGGTAGACATCTTAACACATGTACTTCATTAAAGCTACAGTCCCATATACGTCCCGGACCGTCCCGGACCATCCCGGACCCCATCCGGGGTGATCCGGGATTCGGTCCGTGTTGACACCGTGTTGGCACCGGGGTGGTCCTGGATGGTCCTGGATGGTCCTGGATGGTCCTGGATGGTCCTGGGCGGTCCGGGAGTCGACCCCGGATGTTTTTGACGGTCAAAAACTGCCGGGGTGATCCGGGACAATAGTTTGATCCGGGGTGATCCGTGTAGCCACCGTGCTGGGTCCGGGGTCATCCGTAGTGGCGCCGGGGCGGTCCGTGTTGATCCGTGGCAGTCCGGGAGTGAGTTATTGACCGCCCAGGACCATCCAGGACCATCCAGGACCACCCCGGTGCCAACACGGTGTCAACACGGACCGAATCCCGGATCACCCCGGATGGGGTCCGGGATGGTCCGGGACGGTCCGGGACGTATATGGGACTGTAGCTTTTAAAGCATCACACTTTTTTTAACAAAACATCCCGGACCATCCCGGATCACCCCAGACCATGGTCCGGGATGGTCCGGAGTGGTCCGTGCTCGTCCGTGCTGGTCCGGCTTTATATGGGACTGGGGCTTAAAGCATGTGAGTACTCTAGACCAGATTTGAATGGAATGTTGCAGCAGCTCCATGATCACAATGAAGCTGCACATTCTTATTTTGTTTGCCTTATTGCCATTCATTGTCTGTCCACCTGATCCTGACTCTAAAGGGATTTGGTTCACCTTTTGTAAGAAGAATGCCTGGTTGTCAGGAGGACATGTCAAATACAAGTAGGAGCCTATGTTGGAAAATGCATTATGTATCATAGTAACTCATGTGCGACATTGAAAATATCTCTCTTGCTTCTCGCCGGGGATGTTCACCCTAACCCATGCCCTCACCCCAGTGTAAATGTAAAGTGTAAATGCCTATTAATATTGTTAATGGTGGGCCACTAATGATGTGACGCCAAAGCCCCGAAAATTTAAGGCCATGCAAGTGTCTTTCTTGAAGAATCCTCTTCCCTAGTTGGACATCATCATTGCAGTTACGATTGATCCAAATCAATCGCAAGTCCTCCAATCAATCGCAAGTTTGCAGTCTCCTATCTCTTATGTACATAGTTACGATTGATATCAATCGCAAAGAAGTTACGATTGATATCAACTCTTTGTAAGACAGGGCCCAGATGTTCATCTTGAACGTGTTGATTTTCTGACACTCTTTGGTGTCACGATCCAATCAGATCTGAAATGGAAAAATCGGGTTCAACAGATGATCTCACAGGCTGCGCGGAGACTGTACATTCTGTGTGTTCTCAAGAAATCTGGAGTCAACGAGCATGATCTTGTAACCATCTACAAGTCGTATATCCGTTCCCTGATGGACTTTGGTGTCCCTGTCTTGAGCTCCGGCATTTATACTAAAACACAGAGTGATGAAATTTAACAAATCCAAAAACATGCGCTTCGTTTCATGTGTATCCAGTGCACCCATTTCAACCCTTTACTTTATAGCATCTATATTATAGTACAATAATGCCAGAATGAGACACAGCTTTTGATTTTGTTATTTTTTATGCCTCCGTTACGAAGTAGCCGGAGGCATTATGTTTTCGGGTTGTCCGTCCGTCCGTCCGTACGTCCCGTTCTCGTGATCGCGTTATCTGAAGAACCGATTGATGGATTCCTGCCAAACTTTGGTCATGTATGTTACTTGCAGAGCCGATGAACTGATTAGATTTTGGGGTCACGAGGTCAAAGGTCAAAGGTCACAGGGCTCATTATGTATGCAAAAACAGCTCGTGATGGCGTTATCTGAAGAACCGATTGATGGATTCCTGCCAAACTTTGGTCTTGTATGTATCTTGCAGAGCCGATGAACTGATTAGATTTTGGGGTCACAAGGTCAAAGGTCACAGGTCACAGGGCTCATTAGGTATGCAAAAAGAGCTCGTGATCGCATTATCTCAAGAACCGATCGATGGATTCCTGCCAAACTTTGGTCATGTATGTATCTTGCAGAGCCGATGAACTGAATAGATTTTGGGGTCACGAGGTCAAAGGTCAAAGGTCACAGGGCTCATTATGTATGCAAAAATAGCTTGTGATCGCATTCTCATTAGAACAGATTGATGGATTCCTGCCAAATTTCGATCATGTATGTATCTTGCAGAGCCAATGAACTGAGTAGATTCATGGGTCATGAGGTCAAAGGTCATGGGCTCATTATGTATCCAAAAATAACTTGTGAACGCATTCTCATTAGAAATGACAGATGGATTACTATTTAACTCAGGACATCTTGCAGAGCCAATGAACTGAGTAGATTTTAGGGTCATCAGGTCAAAGATCAAAGGGTCATATATGTATATGAGAAATTGCTTGTAATCCCGATATTCTGAGAACCTCTTAATGGATTACAATTGAACTTGAATTTGAAAAATTTCTTCTGTTTTGGTTTGTAAAATTGCTCTATGACGGAGGCATCATTTTCGACTGCGCGCAGTCGAAGTTCCATCTAGTTTTCTTTAGCTCTTCTCCAGCTTCCCATTTAATTTCTTACTTTCCAACTTTCTTCATGTTTGCTAGTAGATCTGTTTGTTTTGTAATACATGTATATCCAGTATTATCATCATCACTTTGTGTTTTATATATCCATTTCTGTTAATTGTGTTTAAAATGTAAATGTCAAAATCTATGAGAAAATTAAGTAAATTAAATTTGATTTATATTATGTATGAAGTGCAATATACTGAAGTAATCTCAAAAGTTTCTTGATTGCGCATGACTCTCACTGAATGTATTTATCTAGCTTGTTACTCCTCTCTCTTTCTCTCTCTCTCTCTCTCTCTTTCTTTCTTCCCCTTTGCTATCTTCTGACTTTTTCATCCTACCATGTTGTATTTCATGTACTGGGTTTGTGCCGGTTGTTTGCAATTTTTGAATGATACTATCCGAAACTGTACTTGCTACTTGTTTTCTTACTATGTTTATTATATCTAATTTGATAGAAAGCTGTCCAGACAAAACCTGTTCTTGGTTTTTTTTACAGCTGTGCCTTATTCTGTTTTGTATCAATTCATTTCACATGTATATACTATCCCAATTTATGTATTATATTGTACATGAAATGGCATGTTTTTACTTTGTAAACATGTTTTTAAAGATGGAATTCAATAAACTGAACTGAACTGAATTAAAGTTTCCATTATTATCATTGTTATTCTTTCCTTGAACTATTTTTTTGTTTCTTTTCCATGTTGATGTTTTTGTAATTTTTCTTTATCTTTTTGAACATTTCAATTTTGTATTTTCTGTTTGCATCAGTCTCCTGACTATTTTTACAAGGAATTTTGATTCAATAAACAAAATGAATGAATGAATGAATGAATGAATGAATAAATGAATTATCATGCAGCAAAGGAAAAGGGAAAATGTAGAGTAGAAGAAATTCTCATCTCTACTTTTCATCGGCCATGTTAGACTTCTCACCTATACTAAGTTAAACAAAAACAATCCACAATATCACATATTTTCTGACAAAAATGCAATGAATATCTAAAATTAATCCCCAAATTACCCAAATAAACTAGTATCTCTAACTAATCATTGTGACCGCTAATCAAATTAACTTGCCATCATCATTTTATATAATCATGACTTTTAAATGTACAATAATATCACAAGAGGTAGAACAGGATATGCATGCTAATGTCATGTCAAACACGGTACCTTGCACAGACTTTCATGTAGTAATCGGTGCATCTTGTGTTCTTGCTCGACTCATACGATTCCAGCACCAGTACATCCAACTCAAAGCCAGCATCCTCTGGACTCTCTGGAATCTCATTGTGGATGGTGGAAATCTGAAAGGAAAAAGTGAGGAGATGAATCAATTCAGTTTTGAGGTAATTAGGTCAGTTGACATGAAATGCTCTTTCAGCCTGATTGAACACCATATTCTGCTTTTTGAACTCTTTGTAGACCAGAGGCAATTTCAGGTTTGTTTTGGGTGCTTATTCAGAACCCTACGTAGTGCACAATTCATAAGAGTATAAATATGACATTTTAATAAATGATCCTAAATTTTGTCAATGCCATTGCAGAAAATATGGCTCTATAAAAATGAGGTAAGAAAGTGAAACAGGATATGATTTACAGAATGAAAGAGTTACATAAAGATAATCATCAAACTATCCAAACTGTCTACAGGTAGTCAAACTGAATATCTCTTTCATCTATTCAAAATAGGCTTTCTGCTGGAGTCAAGCTCGCTATCCACAAGGACCACTATTCATAATGCGTAACAAAATGAATAGCGATCCTTTTAATAGGGGCTCTTATAAATAGTGAGCAGACCCCTTCTGCTGCACTATTTACCTCACTGTTTGATTCAATCAATATCACTTAACTAGATGACAGTAAAATGCTCTAAAGATATTGTGTTGTGAATTTGAAGAAAAAATCTGATTCCTTCCCCTTTATAACAAACATACCCTTTTCCTTGACAAGGTACATGTAAATGAGAGCTTATAGGTGTAAATGTGTACCCGATATGATTGAGCCCTAGTTACTTTGGCAGCTCGGCTATGACCAGGGTTATATGTGTAAAGCACCATGAGCGTCAGAGCCTGGCTAATACCAGCGCTATATTAATTAAATATCCATGTCATTTATTTATTATTTTTAAGATCATACCTGCAAGAGAGCACAGCCAGCCCCTGAGGCATAGAGTGTGACCTGAGCAGGGAGACTTGGTAGGGTCTCCTCCTCTAGGACTAGCCTGTTCAAGGTGGTGATGGTGAAGGGGAACACCTCCCCCGATCCCTCGTCGTCTAGAGGCGTGAATTCCACAAAGGCTTTGATACTGGTTCCTTCGCTGTATGCAACCTTGGCAAACTCAGCCAGAGCCTGCAGGGCTACTACTGTATCCTGTAAACAATCAAATGAACAATAATGGATGGCAAGGGGAGAACTTTCCATAGTGGAATGGTTTCAACAAACAGCTGAACTTCAAAATACTTGCATTTCAAATGGATTATTCTAAAGCTATTCAAGTTTATGCTTCAATGGGCTAACATCTTTCTATGAAAAGGACCGTTTATTTTAAGATCAGGGGCCCATTTCACAAAACTTGTCACTAGTGACAAATGATAGTTTTTGTTATAAGCTAGTGAAATCCTTGCTTCTGATTGGTTTTCAGCAGATTTGTTACTGAGAGGGAGACAAAGGGAGATTACCGCATTTAGAATAACATCCCCTATCGTCAAAGATTTAAAGAAACTTGATAACTAAACATTCTGTTTCTCTAACTCTTTTACTTTGAATGAGAGCAATTTTCTTAAAAATCAAAGGTAAATTCCCGTTTCACAAGGCCCTCAAGAAGAAAAATAGACCTTGGCGGCATTTTACAAACCGTAAGAAGTACATGTTTGCGAACAACCCATTGAAACGCATGTATTAAATCTAACACCCTTTCCATTGGGATGTCTGTGAACTTGTACTGTGTACTTATGATGGTTCGTGGAACCAACCCTCGTGTCTACATCTAAAAGAATGACTAAATCTTACCTGAGTAGATGAGAATCCACCATTACTGTTCCTCTGAAGTATAATCCACCTTGCGATAGGATTCCCCTCCCTGAGGGCCTGGGTGATGTCTGTGGTCCTGCCGATCAGGGCTAGGAGAACGTAGGAGGTCATCTCAATGTCTGTGCTAGGGGCCTGGTTGGCGTAGAGGTTGAGGGTTCCGTTGGGCTTAGCACGGTTGGTCTGCCAGTATGTGAGACCATCTGAGTAGGCAAGCAAAGTTGGTACGGAAGTTGGAATATGAATATAAACTTATTTCCTGTATATTGATTTCAGAGAAAATTTTAACATCCCTCTATAACTATAAAATTAAATTAAATGATTATATATCATCTTTACTGTAATTGATGTTAGTCTGTTCTCTTATGTTTGAAGATATTCTGTAATGATAAACTGTTTTGAATGAAGCACTTTCTTGAAGGGAAAATTGCACTTGTGCAAGCTAGACAAGGAAAGTGTAAATTTCTTGAATTCCTTCTGCAGCAAGATATCTAAAGTTTAAAAAGACAAAAACAAGAAGAAATTCAGTATCATTATTAGCTTTCTTTTTTGTTTCAAAGCAAAAAATCACTGAGGATAGAAGACCTTCAAATACAGATTTTAGTTCATCCAAAAAATCTTGGGACAAAGGACTTTCAGCCAGTGTAAGAGCAGGCTGATTCAGTATAATTCAGTACAATTCTTGGAGATATTTTCTCATTTTCAAAACAACTGTTCAAAAGGGGCAAAACATGTTTCTTTTTACATCACCCACTAACCTTCATAAACTGCCTTAGTTTCAAGTTTATCCATAACATCTTGAGCAAGAGGAATTTCAGCAAGTCTAAGGAGTGGCTGATTCAATACCATTATGAGCTTAATCCTTAGTCAGATTTTCTTGTTTTATGCCAAAGATTCACTTGGGGCAGAAGACATTAATGATACACCATCAACTAACCTTCATGAACTGCCTTAGTTTCTAGTTTATCCATGACATCCTGGGCTAGAGGACTTTGAGCAAGCGTCAAGGCATAGGCAAGTTGAGCTAAGGTATAGGTGTCTTCAACCTCAGGTAGATCCTTGGTCACACACTCTAGGGCATCACTTACAACCGGATTCTACAATCGTATGAATGAAAGAAATAACCGTCATGGCTAACTGAACACAGTTCATGCTTTTCTCTCACATGTTCATCTCCAATTCACTAATAAGATATTGGATTCTTGTAAAACACCCAAGTACATCACAGTTACAATGTTAGAACTTTCAAAGTATTACAAATGATTGAACTTATTTCTTCCCTATGTACATATGTACTTATTTGGAAAGAAGGACTAAGAGAGTATTTGTCCAAGGATATTAGGATAAGGCTGAAGTCGAGTAAACATTATGCAATTGGTTCACCACAGCATACAATCACATAATCACATAATCATCATCATCACTATCATCATCATCATCATCACTATCATCATCATCATCACTATCAACACCACCACCCCACCACCAACCCCTATCATAATGATCTTGAACCTAATCAACACTATAATCACCACCATCACCACCACTACCTCCACCACCATCTTTGGAAGTGCAGACTCGTGGATACATACCTGAAGATTAAGTCCAGCCTCCAGGAGTGAGATGAGGACATAGGAGGTCAGAGTTCTCTCACTGTTAACGCCACCCTGTAACATCATATACAAAATAAAGAAGGATTTATATTCTTTGCTTCGTCAAATCAAAATGAATCATGACCCCCAAAAGTCTGACATTCAATGCCCTTGCCTGTTGTCAACAAGAAGTTCATTTCCTTAATGTGCAGTAGATGCAAATTATCAACGAAACAATAAGAACAGTTTCGTACAGGGGGTAGGTGTCCTGGACTCCTCATCTTCTTCATGTATCTGTGGCACAATTCCCAGAAGATTAAAAAAGGGCTTTATTGGAAAAATGGGCTCTAGAGGCTCTTCAGCTAGCTGGGTTATTGTCCCCGATTGGGGGGGGGGGGGGGGGGTAGATGAGCCTACATGGAAATTTGATGGGTAGTAATGGTCTGGGGTGAGAGTTTCTCCTGAGGATAGTTCCAGGCCTAGATATTTGTAGTAGACTCCTCACCTTCATGTCTTTATGGCATAGCTTCCCACGAGACTCAAAGCACCCATCTGGGTTCTGCAGTCTCTTCAGCCAGGAGATGCTGACTTTGAGATCGTCCTTATCAATGTAGATGTAGTCCGAGGCCTGAGCAAAGGAGCGAACAACAAACGCAGTCAGCCACGTGCTTCCCTCAGGGTCGTTCTCACCGAATGCAGAGTACGAACCATCCCGGTGACGGTAGTTGAGCTCACGTTGATATCCACGTTTCATATTAAATCTACAGAAACAAATATAGAAAAAACCCTTTTAATTTACTGCACAAAACCAAGCATGTTCTAAAAATGTTTTGAACTAATAACAATATACAATCAAACCTGCTCTTGCAACCACTTGTATAGAAAGATCACCTGTCTACAGAGACCACAATTTTTGTTTCCCTTGAAAATAGTTTCTCATTGAAACTTGAACAAAGGGGACCCGTACTTAAAGACCACCTGCCTAAGAATTTGTTTTCTTGTCTCCCTTTGGTGGTCTTTATAGACAGGTTTCACTGTATATACGTCAGAAAATAAAATTGATCCATCTCATGTTTTTGAGTTAACAACATACAACCAAACATGGACCAAAGTATCTTCTCACAATCTGATGTTCATCCCTTACTTTGCTTTGTTCTCAACAGAGGGTGTTAGTTGGTCTGTCGTTGTGAGATAGCTCAAAGCAACAATGTTTGGCACAAATCCAAGCATGTTCTGTTCTCCACAGCCAGTAGGAAGGCGAATCAGGTGATCAAGGTTAGACAGACTTGGGCCCATCAAGTCACCTGATGATCAAAGTGAGAAAAAAAGTATTATTATTCAAAAGTGATCAGTTCTAACATATTTTACAGCTTGTCAAGAAAGGAAAGACTTTGTCAACATTCAAATTTACTTTTTCATTCATATATCGTTACTAAAGACATGCGAAATTGAATCAACCACAAAAATGGATTACAATTGCCTTTATATTCTAACAATGGAAATAAGCTTTCTCATTCTTTTGAGATGGAAATAAACTATTCAAAACAGTGAAAGATGGCAGCATTCCATTCAATTAGGCTATGCCTCATTCAATAGAAAAGCTGCACATGGTATATCCCCCACCTTAAAATTTGTTTTTCAATCTCACTTATAAACATTAAAATGTTTGCAGAGAACCAGAAGGGCATACACATTTTTCTAAACCAAGAGTTAACACCCTTCTGGCTCTCAACAGATGAAATTTTTGTATATCATTCACACACATTTTGAGAGTTATACAGTGCTACCCAGAAAAAACAAAACAAACTGAACAATTATTTCTAATGCAAATTGGCAACATTGATTTCTTTAAGTCACTGATACAACAGAACAAAACAAAATGTACAGTGCGTCCCAGAAAAAACAAAACCAAGAATTATCAATGTTTTATCATAACTTAATCACAATTATAATTAATAAATGACACGTATTTGTTTAGACCCTCCTCTTTCATTTGATGCAACTCATATGATGCATATTTCATGCATGAGTGATTAAAAACAATTTGAAGAGAGGAAACCAAAAATATGTGTCATTTATTAATTATAATTGTGATTAAGTTATGATAAAACAGATAATTCTTGGTTTCGTTTTTTCTGGGACGCATTGTACATGTACATATTGTTTTGTTTTGTTGTATCAGTGAATTAAACAAATCAATGTTACCAATTTGCATTAGAAAAACTTGCTCATGGCTTATACTGACCTGTGATGGAGACCTTTCCTCGAGCTGACCCTTCAACGATGCCATCGGGTAGGGTTACATTAAACACCCTCTCATATTCACCTTCAGTTACTACAAGAGGAAAGTTACAGGAAATTCAAACAGAAAATAATAGGTCCTTTAGAATATTCCACAGAAATAATCATGCAATGACTTTTCTTTTTTGTTGTGGTTGCTACTAAAGATATAAGAGATTTAAAAACTATTGATACATTTAAGTATGCTGCAATATTCTCTGACTTGTCTCTGTCTTGTTGCTTATTCAGTATGGAGCATGCATAAATGTAAAAAAATGTAACAAAAATCTACGGAACACCAAGACAATTAACTCTCTCACTCACATAGGCTTCTTACAGAGACCACCCAGCTCCAGTGGGTAAAGGGTTAAGGTCAGAAATAAAAATTGAGCCTTTACTTGATAATGTCTACATCAAACCATAAAATAATGTGAAAAACCATTACTTTACTGGGTGTACGGTAACTAATTTGTCTGACTTAATTGTCCTTAATTTCATCCAGAAGCGGGATGATAGTGTTATGTCTGGATACCCCTGGCCTTGTCAGTTTATCTGTGTGAGAAAAAGAAAACAATGAAGAACTATTATAGTGTGATACTCAAATGCAATAATATACAGATCATTATTAACACTTCATGTAAAAATTACCTCCAGTAAATACATCTTAAACAGGTGAGAGGCATTATTTTGAATCTAAGTTGTATCAAAACATAATATTTTTTATTTCTTAAAAGCAGATTATAAATTATCTCATTAATCTGTTCTTAAAAAACAAAATCATGAAAAATATACTCAATTACTTTATACACACCTTACAAGTTTCATAATATTAAAATAAACATGTACATTAAAAGACAATTATTCTAAATACTGTTTCTCCTCAAGAATGAAAATGGTATTAGTTATTACAAAATGATGAACATGCTAATTCTATGAATGTTAGAGTCTGAATGTAGATACATTGATTTGTGTAAAGTTTTGAAACTCCACATGCTTGAATGAAAAGATCACAACATTGCCTACACTTTTGAGTTAGGTTTATCTCTTTTCAGAATTTTCTGAAAGAATATATTGTTCCAGTATAGACAATTATAGAATACTTTATTATACAATTATTTGTTATCCCCCAAAAGACCCATTTGTTAAAATAATTCATTGATATTTTAAATGAGTTTCTGGCACTGCACTTCATATGTTATAGATTTGCATAAAAGTGATAGACTGCAGGATAAAATGTTGTCCCTTACATTTCTTTTTATTGGTTAGATTTGTTCTTTAAACTTTTTCTTTGCATTATAAGAAATTCCCATTCAAACAATATATTGTTGAAAAAAGTAATTCATTCCAAATACAAGTAACTTTACACTTAATCAATACCCCTGCATCTCAGACAAGTTCACTTTAGATACATACAGTCTCCGGACGGAATATCTTGCATTGGGATACATATATCACATCTAGATGCATGGATTTTCATAGCAGGGGTTAAAAAAACAAAATGTTAAATAATGACAAAACAAGTATACAAGGCTAACTGGTTATAGTACTTTATGACTGTTCCACATTCCCATAATACAGATATACAATTGAAAGAAGTTGAAAGGTGGAGAAAATAACTGGAGAACCATGTCCATGCAACATTTCAAAATGCATACATATCCAAGTCAAGTCAAGTACATTAATACATGTAGGTGCACATAGTCTATTGTGATTGTATAAATGCAAGGAAGGATTGTCGTAGAAGGAAACAAAATTGTCCAAGGTCAAACTTCTAAACTGGACTGTGGATTCCCTTAAAATTTGAATGGGAATTATCTAGTAATCCTTGATTGTTAAAGATTACTTTTTCAATCATTTCCTAGGATTGCCATAAAACTGACATTTATATTTACAATAAGTCTAGAGTTTAAACAACTTTTAGTATACATCCAAAAAAATAATGAATGTTATGTGATGTCTTAACATGAAAAGAATGAAGTAATGTAGAAGTGGAACTGATGATTCAAATCACCACTGTTCGATTTTAAATTTTCATATTCTCTTGAAACTACTATGCCATCCAACTACCCTTCCATGCTGTAACAATCATTTGACTATACATCATGCTATGATCATTCCATGAGATGACTACAGAAAAGAAAATTACTGGAACATACACCAATTATGACTAAACATTCACACTGGCCAAATACTGAAATCCAGAGGGCTGAATGCTCACGCTCATACACAAGTATTTATAATCTCTCATTTTTTAAATCTCACATTTTTTAAATCTCACATTGCACCATATCATCTGAGACAAATTAAATGTCAGAGCAAGTACATCTGGAATTTAGTACAAATTGAGGCTTTATACTTTGCTTTCATCACATTATCACATTCTCAAATGTGTGTTATTTTTTTCTTCTATCTTTTAATTTTTGTGTTACCATTGTAATTGCAGTTAAAATGCAACAAATGCTTTGAGTCATACAAAGACTTTGAAACTAACAGAATGAATTAAACATCAAATGATAAGTCTCATCTGAAGGTGTTGCTTTCTTTTAGCACGACACTACGCACTTCAGCAGACTGGATATCAGTAAAATGGCCAGCTAGCCTGGCTTCCAGGAGATATGAATTTTTTCCCGCTCAATGACACAGAGTTTGAGTTTGTAGACTATCACACTTCACTGTCTCCTCTCTCTCAATTAAAGAAAAGAAGATGAGAAGAAATAGTCTACAGGTATAAATACATCAACTCTGTTACTAACATTCTACTGAAGAGGGGAAAAAACTCATACCGCCTGGAATCTAAGCTACTGGTATCAATCAGATGGGTTAGGAGATATGTGAATATATAATATGGAATACACTACTCACCTAATATGTATGGTCTATCCATGGTCTAGCAAGCGAGGACTCGCCTCCTATACTAGTGGGTAAAATAAGCTACCAATCTATCTTATTAGTCAAAATCAGATGCTATGCAATTATCAACATCACCAGGACAATATACTCCTATCTAATAAATATATAGCCCATACTATAACATAAGCGAATATATATTTTTCCAAATAAAAAATGCATTTATCTATTTCATTAGTAAATAGTATGGCTAAAGTAGTCTAAGCCAGAATAGTATGTTCAGATCTTATAAAGATATATTAGACACTATTACATCAATGTAAAGTAATATTTTACTAATAATATCTATTATCCATGTAAAGTAGTATGTCAAAATAATGTAAGTCAGAATAATACACTCACATTTAATGAAAACATTGCTAATTCATGTAGGTACAGAGTGGATTTTTATTAAATAAACATGTCTATTGTAGACTAAACTACATTATTGAATAAATGCAAGTATAATTCTTAACCTGTAAAAAGTGGAATAAAATTACATAAAATATAAACAAAAAGAAACAATAAATGTAATTTTGAAAATAGTAGATATATACAAATGAAGGCAATGCAGGCAACATTAAATGAATTGGGGCATGCAACATACAGCAGGGAAGGTACATTTACACGTGGGATAACAGGGATGAGGTACAATTACTCTCTCTCCGTACAATGATCACCAACACTACATCATACACAAAACCCTCTCCTTCACACATTGCATCACCCACACCCCAGAAAACACATAATCCATCAACATTGTTTAGCTCTATACATTCATAGCATCTGCTATCCATGTAAATATGTAGTAAAAATGAAACATTATCAATTCAAACAATGAAAAACATTTTAAGACATGTACAACAAATCAATTAAGATAAAATGCAAAAGACGTAAAATAAGACTCTGTACTGAAAGAAACTAATAACCACAATAACCACAAGGAAGAAAATCTAAATCAATTTTCATGTGTCACAATCAGAAATAAGAAATATTTTTTACCAATTCAATTTTATAAATATGCTACAGATTTTTGTTATCACTGACAATACTCAAAAGCCTGCATTTTGATGTGACTTTGCAACAAATCCACAAAATAAAACATTAGAAAAAAGAAGAAAAAAAAAAATTGATTTTGGTCACAACTATTTTTTCTCTCTTTTCAGTAAACCCATGACAATGAATAAAAGACTTACCCTCCTCTGGGCAGAAGTAACAGTTCTGTGTGGTTTCTACTTCAGTCCCCTCGGCCTGGTTTCAACATAGATACAGAGATATAATGATTATATGCTTCAAACATTCAAGTTATTGTTACTTGCCAGAGCAAAGGTAATGACAGTGTTGAATAGTCTGTCTAAATCACCCTCTTTAAAATGCAAATATGTATGGTTTTTTAGGAATGGAATGGACTCAGAGAGAGATTGATGACATAAAAGGGAGGAAGGGGGAGGGGAAAGAGAGAACAGAGACAAAGAATGTAAAGGAGGAATAAGACACATAGAAGCATTGCGGTATAGTCTCTGGACTGTGAACCACGGGTAAAGGGTTCAAATCCCTATCACAGGAGGTGTCGTGGACGAGTGGATATGTCACCGGACTGTGGATCACAAGGCCCGCGGTTCAAGTCCCACCGCGGCACTAATGTCCTTTGCGAAGACATTGATCTACATTTACCACTCTCCACCCAGGTGTTAAATGGGTACCCGGTAGGATGTGAAAGCTAATGTGCTTAGATTAGCAAGCGTGCGCTTGTAAAAATGACGCCTGGCTGGAATGCTCCCCGGGGAGTGGAGAATGTGCATACACTGTGTGCAGGTAAGTCTGAATCCGATGACCGGGGTAATAATTTATATATCTGTTAAGTGCTTTGAGAGGGCCTTCGGTCCTGAAAAGCGCTATATTAGAACTAGCTATTATTATTATTATTATTAACATTCTTTTGTAAGACATTGGTTTACACTCGACCAAGGTGAGGTAAATGAGTACCTTGCAGGAATTAATTCCTTTAAATGCTGTAATAGTGCCATAATAAAGCAGGGGTAATAATAATATTGGAGCACCGTGAGTGGCAAGGTGCAACACATGAGCACTATACAAGAATCCACTATCATCATCATTACTATTGATGAGTAGAAACACTCGCGATGGAGAGACAAGAAAGTAACAAAAAACACAGGTTCCCGCCAGTGTATAACATGCTTGACACTTTAATCAAATATGGAGGACTGCAGAAAAAGTACTGATGTCAAATTTTCCACAAATGCATACTGACTATCAATGACAACAAGTAACCAACAAAATTGCTTGATCTTTTACACTGTACTTGGGACGCTGCAAGACTAAATGTGTTTGATTTACTTTGGACCAAGATTAAGCAAATTCCTGCACTGAAGCCTGACAGGAGATGCAACTTACCTCTACTAAAAGTTCTTTGTAGATGCTGTCTCTGGCTCCAACACTGCTACTGACAAGCTCGTTACCACACAGAGCATCCTGATCATTCACAGACAGTCCAAGTGCTATTACAAGTAAAGACAACAACATTCAGGAAAGGGTAATGTATGCAAGTTGCAAACCACAATAAGGGCAGCAAACCGAAAATGACTTTTTTTTGTAAAAAGGTACCTAAAAAGTAGGAATGGCAGGAGAGTACACATGAAGTGAAATATATTTCACAAAGGTTAAAATCTTAGAGAATTGGGGCACATTTTACTCTTCCACAGTTGAAAGCATCATATGATGCGACATTGCTTAGACCGAGGAGAGATTTGAGATGGATGTCAGTATTTATACATGAGTCTGTTTAACTGTCCTGCTTGCACAAACACGTATATATTCTACTCAGTAGGTAGAGATGGTGTGGAAAATGCTTGAGCACTTCTTAATTGGTAATGGTATTATCCCAACATGTTATCATTACCTTGTAGTGCGATGTTTCCAAGTTTCCTTGGCTGGATGCGGAACTCCACAGACTGGGACTGAGATCCACCAACACAAACCTTCTTCCTTGGACGACTTTTCCTGGCCATTCGGAATCCTTCAGTCAGTTCCAAAGAAACCTCAACCTATAAATATACCCGGTATACAAATATAATGTTCATATGGTTTAAGCGATTGATTATTGCTAGTATCTTTTCAAATTTAAAGTTAAATATATATTATTAAATAAGAGAGGTATCAAAGAACTTCAAGAACTATATCTAGATTTCTTATTGAATATGATTCTCATATCTGAGTATTAACTTATTAATAACAAACTCGAGTACAACTATGAATGGAACACAATCATCAGATATATCAAAATCTTAGATGTGATCAGTAAGGCCTACAAAAACTAGATGGAATTCGACTGCGCGCAGTCGAAAATGATGCCTCCGTCATAGAGCAATTTTACAAACCAAAACAGAAGAAATTTTTCGAATTCAAGTTCAATTGTAATCCATTGACAGGTTCTCAGAATATCGTGATTACAAGCAATTTCTCATATACATAAATGACCCTTTGATCTTTGACCTCATGACCCTAAAATCTACTCAGTTCATTGGCTCTGCAAGATGTCCTGAGTTAAATAGTAATCCATCTGTCAGTTCTAAAGAGAATGCGTTCACAAGCTATTTTTGCATACATAATGAGCCCATGATCTTTGACCTTTGACCTTATGAACCAAGAATCTACTCAGTTCATTGGCTCTGCAAGTAACATACATGACCTAATTTTGGCAGGAATCCATCAATCGGTTCTTGAGATAACGCGATCACAAGCTGTTTTTGCATACATGTGTGCTGTGGCCTTTGACCTTTGACCTCATGACCCCTAAATCTAATCAGTTCATCGGCTCTGCAAGTAAAATACATGACCTAAGTTTGGCAGCAATCCATCAATCGGTTCTTGAGATAACGCGATCACGAGCTGTTTTTGCATACCTAATGAGCCCTGTGACCTTTGACCTCGTGACCCCAAAATCTAATCAGTTCATCGGCTCTGCAAGATACATACATGACCAAAGTTTGGCAGGAATCCAAAGATCGGTTCTTCAGATAACGCGATCACAAGAACGGGAGGTACGTACGTATTGACGGACAGACGGACAACCCAAAAACATAATGCCTCCGGCTACTTCGTAACGGAGGCATAACAAAAATGTTGTATTGCCCTTTAGGGGCCAAACATGGGTCGGTCAGACAGAATTTTTTTATTTTTTTGAATTTTTGTTCTTCTTTTTTTCACTCTCTTTGGGCTGATACTTTTGAATGCTTTAATATTTTTTCTCTCTAAAAAAATGGTACAAAAAAAAGCAGACCCTAGATTTCAAGATTTTTGGGTCGGTCGCAAAGGGCAATACAAGATCTTTTTTTTGTAGGCCTAATATATGGGATGAACATGTGCATGTATGAAAGCATAAGTAAATCAAGTTAGTCGAATTATAGACCATACTTCTTGCAAATTCATTTCATGAGCCTTTCCAATTGGCATAATGCCAAGTTTTCTCAGGATTGTTTCCTGAAGAGGTCATGGAAAATCCAACTTACCACCAGACTCTCTGTGAGATAGTTGAAGACGGTGACTGTGATAGGAACGACCTCTCCCCTCACCACAGAGTAAGGTAGGGTGTAGGAGAGGAAGAAAGGCTGGAAGGCTCGGAGCTTGGTGGGGGGTGAGACGCCTACTCCGTACTCCACAGAGGTGCAGAAGCCGCTTCCAATCCACTCGGTGACGGTATCTGGCACCTCCATTGTGATGGAGGTTTCACCTGTGACAGAGCTGGGTGTGACAGAAAATGACAAATACTCAAGGTGTCATCGTCTTGCGGACAAGTCACTGGACTGTAGATAACAAACTACTAGGTACGTCTCCCAGCCCATGGCAAGACATTAATTTACATTTGCCACTCTCCACCCAGGTCAAAATGAGTACCTGATAAGTTTGAGCACTAGTTACTTTGGCACCACGGCTATAACTTGAGTAATGTTATCTAAGAGCCATGAACGCCACAATGAGACGGATATGTGCATTATATAAGAAATCATTATTACATTTACAGTATGATGATAATCTTCTGAGTATGCCTATTGCAAGGGGGTGTTTATTACTCTATCAGGGAAACCCCTTTGGTGTTGTTGATGGCAAATGTGTGACCAAGACCAACAGAATAAACTTCATCATACCGTCAAACATCTATACTTTGACTTTCTCTAAGACTCAATTTCTCCCTCATTGGCCTGGTGGCAGCGGTGGGATATGACATACTATCTCAATGCACTTCTAATTTCAACAAGTATCACCATTCGGACTACTTACTCAGTTCTCCTGAGGTCCCACAACCATGTTTCTGGAAAGTACGACCTGATCCTTGGAGCTGTCTCTAAGACATCGTTGTGTACGTCTGGTTTCTCCAAGACACCGCCGTCATCAAAGATAGCATTCTCTTTGTTCAGCAGCGGTACAGCAATGGGTCCCTCAGCTGCATTCTCAACTTCAGCTAAGACCACAACAAATTGAAATTATTAATGCTTCATGAAGAATTGGCAGATAGAGAAAAAAGTTCCATTTCACAAGATAAATGTGTTCAAAATAATAATAATAATAGTAATAGTAGTAGGTTCTTGTATAGCGCTCATGTCTGTCAGACTTGACACTCCTAGTGCTCCGCAAATGATAGTTGGTATCTGTGGCATTGACAATGTACAGATTCTTAAATGGTGAAGACAGTGCCAAGGCTTTTAAATCAGTTGCCCATACCAGCCAGGTTCACATGAACGGTAAACAAATAACCCACATTGAGGACTACCCCTGGACATCTAGGAGATAACCATCCCACGGATAATGAACACCCAACCAAACTATTTGTACCCTTTCAACAACTATACATAGTAGTGGTCTTTGGATATAAGTGCCCAAGTAATCTCAGTTAAGAACGTTTCCTCACCTGTGCCTCTGGAGACTGAACCTACACCAACACAAGGACTGGTTTCTACATCCATATTGGTGATGAACAACAAACCCATGTCCTACAATGTATGAAAAATATGAAGAAAAGGCTCTGTAAATACTGTACTGCCAAGCACCATCTTTTATCTTTCCTCTTAACATTCAAAAGAAAAAACCTCTAGAACAGGTTGCAATTGTCAGAAAACAAGTATTTGTACAAATCATATCACATAGTTAGCAATGCAAATGCGAATGCAATATTAATGACTCAGAACCCCATTCCTTACAGGGACACAAACAAAATACAGGCTCTTTAAAAGCTACAATGCGAAAAAAACTTGTTATGTTTTTCCTGCAATATTTAACATTTAGATACAGTATTTACTTCAAAAAGATGTTCCCTGCCCCTACAAAACTTTAACTTTAAGCATACATGCAAGTGCTGCCAAATTGATGAGTTTACCTTGAATGCCCTGGAGGAGTCCTGATACTTTGAGCCGTATCCCGGCAGGAAGATGCCACGCTTCTTGCGTCCCAGAGGGAAGAATTGAGGATACTCATCTTCCTCGGGTACGCAGTGTGTGGTGGCATCAATGTAACCACCAGCAGAGGTCAGTTGGTACTTATCCAGTGAAGCGAAGATCTGCGTACGTACAGATGATAAAATGAGATTGCAAAGGTGTTAGTGTATCAATCATTGATTTATTCCATATGTCGTCAGCCCCAAAAACCAATTGGTAAGATTCCATTTTAAGAATTGATGAATACATATTAACAATTCTATGTGGCTGCTCAGTTCTCTTTTAAAGTGGAGCAATAATAAGTGGTGAAAATAAAACTGAGAGAAATCTTTAAAAAAGAGTTGTGATTGTTCTGAATGAATTGTACATGAAAGTAATCATTCACTTTACAACTTTGTAATTCCACACAGTTCTCACTAGTTCTAAGAGAGAGAGCACATGACAGCTAATAGTCAGCAATATATTTTCTATATGGCTATACTTTGTCAACTTCTCACAAAATGGATTCCCAGTAAATGGCATTTTATTCTATTTTTGGTCTAAACCTGACAGAAGAAGAAGATAACCCCTCTTTCTGTTTCACAAAAAAACAAAATAACCCATATTTGAGTATATTTTCTGTTTGGAGCAAGAAGGATGTTAACTCTAAGTCTAATGATATGAGTTAATGCCCTTCTGGCTCCAAAGCATTCATTTGATCATTATCATAACATGTCTAGCCACTCTCCCACACAGTATATAAACCAATTCACTGTCCAAGAAACTAAACGCGCCTTGAGCACTCCACAGAGTGGATTTGGCGCGATATAAGTTTCATTATTATTATTATTATTATTAAGAACACTGTCTGTCATCCATTTGTCAGATGACCTCAAGGAAGAACAGTAATAATCTGTAAACATTGCTGAATTGGGCTTTCCACCGATTTTTGTTTATATTTCATTTTGTATTTTTTAGTATGCATAATATTTTTATCTGACTTCAGAAATAAAAACAGCCTAAATAAATAAATATTTATGTATGATGTTATCCATGATTTTGTATATGAATAAAGATTTATTTCAACAAAAAAACAAATAAAATCTGTCAGCCTACCTTGTCTGCCTTGAGCTGATTATCACCACCCAGAATATGGACACTCCTATCAACCACGCCCACTGCACAGAGTGAGCCTGGCGAGGCGTGGATCATAAGCTGGGTCTCGGCTCCCGGCATCATTTCTTCATCACTGAACGCTATATCAACCTACAAGCAGGGATTACAGAAAAACACACAAGAGGAAAGAAAAGAAAACTCATTCATTTAGCTCTCACAAAATTTTTGTGCTGAATGGATTGAGCTTAATTGTGGCAGCATTGGGATATAAATTTGACCAAAACATTAATAAAACTAGATGGAATTCGACTGCGCGCAGTCGAAAATGATGCCTCCGTTATAGAGCAATTTTACAAACCAAAACAGAAAAAAAAAATTGAATTCACGTTCAATGGTAATCCATTGACAGGTTCTCAGAATATTGTGATTACAAGCAATTTCTCATATACATATATGACCCTTTGATCTTTGACCTCATGACCATAAAATCTACTCAGTTCATTGGCTCTGCAAGATGTTCTGAGTTAAATAGTAATCCATCTGTCAGTTCTAATGAGAATGCGTTCACAAGCTATTTTTGCATACATAATGGGCCCATGACCTTTGACCTTTGACCTTATGAACCAAGAATCTACTCAGTTCATTGGCTCTGCAAGTAACAAACATGACCTAATTTTGGCATGAATCCATCAATCGGTTCTTGAGATAACGCGATCACAAGCTGTTTTTGCATTCATAATGTGCGCTGTGGCCTTTGACCTTTGACCTACGTGCTCCAAAATCTAATCAGATTGTCTTCCTATGGTGATACACACTATCATTAAGTTTGAAGTTTAAATCTCCAGTGGTTCTTGAGATATCATGATAACAATCTCAATGTATGGAATTTCATAAGTTGACCTCTGTGACCCTTGACCTTTGACCTACGTGCTCCAAAATGTAATCAGATTGTTTTCCTATAGTGATACACACTATCACTAAGTTTGAAGTTTAAATCTCCAGTGGTTCTTGAGATATCATGATAACAATCTCAATGTATGGAATTTCATAAGTTGACCTCTGTGACCCTTGACCTTTGACATACGTGCTCCAAAATCTAATCAGATCGTCTTCCTATGGTGATACATACTATCCTTAAGTTTGAAGTTTAAATCTCAAATGGTTCTTGAGATATCGCGCTAACAAACTCAATACAAGGAATTTCATAAGTTGACCTCTGTGACCTGTGACCTTTGACCTACGTACTCCAAAATCTAATCAGATCGTCTTCCTATGGTGATAAATACTATTCCCGAGTCTTAAGTTTAAATCTTAAATGGTTCTTGAGATATTGTGATAACGGTCAAACGGGACGGACGTACGGACGGACGTACGGACGGACGGACGTACGGACGGACGGACGGACGGACGTACGGACGGACAACCCGAAAACATGATGCCTCCGGCACCACCTTCGGTGGCGGAGGCATAAAAATAATATTTACTAGAGCTATGATATGTGAAGGTTTCATGAAGAATTATGATTACAAATTACAAATTATGATTGCAGATGAACTTCAGCACTTCCATCCATGCAACTATGAGTTGATTTTGAGATAGCATGATCTTGGGATCTGAGTTTACCTCCACGGTGACAGCGGTGGGATACAGATTTGACTAAATCATTGCAAAATTCATTTCAGCTTGTAAAAATTATTTGTTTTGACAGAGATGCATAAAATATCATCAGGAATTCCCTTTTACTTCAGCAAATCTTTCCATGCAACTATTTGGTAATTTTGACAGAAATGGTCTCACCTCATTTTCAAACTTCTTCTGTACTCTGAATGCAACGCTGTCTGCCACCACCTCTCCGTCGGTTCGGATGTAGTAGGCCAGGACCCTGGTCTCTGGGACCATGTCAGGGGTAACTCGGAACAAGAGTTCCCTGGAGTACACTTCACCTGGCTCTACAATGATCACTGGAGCGTCCGTGGGAGGCACGAAGCTGAAGTCAGATGAGAAGGATGATCCTCCTAGTACTTAATAAAACAACGATAAAGTAGATCTGTGTTATAAAAAAAACACCTATGGTATGTACCACAGAACATCCTTGTTATATCAGGGGTAAAAACAATGGAGCACAAAGAAATAGGGCTGGAAAAGCTACTTTGTATAATGAGAGTAACAATGTTCTATACGATGGATCCTGATATACAATACACAGGAAAAGGCATACATGTTTCAGTAATGGTTCTCTCAAATACAGGGGTCACATTAATGTAATTCCACATGGTAGCTGAAATAATAATTGTTTATTTTTCTTTCGGAAACAACACTGTAAACCATTTAATATAATGAAGCAGCAGCAAAATCAATCAAAGAAGCTGTAAGACATTTGATTTCAGCTTCATATTAATATGGATAATGTTAGTGATATATACAATATATCTACCTTGAGTAGTTTATCAGAAAAAACACAAATAACCCTGATTAATATGCATATATTTCATGTGAAGAAAAAAAACATGCATAGAACAAATATAAACTTGGTACCGGTACATTATATAACAAATTATTGTATTCATTATGCTGCAAATTTGTCACTTGACTATCCCATTAGTAAACAAAATGTTTGAGTGGTATAATGCACCGCAGTGAATGCATACATTAAAAAAAAAATAAATAAATAAAAAAAAAATTAGTACGTGCATAATATAATGCATCTGCTAGAGTAAATAGCACTTTACAGCAATCAGCGTTTCTCAAAAATAAGGTGAAAGGCATTCAATTGCATAAATATACATCCAAATCCAAGGAAGATCATTAACAGAGGGGAAAAAAGGAATGACCAATAAAGGAAATATTAAAAGGAAATAAATAAACATTACAACCACAGTAATGGGAAAATACAACACAATCTTTTTAGGGCAATATGCAAACTTAATATTGGACAAAATCGCTTCATATTCAAATCATCGACAAAGAAAATATTATGTGAAAATACTGAAATGTACATCATTTTAGAAAAGATAGGCTATTCACAAATTTTCTGATGCCCAAGATCCAACATATTCACCAGGTGCTTTTATGAACTATTCCTCCCCTAAAATAAGTCTGCTTTTGTGCTAGTATTGATTTGTATCTCTACTTCTCGACACACTAAAGATGAAATGACATTGCACTTGAAGAATACCCAGGAATGCAATGTTTCATATTACTTGTATTCCTTAGAAATGGGTTAAAAGGCAAGTAAATTGTTGCAGCTTACCTGTGCATGGTACATATATATATATATATATATATATAGTTAGAATATGTAGTCTTTTCATAGTTTTTAGATAGGTATAGGTACAAAAATGCAAATTATGATGCAGTACTCCTGAAATTAGCACATTGAGCAAGGAGACAAATAGCTTTATAAATGCTTTACACACAAATCCTGGACCAATCTCAAGAGCTTTAGATTCACAGCGCAATATATATTCTGGTTATCCTTTGTATAATAATGATATACTTTGTCGCAAGCTGGATATACATGTAAGGCACACATCTAGTTGATGAGACTAATCTCAAAGATTTACCAAGACTCAGGGGAACAGAAATAAATAGCAGGCTTGTATCTGCTCCTACGTCAGAACCTAGTTAGATGGAATGGAGATGCGATGAAACAACAGAGCAAGACAATGAGTTAACGAGAGAATGAGACAGAGAGATAAGTGAAATAATTAGACAGCAAAATAATGAATATATAAGAAATATGTGATGATGAAAATGAGACAGCTGCAATGAGATACAGAGACAGTTGAACAGTGAGAGACAGAGAGATAGAGAGAGCGGGAGGGGGGGGGGGCAGTAAAACAATGAGACAAATAGACAATGAGACATAGAGATTGGTGAAACAAGACAGTAAAACAATGAGATACAGAGACAGTTGAAAAGTGAGAGACATAGAGAAACAGAGAGAGAGAGAGAGAGAGAGAGAGAGAGAGAGAGAGAGAGAGAGAGAGAAGGGGAGGGGGCTTAAACAATGAGACAGAGAGTGTGAAATAATATTATATAATCAAAAATTTAAATAGAAAGCCTGTCACATGAGAAGACAAATACATCATGAGATGGAAAGGTAATGAGATGGGGCAAAATAATGAGACCTACTAGACAAATGGACAAAGAAACTGGGACAAAATGAGTTAGTGTGACATGGGAGGTGGTGGTGGTGGTGGTGGTGGTGATGGTGGTGGTGGTGGTGGTGGTGGTGGTGGTGGGGGTGGTGGTGGTGGTGGTGGTGGTGGTGGTGGTGGTGGTGGTGGTGGTGGTGGTGGTGGTGATGATGGTGATGATGATGATTTTAATATCCATGTAAATAAAAGGAAGTAACATATAACACACCTGATGGAATAAAGGAGGGTATATCCAGAGAACCCATATCAGAGGGTAGACCAACCACTGACGGTTCTCCAACCACAGAGGGCATACCATCTTCGGAACCATCCGGTTCACTCTGAGAGGGTCCACTCCCCGCTGATGAGCCAACACTCCCCTCCGCCTGACGTTTGGGTCTCTTGTGAGCGCGGTAGAACCTTGTGGCAATGATGTTTCCTCTTGACATCACCTAAGAAAGCAAACAGTTGGATGCATTGTGTTATTATAAATTCTCAAAGGGGACAAATTATAACCCTCTTTGAAGTTTTAAGGTAAACATAATTCTCTGATTACTGGAGAGCAAATTGTCAATCTCCCCTTTTCATACAACTTACTGTTATTCTGTAAAAAATCATTCACAAATTTTACATCATACAACATAAACGTCCACAATCTGGACCATATTGCATACAAATTACCATTAATGGTAACTTCCATGAAAAAACCTTGATTTGATTGGCTGTTGAGTGATGCTGCCATGGTAGTTAATATTGATTATTTTGGTAAAATACGATCAATGGCAAGATCTATGCAAGCGGGTCCAGATTAGATCATCTTGCATATAAAATGGTATCTCACCACTAAACTTGACACATAAAACAGACAAGGCTATACACGAATCATCACATCGACTGAGACTTTCTCTTCTCTCTCTAAGCAGATGAAGGGAGGGAAAGAATAGGATGGACAAACTGAAAAAATGATAACATTGGAACTCCAGGTAGTCTTCGGTGAAAGGGTCTGTAATGGTTAGCAACGTCTCAAAGAGACCATACTTACCACGAATCTGAAGCGTGGGTTTTCTTCGGGGTCGTTGGCGGTAAAGTCGATCCTGAGCGTCTGTTCCGATCCGACAGCGGCCACACCTCTGATGGGGGCTATCTGGAGAAAGCTTCCACTGGGGGAGAACTGGGGGCGGGCGTAGTGTGAGGTGGCTGGGTCGTGAAGGGTGTAGGAGTGTTGTCTGCCGTAGGTTTCACGCGGAGCGATGTTGAACCCCGGAGCATGAGCCTGACATGGGATATCACCAAAAAAAGAGATAAAAACAATGACATCAAGTCAGGAGATAATCATTTCACCATTTTCTTTTCTATCTGTCATGACGGGCACCTTCATTTAAATATTTGGCCCAGTTCTTTCACTTTAAATAATGTCTCATCTGCAACTACTAAATTTTCAAACAACACTATTAATCAAGGCATGGTCATCCTAGATGTAATTTGTGGCATAGATATGGTATGGGGGGGGGGGGTAGACTTCTACATAGCAATGTACTATCCAACTTTTTTGTGCAGAAAAAGGAAAGTGGCTAAATTTTAAAACAATGATAATATAGAAACAGGCTAGTTGCCATTACATAAGCTTGGTGCTAAAACCAAAAATGGGGGATTAAAAAAGAGAAAAATCTTATTCCCAGGAAAGTCACTAACCAACAAGCGTGAAAATTATGTCAATGCCTATTTTTTATCTGCAGCATTGCTTTGGTGCTCCCTGGCCATTTCAGATAAGGTTTAGCATGGAGAAGCTGTAAATTGAATCACCAATTCCTAAGAGGTACTTACATAGAGATTGAGACTGGTAGCTGTGATGTTGATGTCTGTCACAGTGAACTCAATGGCTCCATTCTCCGGTGACGTTAGGTTCTTATCAAAGATCTGGCCCTGGTCTGTGTTGCAGCTCAGGCTAATCAGCTTGCCAGCAGCTGGGCTTCCATCAGGGTGGGTTACAAATATCTTTCATACAAAACAAAAAATAAATAAATAAGTAAAGAAGTTAAGAGTTTATCATTAAAGCCCCTCTTAAGTGTTGGGAGCCCCAAAAAAATTGATGGCAAAATATCACTTAAATTGTATCATAATGTGAAAGAGGCTGTCATTTATGACACATTTCTACAAGGATTTTTAAAAAAAAACGTGTTTGAAGTCAAATATTGATGAAAGAATACCAAATTTTGGTTTTCTGCGTACAACACAAAACCCAAATTATGTATTTTTTTATCAATATTTGTCTTCAAACACATTTTTTTTTTTTGGGGGGGGGAGGGGGATCTTTGCAGAAGTGTGTCTTAAATGACATCCTCTTTCACATTATGATACAATTTAAGTGAAATTTTTACCATCAAATTTGGGGCTCCCAACACTTGAGGGGCTTTTAAGTGATAACTACATTACAAGCACATTCCCACTACAATTTTTGTTTTCTTCAAATCACAGAAAATAAGTACATCTCCACGACAAGTATAACCTGTACAGTTCTTCTTTTACAAAACAGGTTCAACCTCAATTATTGATTGAGTAATGAACTTGCTTGCAAATAGTTGCTGTATTTAAGGAATGTGCCTCTCTCGTAAAACTAATACAATTCCATATACCTCTCTTTTAGTTATTTTTTGTAGCAGTTTTGCCTCCCCCTTCCCCCTCATCCCCCCCTGCCCCCCTCATCCTCCCCCCCCCCACACACACGCACACGCCAAAAAGAAATCTCAAATGCACCAAAACGTAGTGTGTTCTATGTTTACCTTTCCATAGTATGGAACACCTGGTTTGAAGATGTTGGGTGATTCGAACTGAAGCTTCAGAGCATCTCTGGTGATTTGAGAACTCTCGCTATTCGCCTCCAGCATCACACCTATTCATAAACAATGACAGGGAGGCAGAAACAAAACAACAGAGGTTAAAACTAACGATTTGAACACATACTTCAAACAGACTGAAACATTTTCCAGCAATAAATTGCTTTGCAGTTTCTTACACTAGTTGAATTCTTAACTTCAACCCTTGACCAAGGGCTATACCTGGCCCTGAACCTATCACCTAAGACCAAAATGGAAACCCTAATCCTACACCTACATCGTTGTATACCTTTGACCATATAAAGTCCGGAATACACGTTTCCTGAGAAAATGTTGGGTCACTCTCCAAGCCACTTACTTACATAATTCATCTTAAATTGACTGTAAAAGGTTTATTAATCTATTTTGTTTGATGAAAGCCAGAAACTCACTTTTATCTTTCTATCTTTCTTTCTCTTCTATTTTTTTCTTTGATTATTTTAATGAACACCCTTCTGGCTCTAGATATGGTTATTTAATATTGACCCTGCCCCCCCCCCCCCATTCTCTCTCTCTGTTTGTTTCCTTGTTTCTTTCTCCCTCCCTCCCTCATCTCTCTTTATCTCTCTCTTTCTCTAGCTCCTCATCTATTTTCTCTCTTTCTCTCTTCTACTCATCTCTTTTCTCTCTCTTTCTCTCTCATCATCTCTTTTCTCTCTCTTTCTCTCTCCCCATCTCTTTTCTTCCACAACTCCTTGATCATGATCCCATGCTTACCAGTAGATGTTTCTGTGTATTCCACATCCACACTGAGCCTTGCATCCCACAATGAGAAGTCTGTTGAGTTGAGTTCTAGTCGTGATAAATCCACAGGGAACTCGTTGCATCCCGAAGGGCCAGTGTCCTGGAATGAAACAAGCATTTTCACAATTCTTTGTATTAAACATCATGTCCATGTGCATAGAATCCATACATACTACTCTTCTAGCTGGGACCAAGATTCAAACTCTCAATCTCATATTTGAAAATAAAATGAAATACGTACAGTCAAACCTGCTTTAGTGACCACCTGTCTACAAAGGCCAAACATTTGTTTCCCTTGAAAATAGTTTCTCATTGAAACATGTACTAAAGGAACCTGTCTACAAAGACCACTTTTTGTGTTTCCCTAGGGGGGTCGCTATAGACAGACTGTACTTTATCACAGTGCAGTGCAGGTCTACCAGGACATTTTCACCCCCCCCCCCCCCCCATCCCACCTCCTCTTCTCCGAGCGAAGACTCAAATCATCAAGTCGTAAATGAAAGTCAAATTAACGATCCACAATAGCATCCCCCCAATAACCTCCATGAGGACAATATAACTCTAAACATTCCCCCCCCCCCTGTAATCTCAAGCTCTTCATCCTTCTGTCCAAGATTCACACCCTCAACTTCAAGATTGAAAGGTAAATGAACCCCTCAATGAACACCTGTATCACTGTGTGTCCATCTCATAACCCCTATCCTCGTTCCCTCTTCCCTCCCCCATTTCCTCTCCCATTCCCTCTCCCATTCCCTCTCCCCTTCTCTCTCCCCTCCCCTCCCCTCCCCTCCCCTCCCCTCCCCTCCCCTCTCCTCTCCCTTCCCCCATTCCCTCTCCTCCCCAATCCCTCTCCTCCCCATTCCCTTCCCTCTCCTCTCCCCTCCCCATTCCCCTCCCCTCCCCCATTTCCTCCCCCTTCTCCCAGTTAATAGAAAGAAGTACTCAGAAGTCTTACCTCAACTCGTCTTGTCATGGTCTTCCTCTCTCTGAAGTTCCAGCCAGTACTCTTGACAGTGATCCTGGCTACGAATGATCCCCTCACCGGCTGACCATACGTGTATCTGATTATTCAAATTTGAGAAACAGAATTCAATTCACACAACTTTGTTTCATAACTGTAACGTATACAACATGAATACGAACACATCATGTTTCCACATGAATGATACAGATCCTTTCCATTACTATTATTCATTACAAACAAATTTTATGATTGAAATTAAATAGGGTCTGCATCATTCCTGGCAATAATAACTTTGTCACAAATTATTTTCCAATTCTGGTTCCTTTTCACACCATTTTCAATGCACAATTGTTAACATCATACATATTTTTTTTAATTCATCTATTGAATTTTGCACAATGTTTAAACGACTATTCTTGTTATTATATACTTAGTACAATATTGGGGTTCTGTGTGCGTTGGGCCCATTGACATTTTGACATTTGGGACGTCTGTATGTACCAGACACCTGCTCAAGTTGATCCCTGGGAAACAACTAATTTTGACCAGGTCTGACCCGTGACTTCACCTAGCCGACATCGTGAGTCACCATCTAGCGTAAGTCATATCACCCCCTATAGTATCCACCTGTTTGGATGGGCCGATGTGCTGTCCAAATCCAGCCGCTCATCAGGAAACTGAGGAATGGCAATTAATTAAAAGAACCCCCAAGAAATCAGGTCGGTTATTAGACACCACAGCTGAAGCAGATCTTTCATTTCCTAATAATAATGATGATTCCAAGGAGATTAGAATACAAATTTCTCTAGACAGATAGTCCTTCCCCGTCCTGATGATCTGAAGATTGAACTCTTGAGGAAACTGTGACAGACAATACCCAACTAGAGATAATCAAAAGCCCAAAACAAGTCTGAGGACATTTTTATTTGACTTCTGGCTGACCTATGACCAACAGTCGGCTCCTAAAACTGAATGGCAGGAAACCACATGTACATCATCTCGGGGAAGCCTGCAGCACCGAAACATATCATCTACTGGTCATCACAGCGATTGTGAAGTTATGGAATGTTTAGAAACTTCCAATCTAAATATCAGGTTAACTGATTCATGGACGTTCATTTTTACTGGGGCATAAGAAAAACAAATACTGAAAATATGGAAGAGCCACAAGACTCTAGGGACCTGTATCCCCAGCAAGAATTCCAAGAAGAAACTTTGTTTTCAATGCTGATGATTATGCCTTGAAATACCCTTACTTGGTAACAATAAATTTCTCCCATGATACAAGTATACTATTTTCATTAAAAGATAAGTAATATGAAATTCAATATTAGCTACCAATTACATTCATTTTTATTTAAAACATTTCAGTTACTCAAAGAACCCAAGACTTCTGATCCTACATGAGGGACCAGGCACTTACTGATTGGTGACATACAATATCTGTAAAATTCCTAAATGTGTTACATAAAAAAAAATCATTATTCATGTGTAAATGAATAAAAAATACAATTTACCAAATTTGACTTTAATAACAAAAGCACAATGACTTAATTTCAAACCAAGATCTCAAAGTACAATACCACTGCAATAACAAGTTAGCCATCAAGTCTCTTCCTCAATGCACAACTCTAGAAGCAATCCATACGTTTCTAAGAATATACATGTATGCGTAAGACTAGCAGAAGTCAAATCATTTCAATGGATTTTGAGAGGCTGCTTTGGTTTGTGGCAAACCACACAGGAACCTGTGGTCAATATTATTAACTTTACCCCCAGACGGCTCTCACAACAGGCACTTAGTATTTAAGGAAATGTGGTTGGAATCATTCACAGTTTATCTTCCTGTATCTCTTTCACAGAGGTGAGGTCGAACCATCAAGTCCCCAAGCTCTTCAAATTCAGCTAATAAATGATCCCACAGCTGTACCTCGCTTGGGGAATGACCAGCGCAAACATTCACCCTGCACCAATAGAACGACATCAGTGTTATTAAGAATAACACCTCATTTTAGAAATGTCAAAACAGATTGATCATTACATGCAAAACAAATCAAGTGACTAAGCAAGTCCCTTGTGAAACTGGGAGCAGCCCCATAAACTGAACTAAGAGCCCACATGGTACCTAAGAATACATTGAATAATTTCCTGGCAACCCCAGTTGTTAACTCTAATTTTGTTTTCAAATCTGAAAAACATCCCTTCATATTCTCAAGTAGATAGAAATTAATAGTCTGGAGTTATAAAGAATACTTTATAAAGAGACATAAAATGGGCTCTTAAGCTCTTTACTGATATCACTACCTTTGTCGGTAGATTCATTCAATGCACAATGAATGCACTATCTCCACTCCCTGCAGATTATTCCCATTCCTTCCCCACAGTCAGTGCGAGGTCACAAAGCAATTTGAAAACAATCTCCCACAACATTCTACCACATACGTCTCCTGGGTACAGACTAGCAAGTGTAGAGCAATGCCTTTCCAAAGGACAGGACATAAATACTGTGCCTGGGTTCAAACCCATGACCTTTGCATCAAGTGACCAAACCACCTGACTACAACACAGTGAACTTGTTTTGCTGAAGAGGGAAAGCCTCAAACAGCTAATGAGTCACTGTGGTGTGACCACCAACCACCTCAACCAATATAAACTGCAGGGGACCCACTTATAAATAGTAATCTGTGCACCATTTCTTTCCCTTAATTATTATTGTGTACAGATTGGGCCTTGAGGAGTTGAAATTGGTATAACACCCATAATAAGTTAATCACCTTTCTTGGAATTCAGTGGAGTTGCAAACAAATAAGAGTTTACAATAATTCACAACATCTGGCAGCCATACATTCTGAATTACAAATGTAGCTTTTGTTTTTCTCTATCTTTTTAACTCCTGTCTAATCTTCACTCATTGCATTTCAGTTCAATACAGTCTTTGTGGGTTGTCTTTTAAAATCTTTGAAGCTAATCTAGATCAAACTTTATTCTACTCTTTGTTCCGTGGCTTACTCTTCATGACCATAAACACTTCACCACCGAAGTCACCTGAAAATGCCCCTTCAGTCACAGGCAGAAGCATTGAAAACCACCTGTAACATTTCACCAGCTCACAAATATATGTACATGTGAAGCAACAAAAGTAAAAAGGTCTTGTGCAAATGAAATCTTGTAGGTGTTGTCATTAGCAAAGTTGCTCTGGAGTTGGCCATGGAAAAGATGTGGTAACGAGGAAAGACTGTCGACATATCTGTTTAACCCTTACTGTACTGGGGGGGGGGGGCCTGGGAGGCCCCCCCCCTCGACATTTTCGGAGATTGCGCCGCAACCGCTTGAAATTTTGAATTGTCGTTTCATGACTTTTTTCCCTCAAGTCTTACGCACGTTTTGATACCATTTTCGTCACAATCGGATATACCTGTGAGGTGTTACATAACAATTAGTATGCGCATGTCATCAAAAATATGCTATAATTGCATATATTCATGTACAAGCAGAAATGTGAATACAGGTTTAGATGTATTCCTTCCTAAGTGGGTGATATGAATTGATATCGAATTGCTTTTATATGTTTCTCAAAGTAACTTGATGTATTCCAGAACAAAAGAATACATAAGAAATAAAAACAATAGATATAATAAGAAATAAAAAAACAATAAAATACACAAGAAAATAAATATTTGAAAATCGCATCAAATTTGCATAAATTATCATTATTAATTACATCCAAATAAATATTTTGTGTTAGAAAAGAAGTTTCATATGAATAATGAGTTTCAACGTTCAAAAAGTGAAGTTTGACAAGTTTTCTGAAAAATGCATAAAATTAGCATTTTGCATAATTAATTAGGCTATAACGACAAAAATTTGCATAATCGCAAAAAACTAATTACACCATCTTGTTCGTTACGTAAATATCTACAAACATGCAAATTTTCGTGTTCATCGGACATCCGACGGCCGAGATCATAGGGGGGGGGGGCCTCCCAGGCCCCCCCCCCCCCCAGTCAGGAGGTGCTCAAAATAGCCCAGTACAGTAAGGGTTAAAACCAAACAAATCAAATACAGTCAAACCTGTTTCTATAGCGACCGCCCAAGGAAAACACGAAAAGTGGTCTTTGTAGACTGGTTCCTTTAGTACATGTTTCAATGAGAAACCTATTTCAAGATAAACCAAAAATGTGGTCTTTGCAGACATATATGGTCTTTGTAGACAGGTGTTCACTAAAGCAGGTTTGACTGTAGCATGAATTTTTACGGTTCCTTCCAGTGATGAAATAAAATGGTTACAGTCTACTTTGTAGTTGGTTAATGTGTTGAAGTGCAGGAGAAATCAAGATCACATTAAATCATCTTACCTTCCGCAAACCTTGACGCGGATCGATGTGGTGTTGATCATCACGTAGGTGGGAGGAGTGATGATAACCTCAAACTTAGGCAACACTGAAAAGCAGAGACAAAAGAAGATGATTCTTTAATATCATATAGTGGTCATGGCTCATAATTGAGAATCATCTGTGACAGTAACAATTGCTAAATGACTTTAGAGTTTAGAACAATCACTTTATGAAGTACACATTTTCAAAAGGATACAAAGTGTGTAAGGTATACAAATGTATGTCTTAGAAAGAATACGTTTTTCATTATCACAATTTCAATCACATTGTAATTAGATTCAATTCAATTCAAGTTTATTTCCACAATCTGATGAAAATACAAAACAATCAAAAGACAAACAAGAATACAACATAAGTATTAAATAACAGATAACGGTGGGATCGACAAGTTAGCGGTTATCATCAATGGTCTAATTGAACTTCCAAATGTCAGAATCTTTATTCTCCGTCAAAAGACATGGTCCAATATTTAAAATCATGGGCAGGATGAATCACCCACAGCACTGCAACGGTTAACACAAACTGTCTAAAAACTTGCCATATTCGTCCACTTCAAATGTCCTTGTTGACTTCCTATCCTTGTGTAAAGCGATGATAGACCATGTACCAGTGACGGGATCATTGGTCATCGGCAGCTCCAGATCGATGAGTCCGTCTGTACTCTCCTGGTTCCTCCATTGCTGCATCTTAACCCCACTGGGAGACTCGATCCAAATCTTACTCACCTGAAAGACCACAAGGGGACAGTGTAATAGGTCATTTAAAAAACACATGTACCGTACTGTAAAACTTGTTAATTATGCCGAAATGAAACTTTTATGACCTAGAAATGACAGCAACTTTTGCAGCAACAAACTGCAAAAATACAGCATCGCTTCAGTTGTGGTTCAGATATTTTATAGCTTGAAACATTAAAGAATCTGAACCACTTAACAAATTTGTGATTGTTTTATGTACGCAATAGTTGCTGGCTTTAAGGAAACACAATCTTTATTGGAAATTTCTACAGAGAAAAGTGGAATTTTCTTCTTAGATCTTTTATTCTCTCTCTCTCTTTTCAGATTTTCAGAGCTCTTCATGAGTTTTGCAGAGCCACATCACTCCTAAATTTTGTGTTTTCGTTCAAGTGAGCTCTAAAAATATTTATACTTTCTACAGAGATAAAATGTAAGCTATTAAATGGGGATTATTTGTTGTTTTTTTAATCAAAAAATGTACATTTCAGTTAGGACCTACACATATCCATGAATCAATAACTATCGCATTTGCAAAGAATTCTTTGGATATAAAGTCAACTCATTTATAAGAGAAAAAATATCCTTTTTTTTCCACACAGATTCAAAATTTCACTGATTTGACATTGACATTGATTTGGTACTGAGAGACAGAAATGGTAAATGAATAGATACAGGCTATAAAGATCCAAGTTTATTGATCCCTAAAAACTTCCAAACATCGTCATGTACCTCCTTGGAAATGTCAAGTATAAGAAGACATACTATAACAAGAAAGGAATGCTTGAAGCACTTCAAAAATTTACGATATCTGTCATCAATACTGCTCGGTTACAGAAAGGTCTTTTATGTGTCATGCCATCCCATAAAATTATGAGTTTCGGTAATAATTCATTTTGTTTCATTAAACAGTCATAAAATCAAAAGCAAAATATTCAGGCCGGGGAGTGAAACAAGTCCAATCTCAAGTTCTTCAAAGAGGTCAAATCCAGCCGTCAAAAAGATTTTTTGTTTTGGTCCTTGATCTATACTTAATGACAGTCACCCTTGACCTTGTGTAATGTGACCTTTGACCTTAAACAAAGTATGAAAACAAGCAAACTCCTGTCGAAATGGATGTCATTCCACATCTTGATATATATATATATCTCTGTCATTTCCAATGACTCTCTCTCTCCATCATACCGCTCGTTGACCCCTCTCACCCCACACAATTTATGATATGCAGGTCAGTGAGCAAGTTCAAAGCAAGTTCACTCTCTGGCCCTTGGGGAAAAGTTAGAGGGTGTAGATGGCAAAGAGGAAGTGAACAAGTGGAAGAAATTGAACTAATTGTCCCCTAGAGCTGCTTTCAACAGTGTCTGAGGTACAGGAAGAAATCCAAGGCCAGTTGGAATATATGGAGAGTTGTAGGGGAGGGTAATGGTTGCCAGAAACGACTCTTACTTACTAATCATGTGCCATATAGTTCTGCTCAGTTTCCCTCAGAATAAAATATTTAACTTCTGTACTACTATACAACTATAAACTGCTTTAACTTGAAACTCTCAGGAATCATTAAGGACAAATATTTTTCTAGCGAAAAACCTTGCAATCTGAAAGATTGATGTTGTTGAACATTCAATCATTTCACAGCATGAAATTCTCACAAATCTGGATCACTTGTAATATTCATGAAAGTTTCATGCATTCTAAAACTTTGAAAGTATCTATAAGAAGAGGAGGTAGGAGTAGTAGTGTGAGCCAAAATAAGGAGAAATTAAGAAAAGTGATAATGAAAAAGAAGAGATCACAAAGGAAAAGAGAGAGGAATAATTTTGTATTGCAAAGGAATATATAACAATTAATTCTCTTTAAACTTTTATTTAGCAATATTTTTTACTAACAGAGTGTCTAAAGAAAGACAAAAGTAAAAGAGACGGGTGAAAATCATAATAAATACATAGAATACTTTACCGGAGTAACATCAGGTTTCAGGTCTTGGTTGATATTAAGAATCCTGAATTTCACTGAAATTGAAGAAAAAAATTGTCAAGATAAGATCAATCATGTAAATATGCCAGGTTTTATCAAACATCTTTTAAATATCAAGATTACATTCACGTTCACAAGAAAACCATATTAGGTTATTCATATATTTATTGACATTCTCTCAAGCGCTAGAATGAAAAATATTAAAAAATCACACAAACTGAATGGAGCAAAGTGTGAAAAGAAAATTATTCAATTGGCAGTTAATGTACAAATCTTTGAAAACTTAAAAACTTCATATCATTTTGATTCTTCATCAAATTTTTCTCCAACAATTTAAATGGCCCATTTCTCACATTTTTCTCCAAATTCAATTTGGCTTTATGCATACATGGACTGCCCCTTTAAACAGGTTATTTTAATGGAGAGGTAGAAACTATTAAAACTCATTCAACAACTTAAGCTGAACGCTATAATGGTTGCCAGCAGACTGTGAAGTCCCCCTCCATCAAGGGATGGATTTCCACAAGCCAAACTCCTTGGCCAAACCAAACTCAAGCTTCAGATATGAAACCAATCCAAGCTTCAACTCAAATTTCTTTTTAGCTTCTCTAAAAAAGGAATGGCTCCAGCTTTAGAACAGATCAAAGTAACCAGTCTTCACCAGTGGACTCCGATGAAAAACAGCTCTCGAGCTGAAAAGGGTGTCCCCCCCACAAGTGGTAAATAAATACATTTTAAAAAACCCAGCATAATACCCTGCTAATTGGCCAAAGAGCAGGCTATTTCATAAACTACATGTACATGTATAGCCCCTAGATTGCATTGGATAATAAATTAAGCCAAGAGTTAAATACAGTTACTGTACCGGTAGTCTGATATTTGCATTTTCACTGTGAATTAGTTCAAGTCACAGGGTGTGTAAATATCATCAGAACTAATTTACCCGGATCAGAATTAGCAGTCTAAACTCGGGCTAATGCGGACAGCTAGTGTAAGGACCATATAGGTACATGAATGCGGGTAAGTAATCCCACCTGCAACCCGTTTTCCTTTCAAAGGAAGCATTAGCAGGTACTATCTATCATCAGCTACTTATCTATGATTTCCTGAATGCCCATTATACATTACAGGATATATACTTCCAACAACTCTACGCCCTGTGAAGAGGGAGACTGGGGGGGAGGGGGGGTTCAATGGGAAGTCCACCCTGAATTTTAGTTGGTTTATAATAGAAGCAGAACAAATGAGAGAAACTGGTCACTGAAAGTTTAAGCAAAAAAACTGATTAAAAAATATGAAAGTTATGAATTTTCGAGGGTACGATCAATCAAACACAAATTGGCAACTCTGTAACGTATCTTGCAAGCTGTCCTCCCTTTGCCCTGTACCAAAAAACTTCAAAATTTAACATTTTCCCTTTAAAATGTTCAATAATACACACACACTGAATATAATTATTGCAAATACATTTTTATACAACCCCTGTATATGAAACAAATCTTAATGAAGAAAATGAAAGTTTATTAAATCAAATTGAAGAGGAGCTCGCAAGATACCTCACAGTGTTGCCAATCTGTGTTGACAACTTCAAAAATGTGTAACTTTCCTATTTTTAATTAGATATTGCTCAGACTTTCACTTATTTGTTGCTCTCAGTTTGCTTTTTGTATTAAAACCAACTTAATATCAGAGAGGACTTTAAGCACCAACACTTTATAAATATAATTTAAAATAGAATAGAGTAACTAATAATTGAGAAGAAAAAAAATAATGTGACAGCATACTTCATTTTTCCCATGCTAAATGACATCATCACTCACCAACTAGCATAGAAAGTGGGATGGCAGATACAAAACTAAACAGTGCAGTTATGTTTATAATATAAGCCTCAGTTATGCACTGATGTGTTTTGTTGTTCGAAGAAGAATAACATGATATATATTACCTATAAAGAAGAAAAACAAGGGCAGGTGTAAACATAGTTGAAACACAGCATGATAGGTTCTTTAAGGTGGGCTACACAAAAGAATGCAAGTAATATGCAACTAAAACCCAAAACATATTGTTCATGTACATGTATACATGTAGGTCTACACACAGTCACAGGCCATCACCCCAATCATTCCGCTTACTTGAAATCATTGTCGGGTCAGGTGGTCGCAAAACCCAACATTTTGTGAAAATATACCCCTTTATTCATGAAATGACGGGGGAATGTTTGTGAAATAAACCCCCCTCATCTATCGATCGTCGTGTCCAATTTACCCGACGCCTTGTGAAAACCCTACAGCAAATCTACCAAAAGGTTGTATCCTCAATGTGCATCTTCACATGATCTTTCAATTTTGTTTCACGAAAGGTCGTGTAATGCGACCACCCGACTGGATGCAATGACCTGTTGATTCGGCGTAAGCTGATCATTCTCTTCAAATTATTTCCCTTGAACATGCATCAAGAATGACAAACACACAGTAGGCCTCCAAAGAGGATTATGAGTTTCCTCGCTAACTATTCTCCTTACGCATACATCTCGTGGCCTAAAGATAATTGGATAGGACCATTGCACAAACTTTCTTTCCAAACTATTCTCCATGTACTTTGAACTAAAAATAGACCTACAGATATAGGACTATATAAACCTAACATTCTCTCCAAACTTATCCCAGTGCACATGTATACACAAGTTAGGGCTTAAAAATGCATGTAAATAGGACTTTCTCGACAAACTATTCCCTTAAAACTTTTATTTGATTTGCAAGAGTCAAGGTCTCACACATGTAAATAGGTCTGTAAGACTAGAATCTAGCTCCTAGATGTCTTTTATGTATCCATAACAACATTGGGAATCAAATAAGGATTTTCACACTTCCAGCGTCAATAAGATTAAAAGAGGAGGATGTGTTGAGCTCGGAGGGATGCATGCTGGGAGCATTTACAGGAAGGTCAGATGTGACGGAGGACAGGTAAAACAGCAGGGCGTGACACACATATCTCAGCAATCAAACTAAAAAAACCAAGCCTACATCAACCGACAGAGGATTGGATTTCATCTCAAGCTCACGATCATCCCCCGCTCATTCCCGATCTGTAACATGAGCTTGAGAAGTTGATCATTACCCCTCTAAACCGTGAACAACTTGGAAGTAAGGGAGGAGGGAGCGATTTCACTCTGCAAACAATGTTCAGAGGGAAAGATTTGTCCCCACAGAGATCTCATTTCAACAAGTCTGTTCAGAAACCAAAGGTCAAATCTATATCCTAACACACCAAGAGACGACTTTGCTTGAAACTATTTTTGAGCATGTTTATGTTGATGAAAACATGGCTAGAATTTAGAAACACAATAAAACTGCAAAATATTAGCCCTACAATCTAAGCACTCTGTGAGGATAAGTCTGGATATTTCTCCTTTGATTGAATAACTGTTTTATACCAAAATTATATGGGGAGAACAGGTTGACATTATTCTGAGTGAAATTAAACATAAACCATTACAGAAAACTTCCCCATCTCTCTATTTTCTGCCATCGATACATCACAAGGCAAAGAACATGGTGGGACTGTTTGGATTTTGGCAGCTAGTGGTGAATAGATAAACCATGTGTTGCCTTGACTTGGAAGAATATCTTGTCCAAATGAATAAGGCCAAAGAATATTACATTAACCTCGTGCCACGGCGAGATCTACTCAGAAACAGTAGGCACAAGAAAGACATGCTCACCAGCATGAGACAACGTCTGGGAAGATAGATTATACACACACGCAAAAAGAGGAAAGGAATTTAAGAAACAACGCTAGGGAGAGCAATGGAGGTGACAGTCGTCATGAAATCATAAGGAATTACAAAACAACACTTGGGAAAGTAATAAAGGTGAAAAGTTGTCTTAAAATAATAAGGAATTACAAAACAACACTTGGGAAAGTAATCAAGGTGAAAAGTTGTCTTAAAATAATAAGGAATTACAAAATAACACTTTGGTGAGCAGAAAAAGTGAAAGGTATTTTTAAAGTTGAAAGAAGTTAAAAAATAGATGTCAAACTTGTCTTCAGAGAGCAGTAGAGGTGAAAATTGTCTTGAATCATTAACAACAATTTGAAAGAGCAATAAAGGTAGAAGTTGTATGAAAAAATCCCAAGTACAGCGTAATAAGCCAGTTCATAGTTGCAGTCTGAGCATGAGCAGATAAAGGTCATTGCAGACCAAATTGTGATATACACGGAGACAAAATAATGAAAATTATGTAATTGTTATTCATTTATGCACAAGAAGTGTACTCCATGATACGAAGTGGAAGTATTCTTTGAAAAGGGGAAACAAAGGCATTGTGTGTAGGACCTACATCGCTGTATGAGTGGATTATTTCAAAATGTACAAAGTGAGACCTCTTTGAACATAAAATGAAAGCAAGATGGTTTACCAGAAATCTACAGGCATTGACAATTCTTACATGAGCACTCCTTACATGAGCACTCCTTATATCATACTTGAAGACAGTAACCTCTATCCACCTAAAGAAGCTGACCATAAATAGCTCACTGACCATTGAGACACTGACCATTGAGGCCCTGCTCTGTGGCCCAGATACAATGGGGAGGGTTTGTGAAGAGGCAATTTGTTGGTCTTAACAAGTTGTCAAGTGGTATTGATCCTTTAACAATGTTGAGTCAACACTTCTATGGCCACAGTGATTTCTTTTCATACCTTGCTACAATCAGAAGGTTTGGAGAGGGGGTTTTATCCTTTCACTTGGAATCAGTTCACCATTTATCTCCGGTCACCCATACATCCTCCTCTATGTAACAAGGTTCCACCCTTTGTAATTTACTCAACTGATGCAGTTATGGAACCAATGATGATGGTATAACTGGCTGATATAATTGGTCCATCAAACAGAATTAGAAACAGCATCTCACAATAACTGAGGAACTATTGCACAATCACTTGATCCATATAATGCTACAATCAAGGTCTAAATTTTATGCATGTTATCAAAGAACATAGAATGGCATACATGCTTACATGTAGTAACATGTAGCATGAGATCTGGTTTATTTAATAGAAAGTTCCTGGGTTCTGGTATCTAGAGCAATACAATTTCCCCTAAAAATTACTCAAAGTACATGTTCATGTTCAGTTTACAACTGAATTACCCATACTCCTTGTAAATTTGAGGAGGTTATTTTTTTGAAAGTTTTTTTTTTTCAAGAATGAAAGGTGGACTGGTTAAACCTGGTCCTTTATTGAATACTTCTAGATGTAAGCTTTCCATATGTGACATTCTCAAGAAACATTAATCTGGACAAGTCCATTTTTCACAGACTTAAAAAATTACAAAACTTGGCAAGGGTACAACATATTTAATTGTTAACTGTACATATAAACTAAATTGTTTCCAATGCAGTAGTAGTAGGTGGTTGTTCCAAGTTTTAACCAATAAAATATAAAGAAACCAATGAAAATTCGCTTAAAAAACCAAATTCTTGTCCTCCACTTCCCATGTCTAAGCTCCAAATACCATACATGTAGGTTCGATAATACACCTTTAAAGGGATCGTTTAACAATGTTAAATCCGAGATACACGGCCCTACGTGTTATCAGTGTCTGTGATATGGTGTGATATTGAAGCCCTAAAAAAATTGCGCTTCAAAATGATCAAGAAGTGCCTCAAAAAAGTAAAAATCTTTGAGTGACCGGTTTTACCATACTTGTTTTCCCCAATAGACTGTAGTGTTATGAAAACCGTCAGGCGAACGGTTTTCAAAATTTGTAATTCCAATCATAAATATCTTGATAATCAGACAGGCGATCGGCTTGTAAAAGTCATGGGGTTCCTGACTGACCTAAAGGTTTATCATAGCATCATGAGCTAAATCCAGAATTTTGTTTCAGAATCTGAGACAAAGTTACCGGATCCCTTTAAAGAAAACACTGGTACAAGTGGTATCAAAAATACAATTTTATCTTTACTTGGGAGAGGTCATTTCTAGTTGTCATGACAAATTTAAATTGGTAATAATACAGTTGCAAACACTTCAATAAATGAAATAATTAAAGAATTTCTTGAAATGATCAAAATAAATTACAAACAATCTGAATGGATGTACATTTGTAAAATGTTTTCAAGTTAGGAACTGCTGTACATACAGTGTGTGATACATATTTTCCTTCCTTTAAATTGCTTTTAATCACTCATGCATGAAATATGCATCACATGAGTAGCATCAACTGAAAGAGGAGACTCTAAGCTTTCCAAATATGTATCATTCATTAATTATGGTTGTGATTAAGTTATGATAAAACATCGATACTTCTCGGTTTCGTTTTTTCTGGGACGCACTGTATATGTTGTGATTCAAACCAAGGAGTTACCAAACCATCAGGCAAATTTTTTTTGTCAACTGTTTGCCTCGAGGCACTTCTGAGAATTGTCAAAAAATAAGCGAGGTGTCTGTCTCATCTCATCATCTAATATAAATGTAACTGTCACTTTCACTCTATAATGTCAATTGTGAATGGAGAGCCAGCAAACAAATGAAATATTTCTTTCGCCATGTTCGTGGGATCAAATCTACCTTGGAATTGAAGAAATTCTAATGGTCAAGCTCAAAGCTATCTCTCTCTCTCTCTCTCACTCTCTCCTTCGTCTCTTTTTCTCTCTATCTATCTCTTTATTTCTCTCTCTATCTCTTTATTTCTCTCTCTATCTCTCTCTTTATTTCTCTCTCTATCTCTCTTTATTTGTTTATTTTTCTTTCTCTCTCTCTTCCTCTCTCTCTCTCTCTTTAACTTTAAAGGAAAGACATTGATCACTATTTTGAGAGCCAGGAGGGCATTACATCTACGGTCTATGAGTTAATGCCCTTCTGGGCTGGCTCTCAACTGACAATTGATTTGGTTGTGTCATCATATAAGGACCTCTTTAAACATTTGCTGTGCAACTCTATTAAATGGCCAAGCATCTCTTCTATACTTTGAAACAAAATATACAAATTATCTATCACAAGTCAGATGGGCAATGGTGATGAAAAAGTATGAGTTAATGCCCATCTAGCTCTTAACAGATAACTTGATATGTTGTGCCATCACATAAGGAACTCTTTAAATATTTGCTGAAACTTTTTTTTCCTCAATTTGCAATTAGGCCTACTGAGCAGTCTAAAAGCATTGTCATACAGGCAAACAAAGCCAAAAGACTTACATGTATAAGACTGTTATAAAAGGAAGACTCCCCCTATTTAGGCTATTGAACTGCATCCATCTTTAACTGATGAACATGTACAGAAGATGCTAAGAGGATTGGACAAGGATTTGTCACCTGAACAACCCACTAATCACTGCTCTTTCACAGGGCAGTTAAAGGAAACCGAGCCCTAAGAAATAACTTTACTTATTCTGAGAGATTTATTATATCATTGCCCATTAATCTACAAGATTCCCAATCAAAGTGTATGAGAGAGGTATGAAGCAAGATTAATGACAGTTTCTCAGCACGACATGGGCATCACCATTTTTTGAAAACGTGACGTACTATACGAAGTCGTTTATCAAGTTAATGTATTCCAATTTATGGATGTTTCCTTCCCAGACGTGTGTGGTGATGAAGCATTTCATTCACCTGCTAATGCTATTATCCTTTGTATTACAATTGCCAGAACGCAAATTGCATAAATAAGTTGGTGCTCTTCTGCAGTGAAGGTTTCTCATAAATTAAATAGATTTGTCAACTGTTATAGTGTAGTATTTATACATTAATTGAGTTACAATTGTTCCCCTGTTATTTATTTTTCACCAGATATAATTTCTATCTTCTATTCTTCTCTGTTATCAGTTTTCCTCATCGTAAAGTAGAGGTTTCGTTATTGATTTAAAAATTCTTTACAACTAAAGCTTGGTGCATGATACATGTACAACTTCAACTGGTACGTCATATTTTCAAGATAATGGCTGCGCCCATATCATGCTGAAAGGCATCACATCATGCCAGGAATATCTTCATTTATATATCTCTTGTACATTTTCGTAAGGAATATTATACATCAAAGGGCCGGAATACATCTCATTTGTCAGAATACCTACACATATTCTTTGGGGTTAGGTTTACTTTAAGATCAATAGTTTTTGTCAATACTCACTGCAGAATCCAATGGTCTGCACACACAAACCCATATTAACATTTAAGGGTGTTATTATGTAAAAACATAAAGCAAAGTCTGAACTGGATGTGATGTACATGAAGACTAAATTTACTTTGGTTTCATCACTGGTCTACAGCTTTTACTGTAAGAATGTACTGCAATACTGCGGGGTTCTACACTAACCTTTTTTGAAGGGGGGTTTGGATTTAAATTTTTAGATGCTGGGCGCATGAGTCCTATATAAATGTTTTGAAATAATGGGGGTCCGGACTTGGATTTGGGCGCCCATGTGATTCGGGCACCTGTTAGCATCAAGCCCTGCACACTGGTTTAAAGCCCGTCTGTACTAGTTTGGCCAGGGGGGATTAGGCCTCCCTGCAAGGTCACTGACAGGTGGTTATCTCATCAAATCAGCTCTCAATTCACATAAGACAAAGAGGATCATGGGAAACCAACAGGCACCCATTAGGCATTGTTTGCTATATAGAGGGAGCAAGTACATGTAGCTATACGTAGTGCAGTTGGGCTTTATAAGCTTGACCCAGTTTAATTATTTAATATGAGAATTCTGTTAGATTCAAAATGTCAGTACATGTATGACCTGCAGATGCAGATTAGACTACACTATGAATATGACAGACAAAGAAAGCGGACAAAATATACAGTTCCTCAGGTAGACAAAGGAACATCCCTTCACTGCTATTATGTAAAAAGGTGAATATGCATGTGACACCTGTTCTACAAATTTTTACATAATAGCAGTGAAGGGATGTTCCTTTGTCTACCTAAGGAACTGTATATTTTGTCCGCTTTCTTTGTCAGTCATGTTCATAGTGCTATCACCAATCTAACTCTCCACCATCATCCCACCTAAACATTGGCCTACTTTCTCTCCTCCCCCAATAAATTAATGAACTGGTTTTTTTAAAGAAAGTGGAGATGGAACTCTAAACTCATCCCCCTTAAAAGACAACCACAAAAAAGAGAGAGAAGAAATTCTGCTAAAAAGATTGGAAAGGGCCATCCCAAATTGACCTTTACAATTTCCATGACTGACCTGTTTGTCCTGGCTTGTAGACTGGTTTATCAGTCTCTATAAACATCTCTGTATTGACGGCATTGATAGTGACCATTCTCTTCTCCACCACCTCAAAACCACTCTGGGTTACCAGTGTCCTCCTCAGCTTCACCAGCAGGGTCGCATGCATCATCTCGTATTCTATGGAAGGCACCTGCAAGGATGGATGACAAGCAAGATAGACTTTGATAAACACGATCACAAAGACTTTCGAGATATCAATTCAAGAGCGATTTCAATTCCAACAGTGCATTTGTGTTTTTTTCTTTCTTCATTTAATCAGTAATACACACAAATACTAGCTCTGTTTTTGAGTGGATTTCTCCTTTTCTTTCAAATTTGACCTCACAGTGTATTTAAGATTTTTGTATCAAAAAATGCTTGGATTGTTTATCAACATTTAGCATTGCATAATTACAAATAAGTTTCATTTTCTATGTCATATTGCAAATGTCATTCGATATTCATTTAATGTTAGCATTTTTGTCATGCTTTGATATGTTTTGATTAAGTAATGGAATTTTTAACATATTTTGAATGTAAATCTCATTAAATATGAATGAATGCTACTTTTAAGTGCTACTTTACCTCAATATCATAGCAGGCCATTTTGAACTCCATGAACTGTATTGGTAGCTTAGCCATGGCTGTGAAGTTGTCCATGAGCCTGATGGCCACCTCGAGGGGGCCCGTCATGTTCTGTAAACTGATGCATACCGTCTCTACACTCCCTGCAACAAAGATCTTGGGGGCCACTATCAGGTACCCAGTGTCAAAGCTGAAGAGAAATGAAAATATATAATTTGTTTTAATTTAAATAATATTTGTAGATGGCAAATCTACTGCTTCTAGTTAAATCTTAGATCTTGGGGGCCACGATCAGGTACCCGGTGTCAAAGCTGAAGAGAAATGAAAAATATATAATTTGTTTTAATTGATATAATAGTTTGTGGGTAGCGATCTACTGCTACTAGTTAAATCTTAGATCTTGGGGGCCACTATCAGGTACCCACTACCAGGTACCCAGTATCGAAGCTGAAGAGAAATTAAAAATACTTAATTTTTTTATTAATTAGAATAATAGTTTGTGGATAGCATTCTACTGCTACAAGTGGATCATCTGGAGACTGGACGATGTTGAATAAAAGAACCATGTTACATTTTTAATGTTTCAAAATCAAACTGTAAGCCATGATATGCAAATTGCCCCAAATGTTCTTAAATCAAAGATTTTGTCTTGAGAGAAGAACAAAGGTGTAATAATCATTCATATAACCATACATACATGAATAAATAAATATAATATGTTTAGCCTCAGGCCACTCAAAAATTTAAAATAAAAAAATAAATATATATTCCAAATGAAATTTTTGTAGAAGCATTATTTAATGACAAGCTACCGGTAATAATAACATCTGTAATGTGTTTGGGTTGAATGAAATTGTGAACAAGTACATGCAGTTACTTCCTAAATCACTTTTAATCCCCTACTATTTGTACTTATCAGAAGAAAACCCACAAGTTTCTAACCATTTCTCTTTCTTACTAAAGTCCACAACCCTGTTAAAGCTATATTATATAACCCTGATGAATCATCGGCCCTTCCTTCAAAGTTCCAATGAAAAAGATAAACTTTAAAGGCTTTTCAAGAGGATTTCTCTGTATCTATATCTCCTTAAACCACAGTAAAACCACACAAGTGTTCTACAAACCAGGGAGCGGGGAAACGAATCCCCTTTCATTGTCATTAAAAAAAATATATTTACTCTTCTTGAGAACGTCCCCTTCAACTTAAAGTCTATACAGTAGCTACAATTCCTACAAGTAAAACATCGGACGTTACAAGGTTTCCTTTTCTGCTTTGATAACTTGCAGAGATCAGTGATTTCACTTGAACAGAAAATTTGACTCAAGTTAAAAGCAAATTTTAGATACATATATCCTAAATAAAAATCTAACTCAACTAAGTTATTTTTCCCTCAACTTTTTGTGGTATACTTTATCAGTTGGACCTGTAGTCCCAGGACATTCTCAATGCAAAGTTCTTAACCACAAAATGTCAAACTTTCTCATGAGCTTCCATACAAAATAAGATAAGTCATCAAAGGGCATCCATTCCCTATAAATGCAAAACTTATTATACATCTTCTAAAAGTTAACTTTCCCAGTCAATTCTCAATCTAGGTTTCCCATATAGCCTGTCCCAATGCAGCAAATGTAATTTGATTATCAAAACTCCAGGGGAAAAGTATAAATGGTGACTCATTCAAGAATCTCTCTCGTAAAACCCAGCCGGTGAATATTTGAGAGTAACTGCATACAGCTGGCCCCATCGGAACAAGTTTCGGGTATTAAGGGGGTGGGTAACAAAGAGATCAGTTCTCCGACTTCTCTCTGCATTACCATACATGTACAAATCCATACCATGCCAATCTAGTTCACGATAATGGAAGGGCTGTCTGAGGGCAACCGTGAAGACAGATAGATGTATAAGTAGCTCACATTTAAAGGAACCTTTCAAGATTTTATTCTAAAAAGTGAAACTTTCTCAAGCAACTGCTATGATACATTCCACTGGTCTCCTCTCAAAGAGCTCTGGAGAAGAAAAACATTATGTACATACACTTCTTTTCTGTAAAATGTAGTACATGTTTTTGTTCAACTCCTGAGTGATCCAATAAACAAAACAGAAGATGAATCAATTTTTTCATTACAATCCACATTCCCTCTTGCCATTTACAATAGACCATTTTTTGTAACCAAATTTTTATTTATTTATTCATTAAGTGCCTCAATATATCATTCACCTGTAACAAATAATTGTATTTCAATAGTCAGAATGCAAAGTGCATATATATTACGTGTTGTTAGGTAGGACAAGCCATGTTTGTCCTACAAACAAAAGTGTACATGGCAACAATTAAAGGTATGCAGTTTGCATTCTTTGTAACAGGTGAATGAAATAATTTGTACTTTACAGGCACTTCACAAAGACATACCGGTATGCACTACATTTGGTTACCCCCCCCCCCCCCCTTGTACGTGTAATGAGATCAACATCAATGAGTAGCTGACAAACCCAAATTTGCTTCAAGTTTGAGAATTATATATTTCATTTTTCTCACAGATTTTCCTAGGATGAGTCATCTATCTACCTTTAACAGGAAGCCGTTGGCCAGGTATTAACGCCCGAATGATACCACCTGACAAAGATCAGAGAAACATGGGGCATATTGATCTATTTGATCTATACTTGAACAAAATAGAAGATTATTTCTACTAAGTACTAACCCAATACTCATTGAAGTTTGACAATGTAAATGTCCAGACACAGATGAATTAACCCACTAACTACTGCATGTTTCTCATTCACATGGGCTTTACACAGGGATAATCACATTCCCACGGACAATGGGCTAACATTTGGCGCCTGAGTTATTCTAGTCTGGAACATGAACAGCTCAAACTCTAATCATGATGTAAGGAAAAAGATGACACTATGAACATGGCACACTATGAACATGACGGACAATGAAAGCAGACAAAATATACAGTTCCTCAGGTAGACAAAGGAACATCCCTTCACTGCTATTATGTAAAAATGTGTACCGGTAGAACAGGTGAATATGCATGTGACACCTGTTCTACACATTTTTACATGATAGCAGTGAAGAGATGTTCCTTTGTACACCTGAGGAACTGTATATTTTGTCCGCTTTCATTGTCCGTCATGTTCATAGTGTGACAGACTGAACATAAAATATGAGGTTAAGACCTACTTCTTAAACTACATCTGACTTAACTGTCACTGACCCTTTATCCAAAAGCACAAATTACTAAGAATGCAACTAGTACAATTAGAGCTTCATATACAATTTTCAATGTAGATAAAATTCAAGATTGTTTGGGTAATTGAATTAAAGCAAAATAATTTTAATTTACTTAGCTCAAATAAGTTATTTCCTCCATAGTACACTTTGATTACAAAGATTCATTCTTCCACCTGTTCAACTCTCTCGACGATTACTGTCCTCTTATAATCTTTAGTTTATCTTCTTCCGTAACTTAACATCGTCATAAGATTGTTGATAAGTCACAATTTCGCCTGTTACAAAATCAATGTATCGGTACTTGCTCAGTTGTCAGTGTTTTCATAACCTGTCAATGGAATGTTTGTAGCTATCCTCATAATCAAGTAAAAAAAATCATAGAGGAAAATAGCACTGCTCTACTTATTATAGATGTGGGCTTACATATTGAACAAATTTGAATAAGAAAGAGAATTGTGACTTACAATGCAGAACTATATTCCAAACTGCTTGAAATGGCATACATAGGAAAGTTTGTTAATTGACAAGACCCTTTTTCATGCATGTGTATAAATGTCCTTTTCTTCATTCAATAATAAATCCTACTATTAACAGTGGCTAGAGGGAAGCAATAATAAATAAGGCCACAACCCAGTTCCAAACTGACCCGAGCTGCCCCAATTTGGTCCCAATGTTGCATCACAATTGCAATATTACATCAGGGTACTCTTCCCTGGTTACGTATCAGGCTACATGTACTGAAAGATCCATATGGCAGGAGTACCTTGAAACTCACTGACGAATCCATCTTTTAGAGGTCAAATAAACTTTGTGAAAAGGACAGTGACCTATGGATGGATTAGCATCATACTGGGAGACACCTGATGAGTAAGATATCTTCCCATCTCTCTAGGCCTGGCTTCATCAGCTCAAGATTGCCAAATAGCCCACTATTTTAACTACATGTATCCGGATCGCAAATTATCCAGTTAATGTGCGTCTTCATCAGCCCGAAGTTGTAATTAGCGGGATATTTGGTCGAGATAATCATCCCAAGATATCTTGGGCTAGTTTGCAAAATATCCCGCTTTTTGTCCGGTGCGTCTTCACCAGCCTGAAGACTCGCAGATAATCGTCTCAAGATATCTTGGGTTAGTTTGCAAAATATCCCGCTTTTTGTCCGATGCGTCTTCACCAGCCTGAAGACTCGCACTATGTGCGAACACTGAGCAAAATATCTTGAGCCAATTTCTCGAGCTCGAGTTTCAAGTTTCGACGTCGAGTCTCGAGCTGATGAAGACGCGATAATTTGTAACTTCAGGATTATTTCCCAAATCAAAAATAGCAGGCTATTTGGCAATCTCGAGCTGATGAGGACAGGCCTGGTGACTGTCTTGTTCAGTCAACACTCAGCTACAGTACATGTAGTAAAGCCACAACTGTCATGACAAATGCCACTTGCTGACATCCCTTGGACAGTGACATACCATGTACACTGAGATCTCTCCACCATGGACAGGTATGAGTGAGACTCTGGTCCATGAATTCAACCACTATTTTATTGTGCAAAAGGAATGTCTAGCCAAGGTTTACAATACAGTTATGTCAGAAAAACAGCACATACTTTATGTCTTAGGGCGCGTTCATGCTTGATTTTGACGGCCAGAATCAGGCATCTGTTACGCGTTTAGTTTAAAACACGATTGCGTTCATGCTCACTTTTGTAGAATCACCGAAAAACGGCGATCACGATCGCCGATCGTAAACTCACAAAAAGATGCGTTTACAATTTGTAAACGCGTTTAAATGGGGTCAACGCACTGACCTCTAGTGGGTCTACGTACATGTAGCATGCGCACACAGGTTTGCGAATCCAGCTGAAGGCCACCCAAGGAGAATGGCCTGGAGAAGTGAGCATGAACAGTGCACCGTGGAACTGCGATTACGATGAGCGTTTACGATGAGCGTTACAAATCGCTCATTCTGCCTTCAAAATTTAAGCATGAACGCAGCCTAAGTCAAGCAAGCAGGCCAGACAATAAATCCAACAAACCTATGTTTGAGAATGATCCTATCTGGATTCAAATCAATAGAGTTTGAATTTGAATTATATTGTGCTGTTGGTTCTTGGAGGGGGGGGGGGCGGGGTAGCAAAGATACACACTAATGTATTTCTTTCACAAATTATTTAAAAGTTATTTCCTCTCTTTATGTATGTCTCCTATAAATAGCTTAGCAGAGATAAACCTAAAATTTATGCTAGTGAATTACTTTTCCTCCCTAAACATGTAGATCATATTTTTTCCTTTTCCACTTAAAAGAAACTCATTATTTTAAGCTCGGGTCAGACTGCAATGAAAAGTAACCAACATCGTAATGAGGATTGTCAGGTTTCATCCAATGTTTTCAAAGTGGTCATGGCAGCAACAGACTTTCCACGCACAGCCTAGCTCCAACATCTGGTAAGAATTAATCAAAGTTCATGATCCAGTGCTACAACAAAATGTTCTCCTCTACATTTGACCTCATCAATGTTTGGTAGATGTAGATATGCTTAATATTCACTGACACAACCAAATTCATTAATACCTTACTACTATTAAAGGTGGTCACATACATGGAGTTCCATGTGGGAATTGAATTTATCCAAGTAGCTGTATTATATAGTGGTTTAGAAGAATCAACTTTCATTGCTAATTAATGTAAGTCTATATGCCTTAACATATTTAACACTAATCTTTCTAATACAATACTACGCTATCACTAGTTCCTGAAGATGATAGAATTATAAAAGATAAACAATTTAAACTCAAATGACTCATTCAATACAGCATACATTTTTGTTATCATATCTCTAAAATGTATTGGTATATGTTACATAAAACATTTACGGTAATATACATGTACAGGTAAGTTACAAAGAGCAGCAATGTTACATGTACACTTACATGGACAACATTATTGAACAAAATTGTAAATGCTGAGATGTGTAGAAGTTTAAAATAACATCAAAATCCCTTTAAACTTCTTATAACAAGCACAATTAAGGCTTACATGGTTTTGGACCATTACACAACACATTGTAGACCGGAAAACAAGTTGGCATGATACCAACGTGTTTAAGTCGAGAAGGGATAGATTTGCTGTTTTCTGTATTTGTCAAATTCAAGTTTAAAGTGGAAGAAACATGAGGTCATGAGTGTCACTTCCCTGGGGTACTATTTTATTGTACAATGATCCCTCGATTCATCCTATTTGCATCTCTACAGTTCAAGTCTCTCTCAGCAGGCTTGTCAACATGAACCAAGATATCTGAACATTTACGAAACATACTGTATTCCAGCATTCCAATTCATAAAATTATACCTTTCATAAACAAATACTTGTGTATGTTGACGATGAGAGAACAGCACTTCATAGTTAATACCAGGACTTAGCACACATATATTAAAGAATGACTGTCACAGATTGACAATTACCCCCCCCCCCCCCTTAATTTTTTTTTTTTAAATATATATTTGTAAGCAGTCAAGAAATGTAGCAGGTACCCCTTGACAAGATTCTTGAAGTGACTCCCTAAAATTAGAATCTTGTACATGTTATATTGCATCAACAAAGTATTCTTTCAAGTTGTATTTTCTTTTTTACCCCACATTTCATCAAGTACATATACATGTACTTGGGAGGGGCTGAAAGAGTCCATCTTCATATCTTGCCTGAGTATCCTCTTTTCATGATTAGAATCACAGCCAAAAAGGTCCCGGAATCGAGGACAACAATGAAGTTTGTGTACCCTTGACCAGATGATCTTTCAATGAGTCTGGTCCCGAAACCGCGGATCGAACAACGTCATGACAACGCATCTGCCATGCTGCCATCTCTATTTAGCTAATGGCTATCAGAAATTAGATTACGGACAATCTTGAGATCGTGGGTCGGAGGTTAAGTCCTATTACATGCTAAGTACAGAGACGCAGCACGGGACACAATGAAAATGCCTTGGAGAAACAAGGATGCCTTTTCTTAGGATGTCATTCTGGCTTTACCATCAAATTCCCTAAATATGTGGGCCGCATATATTGCAACATGTACATGTAGGAGATCTTTTTGATAGCTTTTCCGGATGTTGTCATCACTGATTTTATTTCCTTTGTATTCCTGTCTGCATATATTTTGTTTATCTTCGAAAGAGCTAGATGAACGTCACCAACTGGATGTGAAATGTATCCTTTATTTATGTCTAAGTGGAACCTAAAGGAACAGCTTTAGCTTCTGCTTATATTATATAATTTCGGCTTTCAGTTCATTCTTGCAATTAACTCTTATAAGGACAAGACGAAAAGCTTTAGTATGTGTGTTTTTCGTTGCCATTTTTTTATAAAAGAAAAATACTTTGTCATGAAAATGATGAAATTCTATTTGTGATTTTGTACACATCTATACAATTTGGAACACATGTTGACACAGTTTACAAAATAGGCAATAAAAGTATCGAAAGGATTAATTAATTTTAATAAATGCATCCTAAACTTTTATCTCTCCATCCTGAGCCCTGTGGAAAAATGGAAATATCCTTGCAATTTGACTCCATCCTGTTATTCTAAAGAAAGTGAAAGTACTGTTCTTTTGATTTGATTAGATTTAGAAATCAGTCGCTTGTTGGAACATCTGGAAACAAAAAGGAGGGATACATAGATGTAGGTGACCTATATTTGGCCCCGGTTGTATTTCATCAAGGATATCTGGTTATGAATGGAGCACAATACCACATAGAGACGCAATGGCAGTGATATGTGCTATAAAAGCATGGTGGTATTATTAGTGGGTTGTTACCAGGTTTCAGGCTAGTTTTAGTGTTAGTTACGGGGCACATACATGTACAGCTATTACAGATACAGGTACAATATTTCATCTAGGCTTGTAATTAGGAATTCATTAAGTGTAGAAAATGGACCACATGGTTTCTTCTTCTCTTTCTCCTTCATTTCCCCTCTTCTTTTTCTTCATATTCTTGTTTTTTATTGTTTTCTTCTTATTTTTCTTCTTTCTTTATTCTCCTTTCTTCCCTTGCTTCTTCTTTGTTGAGTTACCATCTATAGTTGCTGAACATTTGGAGCAAGATGGACCTTTCAATTGTACACAAAATTTGTATACTTCTTCTTCCATTTTGAGTACATACTTATACAATTCTATTCAACAAATCATTATTCCAAAAATGAAATACACACAACTATTAAATAATACATTTGTATATAAACTAAGTAGTAAACTGATGGGTAAAGTCACATAACATTACAGAAAATCATTAAAATTCAAAGAAAAATGCCACATGTTTATTTGAACGAAGTACCACTCAACGAAACAACCAGAAGTTTCAACAGGATCACCTCACACTTCCGTATACTGATGCTGATGTGTAAGATTTAAATTTCCTTCACTCCTTCAGCATATTATTAACCACGAGGCAATAAGATAGTTATTTGATAATTTGAGTGTTAAGGAGCTGGAAGGACACCACTGTCCAAAATGTTGGGAACAGTAAGACTAAAATTAATGAAAATTTGTAAAAACTTAACATTTATAGTTGAGAATAAAGTGAATGTATAACGTGTATGATAGATAATGCTCATTTAATACAATTACATCATATGTCTAACTGAGAAAGAGAAAGAAAGTGAACCACTTCATAGTCTTTGCTTCTCAATATTCAGTTCAAATTGGTTATACAACAACAATAGTTAAGACATCACATATTCCCCATCTCATAATCATATGCAAGCAAACAAAACCAAGCAAAAGCCAAATTTCCAAAGATGCGGTAACTCTTATGTTACATAAATAGCTCGATAACAAGCTCACTGAGCTGACTGAGCTGAGCGTTTTTCCAAGGACCAAGCTTTGCGGGAGAGAACTTACTCAATCGCCGACGAAGAGGACTCTTCTTCCGCCGGTATGCTGGCGGCTTGAGACTCGAAGAGGAGAAACGTTGAGAGCATCAGCACACAAACTCTCCAGAATCGCGCCATGGCGACTAATTGTCGAAGAGAAAACTGTTCTCTTTTTCCTTTAGTAACAAATTATCACACTCGAGAAGTTATAATGTAAAAAATAAGAGCGAAAGTTCATTAAACCATCAGTACTTTCATCGCAGTGTCCGTTGAGAGTATCCGTGTCATTTGTCTGGAGAGTACTTCAATGCAATATGCACGTTACCGTACCATGCATGGGCAGGCGACGCAAACCACACAGAGTGAAATCTAAAGCTCGAATTTGATTGGACCAATTTTCTTCCACCTGTTGTACGAAGTTGTCAAAACTTTTGTCTCAATTAATCCGGAGGAAAGGAATTTGGAGGTGAGATATTTATTTTGCGTAAGGCATCCTATACAGCTGCTGAAGATATGGCCATCGGCGGAATGAGCAAAAAACTTTTTTTTCTGAGGGGGCGGGGGGGGGGGGGGGCAGAAAAAATCTGCACCGCCACCACTCTCTCAAGGTAGCCTACACGCAGGCCCCTCGGGACGTTTTTCAAACTGGGCAAAAACCCGGCGGGGAGTCAAGAGGCGGAGCCCCTGGAAGCTTAGGGGTTTTAGGCATTAAATAACAGTCAGATGAGCATCAGGGTCCCGCTCAAGGGTCCTAGGTGGGGTCCAGGAGGCAGAGCCCCCCCGTAAGCTCAGGGGTTTTAGGAATTTAATTACGGTCAGATGAGCAGCCAGGGGCCCGCCGTAGGGCCAATGGTGGGGTCCAGGGGGCGTAGCCCCGGGAGCTCAGGGGTTTTAGGCATTAAATCAAGATGAGCATATTTGATACTTTATAATCTTTCTTTCTTCTATTTCTCTTTAACATACATTTTCAAAAATGAGTGTGTGTGTGTGTGTTTGTGTTGGGGGGGGGGGCCCGAGCCCTGACATGTAGGCTTCTATATAAGCATATTATCTGCCTGACTGTAAATTTGGGAGAAGTGTCACTTTCCAACAAACGCCGATAAAAAAAGTATAATTTACTAAAAAAAAAGGGAGAAAAAAATCCCCGATAATCATTTCACTTCAGCAACATTTGTAAATTGCTGGTATCGAATTAGAAATAAACTATGTTAGAATTTTATTGAAGTGATGGGGGCGACTGCCCCCCCCCCATCAGTTCGCTAGTGAATATGGCGTATATATTCAGTACTGAATGAACACCATAAAACAACTTTCACTCGGCCGCTGCGTTCTCTCGCAAAGCAACATATATTTAAATTAAACCAAGGGGCATTATTCATTTTTTGTTAGGGCTTACTTTTCTAGTTCTTATACCTCCACAGGTGCATCAAAATATATCAAAATTTTAAAGAATTTCTATCTATCCAATTTTCAAAATTTCCCAAAACTTTGAAATCTTTTTATATTATCTAGCGAACCATGAATCCGGGATCTTGTGTCAAAAGAACGAACAAGTCAGGTGAAAATAGATTTTTAATAATTATAACCGTGTGCGAGAATATGAATACATTTATACACTCGGGTCATTCTATGTTGATTCCATCGCTCAGGCAGTTCTTGCCAATTCAGGACAATGGTGCACATGTCAACGTTATAATATCCATGTATATTTGAGTTAACAGATCAATAAGTCTTTTCTTGTAAATAGACAAACGCCATCTGACGTTGAGTTCCATAAACACTGCCGTGAAGCACTTTTGAATTGCATTGTTGTTGTTCTTATTTTTGTTGCTAGTTTTGTTTAGCACCAAGTCAAGTATGACCTTTTTTACCACACATATTCATAATTTATTCATAATGTATTCATACGGTAAGATTGTGACACAGTGATGGACTTGTAAACCAACTTTATAAAGTTTTGTATAAAAAAACATTTGATACGTAGTAACAAAATATCTCCTCGTTCAATGTATTGTTAAATTAGTCTACCTTTACTGTTAACTATTAAGGAAATAAAGAAAGAAAGGAGAGGGGTGGAGTGGAAACGAAGACAGAGATACAGATGTGAGTGGTAGATAAATAGAGAGAGGAGGGGTGGGAAGAGAGTGGGGTGAAAGGAAAGTGGCAGAAAGGCTATGTATTGGAATAAGTACGGAATTACAATAATTACAACAATGGCAAAAATGTGTACACTGCGGACATGAACATATGCTAACAATAATGAAAGAGGTTGAGAATTGCTTTGTTTACTTAATCCTGAAAATATATATATACGTGTATATCACAAAATACTAAAAGAATTGAAAATTTTGAAGAGTGATTTGGAATCTAAATGTGTATCTAAGCAATATTTCATCTATTTAAATCTACGCTTTCAAATATTTTTATCATCTAATTATACATTATTTCATTTGTATAATCATATTTTCTTGTATTTTTGTAAATCTTCTGAATAAAGTTTTTCATCTCTTAGAGAACATCGTTCCCCTTTTAAAGGATCATACTGTGAATTGGCAGGGGCAGCGATACTTTATTAATATTATCTCCATATTCTTAAAATATCATTTGGGGTAAAAAAAAAAAAAAAAAAATTAATTGAGGCATACTGTTTCACTCATTTTGATGTAAATTAATTTTAATTTAGAACAAAACTTTTCAGAGGTTAAAGGGTACACTTCCAGAGCTAACTTGACTGCTAAGAGAAAAGGTATAATGTTTGCTGATCGAACCATCGGTACTACAACTTTTGAGTCCTATTCGAGAATTCTGTAAATGAGAATTCAGCATAATGGCAGTATTTAGTAGCGCATCGACTTTGTTTCGAATGCAGACACCCCTCCCTCTTTTCTCTAAAAACTAGACTCCCACTCCAAACTGAGCCATTGCGCCTCGCGTTAAAAAAGTCAAACACTAACGGTAAACAAACTGCACCTGTATGGTGTACTCACAGAGATGTAAAATAATAATATTAATGAAAATAAATTAATGAAATTGATTTTAATATAAGGCGTACTTCGACTTCGATGTGCAACTTATGCCCCGAATGGTGCTGCAGCGGCTGCTCCTCGTTGTTGTATCGAGATTTCACTTTTGACGGCGCACAAGACCACGACATACACCTCTACACCCGTGTCGTACAACATCAGACCTACCACTGGTCAGAAAGTGACATGTCAACATGTTCTTCGGCCTTTTATAGCACAACATCGGTCAAGACACTGATCCTGTCATCACGATAGGGCTCAGAAAAGAATCAATTGACAAAATGCCAATAACTTGACGTTTCACAAATAATGCTTGACATTCATCCAAGTTTTCTTCTTAAGTATTCTTGTAGAAGCCAATTCCATAATTCAACAAATTGGCTAGTATAATAAGACAGTATAGTGCGTTTTATTGTGAATGGTGAGAAGTCCCGCAAGGACATGAACTTTGTTTTAACGAAGCCGTCCAAGTTGGTTCATGGACAAGATAAAGTTAAGATTCTATTAAACATAAATGATTTATAATTTTGCATCTTATCATTTTAAAATACATAAATGACAATTTTTAAACTTTAAAGAGTGTATTGGTAAGCAAGTTTAATATGCGTAAAACCTGCACAGGGTAATGGATATGTTTGCCCTTGCAGCAAATAGTAATTTCTTATGAGTAGTAAATATTATAATTTTTGCAAAGTCAAGTGATATTTGGTGATTGGTGTTTACTGTGGACATCACCTTCCCAAACGTTGTTAAACGTTTGAGATTGTAGGTATTTTCTTAATGAACGAAAGAAACAAATAAGTTTTGGAATTCGATCTAGAACGAGAAATGTACTTAATGATTATAATATGGGGAAAAGACTTAATCATAGAAAACGAAACATTTTTGTAAACGATGTATTATCAATATTATCAATTATCAATAGCTAACAAGGGGAGATGAAAGAAAGGGAGAGAGAGAGGGGTAGAAGAGATGGCGGGGAGAGAGAAAGCTAGTGGGGGAGAGAGAGGGAGAGAGAGAGAGAGAGTAGAGGGGAGAGAGGGGTAGGGAGAGAGGGAGAGAGAGAGGGAGAGAGAGAGAGAAGGGGTAGAAGAGATGGAGGGGAGAGAGAAAGCTAGTGGGGGAGAAAGGGAGAGAGAGAGAGTAGAGGGGAGAGAGGGGATAGGGAGAGAGAGAGAGGGAGAGAGAGAGAGAGAGAGAAGGGGTAGAAGAGATGGAGGGGAGAGAGGGAGAGAGGGAGAGTAGAGGGGAGAGAGGGGATAGGGAGAGAGAGAGGGGGAGAGAGAGAGAGAGAGAGAGAGAGAAGGGGTAGAAGAGATGGAGGGGAGAGAGAAAGCTAGTGAGGGAGAGAGAGAAAGTAGAGGGGAGAGAGGGGGTAGGGAGAGAGAGAGAGAGAGGGAGAGAGAGAGAGAGGGGAGAGAGAGAGAGAGAGAGAGAGAGAAGGGGGAACAGGAAGAGTGGTTTTTCCCCTTCACTCAAATAATGTTTAAAATATATTACCGAAGTTGGAAACAAAAAACGATTAAGCAAAAAGTCAATGAAGTTGTTATAGCCACAAAGTACTTCCTCTTTGTGTGATCTAATTTCCGATTTGCGTCAACCACTGCTGTTCAGGCGAAAATTTTAAAGGATTTTTTTTCTCTACTTCTCCTGTGTCACAACCCTATGTTGAAATCCTCAGGAAAAGTTGAAATTTCTTCGGAAAAGTTTTAACTGATATCAATAAACTTATTTACATTACTATATCATATTTTTTCAGTTTGCAAATTGTTATTTTCCAACAAACGCCGATAAAAAAGTATAATTTACAAAAAAGTGAGAAAAAAATGTGAACCGTTACTGTTTGACTTTTATATGCGAGGTGCAATGGTTCAGTTTGGAGTGGAAGTCTGGTTCTTGTAAAGAAAAGGGGAGGGTGTCTGCATTCGAAACAAGGTCGATGCGCTACTAAATACTGCCCCTATGCTGAATTTTCAGTTACCAATTTCTCGAATAGGACTCAAAAGTTGTAGTACCGATGGTTCGATCAGCAAACAGTATACCTATTATATTAGCAGTCAAGTTAGCTCTGGAAGTGTACCCTTTAACCTCTAAAACAGTACGCCTCAATTAAATGACAATCTTTATTAAGAAGATTTATAAAAATACAAGGAAATCTGATTTATATCTGTTGCAAATTCGTGTGTATTTTCAGGAATTCATAATTACTGCATATCCAAACTGAAACCCAGATATTGACCAGTCGGAGAATAACACAATCTCTCAATTTTGCCTCAACCGCATGAAAATGATAAGAGCATATTACTGGACTGTATAGGGTGGGGGGGGGGGGGTCGGCAGGTAACTCTGCTGAAGGGTATACATTATTTTGATTAATCGAAGGGGAATACAGGCAAGATGTAAACATTTTGAGATGAGAATATCACACTGCACAAAGTTCATGACTTTTCCCAGCCGAATCAATTCGTATCAATGCGACGCAGGTCTGAACCTAGCATACTACACAACTTCTAAATTATACCCACACCAGGACAATTTTTTTTGTTTGAAGACTAGACAAGGTTCGGACCATGGACCTACTACGAATGATCGGGCGGACAGTTTTCAAGTCATCATTTATGTTATTGCTATAGCCAGGGGTGGCGATCATACATGGGGTACATGTACATGTACCCCCACCCATCCCCCCCCCCCATTCCTACCATAAAATGCTACAGGTTAACCATCGGCAACTCCATTGGGTAACTTATTTGTATTGCACCGTCTTCATAGTGCTTTAGAATAAAAACAAATCATTTTGTTTAAATCAAGACAACAGTCAAATAAAGAAATTTTCTGGAATGAATAGTTGTACATGTAAAAAATAAATACTCAAAACATGCTCAAAACCGTTGCAGAGAGATTATTCCTGTATACCTGCATCCTTCAATCGAACTGGACCAAAACAACGTCACCGCTCATCCCAGCCTCAGAAGCTTTTTGTATCGCCCCTGGATGGCAGAGCGCACTTGTTGTTTCCCCTCTTGAAATATGAATTAACACCCCTTTTGATAATCATTTACCATAATTCATATTTCGCTTTTAAAACACGTAGACTTGCGTCTGGTGTCCATCCTAGCCAAGTAATCAGCTTCATGCAGTTGTATTGGCATCGGGTTGTTCATTGTCTTATAGTCAATCAAGACTTGGCACAGCAACGAGGATTGTCTATACGAGCAGGAAGAGTTAGTAGGAAGGTTACAGCATGGATGGTTATATAGAGGGGTGAAGAATAGATCAATGAATGTCAAAATGAAAGTTTGCGGCGAGGTCATTTGTCGCAATGTGAACTGTCAGATGAAGTCTCTGAATAAAATGACAGCGAATGACAACCCCTAAATGTCGACTGGGAACTTGAAAGACAACATTTTATAATCATAACATTTGGTCATTATGAGATATGAGTGCAACTTTAGCTGTTGAGTTGTCAACGAAGTTTCTTATTCATGAATTGCATATACACTGTACTGTGAAACCTGTCTATAAAGACCACCCAAGGGAGACAAGAAAAGTGGTATTTATAGGCAGGTGGTCTTTATGTGCAGGTTCCTTTAGTACACGTTTCAATGAGAAAACACTTTCAAGGGAAACAAAAATGTGGTCTTTGTAGACAGGTGGTCACTAAAGCAGGTTTGACTTTATTAGTTTGTCCAATGACATATCGAGTGGAGATGTTCTGACTTGACCGCACTATTTATGAAAATCATTGAGGTTATCTCTATATAATTATGCTCCTTAAAGGGAAATCCTATCCTGATAGCAAACTACTCTTGAGGAAAGCAAAAATATCAGAGTGTAGACTAGTGAAAGTTCGAATAAAATAGGACAACAAAATGAGAAAGTTATGATTTTTTTAAAGTCGTAATCATTATAGGTATGGGCTCTTCAAATTGGCTGAATTGGTAATGAGGAGGCACCTTGGAGAAAAACAGAAATTATTTATATTTTGTACACGACAAACGGGAGAGTTATCCACGACTATATCATAATGTGATCTCATATTTCAAACATTCATAACTTTCTTATCACGCTTATTATTGGTCCGATTTGATTTAAATATTCGTAATTTCTGTTTGCTCTTATTCTAATGAACTTATTACAAGGGGTTTCTATTGTTCTTAAAACTGGAGTTTCACAAAGATCACTTCTGTCACTTCAGTAACCAACAATGACATTTAAAAACTTTAGATAGGCTTAAAACTTTTCATATAAATTATTCATGAATAGTTCCATGAGACCGACAATCAAGGAGACCAGCAGCCCACAAGACCGACAGCATCGTTCTCGAGGGCCTTTGGAAATTTATCGTACGTTTCACGAGACCGGCATGTTGTTCGTGTTGGTCTTCTGACCATTTCTGAGGAGCCAGTAGGCAAAAAGAAATTGTCTCGTGGGCTTTCGGTCTACTGGGTGTCCCACAGTACTGTAGTCCCTATGTCATTGGATGCAACCGAATTCATAAGATTCAGTTTCTATTCTGCACTTACAGCACACAACATTCTCCACGTTTGGCATGTCGAGAAGAATAGAAAACTCGAGTCAGTCACCTTACGACTAGTCTACAGGCGAGAATATGATAATCAAACCATGGACCTACTCACCAACGTTCGAATCCTACCGGGTTCTCAATTAATATACACCTGGGTAAAGAGAAGCAGTGCAGACAGGACGCCACGCTAAGGGACATGACGTTCGCTTGGTGGCTCGAACCTTTCACCTTTTCATCTTCATCATGTGCTTAAATCAAACAATATCTTTCTTCCAAAACTATTCTTTTTCACACAAAAAATGTTTTGGGCAATTTGAAAAAAAATGATAATGTCAATTTCGACTTTCGTAGAAATTTTACATTGCAAAATGACATTTTCTTCTTCTTCTTTTACATTTTTTTAAAAATGTATCTTTTTAATAAACATCTATTGATGAAACAAACATAAAACTGTAGGACCATTGCCCATAAACACAATAAACCTTTGTACTGAAATTTCAAGATTAAATACATCTAATCAAAATCACAAACCTATATATAACTTGCTAAAAATGAGAGAAAGTTTAGTAAAATCTAAATGAATGTCATGTTTAAATGTTATACATATTTTTTTTAAAGTAATGTAGGACACTGCAACTGTTCGCCTTGCAAGAAACGAGTATTACGTAACTTGGTTAAATGCTGGAGAAGTTTCAGGTGTGGTCTGGCCGTGTGTCGTTCGTCTTCACGAGTTGCCAAGTTGATCGTTGAGATGCAAGGTCTCCGCCATTGTTAGAGAGTCGTCTTGGAGTTGAAAACAAGAGTATGGTTCTTATACAGAGCCAAGTCATGACAAGTCGAAAGCAGAGATGCCAGTATTAATGTAACTTGCATCTGCTCAATTCCATGGACCTTACGTAATATATCGAGTTTATTTAATACCATATTAATTAAAATGGGTCTGTTGACATCGTTCGACTTTGAAGAAGTTAATATCAAAACAATCACACCTTTAGAAAATCTGTTCTCTTACTTGGACTTCAATTTGAATATGAGATGAGTTTGACTACAATTTGCCAAATATGCTTCCGGTTTTACCTATCTTTGGTCATTTAGATGTTTGGCGTATTTGAAAGCGCGATGAAGAAGTGTATAAAAGGCAAGGATGAGAGGATAAGAAACATCAATCGGCTAGCAGGCTCCTCAAGAGATATACAGCAGCTCTTCTGCTCTCGAGACAGCTCAGGTTGGTCCATGCTAAGAGCAAGGAAGCTCCTGTAGCTTTAAGAGCTCCACCACTTCGGCAAAAGAGGTAGCAGCAGGTGTCCATCACAATCGCCCTAATCATCACCTGCATATCTAGGAGTTCCCTTTGGACGTTTCTTTGCTGCAAACTTCTCCGATCTCCAATCATGTCATCATTTGCAACATTCCTTGCTCTTTTCGTCGTTTTTGGTAAGTTTGCACCATTTGCTAGTTGTGATATGATGAACTAGTGTTCGAGCTTGATCATATTTCTGTAGTCTTTTCCCTTCAATTTATAATCTTTCATCGACCAGGGCCCCGTCTTACAAAGAGTTGATATCAATCGCAACTTATTTGCGATTGATATCAATCGTAACTATGTACATAAGAGATAGGAGACTGCAAACTTGTGATTGATTGGAGGACTTACGATTGATTTGGATCGATCGTAACTCTTTGTAAGACGGGGCCCAGGTTACCGAATATAGAATCGTTATTAAAAAAAAGATTTGTGAAACTCGCCTGTTTTTTCTTGCACGAAAGCTGTAATGGCTGGAATTCAATGTCTTACTGTTTTTTTCGCTGATAATGTGTAGTTATATTCCATTGTAAAACAATAATAATGCAATAAACATGTATATATCGTTTTGTTAGACCAGGCACAATATGGATATTTGTAATAATAATAATAATAATAATGATAATACTCATACTCAGTTTTTATATAGCGCTTATTAGAATCACGAAGCGCTTCCAAACTTGGAGATTATTACCCCAGCTTTAGCTGTGCTGCCATTGCGGCGCTCTAGCATTTCAATTTCAAAGAATTAATTCCTGCCAGGTACTCATTTACATCACCTGGGTTGAGTGTGGCAAATGTAGATCAATGTCTTGCCAAGGGACATTAGTGCCGCGGCGGGTCTCGAACCGCGGACCTTGTGATCGAAAGTCCGGCGACTTTACCACTCGACCACGGCACCTCTGATGTTACTCGAACTTTATGAACAATCACGTACTGACACTGGCTTTAAATCACTAATCATTGAACGGATGTACTGCGTGCCCCTATAGTGTATATTGACTGCACATGAGTTCGGTTGAAGTGTTTCGCTGTTTGATAAATGCCCATCTTAACTCATTAGAAGTATCCATCACGTATGAGCTAAAGGAATAGTGTAATTTTTATTTTATTTTTTAAATATCATAAAACAAGGATAGATTATGGGAGCAAAGTAGAATAATGGTTATAATGTTTTGTGAGCGTTTGGTGATGTTGGTTATTTTACCTGACTGCTAAGAAAGCATAAATGCTTGTAAGTGAGCAACCAGACGGGCAACGGCTTTAGGTCCTTTCCGAGAGACCTGGTAATGAGGATTAATGCCTTACCAAAGGGCACTAGCGCATCGACTTGGTTTCGAACCCGGGTCATCGGATTACGAGACCACTGCTCTACCGACTGAGCTATCGCGCTAATCATTCAAACTATTTGAAGTGTTATCCATTTTAACATTGAAACGAATTTTTCTTTCTAGTCTGCAGCATGAGTACCATGGCCAAGCCGACATCAGCGAAGATGATTATCATAGAGACCTTAGCCGATCTCGAGGAGCAGCAGCAAGCCGAGCTGCAGATCGAATCCTTCATCGGGGCTCCCGCCAACCAGGAAGTAGCGCCGACAGACACGACAGAAATGGCTGACGATAGCGCAGATGTGGATAGCGATAGCGCATCGTCCGAATCGTCGGAGGAGGAATCACCTACCGATACAGGCACGGATACGGACGCGGATACGGACGCGGGTACGGCCGATGGTGGCGCCGCTGCCGTCATCTCCAATGGTGGAGTCTTACCAATCCCAAACATCAATTTGGTCAACGAAGCCAACACTGCATCTGGAAACCAACTCCCAATGAAAGGTCAACACCTGCCCAGTAACCAAGATGTAAGCCCGACTGCGGCTGTAGGCGTCGCCATTGCCGCCATGATCATGGTCGGTTTCGTCGTGGGATCAATCGTCTTCGTTATCAAGAAATACAGACACAACTTTCCAGTCGTTGTACGAGTATAACTTCATGAGACTTAGGGCCTACTGTGAAATAAATCTTTTGGGAAGTCGAAGGGGTGTCGGCGGGCGGATTTTTAATGTATATTTATAATCGTACCAGGGGGGTGTTTCACAAAGACTAAGATCGACTTTAAGTTGGACTTAACTACAGCAGGCCATTCATGCCACTAGTTCCTCTAACGATTCATGGCATTGGTTTCTCAAGGGACGTACACATCGTAATCACGAATCTACAGAATTTACATCTATTCGATAGTTCATTATTGAAGGAAATAATAATATTATCTAAAGATCATTTATTGAGGGACCAATAGTGCGAGCAACTAGTGGCATGAATTGCCTGCCATAGATAATTCCAACTTAAAGTCAATTTTAGTATTTGTGAAACACCTTCAGGTTCTCTTGCAAGAGAGTGGAGAAAATGATGGCATTTCATTTGTCAGAATGTCGATGTACAGTCTGTAAAGCTCTAATCTTTTCAGTGTCAACCTTGTACAGAAATTATGTATCTTATTTCGAAGAAATTAACTTACTTTACGACCAAACATTCCACACTTGATTTTTTAATACTTGTATATAAAAAAAAAGAGAAGCTCTTTCAGATATCACGTGGTTGTTTTTTGCTTTTATTGATGATGACGTAAAGTGCAATACGCTTTATATTTCTGTATCTTATATTATAACAAAGCGCTTAGTGAAAGGGCGCACTTGCCATTTGTTTACACGTTAAAAAAAAAAAAATCTACAACACTCCCGTCACCCATCCACTCTAAGCGCTATAGTTCTCCTTAGAATTATAAGCTAGTGTGTGTGTGTGTGTAATAGGGTTTTTACAGACGTATATCAATCAGATATGATTATTTACGTCTGGGGACCGACCTTTAATGTCACCGTCCGAAAGACGTGACTCAGTTTCGAACCTGCGTCCTTGGCTGAATCAGTTTGTAACTTCCACTTTTTAGCTGGATTACAGGCGCACGCCACAACGCCTAGTAAGAAAGATAACCAACAGTCTTTTTCAAGACTACACCAACCGTCTTTTTCAGGACTACACACCCTCAAGAAAGATTACCGAGAGTCCTTTTCAGGACTCCTCAACCCTACCTCTTTCTCACATCGTGCATCCGCAAGCCTACTGTACAACAGAAATGATGTTCAGAATTATGTAATTACGTCATTGTAATGTTCGAAAATTTCGAAAGGTGATGGTCAGGCTACTGAAATTGACTTTGGTTGATTTTGTCGTGACCATGTTCTATATAATACATGTAGCTCATGAAAATGTATTAAAAAGGCCTACCATCTTAGAGCAGTATCATATATCGCTTTAAAAGATTCCACGTATTTATGAAACCAGAATAAAATAAAATAAACAAGAATGAAAAGTTAATCAAGTCTGGACATGTTTTATTTTTCTGAATATGATATTTCATTACAAAATAATGAGGGGAAAAGGCGGGTGAGAGAATATGTATTGCTGTAAGAAAGGAGAAGCAGCAGCGATTAAAGCTAGAACTGGAGAGACAGTGAGAGAGGAGGAGGGAAGAGTGGAGAGTTAGTGATATACATGAAACTTTAGAAAGAAAATGACAGACAGAGACAGAGACAGAGAGAGGGAGAGGGCTGGTCGAAGAGGGGGACGGAGAGAGAAAGAGAGATAAAGAGAGGATACAAATCAATATTTACATCAATCTACAGAAATGATCTTAAAATGTAACACAAACAATCAGACAAAAGTCACATAAAACATTAATACCTTACAACACCAAATAAGAATAAGTTTAATACAGAGAACATCTGTACTGTTTAACCAAGAAAAACAAACACAAAAGAGAAAATACCACAACAAAAATGAAAACAATGAAAAGCAGTATCCTTAAGAGTCAGCTTCTGATTAACGTGTATGACCCCACCCTCTTCTCCCCTCCCCTCCGTCATCTGAGTTTACGTATCTGTTCACACGATTTGTTAAATTCGATAATTTAGGCGTGAACGATGATCATTTTGTTCAAACTTTTGTGTTTTTTTGCAAGAAGTTTATGATGGAGTTTTGGACAATTTCAATACTCTTATCTGTTATTTAAAACGTAAAGGACAGAAAACGAATCTATAGATCAGTTCATGACTGATGCTAAGTCTTTTTTCAAGTGTGTAATATTACATTAGAACGTTTCACAGATAAGTAATTTCACTATCAACTTTTAAATGACATTTAATTTCTTCTGATGCATTTTAGATCTTGGATCAAATGAAGCTTAAATTTTGTTTTAAATACCAGTATTCATTTATAGGAGTTAGTAAGTAATGGTTAATAATTTTAACACTGTACGAGTCAATTCCATGAAACCCAATTAGCACTTGGCGCGCAGATAATGGAACAAAATTTGGAAAGTGGACGATCTCCTGGTGGGTATCTTGCTGGGTGAGCATCCCATTTAGCGGATATAGTGACACAAAAGTGTAAAGAAGGCTAAAAAAAAAAAGTGCAAAGAAATGTCAATTATTTGAAACCGCTTCAAGGCTACAGTTAAGCTTTACTCAGAATATAAAGAAGCCGGCTGCATCTGAGCATCTTCACAACTTCGATAAACTGAAGAGTTACTGGTGTCCGATTCATTTTCTTCATCGTTACTACAGCTTTGAGATCAGACTTTCGCCATTAAAAGCATCTGAGCTTCAAACCATCTCCAACCATGCCTTCAGTTACAGGCCTCGGCGCTCTTCTTCTCACCGCTTTGGGTAAGTTCACACTATTGTCCCTATTTTATTAAGTTTTAAATGCATTCCCGCATGCTTGTGGCGTAATAATTTTCACCTATTTATCGGCAACGTTGCCTGAAGAAATTCACATATTTGACAGGTAAAGCAATATTTCTAGTCTGTCCATAGTCATATTCAAAATTACCACAAGTCTGTTGTCAATTTGATACGATTTTAAGCATATTCCCAGAACTTAAATATTCATCATTTGATATATTGTGTTTGTGTTTTCACAGCATGTTGTGTGGGCATCTTGGCTCAGCAACCAGACACCCCCACCACTACCCTCAACGTCACCACCAACACCACCATCAACACCACCCTTTGGAGAACCGTCACCCTCAACGCCACATACGCATCACGTCCTGTGGCCCCTACACTTCTCCCAGTCGCTCCTTACCCACGCCCTGCGACACCAACACCTCGTCCTGCAGTCCTGACCACATCAGCCCCCCGTGGAGGGGCTCCTGGTGCTAGACCTGGCGGCCATTCCACCTCATCCGAATCTTCAAAAGAGATTCAACAGGCTGCCTCATCCGATTCTTCAGAAGAGATCCATCAGGCTGCACCTCCTCCGGTTGCCCCTAGAGCAAGACTTGCCCCAACCGAACCCGCCCCAGTAACTCCTAGTCCTGCCCTCAGAGCCGCTCCCACTGGCTCAATCGTCTGGGTCAACCAAGCTCTGCCCGGACCAAACATAGAAGTCGGGTTGAACAAAAACGGCGCTGCTGGAATCCACCTGCCGAGGAAGGGAAGCCAGAGTAGTCAAGGTGAGGGTGCGTCGTCATCGGCTTCAGGTGTCGGTGTAGGTGTAGCTGTCGCAGTCGTAGCCGCGATCGTCGTGGGTTCCGTCATCTTCGTCATCAAGAAGTACAGACACAATTCTCCCGCTTTAGTCGAAGCTTAAGTCATACAGGCGAAATCAATAAACTTATAAGGCATGCGGTTGATATAATTTATTTCTTTTCTTTTCTTTGATATCTAGGCTAGGAATAAATGTTAGCCATGTAAAGTATTAGGCGATAGTAATACGTAATCCAGGGATAAAGTTCTGTGTTAAATCATTGATATTAAATTATGTTTTTTTTCAGAGCATTACTTCCATGAAAATCATAAAACTACAGTAGCTTGTCAAGTAACAAAAGTTTATGCTCGATCTAATTTAACATGTTTAAGGCTTTACGTGAAGTTTATGGCTTTGAACCGTTGATATGACTCTTCAAGAGAATGCATTCTTATTCGACAGATTAATTTTTTCTTACCACCAACACTGAATTGATGAAGCTACTACTGTATATCCTTAAACAGTTAAAAAGTTGTCGATATTCTCTGTCTACCCGTTTTTATTCTTTGTAAGCTCGTAAGTCATTTCCCCTCTTTTTCTAAGTTATAAATATATTATTTTGCCTGGTAATTCACACAATAAGCACACATTCCTTATTTGATTATGATTTTGTAACAGGTAAAGTTTACTTTTCTTTTTATTAATTCAGATTCTCTTCTAGAATAATTCCCTCACTTCAAAAGCTATCAACATTAAAACTAAGGATATTAATAAACCAAGATGCTAATAACTGATAATAAAGTGATTGAAAATTATCAAGTTTTGACTGCGGCCATGTTTGCTAAGTACGAATATGATATGATATTTCATTGAATATTTGGAAAAATCGAGAGAGAAAGATAAAGAGAGAGAGAGAGAGAGAAAGAAGAAAAACGAGCAAAAGAATACTGTTACTTTGGGAGGCGAGATGGGATGTAATATTTATGAAGAATTAAGAGGTAAGTGTAGAGAAACAGATAGAGAGCGAGAGAGAGAAAGAGAGAGAGAGAGAGAGAGAGAGAGAAAGAGAAAACGAGAGCAAAAGAACGGTGTTATTTTGGGAGGCAAGATGACAAGTGTGAAGAATTAAAAGATGGTGTACCCTTGTCTAATATGATTATATCCACACTATGAGCTCCATATGAGTTTTTTTTTTAGACTCCCATCTCTGTTGGTATGAAGTGGAGTTTGGAGTGAATGGAATTTTTCCCATCATTATTCTGTCTCGGCCGATTCAATGCCATCTCCCTCTCTATGTCTCTGTCTCTGTCTTCATGTCTCTCTCTCTGTCTCTCTCTGTATCTCTGTCTGTCTGTCTGTCTCTCTCTCTCTCTCTTTCTATCTCTTTGTAATCGTCTCCCTCCTTCCACTTTTTTTTACACTCATTCTTATCTTCTTTCTGGCATTTCTTCTTTGTAGCATCCATTTTCTTCTAAATCAATTACCTAACTCGATCAGTGATTCAAAACTTTGAAGACCAACTGGGAAATGTACTAGCAGTTATAAAAGCAGTTGTTATCATAATTCGGTTCTCATTACGATAGAAAGATGGTGAAAGGGGGCGTTTCAAATTGTTATTTAAATAACGTCGACGTCTCTTGTGATCTTATTAACAACGCTTTTATTGCATTTAAGGGCTAATAGCACAATAAATGCATGAGCACATGTTTAAAATGCCACAATAAACACGATTTAAAACGTGAAATATTACACTTTGCATCCAAGAAATAAATAATGTACAGTTGCAATATAATTCACAATGCTTTTTCAAAAGGTAAGGTTTTATTAGATAACTTGATCAAAAGCTTCAAAAAGCAACAAGTGGGAGGCAATTAGGTTGTTAGCAAGGTGATTAGACGATATAAAAGGTTAACAAAAAATACCGACGGTATGCTCACAATAAGCGAGCAAATATATATAACAGAGAAGTACATTAGATGAATAAATATCACGCAGCAATTAGGGCATCATCTTCTAGCACATCCTTCTCCAGCAAGAAATGTTCAGAATCTCCGTTTTGTGTTCATTCTTCTTCCTCAAACATAGCGAAGCGTGGCCTGTATTTGCGGACTGAAAAGTAAGCTCCTACCACTACCACAGCTATCAGTGCAAGAACGGCGAATGCAATCCCAACACTCTTCCCCGAACTCCCGGATCCCCTGCCGAATATCAGATTTGGGTCCCGAGCTCCGATGTTCGGCAACTGACGACCGTTCGCCGCCAAAAAGGGGAGGTTTCCGCCAACTGGAGCGACTGCGGGTGCGGGCGCGGGTGCGGCTGCGGCTGGAGCAGCGGCAGCGTCGTCGTCGTCTGTTTCTGATGACGTCGATTCGGATGATGCTGAGGTAGAGGCGTCGTCGGTCTGGGCCATCGGTGCTTGGGGGTCGCTCAGGGTTTGTTTCTGTGGAGGTGCGATATTTCTTGCCATTCCTGGAAATTTCGCTTTGGCTTCGGTCATCAGGCAGAATGCTGTTAAGGAAGTGATGGTGACAGATACACTTTTTTTAAATCCAGAAAAAGTATGATTTATCAATTTTGATATCATTTAAAAATTAAGATTTAGTAGTAATGACTTAGGACAGAGATGAGATAAGATATCACGGTAATATAGAGATGGCAAGACAATAATTCTCCTAATATCTGAAGAAATACAATCACCTTAAAATTATTCTACTCGTTATAGGAAAAAATTGTATGTGTGTCCGTGTTGAGTCTCTCTCTTTTTCTCTCTCTCTCTGTATGTATTGTAAAAGAAAGTACACATATACATGTGGTGTATAGAGAGAGAGAGAGAGAGAGAGAGAGGGAGGAGAGAGAGAGAGTCAGAGAGAGACAGAGAGAGACAGACACACAGACACATATAGAAAAGGTAGAAATACATGTAAGAAGGGTAGTATCTTACCACTCAGAAAAGCCACAAGGCAGATGATCTTTGCAGGTGAAGCCATGGTAATTTGTTGTGTGATAAAAGCAAACCTCAAACCTAAGAGCTAAATTAAAACTTCTACAGATCAGTACTGCTGCTTGGATCTTGGAACTTGTCAGTTTGAGTCCTGAAAGTGATCTGAAGAATACAGCTTCTCACCTCTGCTTTTATACATTTTCTGCCCCAAACCCAAGCGTTTTAATATTTGTATATTTTACACCTGTGCTGTGAACTTTAAAAGTGAAGGTAGAATATCAAATAAAATGATTTAGAATTCAACAATTTGGCGTCCGAGTGTATTTGCTTAACCTTGTTTGAAATATGTTCATTTGATATTTTCCTTGACCACTAGATGAAAATGAATATTCTAGACCTTCACGGCTTATGGACACTACAATCATCTCTCTTCACTCTTGAAGGTTTGCCATAAGTCCTTCTGCAGTAGATGTAACACGCAGCAGGAAGGCGTTAACAGGTGACAAAAGCATATGAATTATCATAGAATTATAACGTCTGACTGTGTGCCAAGATTTCTTGTGCTTGTACTTGAGCGTGCAGTAATTCATCTCGCCAGTGCGGGGTTCATTCATTGTATTTGCATTTCCTCAACATAATTCAAGGATGAATCATAATATTAATTAGTCAGGAGGACGCGTCGCTTTTATCCGTTAATTGGAAAATATCTTATACTTGTGGAAGGTTATGTAAGTTCTTCCAATTAATTTCTGTGACTTTGATCATATTTAGGCCTTGGAGGAAAAGTATAGATTAAGTTTCAAACGAAAAAGCAATGTTCTTGAAGAAGTTTTGTATGATTTTACATGCTAAAATATTATATTTGTAGCATGCTGTACTATAATGCTATGTACTTTTTCATTTGTTCAATGTGTCTTATTATTTCAATAAATCACCTCAATTCAAATCTTCAAAAATTCCATTATTCTCCATACGTGTGAACTTTATTAAACAAACCAATCTCTCCTTCTCTCTAATGAAAAGTCGATTGGATAAGTTACAGACTATCCCATATATGTAATATATGATATAAAAAGAGTTTCAGTGATCAACCGGAGAAAGAATTGGATGCCAATTTTCTCTCACTCCATCCACCTTTACTCGTCATTCTTAAATTTGATATGCGTTAAAATAATATTTTACGTCTCCCGGATCGCCAATAACTAAAAAACAATCAGGAGATATTAAGATATTTCATATGGAGTAATACTCTCTTATTTCGTATGAAATAAAATTGAAATACCGCCCCTCTCAGGATGGGTGGGGGATCTCTTTTTTTTCTCTCCTCTCTCTCTCTCTCTCTCTCTCTCTCTCATCTTTCTCATGTCTCTCTCTCTCTCTCTCTCTCACTCTCTCCGTAGTCTCTAAGCTCCGCAATGAACATAATTATGAAGTTGAGGGGTGTGGGCGGGAAGAGGGTGGGGCGGGGTTTTGAGCGTTTCATTATATTGCTACCTACCAAGGAGTTTGTGGGAAGGAGCCATCCATAATCAGGCGGTAAATCTAAAAAGAAAGAACATTGGTTCGAAAAGGGGGGGATTGAGGGGTGCTTCAGCCAACAACCCCCCCCCCCCGATATGTAGTGATACCTCCTGAAAAAAACTTTAAAAAACAAAGAGTAAAAAGTCCCATGAATGTAAGATTTAAGCGAGGTTCCCTGAGGCTGACGCGACGCCCCTATAGTCTGAATTTATTTGTCATGTTTATGTGCATTTTAATCAGGGCTATTGATGACATACACCTATTGTTTAAGAAACTTTCTTTACAAGATTCATTCATAACGGATCTTATACCCAAGAACAAAATGTAAAGCGTAAAAATCGGGAGCATAATTATAAAGACCCGTCGACAGCGATCCGCGAAATGTCCTCAGTTGTACTTGTGACTGAAAACATACTACCTCTCGACGGGTTTTAGACAAGTCGAACTACACGCCTGGCAGGAGACGAAAGACTCTCATTCAACTTTACTTGGCTGACGTCATTTAGTACTCTCCTGTGATTGGTCGAGAGTTGTCAATAATGATTGGACGCTTCCAGGTCCTTATACATGTTAAAGTAGGCGAGGTATGACATGTTTGAGCTGCGCGATATTCGTATCGCACCTTTTTTATTGGTGATTCACGCTCAATATCCTCTTAAAATCCATAATTTGGTATGTCAATATCTCTAACCGTTTCTCTCTGTTTCTTTCTAACACGATCCCCCCTCTCTCTCTCCTTTCTCCTTATGTCTGTCTGTTTTTGTTCCTGTCTGTCTGTCTCTCTTTCTCTCTTCCTCTCTCACCCTTTTCCCCATTACTTGCATTCGACCCTGCAAGTTGCAATGTCTACTAGCGTTACAAAAGGCCCTTCATATGGAAATTTTAGCATTGCAAATTAAAATGGAATTTACAAGTTTGCGAATTATTTTGGGTGAATAGAAATATTTTGAAGAACAAAAAATGTTAGCTGTTGTTTGTATTCAACCGAAATGGAACAGTTTATGGTTATAATTATGCATAGTTTGGTAAGCTTCTATTCTTGAGTAGCATGGGGGTGTACACACCGAATAGGACGGAATCGCTATACTCTCATTCCCATATGATGCATACCAACAGTATTATATCAATACAACCTGCGGTTGATCAACACTTGCGACTGTCCACAAACACTAATGGGATGGGGTTCGCCCTCCCCCGGCCCGCCCCAGCCCCTCAACCCCCCATGCCCTTGTTCAAGAATGTCTGAATAAGTCATTGTTACAATCAGGTTACATTGAACATTAATTGATAGATCATACCAACCACAAAGGATGTTAAGCCTTTGGCAAGTATGATGTTTAGATTGAAACATAAAGTAATTCATGTGATTCAAATCGTTACTGTTAACAACGTCTGGGCGCCATAATGATAACCTTTCTAATCTTTCTTAGTTTTACAACAACTGTTAAAAAGTTGGATTTCAATGTGAATATTTCTACATCGTTTTTGTTGTACATCTTCGTTAATTACTGTACATTGAAACTTATCATAGCAATGACTTAGTTAGAATTTAGGTTACTTGGCAGAAGATAATTCGAAGAAAAAACAATCACGCCCTTTTCTCTTTCCTTACAAACAGGTTCCGTGTCAGTCGATCGCAGACAAAATAACAGCGCCAACTTGAAGATTGATCCGTCCTTTGCTACTATCCTCAATACGTATATTGAATTAATAGAGACAAGGACATCTTCATAAATTCCTCCTGTTCTGAATAATATGAATTTCTGGGCCAATATTCTTCCATAATTTCACCTGTTCAGAGCTGCATCTCCCGTTGAGAAGCAATTTATCTTGATGACATGTATTAATATTCAATAATTAAGGTGATCAATAATTCTATACCGGTTTTTGTCTTGCTCTTATACATACAAACGAGAGCGAGGAGATTAGGTTAATCTTACGTGCCAAGGCACATGTGGATTCTACTTAGGCGATGGGTTCCCTTTTACAGTACTGGCAGGTAGTATTGTTCTTTAGTAATAACATAATTATAACATCATATTTCATGCATTTTAAATCTCACGAAAATTGTATAAAAGCGGGCGAATTCTCGGATTTTTCATCATACCTTCTCCGGATACAAACTAGAGATATTCCAGCTTCAAGCACAGGTGCTCTTGTTTTTTTCAACTAAATCTTTCATTAGCACTTACGAGTCGCATCACTATCAATATGTCTTCTACTGGGAAAATGCTTGGTCTATGCTGTCTTCTGTTCGGTAAGTCAATAATTTCATCCAATCTAATCATTTCAAATGAATTTCTGTGTGTAGACTTCTTCACTAAGCTTGGACATGTCGGGGATGGACAGAAATCGCCAGAAAAAAAAACGGCGAATCACTTTGAAAGTTTTCATGTTTCAAATGTATACGTTTGCCCTATTTTAATTATCCTGATGCATGAAATATATAACAAACTACATTTACCTCCGTTAGTTGAGTTATATCTACTCCATTTATCTTAATTAGGCTACTACACCAGGGGGTGTTTCACAAAGCCTTTTTTCAATGACAAATGACAAAACGCAGTGACAAAACGGTTGATAACCAATGGATTTCAGTAGATCATGACAAAAACTGCCATTTTGTCACTGATGACAAGTTTTGTGAAACGCCCCCCTGGTCATGAACATTTATCCCTATTTTGCTTTTAAATGACTAAATGAAAGATCCTCCACTTTGAGGTTTTTTGTAATGTAGAGTTTTCATGTTTATATTGCAGTGATAGATTTTCTTTATCTGAGAGATGATTTATCCCCCCTCGTAAACGTATTACACTACCTCAAACTTAAGCAAAATGCGTACATTGAATGTTCACCTAAATGTCATTTCTTTACAGTCTTCTGTCTTATGACTGAGGCACGTCGAGGAGCTGTGAACAGAGTCCATGCACCTCAGAAGCAAACCATGGTCGACATGGTACCCATGAATGGAAGCTCTTCATTGTCCGGCAGTATGAGTTCAGAATCTAGCGAATCATCCGAAACCGACAGTGACAACGATGTGGACACCGCCACCAACGACGCGGCCGCTCCCGCAGCAGGTGTCGGTGCTCCGGTTCAGGTCGCGGGCGGGAACCAAGTGGCCGGGAATATGCTACCCAACACAAGAGCTCGGGACCAGAATGTGATGTTCGGCAGGGCATCTGGGAGTTCGGGACAGGCTGTTGGTATTGCTGTCGCTGTCGTTGGTTTGGTGGCTGTGGTCGTGGCTGGAGCTGTCTTTGCAATCAGGAGACAGAGACGTGCTAATTTTGCCTGATTCAATCGGTACATCATTAATTAGGTCATTGCATTCTCTAATAATCATGAGACAGTTTTTTTTATGAAAATGCATTCCTCTATAATGACAACTGAACGGCAAATAAGTGCACAGAAACGAATTTTAAAAAGGCTTAATTTTATGATCATAATAATTTATAATTGTTAACTTATTTCCGACAAATTTACAGTCATTACCTTATATGAAAATAGCATTTTGTTTAAGCATAATTTATGAAAAATTGAAATTAATATACAAGAATGTAAGATATTCTGATGTACATAGTATTTATACACGACGTGTTCTGCGTAATATTATTATTATTATTATTATTTTTTTTTTTTTTTTTTTTTTATCTCTGTCAATGTTTTAGGTTAAGAAAAAATAATCAATAATTTGAAAAGATTATTACCGCAAGAAATGTTAATGTAATAAATGAACAAGAAAAAACAACAACTTATGAATGGTATTTATACTTATCTCAGGTCATTGCCGGTCGTCTGTACATATTGATGAGTTGGTTGTGAATGTTTGTGTGGTTTAATGGTTGCTTGCAAGATTTTTAATTGGATGATGATTGGTTGATTGAATGATTGATTAATTAGTTCATTGGTTTATTGAAAAATAATTAATCTGAATGTTCAGTAATTATTGTCTGCTCAATGAATGATTGGATATATAAATAAGAAAAAGTTGATTTGAAGATGGAATGATGTGATTGGTTGGTCGATTGGGTCTTTGAATGACTGGTTTGTTGATGACTTGTCAATTGATAGGGGCAAGGGATAGTTAGGAGTGATTATTTTTCAATCCCATCTGTACAAGTTTGGCCAGTGGGAATAGACCTCTCTACAAGGTCACTGACAGGTGGTTATCTCATCAAATCAGCTCTCAATTAACATAAGAAAAAGAGGATCGTGGGGTACCAACAGGCACCGATTAGGCATTGTTTGTTATATAGAGGGTGCAAGTAGCTATAAGTAGTGCAGTGTGGCTTTAAGGTAATTTACTGTCCTAGAAGATGTCGGGAGGTAGTCAACCCAGATGGTTGATGTCCTGTTAATTGTCTTTGAAACGTTCTACAATATCTCGAATAATTTCTAAATGAATAGACCCGTTTACTAACATATTCAAATTCCATGCATACTTTATAAACAACACATTTGTTCTTGACAACCTGAAAGTTTTCACGAGGCTTGTCCGACATAGCAACAAATAATGTATGCAGACTGGATTCCAAGTATTGTAGTTCATTCATTAATAGCAGGTTAATGGAATAACTCGTCACTATGTCCCTAGGAAAGAAACATCCATGAATTTGAATAATTATGTTAATAAACCGGTCTATCGATGTTCAGATAGAGAGTTCATGATGGAAACCCATTGGACAGTATGACCCATACAAATGATACAATTCTGTCTGCTGTCGCCTTGTAGTAGGGACTTTTAGATTTGCCGAACGACAACGTGGATTGCTACGATCGACGTCCTTTTAATGCATTGCCTTGAATGGACGTATATCAGTCCACCCAAATCTAAAAGTCCCTATTTTTAGCCAATATTAAACTTGGCTCAATTTATGTTCGGGTGATAAACTAGAGAGGAACGGATGGCGGTAAGCCAAACTGCATAGCTCCCTCCGCGGCAAAACAAAATCACTTTCTCCTTTTTTGATCTTCTTAATTTTCATCGGATTCTATGACGAGTAACCTCTGGAATTCCACCCCTGAAAACAACCCAGAAGTATAGCTTGGCAAAATAATCACCAGATAACTATCCATAGATGTCTCAAGGTTCCTTGGTCTAGAAGATAAGTCACCAGGCTGTGGATCACATGGTTCATGGTTCGAGTCCCACCACGGCACTTATGTCCTTTGGCAAAATATTAATCTACATTTGCTACGCTCGACCCAGGTGAATCAAATGGCTACTTGGCAGGGAGTAATTCCTTGAAACGCTTAAACAACACAATGGCAGCCATGCTAAAGCCGGGGAATAATTGTAGAGCGTCAAAAGTATCAAGTCTGACAGACATGAGCGCTATATTAGAACCCACTATTATAATCTTAAAGCCCCACTACTACTTGTAGCTACTTGCTCCCTCTATATAGAAAACAGTGCCTACTCGGTGACCATTGACCATTGATCCCCCATGATCCTGATAATGTTAATTGAGAGCTAAGTTAATGAGATAGCCAACTGTCAGTGACCACCTTGGGTGGTCTAATCCCTCCTAGCCAAACTAGTATATACTGACGGCCTTTAAGGGATGAGTTGGGATAATTTCTAAGGGGTGTAGCTTTGGATAGGGGCATTATTTGTGAGCAACGTGTGTGTGTGTGTGTGTGTGTGTGTGTGTGTGTGTGAGGGTGTAGTAGGGTTTTTTTCCCTAGCTTGTATTTTTCCGCGGGGTAAATGTCCAGAGAGTAGGTCTAATTGCCCTATATAGAAAGGAAGTTGTCCAGGAGTGGTTGTCCGGGGGGTAATAATACGGATTTGAAATTGCAGGGAATAGTCGTCCGGATAAGGTTAGCCTATTATTTCCTGCAGTACTGCTCCCTTTTCAGGTAGTACTTACAGCAGGTCATATAAATCAGGTAAAGCACCTCACCTCACATCATCCATCCATCCATCAATCCACCTTTCCATTACTCAGTGAATCAATCAATTAATCAATGAAACAATCAAATTAAACAATAAATTAATCCACCCATCAATCAAATATTAAATCAACCCTTTCATGTATCCGTCATTCATCCATCAACCCATTATTCAATCAATCAATCAATCAATCAATCAACCAATCAATCAATCAATCAATCAATCAACCAATCAATCAATCAATCAACCAATCAATCAATCAGTAAATCAATCAACCAATCAATCAATCAATCAATCAATCAATCAGTAAATCAATCAATCAATCAATCAATAAATCAATCAATCAACACAATCCTTTACTCGTATAATTAACCAATTGATACTCAACAGTTTTGAACATTCACCAAGGATTCCATCGTTTACTAACAATCATCAGCTCCAAAAGTATGTCGTTTCTCATGCGTAAATTTATTCAATAAATAAGAAATATAAATGTAATGGAAATGATCACTGTGAAATTATAGATTGCACTAAATAAATCAACAATATTTACTTCATTTGGTTAATGATTTTGAAGAAAAAAGAAGAAAAAAAAATCACAATAATTATTACCTATATGGAGCAGGTCAGCTCACCGAAAGAGATCAAATTACTTTAAAATGATAGTGTAATTTAAAAGACTTAATGAGAAAAATAACATAAATAAACATTAAATATTAAAAAAGAGATTTTGATTATACATCATCTACAGTCAAAACTAAACGGACGCAGAAAACTGTCAGAAATATAAAAATAATAAGGCAATATCTTGACACAAAATGTGCATGTCTAGTCTAGGCTGAATCTTTCCAGTTTCATTATTTGTTTTTAGTAGTTTAAAACATAATTGAATTCTCCCTTTGTATACATGCAGAAACAGTCTACGTCTACTTCACATTTGCATTGACAATTTTCAATTATTTAGTTGCACTGCTTCTGTTCGAATCTTGCGAAAGCATTTTGGCCACTAACTAAGACAGTGTCATTATTAGAACATATTTAGTTGTGTCGAATTACTAAGTGAGAAACAAAGCTAGGATTTCTCAATCATCTGCTGCTCTTCGTATCTTGCTAAAGCATGAGAACTTCTTTGCCTCCTAATAACAAAGAAAGCACCTACTACTACCAGAGCTACCAGCGCTAAGACAGCGAAAGCAATCCCAACACTCTGTCCAGAACTCCCAGATTCCCTGCCGAACATTTGATTCTGGCCCCGGCCCTGGACTCCAGTATTGGGCAAGTGCTTTCCGTTTCCAGACAAGATGGGAAGAAGATTCCCGCCAACTTGGTCCCCGCTCCCGACTGCGTTCAATCCGGTTGCTGCATCGGCATCGTTGGTGTCGGTGTCCGTATCAGTGTCCGTGTCGACTTCGGATGAAGTGGATGATTCTGAACTGGTACTGTCCACATCATCATCTGAACCTTCGACATCTATTTCCTGATTCATTGGGACGTTGATGAAGGTTTGCTTCTGAGGAACATTAACTCTGTTATCCGCAAAAGCTCCTGGAGTTGCCTCCGTCATTACACAGAATACTGAAAAAGGGGAAAGCGAAAGGACATTCATGCTTCAAATATACTCACAAGCTAGTGAAATTGAACGTTTTTCTCAGACATGAGTATCCCAATGTGGATTACCTCAGTCATAACACAGAATACTGAAAAGGGAAAACAAAATACATCTATTGAACAAGATCATGTAGTACCATATAGTATAGTCATTCGTCATCATCACCATCATCTCCTTCTTATTCTTCTTCTTCTTCTTCTTCTTCTTCTTCTTCTTCTTCTTCTTCTTCTTCTTCTTCTACGCCTCCTCCTTCTTCCTCGCCTTCGTTTTCTAGCAATCTTCAAATGGCTATGCGACCTATCATTAAAATGAAGAATTTAAGATAATTTCTAGAGAATAATACCCAGGGCGGTAAAGGCTTCCAAACGTAAATCTACAGCTTAACAGAAGATCAGGGTAATGCTCTACAATCAAGAGCCCATCACCACTTACGAGGGATGGATATCAAGGAAAAATAATGCATGTGTAATTAAACAAAACAACTCTAGCTGTGTTTTAGATAAAATTTAACTTACCAAATAGAAGAGAGAACAGACCAAGAAGCTTTCCTGAAGAAGACATGTTGATACTCTAAATATGCGATCCAAAAATCTAAAATTTGAATGTGAAAAGAAACGAGTAGGCTTATCAAACTGAAATACTTCTGATTGGAAGGCAGATTAAGGTATGAAGGAAATGGTTAGACACAACGGTTTTTATACAATTTTTCTAAAATTGAAATTACAGAAAATACATCAAACAAAATTACGCAAGAACACCATCAGTGATTCAAATGTCAAATCTGATAAATATGATAGAAACATAACTATAGAAAATTCAAAGGGGAGGAATAAGTTGGCACGATTTCACCTTTGATTAACTCTCATTTATCAAGCGGTGGATTTAACGAGGACACTTTATCAACCATCCTCGAATTCTGATATGCATTTGCCACTAACTGACAATTGCTTAAAATAAATATACCAACAGGTGATCAGCAAATTAATAATTTTGAACAATTTGTGACCTCAATTTGATAAATTCTGTTTCTAAGTCCGAGAGTTGAAACTATTCCAATCCAAACATTGTCAGTTTATTTTTTGTTCTACAGAAAGTACCTCGAATGCCTTCACACGTTGAGTATTCGAACAACTGTATCAGTGGTCAATCAAAATATATCATTTGAAATGTCAATATTCGAGTATGATTCATATTGTCTGAAGTGAGCCAAAAAGGCGACAATTCAAATACTGTTAGAGTAATGCCCTTCTGGCTCTCAGCACTAGATATATAATCTATCCCTCTTTATGAATCCAGCAAGAGCGCAAAAAATTAAAACTACACAAACTAAGAATCCTGCCAAGTTTAATTTCTCACCTTCGCATGAGTGTGATTACTTTTACCAATAATGACATTTGAAGGGCTTGTGGTGTCCATGCGTGACATCATGATACTGCATTATATTTTGACATCTAAATGTCTGACAAATTTGTATAAAAACCGATGAATCTGATCATTTTCTCATATCTTGTTCTGCCTTCACACCATAACTATTCAGGTTTATCAGACCAGGCAATCGACTCGTTCTTTTCTAAATTCAATATATTGTTGAGTATTCATCGCAACATGTCTTCTTCTGGAAAGCTACTTGGTCTCCTCTCTCTTCTCTTTGGTAAGTTAAACCTAGTCTAGGTATTTATTGTAAGTCAAATGAGTGCATTCTTGTATGAGTAACTGAAAATGATCTAATGATTGGATTGTGGATAGCTATTTTGACATCTGACTCACACATCGCCATTGGTATTACAGACGTGATGATCATGCGGCTTTAACAATTTGCTTATCATAGAAATTTCCTTTTTGTTTCAGGGAAGTTTGCTGTCCATACGGTATAGATATCACGCAATGTCTGGCTAACAGATATATCACATATCGTTGGACAGTGAAATGCTTGTTACGATTTTTAATTGCTCACCTGCAAGAGGAAATCACTTTCGAAATACGTGTGTGTATCTTTACTATATACCATCAAGCTAGTTTCATTCAATCCACATTGTAATACTCATTATCTTGAGAGTATTTGTAAGAATATATTTACAGATATACATGGGCCTACCGATTGAAATGCCTGTTAAAAAGTAAATAGATTAATTTTATAAGCATGTGTTTCCACTTTAAAGGAATTGGGTAACTTTGTCTCAGAGTCTGAAACAAAATCCTGGATTTAGCTCATGCTGCAATGATAATCATAAACCTTTAGGTCAGTCAGGAACCCCATGACTTTTACAAGCCGATCGCCTGTCTGATTATCAAGATAGTTATGACTGGAAATCGATATAACATTTTGCGTTTTCCTAACGGTATTCATAACAAAACAGTCAATTGGGGGAAACGAGTATGGTAAAACCGGTCACTTAAAGGTTTTTTTAATACTTTTTTGAGGCACTTCTCGATCATTTTGAAGCGCAATTTTTGTTGGGCTTCAATATTACACCATATCACAGACACTGATAACACGTAGGGCCATGAATGTCAGATTGAACATTGTTAAACGATGCCTTTAAACATGAATAACCTTTCGCTTTTCCTTTTCAGTATTCTGTGTAATGACTGAGGCAACTCCAGGAGCTTTTGCGGATAACAGAGTTAATGTTCCTCAGAAGCAAACCTTCATCAACGTCCCAATGAATCAGGAAATGGATGTCGAAGGTTCAGATGATGATGTGGACAGTACCAGTTCAGAATCATCCACTTCATCCGAAGTCGACACGGACACTGATACGGACACCGACACCAACGATGCCGATGCAGCAACCGGATTGAACGCAGTCGGGAGCGGGGACCAAGTTGGCGGGAATCTTCTTCCCATCTTGTCTGGAAACGGAAAGCACTTGCCCAATACTGGAGTCCGTGGCCAGAATCAAATATTCGGCAGGGAATCTGGGAGTTCTGGACAGAGTGTTGGGATTGCTTTCGCTGTTTTAGGGCTGGTAGCTCTGGTAGTAGTAGGAGCTGTCTTTGCTATTAGGAGTCAAAGACGTTCTTATGTTATATCTGAAGAACCGCAGATGACGGAATTGTAGTTTTTGTGTATATGGAGGGGGAAATGTAGTCTGACGGTTGTTGGGAAGCAACGAAAGCAGGGGTGACACATTGGGGGTTGACATTTTATGCATAGCCATCGTGTGCTCTTCAAACGGTGTGAAGGGATAACATATCATCCCCCTGTTCATCAATCCGGGTGGATATCATTTATTTATTTATTTATTTCCGTTTCGATATGAACATATTCGAACATGTACAAAGTACATATCAATTCAGTTATTCCATAAAATAATGTAATAATATTGTATCGAAGACAAAGTATAAATATTGAAGAACTGAAAATCATACCGGAATGTTGTTATCCTAAATGTGTATATAAGGCTGAATATGTCAGACAAAATGTCACGAAATGTGGTATATTCCCTAAAATCATTGTCACTTTTAATAATGTTCTCTTAAATCTGCTATCATTAAATAATTCAATTTCAATGTAGTAGTTATTTTCATAGAGTCTACTTCCATCTGTAGTATATAAATGTAAGTTTACAATCGCTCGTCATTCTCTTCAATAGGATTAAACTATTCAGATAATTCGATATCTACTTATTTTTATTTTCATCTCTGTCTTTATTTTATGCGTAATAAGTATTTAGAATGATGATTATATCAGCACTGAAATTGTACGAAATATATATGATAATGACAAAACAAATTATTTGCTCTTTAATTTGTATTTTTAGGTTCTTGTTGTTATAAGCGCTTTATAAGCATCGTTTTTATTACTATTATTATTTGTATTTATGAATGGGAAAGAGCGGTTATTTGAGCATATCTAAATGAATGAATACTACATGACTGATGGATGGATGGATGGATGACTGACTTAGTTGTTATATATAACTATCAGTGATTTTTTTTATTCATGAATTGATTGACTGGCTTATTGATTGATTTATCATGCTATTGATTGAATGATTGATTTTCTTATGAAGGGAGAATTGTTAGCAAAATTAACGGCATGATAACAAAAACATCGCATTGACAACCTTTTTTCTCACAATTAAATACAAAGGACTCCATTCACGAGACAAGTAATATAGTATTAAGGAAGACATGTAAAAAAGGTTGATGTGAATATAATTCTCTTCCTCCAACTGATTCAACGCTTTTTTCCATTTATACCGCTCTTACTTCTCAATTAAGCAAAATAATATAGCTAATTAACTGGTCAATTGACCAGCAGATGATACCAATCATTTTCCATTCATCCATTTTGTATTAACTTGTCAGAAGAGAGAAGAAAAAAAAAACACTTCGCTTTATACTCCAATTGTTAAGATGAGAATAAAACAAAAAATCAACAAGTCACTATGTTTGCTTTTTCGTTTGACATCTGTCATGTATTTGGCACTTTAACACATTCACAAAATAATTAGTATTAACAATATACCAATCTCATTTACAGTTTTTACATTTTAAGTAATTTAGTACAAACAAGATATCTAAAGAAAACATTCAATAGACGACATCGCATACAGTTATAAAATGAGATAAATTCATTATATTGATGATCTTGAAAGTGTAGTCTAAGCGATTGTATACGGAAAAATGCGTGAAAGTAGCAAAGTTCACAACATAAAACATTTAAGTGAGTTCAACCTGCGCTAAATAATTTCAGATACTGCAACTTTATTTTTTGAAGCAGTTATATTTCCCCCATAAAAGCAATCACACACCGTGCGACTTGAATACGACTGGATGAAAGTAAAAATAAAAGAAATTTAAAAGAAACGAGAGGAAAGGAAATAAGATTTTATTTTGAATTTTTAAATGTAAATACTTTTTTTTTTAAATCAACGGTCTCTATGGAGAGCAATTCGTCTATTAAGAGCCAGAAAGGCGTTAACTCTGTTTTCAAGTTTATGATTAATGCCCTTCTGCGTCCAAACAGAGAAATTGCATGGTGACACTGTTTGAGCCTTCAGATCGGAGAAATCGTAGAGACGTGATACATGTACCGTGCAGTCGTACGACTGGCCACCATCTTTAAAGCCGATTTGATGTTTTCTCTGACTAAAAAGTACCAAACTGTTTTGATATTAATATCCAAGTGACCTTTCTGGTCCTTGGGCGGACGTAGCTAACCTCTTTGAAATTATGTATCTAATAATTTGGCTTTAACAAAAAAAGTCGATTGTAGTCGGGTTGTGAAGCCTGAGGAGGCATTGCTTTATCACACACTCTTAAAAATACCTAGTCAGATTTTGATCAGATTTTCTAGTCACATTTTTTGACTAGATTTTAGTCATTATGACTAGAAATCTATCCATTTTCAAACAAGTTTGACTAGTAATCTAATCCATTATCGTTCGTGACTAGTTTTTTCGGTTCAAAATGACTAGAAACTAGTAAGTGCCCCTGGGATCCTTTATTCTAGTCAGATTTGACTAGTTTCTAGTCAAATCTGACTAGACATTTTTAAGAGTGCATGGATTTTTTTGAGGGCTAAGACGGTAGAAAATATAATAAATACCTATCATTCGATGACAACCACGTCTTATCAATACATAAAATACGTAAAATATTTTTGTTTTATCACAAATGTATAGTAATATCATGACCCTTAGAGACCTCATATACGGACAAAGGTGGCCCTGCTATTCCTTTGTTTCCTAATGATGAAGAAAGCTGCAGCTATAATAAGAGCGAGGAGACCTAGAACACCAAGGGCAATCCCGACACCTCGACCCGACGTACCGGTAGACCTGCCGATGAGCTGGTCGTGATCGCCAACGAAATCCCCGACGACGTCACCATCGAGATCACCAGTCTGGACGCCAGACATGACTCGCTGTCTCCTGTTTCCACGTAACATAGGACGTGTATTCCCGCTGACTCGATTCCGGTAGCTTCCGTAGACAGCGTAAGACGGGACACCGTCGGCCTCGTTGACGTCCACATCCGTATCGATGTCGGATTCCTCCTCGGAAGAGTCGCCGTCGATGCCCGTATAGCTTACAGAACCCACACCGATGCTAGGAACAACCGGGGCTTGACCGCCATTGCTTGGACTGTTTGTGAATGGACGGTTAGGGCTGGGAGTGGTCTGGTTGTAGATGCTGAACACGAAACCAAACTGATTCTGAGGAGGTACAGGAGGAAGATTCCCTGTGGTGTTGGTGCTGGTGTCATTATTGGCCTCAGCAGTGATGCAAAATGCTGTCGAAATGGGATCAAGAAAGATACATGATTATGTTAATGGTTTCCAGTTAGACTGCTCATTGAGTTACAATATATATTTGATACTCGTTTGCAATCCTATGTTTTCATGCTCGTTTGTTTGGTTATTTGCATTTTCCTTTTCAGCGCTTGAATTAATTTCATCAATCGATCATATCTCAACTTAAAGTAAAAATATTTTTGCTTCTATGCGACATTCTCATCCTGATCACAAAATATGAAATCCAAAACCATGTTAAATAGTCAATAGCACGCAGAGTAGTTTTGTCACAATAGATTTTTTTTTAAATATATACAAGAAATAAGTCCAAAGAGAGCTTCCTCTTTAATCACTTTAAAGAGCACTATATAACATTAAATTACATCTTCTGCGAACGGTAATATTATTTATTTCTTTATGTCATGAGAATTAAAACCGCTGTCTTGTAAATAGGCCAGTGGAAAATTCTTATTATAGAATTAAAGTATCTACAAGTATATGAATACGAATGTAAAAATAAGTAGAATTTCATTTTCGACGGTGAAGTAAGGAAATATCTACCTATTTATGCAAAGTGGGTATTCTTACCAGCAAGAAGGCAAATGATTTTCCATAAGGCCGCCATGTTGAATGTCTTTAGTAAAGGACTTGAAGCAGTTGAGATGTGATCTATGCTGAGAGTAGAGGTAAGCCTGGTATGGTCTTCTTGATGCTGCTGAATCACTTTCGAAGTCAGAGCGGGATAATGAAGAATATTCGGACCTTCTCAACTTTTATACTTTCCGATGGATGATACTCAGCTACAGATCCCATTCTTAAGGTTCTCATCTCGTCAGCAGAACTGAACTTAATCGACTTGGTATTATAGCGCCTTTGCATTATTCACAGGCGTCTTGGCATCAATTATTTCATTCAGATGTCTTGTGAGAAACATTAGATAAAGTTCAGAGAAGATGTGAGCCATTCATTCAGGAGAAACGGTTGATGATGATTTTGTTTGATATGTTACATTACCATCAACCTAGCGTACTGAACCAACAGAACTGAACTTAATCGATTTGGTAGCGCCTTTGCATTATTCAACAAACGTCTTGGCACCACTTCTTTCATTCAGATGCCTTGTGAGAAACATTAGATAGAGTTCAGAGAAGATGTGAACCATTCAGGAGAAACGGTTGATGATGATTTTGTTTGATATGTCACATTATCATCAACCTAGCGAGCATGGATGCAATCTGACGTATGACATGTACTGTGAATTGTGAATAGTGATTAAAGGTTAGGCCTACTGGTTAGGCAATAACCTGATACAAGAAAAATAAAATTCGCTGAGATTCGACCAGCGTTTACATGTTAATATTGAAGACTAAACAATAATATGTAAAACATATGTAAAAGTTTTGATAGAAAATGCATAATAACTTTTTTAATAAAGAAAGAAACAATATGACAGTTTGTTTTGTTTGAACTTTAGATGGTACCTTGTCACTTACAAACATATTTTGTGCTTTGGAGCTAGAATACTTCTTTTTCAATCATGTTTCGTATAATGTCTAAAGTGAATAATGTTCAGTAAAAGGCCTATTATCATCATCAATTCTATGATTAATAATTCACAATGACTCTTAGATTGTTTCTTTCAAAATGCGGTTTCGTTACTAAATAACCTTTAAATCCTATATCTCAAGATGGAGCCAAGAAGACACTATACAGGCGTGTTCGTACTGTCATAGTACGCTGCCAAATTGGCTGTCAGTTTGCCAGGTCGTTTGTCGGTCGGCATGGTTGGTGTGCAATTTTCAGAATTCTAAGTCGTACTTTCCTTGGCACAGGTTAATTCATGATGATTGATATTCAATGAGATGAGCGGTATTCGCATTTCCCACATCGACCTTTATTTTTGTATTTCCATGCAAAAGAGAAGTTCTTCACTGAATGGATTTGATGTAAATGTATAAAGGTATTGGCTAATTTGTGAAATTAAAAGACAGAAACCAAGAACAGCAGTTGATTCTGAGTAAATGTCAAATATCTATTACTATCGTTATCATCATCAGCAGCAGCAGCAGTAGTAGTACCAGTAGGAGTAATATATTAGTAGTAGTATTGTTATCATCTTTATCATTGTCATCATCGTCATCTTATTCATCATAATTATAGCAATAAAATTAGTCATCCTCATCACCATTGTTGCAATTTTGTCTTCATTTTTGCCGTTATACGTGAATTTCTTGCTGTTGCACAAAAATGCCCCTCTCTTTTCCACTTCCTGTCTTTTGAATTGGATGTTAAAATTCTCTTACATGCACTTTAAAAAGTCATTACATTATGTGAACTTTTGACTAGTTAATTTATGACGCATTTTGTTTACCGTCTGTTACAAATCGTAAACTTGATGTATTTCAAAGTATTCGCTGTAACGATGAGTTTAATTCGACTTTTGTTCATGAATAAAAGTTCATCATATATACATTGACGAACAAATTTTTACTCTCTCTCTCTCTCTCTCTCTCTCTCTTCCTCCTTCCCTCTTTCTCTCTTTCTTCCCCCTCTCTCTCTCCCCTCTCTCCCCTTCTCTCGTTGAAAATCATTTAAAAGTCTGAGCAATGATTTTTCTTTTTTCCCATTTCACGATGCATGTTATTAAACATTACTATTGGTCTTGTATGAATGTTTGATCTTGGGCAACCCACCAAGTGTTTCCGACACTAGTTCATATCCAGTAATAAATGAGACCGTCTGGTTTTAGCTTCAGTTTCAGTTTATTGTTTGATATTTCATATGTTTCTATTTTAAAATGTTTATGCAAAATAAAAGTTACCAGCAAACAAACATGAATTATATTGTCCCATATAAGAACAAAATAAGTCTCTACTTGTTTGCATGGAGAGTTACTTAAACATATTGTACTACAAGAAGATCGAATTATGGAGGGGCCTATGAAAGCAGCGCATGTAAATTATTGGCCCCAAAGGTTATTGGGATTTATAATCTTTGAAAATATATGGAACGAGCAGTGCATGATTTAATAAAATATATATAAAGAAAGAAAACAAGAAAGTAGGCTCCAAATGCTATAGTTATTTGGGTAATTTTTTGATTTTTAAAAGGTCGTGGTATAAGGGCAGAGATGTTGACTCTTGGAATTTAGGAGGACCGTTTTCAATACGTTTAGTATATAGGGAAAAGGGTCCTTCAGATTACCAATGATTTTAAGGCTAATCTATAAACAAATAATTATAAGGATAAGAAGAAGAAGAAGATGACGATGATCATCATCATCAACAACAACAACAGCAACAGCAAAGAAAAGGAAAGGAAAGCAACAAAATGTTAGAAGAGACAAAGAAATGAAGAATAAGAAGAAAGAAAGAAGGAAAAAGAAAAGGAAAGGGAGAAGAAGAAGAAGAAGAAGAAGAAGAAGAAGAAGAAGAAGAAGAAGAAGAAGAGATGATGATGGAGAAGAAGAAGAAGGAGACAATGAAGCAACAATATGTCAAACTTTAAACCCAATTGTAAATCAATAATTTGTTGATCCATTTATTCAGGAATCAGTCGATTATATCAATTAATCCTTCACCCATCCACCAACTCGTGCATGTATTAATCAAACAACCAGTTAGTCAATCATAAAATAAAGTCACTCACTCATCCGTCAGTAAATAATGACTCATTATACAATAATATATAATGCACTTCTTCATCGATCTATCCCACAACAATTCACCTTCTATCCACTACTCATACGACCATTCACACATTCTAACAGTCTCACAAAGTTCTGCTAATACAGGTAAATTAATAACTAGTCAAAGTCCACACTATTAAATATTCCGTCATGTAACATTTATTGAACAAACTTTACAATACCATGACAGTACAAATATATATATATCAAAGATGGAGTTAGTTCATTAGTGAGATATTATTCAAATTTACAGATCAGCAGTATTTATACAATTGAGCAGCAAAATGTTAATATAATAAAAATGAATTTTGAACCTATAACTAAGCAGTAATTATTCGAATTTCATGATCCTCAATGTTGTATTCATATCAATATTCGGAGAATAACCGGGGATAACCGGCAGTATAGATAATGGTTTCATTTGACAACAAGGAAATCGTTCATTAGAGTATCCTCATCACAAGTTCAGTTATCAGACCCGCACAAGAACCGGGATGCTATGTCGGTATTTCCTGAGGGTGAATGCTGCAGCAGCTACGATGACGGTAAGAAGACCCATAACTGCAAAGGCGATGCCGACACCACGACCCGACGAACCTGACGTCCTGCTCAACAGCTGGTCCGCATTTCCTGCTTCAGGGGCCGCTGCTCTTCCGCCGGCTCTTCCTCCGCTGAGGAAGGGGAGAAGGTTACCGCCAACTTGGTTGCCGTTACCGCCGACCATGGCGGGTGTGTCGGCAGCGTCGACTTCATTGATATCGGTGTCCATGTCCATATCGAGGTCGGATTCTTCGGAAGACTCTGAATCACTGCCGAAGACGCTGGTGGACGCTCCCACGGAGCCTGCAGCGGCGGAGCCCCCGACGACGGTTTGATCGAATGGGAAGTCGAACATGGTTTGTTTCTGTGGTGCTCCAACAACATGGCGGACTTCCCTCGTCTTTCCTGATCTCCTTGCCTCGGTCACCAGACAGCATGCTGTTGAGAGAAAGAAATTAAATCAATAGAAATTTGATTATTCAACTTCTACATGTTATAAACCATTTTCAGAGGGGGTATATTCAAATTTAGCCACAAGAAAAAGGGGAAGTTCGTCGGATTGTGAAAAGGCCTTGTGAAAAGGATATCTAGCAGTATTTTTCTTTCTATAATCTATGATACAAAAATGATACAGCAGAACTATTCAAGATCTTAGCGTGCACCAGATATCATAACCCATGCACAGAATTGCATTTCTCAAAGACAAAACACAAACAAAATGCATTAAACTGACAATGTTGGTACAGAACTCCCTGAGCATTGTAGAAAATAATTTTCATCTGTAACTTTTGTTAACTATTGAGGCACTTACAAGCTATAATCAAGTGAAACTGCAACAGTTTATTAAGCTATAGTAAATATGAATATATAAAGACAGAAATTAAATTACCTGCAATAAGAGCGAAGAAGCAGATTAACTTTCCAGATGAAGCCATTTCGATTTACACTAGTGGTCCTGAAGAGAGAACTTGACAAGAAATTGCTACTTTATCAGTTCAAGAGCTGGTTTTCTTTTGATCTTGGGTCGCAATGTGCACTGAAGATTTCGACAAGAATCTGCCATATTTATACCTTTATTTCCCAAACAAAAAAGTGGGCGGGGCTGGAACACCTTGCGGCAGTTCGGATCTTTCAGTTCTATTGAAGACGGTGTAAGAATAAAAGTTTAGACGTCTGTTTCCTTTGACTTGGCAGCATAGGACTAATTGATTAATTCAACAAACTCAATTAGAGGCTGTTGTAACTTGTAAGCACGGAAGACCCATTGGTTGATAAGCTTAATTTCCTTCTTTGAAGCATACAATTGTTTTAGGCATCGCATTATTACACAGGTTTGCATTTGACAGGTAGATTGATGATAGGGAGCCAAGTTTAAGGAAGAGAAGGGGGAAAAACACGATCGTAGTTAAATGGGTCTTAAGAGCCAAAATAATAGAACAATGATAAGACAGAGCGGTAATGAAAGAGTTCGAGAAAAGTTCATGACGGAGAAATAGTTCTTCTGTTCAGGGAGGAGGAGGAGGGTGAGAAGGAAAAAAAGAAGAAGATGAGGAAGAAGGAAAAAAGAAGAAGAATAGGGGAGGAAGATGAGGAAAAAGTGGAAGAAGAGACAAGGAGGAGGAGGAGGAGGAGGAGGAGGAGGAGGAGGAGGAGGAGGAGGAAAGGGGTGATGATAAAGCTGATGATGATTATGATGTTGAATATGAAAAGGAGAAGGAAGAAGACGAAAAATAAGAAAACAAATAAGCATGAGACAAATGAGAATGAAACAAAATTTGGATATGTTTTTCCTTGTTTTTCCTTCTATCATAATATTATTATTCTCCACTTGTATTTCTTAATGTTATTCTTGGTTTGCTTCTTTTCTATAATTTTTTCTCTTTCTGTCCTTCCTTATGTTATTTTATGTTTTTGTTTAATTGCCGAAGCCCGGTTAGCTCAGTCGGTAGAGCATCTGACTTTTAATCAGAGGGTCGCGGGTTCAAGTCCCTCATCGGGCGAGAGTATAATTTTTTTTTAGCGCTTAGAGACTTCGGTGGTAAGCGCTTGATAAGCAACGTTTTTATTACTATTTATTGTTTTATTATTATTATGATCATCTTTGTTTTGTTCTTTCCATCTTTTCTTCATTTCTTTATGATTATGTTATGTTATACCTGTATCATTTTCTCTTTCTACATTTCCTTGTTTCTTCCCCTCAGTCTTCTTTCCACATGTTTAGATTATGTTTCCCCTTTTCCCGACTGCCGTCTTCCATTCTCCATATATTTTTTTGTCTTACTTCCAAAACTTATTACTTTCCCGCGAACATACACTCACATTTCGGGGTTCGTTTTCACACTGCACCTTAGAGCGGTCTGCATGGATCGGAGGAGGACAACAGGAAGCGTACATCTGGACCAATCCAGCTAGAAGACCGCATCGGGTATGGTCACACACCCTGTCACACACACGTTGGACCGATCTAGCTAATATAAAACCGGTCCAATGGAGTGAGTGAGAATGGGGTCTGAGTCATAAGCAATCTTGTAATTATCGATGACACCCAGCTCAATATTGATGTCTGAATAGCCTGATTGGTGCGGGTAAATATTGGATCCTGACCAAGATTGTATGTCTTTCAGTGGCGTATCCAGCACAAGATGGAGCCGTTGTGCCCCCCTCCTAATTGAAATGGCCAGGAAAAAGTCATTCTAAGTGCAGGAGGCCTATGCTGCCCCCGTATACTCCACCTCCTCTTTAAAAGGGATTCCGTCCCTATCTCTTTACCAATTTTTGGACATGTCATTGACTATTGCCGTTTTATTAGAAGACATTTAATTGCATAGAATTATTACGAACTAATTACAAATCAGCAATACATTTTCGTCAGTAAACGTTGATCATTCTTCTCAATCTTACAGGGATGTGTTTTATGAATATTTCAAAATGGTAATAGCAACATAGAGAGCACGTATGCTCGAGGATTTCGACCAACAACCTTCATTTACCTTATCTGATCCTCGTCGAATAGTTTTCAAGCTAGAGTTCAAGGGCTGATCAGAATCAATTTCATTCAACCTCGAGTTGGGTTGAAAGAACTTGTCGACAGGCTTTAATACCTGCCATTTTAGCGAACGTTAATGACAGCAAAAAGTGAAATACCAAAGTGATCACCAACAACTACGACAATGCCAAGGGAGCATGCGGCCATTCTGCCAAGCATTGTGAGCCTTTTGCACTGTCAATGGTATTCATCTGGCAACGGAAGTGCAATACCTGGAGAGTTGGTTTGACAGTCCAAGTCGAGACAACCCGTTTGACAGTCACGTAGTGACGTTGCCAGAGCGAGCACTGTCTGATTCATGAACTAGATATTTTATTTATTGTAAAGAAGCCGCGTAAATCTACGACATCGATGCCAGCATTTGTTGGGGGAAATCCGTATATTGACAATGGGAAACGATCAACCTGAAAAAATTGTATCTACTCAGGGTTGCGACATAGATATTGCCAGCTAAAGATGACAAATGGAGTCTTGGGTGATCAAGATGAATATAATACAGGTAATTCAAATAATTATGCGCACTTAAGGCTAGGGCCACCGAATATTACCCGGATACCATGGAGGGGGAACAGTTTCAAGAGAGAAGGCAATTTCATAACTTATACCTTTCCAATTTAGCTCTGATTACTTCTCATGAGAAATAATCTAATGAGAATCTCTTTGACAGGGAAATAAAAGTGAATATAGAGCCTTATTTAAAGAGAGAGAAAGAGAGAGAGAGAGAGAGAGAGAGAGAGATAGCGAGACAGGGAGAAAGACAGAGAGAGGGAGAGAGAGGGAGAGATAGAGACAGAGCGAGAGAGAGAGAGAGGGAGAGAATTATAGCAATCGATTACCCATTGATAGACAAGTTTGATAGAATGGTCATTTTCTTTTGCCAAAAGCATTTTCTTCCTCGAAAATTTGTATCCAAGTTTTTGAAGTACCAAGTTTCTGACAGTGTTTTGACATTTATTAGGTCTACATCGGTTTTGACTATAGGCCCGGTCACACAGCCCTCCACGGGCGTATCGCGGCCGAATCACGGCCAAAAATTTCTGCCCGTGAAGCAGACGCTGTTGGACGCTTTGAGGTCGCGATAAAGACGCGATACAGCCGTACTTTACCCGTCGTTACACGCGGTAAGAAATTCACACGCGGTTGGCCGCGCGAAAAAGTTTTGGGCTGCCCAAAAATTTAGACCGCGGGTAATCGCGGGCGGTACACGTGGTACACGTGGTACACACGCGGTAAAGACGCGGTACAGACGCGGAACGAACGTGCTAGGACGTGCTACGGCCGCGGTTAAGACGTGGTTACACGCGGAATTGGACGCGAAATTTTAGCGGGTAATCGCGGGTGGAGCACGGTCATAGCACGTTTGTTCTGCGTCTGTACCGCGTTGTTATCACGTGCATTAGCGTGTGTACCGCGTGTAAGCGTGGTAGGCCGCGGTACCGCCGCGCTTCACCCGCGATAAGGACGCGGAACAGTCGCCGGCGTCTGTTCCGCTGGCATACCACGGGTAAACCGCGGGTAAGCCAATTTTGCACATTTTCCACCACGGGCAACCGCGGGCAAAAAAAAAATCGCGAAATTTTACCCGCGATACAGACGCGAAAGGCTGTGTGACCGGGCCTTATATCAAGTGGTGATTGATTAATTCGACTGAACGTCATAAAGGACAAATCGTGCGTAAACGGATGAGTCAATGTTCTACTCTGTTAGTTATAAATGAAATGATTAAGTTACAGAGGGAGAGAGAGAGAGAGAGAAAGAGAGAGACAGAGATGAAAAAGAGGGGAAGAGAAAGAGAGAGAGAGAGAGAGAGAGAGAGACGGGAGAGGGGGGGGGGCAAGGAAAATAATTAATCGTATAACATTTTCTTTCAAACAACTCGAAAATAATGTAAAGCATTGCTAATCACAGCCAAATTATCAATCGTATAGTCAAAACGATATAGGCCCTAAATCCGTATAAAAGGAGCGGTAAATTCCTGAAATAATTACATAATTCAGCGATCAGTGTTTGTGCCACCTACCAGCAGGACAATCGTCTAAATTTAATCTTCTAAGGGAACAAAAAATTCGAAAATGTTTTCGACAATAAAGTACTCAATCTTCATTTCCTTTGCACTGGCACTGCTCATGGGTAAGCATTGGTCGATTTTGTTTTCTTAAATATTCAAATATCTATGTTATACATATTTATATAGTTTGGGCACCATGATACTGATATATATATATATGTTTGATCATGGTATGTGTAATTGAAATGATTAGCTAAATAAAATCACATCTTATTAGGAGATTCCAACCTCAGAGGAACCCTCACATCAGGGTAGGAGGGGGAGGGGATAGGTTTGGACGTCTTATTAATTTGGCTGAAATTCGAATTTACTAAGCTGTCAAATAGGGAACTCTGAGGATATGGGAGGAGTCCTATCGACTTCTTTCTATTTTTTTTCATTTTTCACCATTCATGTACCCCCGTAGCTACGTCACTGCAAAGACAGATCACATGTATTTTTCATCATTTTTTTTTACAATTCACAGTCGAGGCGAAACTGGCTCAAGCTTCCATGAAACAAACATCCCTCGATGCTCCACTTGCTCAGACTCAACCCAATGCCGACACTGAAAACGACGTCCAAGACACTGACATCGAGGACCCCGCCGACAACGACACTGAAGACGTCGACAACGAAAGCGACACCGATGCTGATACAGATGTCGATAACGACGTTGATACTGATGTCGAGTCGGAGGATGCAGAGGAAGAAGCCGATAATGCTGTTTCTGCAGGTGGAACCCTAATTGGGACAAGTGGCGGGAACACGGAAGGCCAGAGTCACCGCGGCCTACTGACAGGATCAACCACGGCATCGAACGTCTGGTTGGCATTCGCTCTCACAGGACTTTTGATTTCAGTGGTTCTCGTAGCTGTGTTTGTTATCAAAAAGCGTAAACAAATTATGAACCTGACAGTATTTGACAGTGAATAATGCCATGTTTCTGTACACGCCTATTCATTAACATTCATAATTATTATACTGTAACATTTTGATCGTTTCGTTTAGTCAAAATAAAGGGAAAAAACACAAACAAACTTGGTCTTACTGATAACTTATAACTTAGTGTTTTCTGTGTAAACTGCTTTGGGCCTGACTGTATGTAAAGATAATGATTTATCAGAGAATGGGGGAGAGAAAGAGAGAGAGAGAGAGAGAAGAGAGGGTTTTTTTTTTTTTTTTTTGGGGGGGGGGGGGGGATCGGGCAGATAATGATATATATGATGACTAGATGATGATATTGTTGTTGAGGATGATGATGATGGTGGTGGTGGTGGTGGTGATGATGATGATGGCGGTGTTGGCGATGATGATGATGGTGATGATGAGTGTTGATGATGTTGTTGTTGATGCTGACGACGATGATGGTGATTGCAAAAAAATGATCAATGACTGTGGGGCTGCATGGATTCCACCTTCCATCATATTTCAAGATTCAAACCTTCAACCAACTGTTTTCATCTAACCTTTATTCCTTAGAAATGTGCCAAACTGCTTGTGTGTTTTTTGTTTTGTTTATAGCAAATTCTGTTCTCCTTTCTTTTGTTTGAAGGTATTTTTCTCATCGGATTTACCTGTTCAGCGACACCCTAACATTCAAAGTTGTTTAACTTCTTTGTCAAAAGCGCATGAAATACCGACCTAATCAATGAATTCAAGCAACCAGGTGAAATAAAGGCGAGACGTAAGTAAATGCCTAAGCATGTTTGTTTTGAATAGAAAATTTAATTTGATGAGTGGGTTTTTCAATATGAAATTTGCCAAAAATAACATGTCAATGTACGAGTTGCATTCCATTAAGTCCCATATGTTCTTTTTCATGTTTGTTTTGTTTTTGTTTTGTTATCGAAAATCTGAAAATAATACGGCTTCAGCCTTCACGTTCAATCCATAAAAAGTCGGACTGGGTGTGCTCATAAAATGATATGTTTTGTTTTGTTTTTACCTTGCTGGCTAGCTGTGTTCATTTTTTGTTTGTTTTGGTGTTATGAATATGAATGATGAAGGAATTCACTTCTCTTCGGATTAAAAGCTGGTGTGGAATTGCAACTTGCAAGTGCGATGAACAATGATGTATTGTGGTGTTTTTAATTAAATTTGAACAAAATAATTGCATGAATGAGTCATTTGTCATAAAGTGAAAATCTATGGATAAAATATTAATATTGGTTCTGTAAATCTATCAAAAGAAAAATTTATATCATTTTATTTTAACATCCAGTGTAATGTGTATTTAAAGTGTGTTAATACAGATATATCAAAAACAGTGCCCTACAATGGTATGAATACATTTTAATTAATTTGATAAGAATGTATCCTCCTTAGCAATTTTCCATTTCTCCTTATCACAGAATATCCATCCCTTACCATGAAGTTCTTGCTGAAAGTATCCTATAACCAGCTGGACTCGACGGACTCTCTACCAAAGTTCTCCAGCTATGCGAAGGCACATGGATGGAAACTCCTAGTTTTATGCAGGTGATTTTAATACCACTATTCATGAGACCCTGCCTGTTACCCTGCCTGGCAGGATTCTTTATTTGTCGAGGACAAAATAAAAACTGACAATATTTTTGTGTACCAAACAAAATTGATGACAGCACAGACAGTCATATAAATAAGATAACCCAAATTTCAAACAAATTAAGCCATGGATAGGAACATCAGTCTAAAACTGAATTATCCTGAATCAAGTGAGTTATATCACTAATATAATTCTAAGATATCCATGTATGCAACTATGCACTTATTGTACCAGTAGATTCTACTGGTGTGTGGTTTGGTATCCCAACATTGGAAATTTATAACCCTTTTAATAATTAAAAAAAAGTAGTTATAATCTGTATTTTTGATATTGTACATATGCTTAAATTCAAAGTCAGTTTAGCTTAATTGCTGCCAAGTCTGATATTTTTATTTTATTAAATCTCCCTCTTATGTCATATTTCGCTTTGAGTAGTCGATCAACACATTAGTCTTTTCTCTCACAGTGTTCTGATATATGGGTCTCACTCAGTTCTCCTGAATCTCTGTAAAGATGAGACCGGTGTAATTCCATTCAACTCAGCTGCTGTCGTTCTTTTGACTGAACTAACAAAGGTAAGACATGCTTTGAAACATTGATTAGCAGTTCCATCTGAATATTAAAGATTCTTTGCAAATAGAGTGTATGTAGATTTAATATGACCTGATATTATTAATGACTTTGACCTAGCAGTTTAGGAGCTCAACTCATGAGATACAAACTTATGTTATTATAACTGTGTAACATACATTTTTCATAGACTCCATTTTAATTTTCCATTGATTATTATTCAATGGGTTAAAAGAAATGAGGTCAATTATAGGGCACTACCATTGTGCATGTATATGTTCTGTATTAATCGGAGCCTGTATTGGAAATCAAATGAAAATCAAAATGATACTAAAAGCGTAGTATAAACTCATAATCTGTCATTTCATAGGCTAACATTTTGTCAATAAATATAAGTTTTGAGTGTGTAGTTGGTAATGTGAAGTACCTTCTTTTTCTCTCTTTCCATACCTACCCCCCTCCCCCACTCTGTCCCTCTTTATTTCATAATGATTACCCACCCTTTAGCTGATGCTCTCTCTAGCCCTTTTGATTCCTGAGTTGCTTGCCCAAAGAAGAGCCGGCATCAGGGAGTCTGATCGCATGTTGCCTGTGAGGGACAGCTGGGTGTTTGCCCTCCCTGCTTTATTCTATGCTGTTAATAATAATCTGGTGGTCTGCATACAGCATTACATGGACCCAGCAAGCTTTGAGGTATGTGGGACCATATATAATACCTTGGAAAATAATTGTTATTACTTTTGATTTGTTTTTTGGATTTGTGGCAATTATAGTACAACAATATCATCACAAAAAAGTGCCACGATAATGAAAAATAAGCGCTATGTGTCATTATATGTTTCTAACCACTCATTTTGAAATGATGACCATTTGAATTCAAAGTGTTTTGTGTTTGTATATGATCGACTCAATCAGTAATCTACTTACTAAATATATGTCTTAGGAGGCAGATTATTCAACTTCTTCAAGACAATTGCTTTCTTTATATATTTCATCTCTCTTGTGCTATGATTTAGCTGTCTAGATCAGGTTACCTCTGTAATGCACTTAGAATTCAGATAGGCGTAATACACTTATTAACTACGGTATGGAGAGGACTGTGTACTCATTTGTCTTTTATAATTACATACACCCTTTTACTTCACAGGTCTTGAGCAAAATTAAGATAGCTATAACAGCTATCCTGTACAGGGTGGTGTTGAAGAATCAGCTTTCGACTAAGCAGTGGTTGGCTATAGCTGTTCTCTTCATCGGAAGCATGTGTAATAGGTAGGAACATTTAAAGCATAAGGGTGCTATATTTGAACTTCAGTGATGCTGGGAGGAGGAGGGGGGTTACAGGCAGATATATGATGCAGAACCACATTGTGAAAAAAGTGCACAATCCTCTCCGTCAAAAATCCAGGCAGGATAATTTGAAAGAAAAAAGTTTTAATTATTTCATAAAAAGTACACTGTTGCAGGTACTTGTGACAGCTTTCCTCAAGTATAGTTTTGTGGTGTATTCCGTGCAGTAAAATCAAGTAAATATGCTGCAGATATCTATTATGAAGTAATCATTCTACCTCTTTCCCAATTGGCCAGTTCCTAAAAAAATATCTACTGAATTATGTCTTTCCCATATGCTAACAGGAATTAGCAATACAGGAATCACTTGGTTCCCCAGGTCAATGGGTTACAATTTGCAACTTTACATCCATGCATATGTATGTCACTCTACCGAATTGGCTTGCCTGTATTATCTTTACTTGTCTTTACTAACGAATAATGATATTCTATTCCCTGTTTTCTCCTTGCAGTTTTGGAGCTATTGCTTCACGACAGAGCTTGAGGGCATCCCCCAGTGAAGTATACATCACTCTATCAGGCCTGTTGATGTTGTTAGCTTACTGCACCATCTCAGGTATGGCAGGGATCTACACAGAGTACATCCTCAAGAAGCAAAAACAGGTAGGACCTCGCTACAACTACACTTCACTACAGAAACTGATAATCATTGCAAAGTGTAGAATTAATGGAGAAATAAACAAATAATAGAAGCTGTTTGTAGGAGGTGGTTTACGGATGGCCAGTCTTCAAAACACGGGTAGCAGTGGTGTTCCAAAATCATAAATATTGCCTGCATTGATATTTAAAAAAAAAACTTTGACCCTTTCTGTGTTGTCTTTTTAAGCTGTTGGTAAATTTAGTGCACCCTTCTACTCATAATGATCTACAGATTCTTATGACAGGGATAAGAGAATGATATTTTATTATTGAGAGCACAATATTTTCAAGTCTCTTAATCCTATAGAATATTTGATCTTCAGGAAAAGATGCTTCTTGAAGAACTCTTACAAAAATGATGAACACACCCCATCTTCTCTCTCTCTCTCTCTCTCTGTTCACTGCATTGCACTAGACGTGTATAGAATTGAAAAATTTGAAACAGTGACATATCATCTCTTTAGTATAGTCAATCATTAGGAAAAGATGCTTCTTGAAGAACTTTTACAAAAGTGATGAACACACCCCATCCTCTCTCTCTCTCTGTTCACTGCATTGCACTAGACGTGTATAGAATTGAAAAGTTTGAAACAGTGACATATCATCTCTTTAGTATAGTCGATCATTAGGAAAAGATGCTTCTTGAAGAACTTTTACAAAAATGATGAACACACCCCATCCTCTCTCTCTCTCTGTTCACTGCATTGCACTAGACGTGTATAGAATTGAAAAGTTTGAAACAGTGACATATCATCTCTTTAGTATAGTCGATCATTAGGAAAAGATGCTTCTTGAAGAACTCTTACAAAAATGATGAACACACCCCATCCTCTCTCTCTCTCTGTTCACTGCATTGCACTAGACGTGTATAGAATTGAAAAGTTTGAAACAGTGACATATCATCTCTTTAGTATAGTCGATCATTAGGAAAAGATGCTTCTTGAAGAACTTTTACAAAAATGATGAACACACCATCTGTTTAGAGCCAGAAGGGTATTTACTATGTGTGAAAGTGTATGACTTAACATCCTTTTGACTCTCTGCAGAAGATATAACCTGAGAATGGAATTGAATCATAAATGTAAATATCATTTTAGTCTAATATGCTTTAATTTGTTGCAGGTATCATTAAGTCAACAAAATGCTTACATCTACATGTATGGCATTGCATTCAACTTCATCGGGTATATCATGACTACCTCATCAGACCAAAACGTAGGGTTCTTCCATGGATTCAATCAGTGGACATTGGTTGTTATTCTTACACAGGTAAGCTATGAGTCTATGACACCTATTCGGTAATAGGATGTTTACCTTATACAGTAGGCTTACGGACTCCCCATGTGAGAGTGGGGGGGGGGGGGAATTGGGGAGTCCTGAAAAAGATGGTAGTAATCTTTCTTTCTTGAGTGTGTGTGTAGTGCTAAAAAGGACTGTTGGTAGTCGTGAAAAGGACTGTTCGTAATCTTTCTTGAGCTTATAGCTCTAAAGAAAACTATAGCGACAGTTGAAGAGGATGGGTAGTAGGAGGGGATCAACGTTTCGAAACAGGTTGCCTGTCCGTATTCAGAAGTTTACCTTAATTGTTCAAAAGTATTTTCTAGCTAATCCAATTTGAATAGTATCAGGTACCAGTATATTGTAACTATACTGAATTCTTATCATTCTACTTTGTTTATACAAGTTTATGATAAATGAAACCCATTTTATACTTGACAGTGGGGGATAGCCAAAAACCGAACAAAATATTATTCACCCAGCTTTATGTAGCATTTGGCCTAGGGACACATATGACGTGCCTGCTACGTGTATGTGTACACGTCACTTACAAGTAAATAAGCCTTTCATAAATCCTGTACGCTATCATTTCCCTGTGAGTTCTCAGTCATAGGTTCCGTGGTGCATATATGTACAAACATACCGGTATGCAGATTTCATAGCATCTCAGCTCATATAAATCCCAAATTGTCTTCTCCTTTTTCCCATTGTTTACAGGCAGTGAATGGTCTAATCCAGGCGTTCCTTATGAAGCATGGAAACAGCATAATCCGTCTCTTCATCATCGCCACCGCCATGTTGGTTGCTACGGTCTTATCAGTGCTAGTCTTCTCTCTCCAACTCAATTCCTTCTTCTACACAGCTTTCATCTCGATGGCCTTTGCTCTGTGGCTGTACCACGGTTGATTGAGTTACATCCTTAAAGAGAAGGTTGAGTTCTGGGAAGAGCGAGTGAAAAATTATTTGTGGGCATTATCATTGTATTATGCAAGTGTGGAAGAACATCAAATAAAAAATGTTCTCTGAAAAGCATGGCTCTTCAAATGCCTTAATATTCTAAAAAGGGTATGTAACAGCATAAAAATCGGGATGGATTTTTATGCCACATGTTCGTGTAGTCCCATATACGTATTACTGTGTACAGTACTTGTAACTTTACCAGGACTGGGTCAAATTTCTTATCATTTTGATAATTCCAGAACCTTGCAGTACACACCAAAAGTTATATGCTAGATGATCAACCTTTTCTGATCGATTCCACACCGTTTCTTTCACAATGCAATGGCATGACCAGAACTCAACTTTATCTCTAAATCCAACCTTAAAAGACAACTTTTCTAAAAGAAAGCAGAACAAATCAAAGAAGCAGACTGTGATATAGTGCCCGACAATTTTCCCAACATATGAAATGACTGAAATTTCAATTTAAAATAAATAAGTTAATAATATTTGTGTACATGACAAATCGTAGATTGTCCAGGACTATGTCACAATCCACTGACCAAATTGCCAATTTGAGATTTGCATAGATTTAGTGATCAGATATTTACAAAAGTTGGATTGTCCTACAAGTGTAGTGTAGCGTGGAGAATTTTCAAGCTAATTGTACTCTTTATTCTCCAATAAAAATGACTCCTTGTCTACCTGTAATTCTGGAGGCAAAATAACCTAAAAGACAATCTCAACTCCAGCCCTTACCCTATATCTCTGACAAAGTAAAGTCATTTGTAATTGTTGCCAGAGAAAATGTTGGCTTGCCATGTCTTATGTATGCATCTTGATATATATCAGTACTGATCTATTAGCACAGATTTACCAAGTGCGTTGTAAACTACAGTGTATCCTTATAGACCCTGTCGGGAGTGAAAAATGAAAAAGATGAATTAAATTTCAACAAAAAAGCTTTTGAGCCATAGACTACAATAATGTCAATTATATGCTATTTTGATGTCTTATAGAGGAGTAAGAACTCTCTGAAAACTCGAAATTATAAGCTTAGAAAATCGGAAGTAGTTGACCTAAAAAAATAGCTATCAACTTGATGACATTACTTCATGTGGTTTTTTGCATATTCAACATTAAGCTCATCGCCTCAGCTCTATAGGCAAGCCATTCATCTGTTGACCCCTGTTGACCTGTAATTTGGAGGGGTGTGGAAAATAAGGCTTTAATTTGCTTTTGTGCAATACTGAAAGGGAATTTTTTTTTCTTCAAATGCCTTTATATTTGTACTCTAAGTTTATGCAGCTTTTCATTTATATAAAGTTCAATATAATATTTCATTGAGTAGTCTTTAACCATCTGACTGTTCAAATGATGGATCATTAAGATTTTACAAGTTTAAATGTTCGTATCAAATGCTGTTATAAGTTCTTCCAAAATTGGATTGTAGTCGGATTTTATATTTTGTGCTGGGCTAAGGCTCCATATCACACGTTTGTCTGTATCTTGTTGTGTTTGTTATATTTGATTTTTATAGGTATCAGTATGTATTTATTTAAACTTTTATCCAGTGAATTGTGGTATTAGCAGTAAATTGTGCAATGTATTTGGAAACATTGGCTTTAATCATCATATAATATTTTGTTAAGTGCCATGCAGTTTCTGAAATAGAGGTTTTTTTTTCTTTCTCAAGGCAGAATTGTATATCAAAACATTAAAATGATTCATATACATGTAGTGTTGACTTAAAATTCAAGGAAAATGTGGTAAAAGGAAAGACAAATAAACTTGAAAGATAAGTTACAGGAAGAGAAAAGGGAAAAGAGTCAAATTAGTTCCAGAGAAACAATTGTCTTTCATGATTATTCAATTTGTTGTATTATCCATGATTGTGAGATTTAGAGAGCCTAATTTCAATATTTTTGGCACATTGTGAAGCAGACGTGAGGCAAACTTTTTCAGATTGCAACAAGTTCATATTGCATTAACTCATTATGCAGCATTATTGATGCTATACCACTTGTAAAATTGCTGAAGTTGTCTGATTTTACATTATGTGACCTTATTTAAAAAAGTATAAGATGAAGATTGTATGAATGTTGATTTTTTATGTGATTGGTAAGAGAACAGGTATTTAGATAAGTTATCCAGAGGGTGCTGATGACTTACACCTCTATTCGAGGGACTAGATTATGAAGGATTTATTTTGGGGGGCTATTTAATTCATCAGTATTGATCGTAACCTTGATTAGAATGACGCTTTATAAAAAGTTGTTTTGTTCCTTGCCAAGTAAAAGCATAAGAATGTGTACAAAACACTTTGGTAGCTTTCTTCGCCTCTTTGCACAGTTGCTAGTTTGCTACACATGCAATTTTGCACAAGACAATAGTCACCAGTTTACAGAAGGATTGCTTTGTGCAACACAACATCTTTGACAATTTACCAATTTCCAAATTGATTAGCTCCATGATGACCTTAGCACCAGTATATATTAATCTTACACTGGACGAAGTTAACTTATCTTGAAGCCTGTGGCATATCCATCCCATGATAAATACAAAGTGGCACAGGGAGATTATTTGTGTGGCACGTAAAAAGTTAATGAATTGTAATATTGTATCATCAAATGAGATGAAAAATTAAATGTACTTCAAATTGAAATAACCTTGCCAAAAAAGAGAACAATTTGCCTAGCATGCCAAGTATTTGACTTTTATAATTATATAATTTTCTTCTGTACTTTAAGTTTATGAAACAAATCATCAAGATGTTTAGTACTTTTAGTACTTAGAAATATGAAAGGACCATTATGTAATTTACACATCTGTATTTATATTTTTTTGTTGTATTAATCAAGATTCAGTACTTTTGGAAATAAAATTTCATATATATATATATATTGCCAAAAATTGTTAAATATCCATGCAACTGTTTTATTTTTCTCTTGTCTATTTTGTCATTTTATTTCTCTTTCTGTCTTTGTCTTCTGCTTTATCTTTCTAAAAGTAACATTTTTGTAGTTTTCTAGCCCCCCCCCTGTATTTCATCTGAACGTTATGTAAATCAGTAAAAACAAAATCTTCGCAATTTCCTCAATCCTATGAGTCCATTATAATACTTCCTTATATTCTAAAATCCAAGCGTTGTAACTAAAAAAACATGTTCAACATTTATTCTAGTTCATGGATATTATTGATACACTTTGGATTTTAAACATAAGAATCATTGAAAAGACAGGTTTAGGTTAAATTTGTTGTAACAAGTTGCCAGTGATTGGAAGCAAAATTGTTATAAAGGAAATTCATTTGTTGTAATCATAACTAAGAAAAAGGATCAAGTTAAGTATTGGTCATTTTTTGTTATATATCATTGTCTCAAAGAGAAGCTCAACTATTGATCTTTTTTTTTCTTTTCCCAGGCCCATTTTCATTTTTAGCCTCATTAAATTCCAACATAACAAATTGTCTAATGATAAAAAAGAATTTTAGTGTCATTTAGGGAAGGAATTTAGACTATAAGACTGAGAAGAAAATTCTGCATTCAGAACAAATTTAAGATACCTTTTCCACATTTTGGGTATTCCATTTAAATAAAGCACTTGAATAGAGCCAATTCTTTATTTCGTTATATTAATTTTTAATGAAATGTTTCAAGATAGAAAATGCCGAATGGGTATTTTTTAACACTGATGCACACTCTTGAATGTAATAGTTCACTTTTATAGGATGTTAGGGGCATGTGAGAGTGGTCTTTTAGTATCTTCAGAGGTAATAAAGCCTACTGATGATAAGGCACCTATATCAATTTCTTAATTTATATGGCATGATTTATCTGACGCAGTTTAGTCCCTAAAGAAGTAATTTTATGTCAAAGGGTTCACTTTACAAGTTCCAAAGGCATTTCTTTATTTGTTTGTTTCTCGTGGTTTTTACCAAAGGAAACGTTAGCGCCTTATTATCCCCCCCCCCCCCCAAAAAAAGAAGAAAATTGCACTGGCATTAAATTTTTCCAATATGATTTGTGCTGTCGCCAATACCTTCATTATCTTCATAATTATTTTCTCAACGATTTTCTGTTTCTGCTCAAAATATAAATCAACCGATTACACTAAGGAGTGAAAAGTAAAATCATACGTAAGTACGCATTTTATTTTTAAGCTGTTAATTTTGTGTAAAGGTGAATGATTTATTTGATTTTTATGATCGAATGTGAGATATGAAAGTGTTTGTTAGAACGGCAGTTTGTTTAGTTCGGTCCCAGACGTGCGAAATTTTGTTTGTTCTCAGACTGGAGGGGTTATGTCTACTGACGTCAGTAGACTTGATAGACTTAGTAGCTAACGATGGTCTACTACGTTATTACTAGTCCTATGTTATGGGAAAAGGAAGGAGACATGGAAGAAAATAAGGAGAAAAAGAAGAGAAGAACCATAAGAAGGAGGAGGAAATAAAAATAATAAGAAGTTCAAACTTTAATTCAAATTTCAAAGCTAGTTTTTTTAAGGAAAAAGGGCAAGGTGAAGAAAAAAAAAGAATAAATTGAAACGGAAATAGAAGAGGAAGAAGTAGAAGAAGGAGAAGGAGGGGGAAAGAAAAAGAAATATTAAAGGGGAGAATAAGGATGGAAGGGAAGAAAAGATTAAGAAGGGGGGTAAATACGAGAAGAAGAGGAGGAAGAAAGGAGGAGGAGAAGAAAATAAAAGGAAGAAGAATGAACAGGAGGAGGAGACGGATGATATCAGAGTTGGACGAAGAAAAAGAAGGAGGAGAATGAAAAGAAGGAGAAATAAGACTGGAAAAAAGAAGAAGGTCAAAGAGGAGATGTGGTTATTGTTTACAGGAGTAACGGGAGTGGTAATTAAAACTACTTTTATCAATTCAGATTTACACACTGTAAAATTGAAGGTTGTTGAATATATTTCAAGTTAGTTTTGTTGTATAATTATATTTTTCAAAATAATGCCCTGAATATTTAATTTAACAATTTTAATTTATTTCTATTTTACCAGCTTTTTAACAAATTTAGGCCATACAATCTTTATCTGTGTGTTATAGAAATGAATTCAGAACACTTCAGCGCCCTAATAACACTATACTTAGGTAACAATTTTTTAATCTGAAATGTGTGTTATTGTTATGTTTTGAATTCATGGATTACATAGTTACAGATTGTATGGCTTTTACATATATTTTATAAAGTAACAAATTAGAACAATATTCTGAAAAGATTTGAGGAAAACTTTCATAGAATTTGCATTAAATGAACTTTGCATCCTCCATCTTCACAATGCACAAATGTCAGTCTGATGCAAACTTTTCTTTCTTTTTTTACCAGTAATTCTTTCTTTGAATGTTGAGGTAGTTGGAACACGTAATTATGTTTCTAAAATTTTGTTCAGAACTTCAGAATCAAGGTTTATCAAAGGATCAGACTTTCATCAGCAGCATCATGATGCGACAGGGGACAGAAAAAGAGAAGCAAGGAGACTTGAGTGATTTGAATCAGAAGACAACTGTAGAGCTGATCGATTTATTGGCAAGGCAGGATAAACTTTTAGCTAACAGGTAATATGAATAGTTGTAGAAATTGTCAAAATTACAGATTCATTTGTCATATTGAAGAGTTGTGAATCTTAAAGTATCTACATGTACATATATACATACACTGTTTCACTTTTAGATATTTGTGTAGGTATTTTTCTCGAATGTATTTATTTTCATTTTAGCAAGACATTGATCTACATTTGCCACACTCAACCCAGGTGATGTAACTGGGTGCCTAGCAGGAATTAATTCCTTGAAATGCTAGAGCACCGTAATGGCAGCCGTGCTAAAGCCACTTTTATAAGCCAGGGTAATAATCGGGAGCGTCAGGAGTGTCAAGTCTGACAGACATGAGCGCTATACAAGAACCCACTATTATTATTACCGGTATTATTATTTATGTAATATTAATCTGTACAATATGTACACCGTACACGAAATATGAATTTGAAACGAATAAAGATAAAATTATATTATTATATTATAAACGTCAAAGTTATATACACTGTACTTATGATAAAAGTGTTTTTAGGGTGTCAAGCACATGAATCTGGCTAAAGTTTATAGATATATAATATAAATATTTTTCTTTCATATTATCAGGAAATTTTTGTTGCGATTACAAGACAAAGGGGCGAGAGTGGAAAGCCTTGCTGAGAAGTTGAGATTATTAATAAAGGAGCGTGAGGAAGTGGAAAGAGCTGCAAATCTCTTTGAAAAAATGGACCTTGGTCAAGAGGATTCCTGCATTAGTTCCGTGACAGAAAGAACATCTATTGACCAATCAAAAGCAAGAATTACTGTGACGGAAAAGAAAAATACAGACTCTGATGCAGTATCCAACCCTGGAGACTTCTCCTGGATTGGGAAGAAAGAAAAGGAAGAAAAGCGAGAGAAATTCAGGCCAAACAAGGACTTAAAATCGACCGTTATACCTGATGGCTTGCCGAGGCCTTCTATTGAGCCCTCTCCCGTAAGAGGTCAAAGTTTACATGAAAGGTCATCGATGGAGGAGAGAGATGCTGAAGAGTCATCGGCAGTGGTCCCACCGCTCAGGAATCAAGAAGCTCAGGTCGTGGAATTCCAGGAGTCTGCCGACCTACTCCAGGAACAGAAGAAACACTCTGAGGTCAGTATGTTGTCATTGTTTGTAATGAAGCAAGACATAAAGATGTACTTGATTCTTATTTAGGACAGAAAACAATAACTCAAGAAGAAAGCTAAGATTTAAAGGGTATAACAAGAATACATTTACTCATGATAGGAAATGAAGTAGCACAAAAGACGTATTCAGAATGCAGAAGGCATAATAATAAGTTAAGTTAGTTAATTAAAAGTTGTTTTTTGACATATCTCAATGAAAGTTTAGGTAACATCAAGCCTCATCGGGATCGAGTACATTTATTTACCAGCTCCATAACCCAACAACGTGATTCTAATTTTATAGAATAAAATTGCCATTTTCAACAATTATGCCATTTTTGTTTTGGATGTCTTTTCATGCTACTACATTTGGCTAAGCTACTTTACCACAAATCCTTGGATGGTGGGTCACTCTTTAGTCAATATTGCATGATATTTCGATGGAAGTAGTTTCTTTAACAGCACAGCTTAAAGAGAAGGTTGAGTTCTGGGAAGAGGTGAAAAATAATTTGTGAGCTTTACTCATTCTTATTATGCAAGTGTGGAAGAACATCAGATAATTAAGACATGTTCCCTGAAAAGCATGGCTCTTCAAATGCCTTTATATTCTAAATATGCATGTAACATCGTAACAATCGGGGGGGGGGGGGGGGGGGTCGGCTTTTTACGCCACGTGTTTGTGTAGTCCCATATACATCTTTCTGTGTACAGTGTTTGTAACTTTACCAAGACTTCGGCCAAATTTCTTATCATTTTGATGATTCCAGAACCTTGCAATACACACAAATTCTTATATGCTAGAGGATCAACCTTTTCTGGTCGGTTCCACACCGTTTCTTTCACAATGCGATCGCATGACCAGAACTCAACTTTATCTTTAATGTAATGTGTTTAATGAATTTGTACTTGTGCCTGTGGAATTCATATTTCTGTCTAGAAGTTCTTAACCTTGAGCCTCGAGCACATTGCTTATATCGAGTTGGCTCATGAATTAAACATACTTTGTTATTATTTTGTAGTATTTATCAATGTTATTACATGTTCATTTTTGTCTTTTCTGTTTCTCTCTTGTAGGCTTTAGTTGCCAAGCAAGCAGCTGATAGATTGACGGAAAGACTACACATGCAGATGGGTGACTTCATTCCCCATGTCCCACAAGGAAGGTATGTTCGGGTTGGTTTGGTTTATTTTCTATGAATAAAATTTAATTATGGTTCATGATAAATATAAATATAATCAAATATTGACAGACAGCTCTATTTAGAGTCATTCAAAGATGCTCTGCTCATTCTAGAGGTCCAGGCAAAAAAATTCATAAACCATATAACATTCATGTATGTGAGTATCAAACATAAAATATTAGGTCTCACATTACTTCTGTATCACTTTGATTCAGAATGTTACACTTCCCAACTCTTCCCTGTCTACATCAACAGTTTATAAAATCTAGTATCCATTCATTTAGGTCATTTTGAAATAGGTCGAGTGTCTTTGATCTACATTAAGCTAATTGGTAATTTAATATTTTAGATCCACAATAACAAAACTATCTGTATAATTTAGGGCAAGATTATATTTCTAGGCTACGTTTCTTAGGGCATGCTTGGTTTCTTTGTATGAGACACTGTTCTCGCGCCTTTGAATGTTTTTTTAAAACAGATACATGGCGCCATACAAATGCTGTTCTTCATCATCATCATCTTCTGCTTATAATCAAGAGTTAAATTTTATAAAATTTTATATGAGCAATCCAATCTTGACAGCACACTTCTTTAGATGAAAGCAGAAAAATCAGAAATGCATACTGGTGAAAGTTTCAGTGAAATCAGACAGAAAATTAGAAAGTTATGACTTTTGAAAGTTGCAATCACTATAAGCATGGGCTCTTTAAATTGGCTGAATCATTAATGTCTCTGTGATGTAGTGGAGGACAACTTTTCCATTTGTTCCAACACTCAAAATGACTAAATTTCAATTTTTCAAAAATGTATGACTTGGGATGGTCTTTCCTTTTTAGAGGACCTGTAATAATATTTTTTTAGAAGTGCTCCAAGGGTGAGGGCACTTGGGAGAAAAACAAAAGTCTTTTCAACTTAAAGGTAATCTTTTTGCTCTTTCAGCTACCGAGGTGGAACAGTAGACAGTGATGATGAGGAGTCTGAAGAAGATGAAGACGAAGAAGAAGGATCAGATGAAGGAGGGGAGGAAGAGGGTGATTGAGGGTGCTGTGTTCTTGCGAGAGGTATGACCTACAATCAGCAGCAGCAGCAGCAGTGCTATCCCAGACATGGAAGGAAAGGTGCATGAAAGTTCACACAATGGCACCTTATTCCATCTCTGGACATGGGACATGTTTAAACAATCTATCCACATGTCCTAAACATGTCTAAACTTAACTCATCAGTATCAGGCATATTCCGAAGGTTAAGATATGTAGAAGTATCTGTACCCTGCCATGTAAAGTGAACTATCAAGTAGCAACCATGCGGAAACATGCTTACATGCCTCTTCTATTACAGGATCTAGACAAATTGCAGGAAGTTATGTCTTCTGTAATCTGCATGCAGAAACTTATTGATTAGTCAAGAGGAAGAGTATGACACGTTATTTTAAGGAGGGTGTGATAACTCAATGATATTCCACTTGTTATTAAAAATAATCAGTGAACTACATCGAGACATAATGGCAGATATATATTGACTTGTAATGTTCTAGAAGGATAAGATTTGCATTAAATATATTTTGAAGTATAATACCTAAATAAAGCACAAAAGTGTAACCCGCAAGATTTGACATGATATGATTATGCATAAGAAATGGAGGAGGCCTGTTGGTTATATGCATAGATATATAACTTGCATTAACTATTATAAATGAATTTAAAAAATGTCATAAGGGAAGGTCTGACTTTTTTCTTTATACTATGTCCAAGGCCATGCCTAATTTTACTTCTATTTGTAATATTGCAAGCCAAACTTTTGAAAGGGGAGGGGGGGGGGGATGGGGTGAATAGGCCTCCATCTGTCACAAACAAGAAGAAACTTCAGTAAGTTTTTAATAGAATTATAATCTACAGCTTGATAAGCTACTGTAGTAAAAACGTAATATTACAAAGCTTCGTGTTTTGAAGAGAGGAGTTATAAAGATCTGAAAGATACACACTTGTAAATAGTATTTTGTTTTTTAGTTTTATTCCAGCCATTCACTTGCTTTGATTTGAGACAGAAAATGAGAGCTAGGCAGAGACAGCACATAGACAGCCGAGAGAGAGAGAGAGAGAGGGAGGGGGGGGGGGGGGGAAAGAGAAATTGCAAGAGCTTTAAGAGTGGTACAAACTTGTACATGTAAGTGAAATAGTTGTGAGTGAAGCAAGTCAGAAACATAGATATAGATAGAGGGGAGGAATGGAGGGAGAGAGAGAGAGAAAGAGAGAGAGAGAGAGAAAGAAAGAAAGAGAGATAGAGAGAGAGAGAGGGAGAGAAAGAGAGAGAGGGAGAGAGAGAGAGAGAGAGGGAGAGAGAGGGAGAGAGAGAGAGAGAGAGAGAGGGAGGGAGAGAGAGGGAGAGAAAGACAGGGGAGGGGTTCACAATGAACATGGAACATCATTTTCACTAAATAAAAGACTAAATCAGACCGTTATTGTTGTATATATATTGCTTCTAAGTTTATTGGTAGTATTAGTATCTATCATCAAATAACATATTATATAATTATATATTATAATATACATTTAAACTTCTCTCACAAGGCATGAGCATACAAAAATAGAAATTGAGAAAGCGTTAAAACTCCAATGCAAAACATCAGTCTACAAGAAGTACGAAATGCACATCCATGTAAAAGAGCCCATATGGGAAACACACACATCTATAAAGTCATGGCAGAAAATATATTTTTGTGTACTGTACTAAATTTATATTGGTTGCATAGCACAACATCTTCTTAACCTCCTTTGTTCAATTCATTTTATTTCCATATATTGTATACAACTATAAACAAACTCTTTGAATTTGTTGTATTATAGAAGTGTATTTTGTTGCAAATTTATGGCAGCACTTTTGTTGGGTGAACAACATCTTAAACACGATGCAAAACCATTTCTGGCAGTGATATAGCCGTTGTTTGTTACCTCGGACGCTTAGGTGTAGCTTACATATTCATGCAAATAATTACCCATTCACATAAGAGGAATGCGTAAGAATAATAATCGTTGGTCAAATCAATTTCTTTGGTCATGACAACAGTAAAACCAAAATATTTTGGTTTTACTGTTCTCATTCACAAAACATGGACACACTGTACTTATTGTTTTCTACAGGTAATACAAATATTCACTTAAACACAGATTTGATTTTATTTGGATCGGAAAAAAGATTGCTATCTCTCTCGTGTGATGAAGCCATTGCAGCAAGTAAAGTAGAAAAGTGTGATGTTCGTTGTCAAATGGCCCACTCATACAATCCATGGATCAATTGTACTACACGGTAACATAAAGATGACATGTTTATTTCCCCCAAATAAAAACGTCTTATATCACAAAAATTACAAACTGATGCTAAATGATCACGACAATGAAATTAAATTTTTATCAGGTCTCTGTATTCTATTTGACACTAGATTACAAAAGTTGTGACCAAAATGTGTGAAATAAAATGTTCATGAAATTGATTAATATCACAATCACATGTTAATCATACATATGTACCATTCTCATCAAATTTGATCGATTTCTTGTCGCAATATTGTGTAATAAAATGCTAATAATACTTTAATACAATTCAATATGATCTAAATTTATTACATAAAAATAATAAATTTATTGTTCATTACAAGATATATCCACATAATTGATGTCTAGACTATATTGTACAGAGAAAAAGAAGAAAATTAAATAATAGCAAAGATTGCCCTGTGTGCAGGCAGAGATCAATACAATTGGCTAGGCTCGATCAGGCTTCATGGAATTTTTTGATCGTCAAAATCGAGTCTGTTCCAGCAGACTTACGATTGCTACTGAGTTGTCATCTAGTGTTTGAGGTATAAATCGGTGCACGCTGTAGTTGAGTCGGGGTGAAATCTATGATAGCTGATACTGAACACTCAATAAATATGGAAAGATTAAAAAGGATTTGAGAAGAACAAATGGATAGAAAAATGTAGATGACAGAAAGCAACTGAGTGAAAATTATACTGGGGGCAGAGAGGGTGTAACAGAGTAACCATTTGCATGTGCTAGTTTAAGGCTTGTGAACTTTATGAATCTTTTTTTTCTCAAACACGGAAATGAAGACAGATAAATATGTTTCTATTTATTGCTTATATGTTACTCCTTCACACAAAATCTTCATTTATGCCTGACTCCAAAATACACTATACATTCGCTACAAGATTATAAGCATTACTAATCACTAATATTTCAAACAGACATCACATTTAGTATTGCACATATTCAATTATTATGTACTGATCAATGAGTTACGGAAATGTCAATCATTAACAGAAACCTCCAACCTTAACAGTAAAAAATTGGATCTAAAATACAAACTTTAAATGAGCATGAATGCAATTCAATTAAGATTTAATTCAAAATTATGAATGAAACCCCCCAGGTAATAGTATAGTATTAATGACTGCTTTAAAGCAGTCATTAATACTTTTATATGCCAAAAAAATAAAAAATAAAAAATAAAAAATAAAAAAAACTTTTGTCGAAGATGGGATTTGATCTCTTGCGTACAGAAGGTAATGTAACTAAAATCACCGCCTTTAACCGCTCGGCCATCGCGCTCTGTTACCTTACTGAGCAGTTTTCTCTAATATATACATTAAAATGGATTGAAAACGGCTTCGCGTGGTGGATGCTTCGCGGCTGCTCCATTAAACGGGCCCTTCTTTTACTTTTGCAATGCATATTGGCACGAACTTAGATCAAGATCTATCGGCAGATGTTGTTTTTTTTGTTTTTGGAAGTTTATTTTCGTCTTCATGTCAACAATGCAAGACAAAAATTTTCGGTAAGATCGATCGAGATTCAATTGTATTGAAATTACCGACCAATTCTTCGCACACGTACGGTATCCTCGATCGCAGACCATTTTTTAACATGTAAACCTATGGGGTAACCATGGAGACTGAACTATTTTCCCGGTAACCATGGTTACTGGGATTTTAGAACTGTTTTAACCATGGTTACTGGGAAATTTACAGAAATAGTTTAAGTTTATGAATGCAATTTCGACCAATCAGATGGCTGGATTTCTTAAGTGAGGTATATAATGCATGATACATGTATATCACATTTGAAATATACAATAAAAATAGGTGATAGGACAGAGCAGAGCATTTAAAAGTAAAATTCTAATTACTTACCAAGCACTAAATACTTCAAATGAGATAACAGAACAAAAATATACCAAACTTACTCTATCCCGGCTACCTAAAAACTAAAAATGTCTACATTTAGGACTGGTATCTCAAAAGAATATCTCCAAATTGTCCAAGTTCCTGTAGATATACTTGTAGATCTTCAGTTTGATCCCATCAGTGTCTGTGCCTCATTGTATTAAATACACAGCTCTCAGCCTCTACTTATATGTAGTTGGTGGCTCAAAATAATGGTGGGAGGAATTTGATAGATTACACAATTTTTCACTAAACATCTGAATACCCCCCCCCCCCCCCTAAACAAATAAAAATATACAGGTGGTATGATGATGTTGGTGGATAGAGAAAAAAATATGGGTCAACCTCATAAACTAAAAAATTAATTGATAGAAGAATCAATATGTTAATGGTACTGTATGTAATGCTGCCATGAAAAATACACCAACAATAACAATGCATCATATAGAGAACATATTTATATCTTGTGTAATATCATCCAAGATGAACAAGGATATAACCGACACGAACTGGTGTTTGACAACAACTAATAGAACATGTTTTCCCAAAATGATATTGCTGTTAATATCAATATGTATCTTGGCACTGTGTTTGACATTCTTTCACTTTGATAGTCGTAGCTTTTATGTGACCTTCAAAGACACACATCTTTATCACTTTTATGTACATAACATGCTTCTGAAACTATACATACATTACTTCAATCTGCATACAGACTAAGACAGACCTAAAGGTCAATGTTTCTGCATGGCATATCAAACCCCATCTACCCTTCAGTGTTGACCAAATGACGCAACTCACTATTCAAAAAGTGAACTGTTGCATTAACAAATTTAATCGCAAGGACACTTTGATATTGCATTCTGATAGCATGTGAAATCGACCATATGCTCAATAAGAGTGTGAAATAACATTTGTACTTAGAATAATCAATTAAACTGTATCAAAATGTTTGTTGCTTCATTTAGTAAATGTATGTGAATGGATAAAATGGGTTCTAGCATATATATCAAAAAGATTTTAGTGGATACCGGTATTCAAATCAACAAAGTGAATTTTAAAAAATGTAAAGAAAATGAAATGTTTGGATCAAATACAAAAAAAAGTCTGTTTATGTATTTGAATTATGGTCTGGCTATATTTCTGATGCATCAAATGGATCAATTATAGATGTGCCTCAGAAATGATTCCTATTACAAAGCTATAAGAATGTGGCAACATTGCAACATTATATCCTACTTGGCAATATTGACTAGAATTCTTTAATATATACACGTCATATTAACTCATTAAATATGAGTTGCTTCTGGTATAACAGACTTGATCATTAGACTCTTACCTGATTGAGGCAACGCAGCTGCAAAAATAAGCTAATATGAGTATTGCTACTAACAAACTAGCTTCAGTATTTAGGCACACATTTTGCAAAGCAGCAAGGCTTGACCCTTTCTCACACACTGATAAAGTTATGAATATATGCTTGGATCTAAACCAACTCGTCTGAATGGCCCAGCCTTCGCTTTCATTCACATTGATAGAGTTATGAGTCGCGGATCCAAACCAACTCGTCTGAATGCCCCAGCCTTTGCTTTCATTCACAATGATAGAGTTTTGAGTAGGTCTAAACCCACGCGTCTGAATGACCCAGCCATGGCTTTCATTCACATTGACATTGATAGAGTTATGAGTATAAGCTTGGATCTAAACCCACTCTTCTGAAAGACCCTAGCGTCGCTTTCTGGAAGGCAGTCTCATAATTGGACATTGGGTAGACGATTCCAACCAGCTCCTCGAATGGGTACTTCCTGCTGAACTTTGACATGAAGGATAGCGCCCTCTCCAGGTGCTCTGGGGCATAGTTGTGAATACCTGCAAGAAAAGTTGATGAAGATTATCCAAAGCTATTCAAGGTTGGCAACTGCATGTACTTGTTGGTGGGGTTAAAACCTTGACTTATAAAATCCTCTGAATTGCTTCCTTTAATGCCAAGTTGTGACTGGCAAATCCTGCCCAATAATCACAATATTGTACCATGATGCTTCGACTAATAATAAAAATTCTCTCTTCCTCCAGCAGAATTCATTTACATAAGTTGTAGTTCGCTTTATGAAGGATATATCATTAAAGCCCCCAAAGAATTGATATTTGACTTTTAAAAGTCTACTTTGGTCAAATATTTGTCAACCTCACAGCAGAAAAGGTAGAAATTAATTCAGAACAATGGATACACTCTACTTTGGTTATATTCAAAATTCAATAACCACAAATTAATTTGGCTCAACACATTTAAAGATCTTCTTGGTGGTTGTAATTTATAGACTTTTAATTATGACTATTGGCATCTAGGACTGTGCTTCGTATGGGATCTGAACCAGGGACCTTGGCAATTAAAGACAAATACATGTACCCGACACAGAAGGTGATATGATCTAGTGCTGTAGTCAAACGTTTAACCGTCCGGTATCCGACCGCCCATGGCGGATTCTGTTTTCAATTGGACAGTTTCGTTTTCCCGTTTTTTTTTTTTTTTTTAATATTTTTTTTTTCTTTTTAAGTTTCGATTTATGCCCCTCCACCTGGCACTATGCCTGGCAATGTCTCCCAGCTCAGTAATCTGTGTGTTGACTCACCACTCCGAAACTAGAACAACACTCCAATTTGTCTGTCATCTTGGTTTGAAAGTAATCTTTGTTATAGATCTCAATATGTAGTTTATAATAATAATATATCCAACTTTTACACACGGCGTACCACAAGGTTCTATCCTAGGTCCTCTACTGTTTTTAATTTACATTAATGATCTTACACATTCTTCTAAAAACAACATTGTTACTATTATTTGTGACAAATTCACAAGCACAAATCGGCGCCTTCAAATGCACCTCGCAGTTAAATGAAAGTCCTACCCGCTTTTTCGCACGGGTCGGTCCCCCCCCCCCCCCCCCCCCCCCCCCCCAAAAAAAAAAAAAAAAAAAAAAAAAAAAAAATTTTTTTTTAATCGTTTAACCGAAAACCGTCCGGTTTTGACTGGCGGTTGAGCGGAATTAGAGATATCCGTGATGTTACAGCACTAATATGATCACACACTCTACAGGTACGTATCCTTGATCAAGACTGTGCCACACCCAGTTCTCATCCATCAAATCCTCAGGTAGGATACAAAAGCCAATGTAGTATGCTTAGCAATTTAAGCCTAGTAGCTCTTGCTGGAATGCTCCCCAGGGAGTGGAGAAAGTGCATACATTGTGTGTGGCAAGCCAGAATCCAATGACCGGGGTAATAATGTAAAGCGCCTAGAAACTCGAACATAACTATTAAGCGCTAGATGAGCAGAAATATTATTATTTCTAATATTTTGTTCACCCACCTTTGATAGTGAGGCACTTCCTGATGATGGCTTCCGCTGTGATATTCATGTAAGAGTCTGGATGCACAAGGCCAACCAGGACATAGATTCCACCTGGTTTGAGAAGCTGAATACCGGACTTGATGATGCCGCTCACTCCACATACCTGAGAGAAAAGAATGGGAGAAGAATTAAAAAAAGCAATCATGCTGATCACCACAAGGTCATCTATTCACACACAATTATATTTCTGGTCAGCCGGTGAAAAAGAAAGCAGTAGAATAATAGTACATTTTGGAAAGTGATCCTCTGCTTAGAGCCTGAAGAACAATAAGGCGAGGCGTCAAAAATAAATATACCAGCCAGCGGCAGCTAACTGCACTTGTGCGTCCTGGCTGCATTTTTTAAATTAGCTCAGCCGGCTACCGCTGGCGGTAGGAAATGGCATCCAAAAGCATGCGCCGGCTGCCGCCTTTCGAATGGAAACCGAGCCTCAGATCCCAGCCTGGCGCAAGCCGGCTGGGCTAATAAGTGAAAAATAATTGCCCCAGCCAGGCTTCGGCCGTAATTGCAGCCTCGATGCGCCAATACGTGAGGCGGCAGCCTGCTGGTATTGATATTTTTGACGCCTCGCCTAACTGATTTGATTACTTTTGAGTCAATAAAGGCAAATGTATTGTGTTGTTACAAGTGCAAATGGATCACAATTGTGTTTCTACAGTATATTAATCTCAATGCACCTACTATATGACGGTAGGAAAAAAGTCCTAAAAAGTTGACACTAAGAAGCCTGAATTATCAAAACTCATATATCTAAATGCATATACCCATAGAAAGAAATACGATATGTAGATCTTGCATGATAAAGGAGTCCATCAATGGTAGATCCAGGATGTTAGCAAAGGGGGTGGGAGTAGGGTGCGGTGGGGTGATGTGGGATCGAGGTGCAGACCAGCTAATGCCCTTTCAATTTTCAAGTCATTTTTAGGAATCCATACATTGGTAGTTGTGTTCTTTTTTTTTGGGGGGGGGGGGTGGGGAGATGGGGTGCACCCCTCCTTCATTCACCAGTACATTGTATGTAGACTGCGCTTACCTCTATGACAATATCCAGTTCGTTCTCATTGAAGCAGGCCGATTCATCCCCTGAGCAACAAATAGAAAATATTCAGATCAAGAAATAGTCTAGAGTATAGGGGATCAAAGTAAATACTGGTAGTGAAATAATTCATATCTTTGTCTACTGAGAGCCAACAGGATGTAAACTCGATATTCAAAAGGATATGACCTAAGACCTAATGGCTCACGACGAACATTGACAATGTTAACTATAATAAAAATAAGTTTCTTTTATCTCTATCAGTAATTTCTACAGTAACGTGTTTTTTTTAAAACAGATGACATAGGGTTAGGAATACATCCCTGTGTATAAGAACTCAGGGAGGTACTGGGTGTGAAGTGTGAAGGCATCCATTATTTAATGGTTCACAGAGCACCATAAAAAGACAAATTAACCTCATCAAACGTAATGCATGCCTCCATTCCTCAAACATCTGTGTTCACTGACAATGCAGGAAGTAAATCAGAACAGATATTTACTTGCCTATAATATATTTTTTGGTAAACATATGTTCAATTTATTTCCCCTCATAACAAGATAACAATACAAACATATATATATATACACAATTACAAGTTATAAACACATACACATACAGTGTAAATACATACTTTACAATATAGTGGAGGAGCCAGCAGAGGCCAAAGTTCTCCAAGTTAATTTGAAATATCATTTTATATTACATCAGAAGGTAAAAAAAAACAATGATGGATATATATATATATATGCAAGTATGATAATCCACAGCTTAATTATGGGTCAAATTGTAGGAAAATATCACGAGGAGGTATTTTTAATGGACAAAGTTACTTTCTGTACCACATATTTGAAGATGTACTTTATATAGGACAGAAGGCAATTGAGATAGTAATATCAGCTTCCTTTAACCTGTTAATTGTTTTAATTCACTGTATCAGGAGCAAGCCTTACAGAATCATGAACACCTCCAACACGTCTGTATCGTGAACAGTTTCCAATTTTGCGGGCTTTCATGATGAACAATCTTTAACATTTCTTTACTACCCAACTCTCCTTTAATTTAGTAATTGTAAATGCCCTTCTAATAAAATATCATTTATTACCACCATCTCTCTCTCTCTCGCTCTCTCTTTTCTCTCTCTCGACATTCTTTCCTTCATTGTCTCTCTACATGTACTTCGAACTTCTGTATTTCCATTCCAGATTATGCTTACAGGCATATTCTCCTCGACCATAGTCAGCTGTGAATCTGACTTTATAAAATTTACAGAGAGAGAGGGAGATAGAGAGATAGAGAGAGAGAGAGAGGGGGGGAGAGAGAGAGAGAGAGATAGAGAGAGAGAGAGAGAGAGAGAGAGAGAGAGAGAGAGAGTCTTATGCATTCCCGAAGCCATTCTGCTTTTGATTAATTCCAGCTCTCAATAGAATTACTCCCCTTTTCATTCTATCCCAACGTCATTGTTGCTAACAAGAAACGGACCTTTCATTGTAAATATTTTCCATCATATTTCGCATACTGAGAAACATGAAAAATTCTTTGAGAGTACCACAATCACATTACAACAGTAAAATATCATGAAGAGTTAAAAAAAAAACCTTCCTTCGCATAGCTTGAAACCAGGACATTGAAAAGGTGGAGCAATAATGGAATTAATAAATACGATGTGTGTCGGTTTGAGGTCAACAAAAGGAAGCCTTCTACAAGGGAGGAATTACGTCAAAAGCTAAAACCTCAAGATTCTTATTAACTTTGCATGACTGCACAAATACACGACCCTCATGAAATCAATCCTTATGATTTCTATTTTTTCAGTTTTACATTTTGTTTGTTTTTATCAACAGCAAATCTATACTGCTAAAATATCTACCAGTATATTTCTGAACTATCACTGAAAGTATAGTATTTCTGTTTTGTCTGTATTCTGTAAGAAGATGGTTTAATATGAAGTTATATTTTGCTACACATGATTTCTAAATTTACATTCATGAACAAACACATTACCGGTATGCATAATTTTTACAAAATCTTCTACAGATATTGGGTAACTGTCTTTGACCTTACCACATCTTATTACAAAAATTCACACATTTGTAAAAGTCTGTGGCTTCTTTTGCCACTCAAGATGAATTTAGTTTTATTCTCTTTCTTTTAGTTGACAATTTATGCAAAGATTTTTGGCTTGAATGCTGAAAATGTGCAATACAGAAAAATATACCTGGCATAATTCTTTAAGCAGCCAAAACAACAACTGAAGAACTCTTATATTCAAAACCCCTCCATTGCTTACATCTAATATACTGTAACTTTACTTCATGGAGTGGAAGCAAATTAAGTCAGAAACTACAAAATGTCAAGAAATAATCATAAGAACCAAGCTGGAAAGCAAATAGTAAAACATATTCTGCAAAAGACTCAGTAAACAGTCACTCATGGTGCATGCCAGCCATGAATAATTATTGAGAATGATATCAAGTGGAAATATTTGCTATCGCTTTCCTTCCCGAGTGGACTATAGATGTGATCAGGCGCATTAATTATTTTGTCAATATTTCATCTCAATTTGTTCACTGACTTCACTCCGGATAAAATGAGGGTCGTTTCAAGAAGAAAGTTGTTCACTTCTGCAAGTGAAATTGTCATTTGAGGCAAACTGCATGCAACATATAACTAAAACTAGAAATGTTGATGGGGTCATTCTATGTTATAAAAATGTTATGAAGCTTTCTTTAATACTGGAAAGAAAAAGAAAACACTACCACCATCATCATTGTCATTATAATATTCATCATCATCATCATCACTATCATCATTTTCATCATCTTCTTCATCATCATCATCTTCATTATCATCAGTCATATATTTTAATACAAACTGAAAAATGGGAGTTAACCGGTTATAATATAATAGAGGGAAGAAGAGAGAGAGAGAAAGAGAGAGAGAGAGAGAAAGAGAGAGAGATAGAGAGAGAGAGAGATAGAGAGAGAGAGAGAGAGAGAGAGAGAGAGAGAGAGAGAGAGCTAAAGAGAGAGATATAGAGATAGATAGAGAGGAGGGGTGGTTTCCACCCCTTATTCAAACAGTGGCTGGTAATAATAATAGCCCATGATTTATGGGGGGGGGGGGGGGGGGAGGGGTAAGGGTAGGCTATCCATCACTTATATAAATAATGCCTTGTAAAAAATACCATAAGTTTGCAATTTTGAAATACTAATTTGTGCCAGTCACTCATACCCACAGGTATTTAAGTAATTGATCAGCAATCAGTCTGCAATTTTGCAAACATTTACCCCGCCATTCAGCAGCAGTAACACAGGATAATTGTCTCCGGAAAACCTCAACTGGTTGTCATGGTAACCATCAAATTAAGATCTACCCTTGAGGCAAATAACAATAGCTGTGCCTGTCTAGTATAGCATTCACACTGCTGGCAAAAACCATTGGTTTTTCTCATGTTTCAGAGTTTTGTCGGAAGTTGCAAGGAAACATTTACGCATAAACGCAAGCAAAAACCTGATTTTGAAAAATCTACATGTGCCTCTTGAGTGTGGCCTGCCAAATCTACACCGGTCTTTGCAGTGTAAATGCTTGCTCTCAAAACACTGGTGAATTATTCAGATTTTGGGTCATGTGACTCTCCTCATGCTAACGCATGCAAAGCAGCGACAAGTGGTGCATGCGCAAAACTTGCCCCCAAAATAGAGTTATTCAACACCGATAACTTCTTTTGGGGGGGGGGGCGGGTTGATACTAGTATTTAAATGGGAGTATTAAACAAAATGATGGTTTTCAAATGGGTTTTTCTGCAATGTAAATGGGCCTAACAATATAAAAAATCCCAACATTTTTGCCTTCAGATTCGGAATCCGATTGCTAAAAAAGGACGATATCCAATAGTCTCACTTGCTCTCTTTTCTTCTTCTATGTCGTAATAAAAAGAAGGTAAAATGATTTTGTTTTCCCGCGGCGGCACTAATGTCCTTTGGCAAGACATTGATCTACATTTGCCAAACTCAACCCAGATGATGTAAATGGGTACCTGGCAGAAATTAATTCCTTGAAATGGTGGAGCCGGGCAGCTAGGCTAAAGCCGGGGTAATAATAAATGCGCCTCGGAATAGAATTTCTAGAAAGACGGCGCTATATAAACGCCTATTATTATTATTATTATTATTTAAATCTCTATTTCAATTTTTCTTGCTTTATTTGCAAGTGTTGTTTATATGTAAATGGTTATTACAGCTTATGTAAAGTGGGTTTCAAGTGAATACAAGTATTATCCAAATTTCAAAACCAGAATATGTTGAATTCTCTTGTTGTCAAGCTGCATGATCATTGAAATAAAATTTCTTTTTGACCTTTTTAAAAATTAGTTCCCCAGATTTAATACAATTAACATATCAATTATCAATAGTGCATGAGTGATCTCATGAAGTTGTAATTATAAGTTTTACAATGATGAGGAAAATACAACATGATCGGTAGGAAGGAATTCCTTAAAATGCTGTGAGCGTCAAAATCGGCAGCCTAGCATAGCCGGTTAATGTTGGAGCGCCTTGAGGACCTTGCAAGGTCGAAACGTGCGCTATATAAGAATCCAATATTATTATTATTATTTCCCAATCATTCTTTGAAGTGGCAACTTCAAAACAGCTGTTAACCAGGTGTACATGGAGTTACGGTTTGACGCACATAAAACACAACAAAATTAATTAAAGATGACTAAATCTAACAAATCTACATCCTCACACATTCTCAAGCTGCTTCATCATCTGGGAAGAACAATAGACTGTTTAGACACTAAATAAGCAACCAGATCTGATCTGTGATTGTAACAAAAATGAAACATCTGTAAAATGCAAAGCAATTCTTAGGTGTTTGTTTGACTGGAAACGCAAAACGAGAATGTGTTCATACCTGCTAAGATTGGAGTTCCTCCAAAGAGGGGTATGGTGCTCAGTCTCTTCCCATCAACATCACTGACAAACACCTTCCCAAAGCCAAGGCTGTGAAGGAGGGAGCATCCATACACACCTAATAGACCTGCTCCCTGGAATAGTTATATTTTAACAAATTATAAAATAATTATAGTTTTATGTAATTTCTGTTTCTTTGAATCACCATAACTGACAAGTCTAGACAGATGGAGATGGGTAAACAAGAAAAAGAACAAGATAGAAAGAGAGAGAGGCAAGAAAGAGAGATTTGAGAAAGTAAACAAAATTGAGAGAAGAGGCAGGGGAGAGAAAAAGGAGAGAGAGAGAGAGAGAGAGCAACATTGAGAGGAGAAAGAGAGGGCAAGGGCTCAAGAATAATGGTCTGATATATGAAGACAGAGAGATTTGGGGGGAAAACAGAGAGAAGAGGGAGACGAGGAGAGAGAAAGAGGGGAAAAGAGAGTGACAGAATTGACAATAGAAACTGCAAAAATACAGGAATATAATTACAGAGAGAGAGATAAAGACAGGGAGAGAGATAAAGAAAGACAGAAAGGGAGAGGGACAAATAGAAGATAGATAGAGAAAAAATGAAAGGAGAGGGAAGAGTGATGGAATATGAGTATTGGAAAGAGAAAGGGAGAGAGAGAGAAAGAGAAAGGGGAGAGAGAGAGAAAGAGAGAGAGAGAGAGAGAGAGAGAGAGAGAGAGAGAGAGAGAGAGAGAGGGGGGGGGGGGGGGAGGAAGAAAGGATGTATAGAAAGAGAAAGAACAAGGAAAACAAGGAGTCTTTTATAATCATGACAGACGGTCAACTGATTGTCAAAGGCACTTTGCCTGATTGAATTACTGGTAAAATATTGTATTTCTGATTAAGCTAATTAATGTCAAACAGAGCTTCAAATAAATTCATAATGAATTAGTTCTCAAGATAACTTATATGTAAATAATCTTGTTTCCCATTAGTTACCTGCACTGGCAGAGTACGATGCTGAACACCTAATCAGATTTGTGGATAAGAAAACTGTTTTTATCCCCAGTGGTAACATTTATTATCAAGGGTACATCATTTGTGCCAAATATAACTAACAATAACAACAACAACAACACAAGTAATAACAACACCAACAATAAACAAAAAAGTAATATAACTAATAATAGCAATAATAATAATATTAATAATAATAACAACAATAATAGTAACAATACTAACAATAATAAAAATAATAATATCAAATAAGAATCATAATAATAATCATACACTACTAATAATAATGATAATCATAGTAATGATAATAGTTGGTCCATTTTTTACTTATTCAGTAATACTAGGTAAACCTGACCCTGGATATTTTTGTTTAACAAAAGAATACCTAGACCTTTAACTGACCTCCTTTTGTTAAACCAGAACAAAAGCTCAAGCCCAACATGGGGTAGAAATCTAATGAGTAAAGGCCATTATGGTTATATCATAATGGCTATAATGAAAAACACTGCTCTCTTGCCAGCACATTTTCCTTTTACTTTTCATACCAGCAATATAGCCAGATACGAGGCACGTCTGATGACGTCAATCCAACCTTCCTCTCTTCGTTATAAATTTATAAATGAACATTTTAGCCCCCCGCTCATCATCAGCATTACTAATGTTAGAGACATGGTACAATATGGGTCACCATGGAAACCATGATGCATGTATGCCTTTTAGATAAATGGTTTGATGCCAAGCTTTCAAGGCGTGTGAAAAGTTACATGCAATATGCCACTTTTCATTAATGTAAGCTTCTCTGGTGTTACAAATTATAATTTCCTCCTAATGGACAAATTTAGCATTTAAGATATAGGCCGGTAGTGGTAAAATTGCGGTTCAAGGGTTTTGGGTGTAAAATATCCATTCAATATTGTTTAAATAATGCCTTCGGAGGTTTGGATTGCAATACTTCAACCTAAATTTGCAAAAAAGCAGAAATATGTATGCCCAAATGTTCAATGTTGAAGTGCATTCGCGATATCTATCCAGGCCGGATCGACATGACAATTTAGCAAATATATCAATGAGTAGGTGGTTTCCCGGCAAAATTTGTATTATCGCGTATTAGTCAAAACATATTCTTTCACATGATTGGTAATAAGAGCTTCCATTTCATTTTTTGAGAGGGGGGGGGGGGGCGTTTCCAAAACTGGTCTATACCTTTAAGTTTACAAACCTTTTCAACACCAACAAGTGCACTATCACTTTAAAACTGAAGTTTAATTTATATTGAACACAATCAAAACGAAATTGATCAGTCCAAGGAGCAGACATAGTGACAGGTAGAACAAAAATATCAATACTTTAACTTCCTATGCACATCCATATTGCCTCTACAATTTTTTTAACCGGTAAATGAAAGAAAAAGAGATTTAAAAAATCTGGCTGTTATCATTCAATGGCATTACAGCATTCCATCATTACGATAATTACATATATTTTTTTCAATGTTTTCTTGAATGACTCTACAATCTAATCCTGCGATGCTAATTGGGGCAAATGTCTTGTTATTTATAGAGCCAAGTAGATTTAGCGCCTTATAAATCTCATACATCACTATTATCATTATTTATTTATGATCATGAGACTAGTGTATTAAGATGATATCACAGACATATACCCTTAGGGAGCTATGGCAATTAAGTCAATAATCAATTAGGGAGCTATATCAATTAAGGTTCCCTTCCAAAAAGTGTGTTATTAAAAAGATCATCTCTCATTCAAACAAAAGCTCACAATTTGCTCATTCAACCTTGCTAATGCTAGAGCCCTTTGGGAATCCCATATCCATTAGCATATATAGTGATGATTAGGCCAAATAACAAGAATAGCGTGTTTCTCGTCCAGACTTTAAAAAAAAGGAGCCTGGGCATTAGCATTTACTACTTTGCAAGTCGCCAAGGAGCTTGTGGAGCAAAATGTACAGTATACATCTGACGCAGGTAGACGCAGACTGTTGTAATCTTAGATGAAAGGTCTCATTACTAAAGGTCATTTTTAAGCAGCTAATTCAGCAAAATTGAAAGTCGAGGTAAGTTTATTCAGTTGTGTCAGGCTTGACATGATCAGAGTTGTTTAAATGATGACATAGCCACAACCTCCCCCCTATTGAATAAAAAAATTCAGTTTGGGAAGGCCGATAGTTGTTTTAAGAAATATACTTGAAGTTTCATCAAACACTCTTCTAGTTTTGGATCCTTGTACATGTATGAATCACCAACATGAGGAGATTGAAATAAACAATGGAACAATGAGGAGACTAAAATATATTTCAACTTTCATCACACTCTCTGCTAGTTTTAGATCGATCCTTGCACATGTAAGGATCACCCAAAAGATATAATGTACTCCCTTCTGGCTCTCAGCAGACAAAAGCCTTCTTGAGAGCCCAAAGGGTGTTGCCATAATTACAGAGAGTTAGTGATGTTTCTTCTTTGCTCTAAACACAAAAGAGTATCGTAATGGCAATACAATATACATCAATCTTATAAAAAAGACAGAAGAAAATAAAAGAAGAGAGAGAGAGAGAATAAGAGAGAATGAGAGAGAGAATGAGAGAGGGAGAGAGAGTGAGAGAGAAAGAGAGTGAGAGGGAAAGGGAGTGAGAGAAAGAGAGAAAGAAAAATCGAGACTGAGAGGGAGAGGGAGAGAGAAAGAGAGAGAGAGAAAAGGAATAAAAAGAAGAGGCACTTTTTTTTTTTTACCTGCAAGAGAACCGACTTGGAGCCAGCATCTTTGTGGGAGAAAGATGAGACGGCGTTCACCATGGTTGCTAAGGAGCAATTAATTGGGGCAGCCATCTTATCCGTGATGTGGTCTGGGATTGGAAAGACGCAGGTTCCTGGATGTAGGACCATGTGGGTTGCATAGCAACCGCTCAGGCTTCTCTGACTGGTGATCTGGCTGTGGCCATACTAATGAAGACAGATCGATGCAAAACAAAATAGATTGGGTTAGTATCCTTAGTGAGGTTATAATTGATGTGACCTTGATGAACTATAATGAGCAATCTTGAATAGAGCTAATTAGGGCATGGAATGCTTCATGCTAATCACCCAATCAATATCTCTCAGTTATTATCATAATAAGATCAGCCTAATTTATAATTGTAATGCTTGTCTACATGTGCATTATTATCATTATTATTTGTTTTTACATTGTGTAATGATCTAATGTTATGCTCTATGTGACATTTAAAAGAAAGAGGAAGAATAAATGAATGATCCATGCTTAGATTTATTGGTCAAGAGACTCAAGATAATTAGAAAAATAGTGCATCTAGGCCAAAAGAGATAATTACAACCCATTAGAATTCTTTAATGTTCACTGAATACTATTTAAATCTACAATTCTATATTACTATTCACTGTATCTCCTCCTCCTAATTCTCCTCCTCCTCCTCCTCCTCCCCCTCCCCCTCTGCCTCCTCCTTCTGCCCCTCCCCCTCCTCCAGTCCTCCTCCTCCTCCTCCTCCTCCTCTTTCTCCTTCTCATTTTTTTTATTCTTCATCTTCTTTTTATTTGGCATAAAACTTTGGGCCTGTAGTAGTTTAGGTGTTTAAAGCATACCTTGAAGAGAGTATCACACTTTTGGGGCAGTCCAACCCGACATCTGCTACAGTTATGACAGACATCAGCGACCGTGAATGTGATTCTTTGCCCTACAGCTAGCTTACTCTGACTGCCTCGATTGTGAGCAAGGACTTCCAGCACACCTTCATGGCCGAGAGCACTGCAAATAATTCAAAGAGGATTTGATGTCTTAAATTAAAACCATTTTATTTTCTAAAGAGCTAATTTAAGAGGTACTTGTAAGTGCGCCCTTGGTGAAAGATATGGGTAGGCAGTAGGGGCAAGAGAAACATTTACCCCATATGCACCCTCTGCCCTAACCATATCTGCCATCCGGTTTTGGTTTTAATAGCGACAAAACTGTCAAGAGTTAAAGAAAAATAATTCTTGAGTCTCTCCTAGCTCCCCCAAGTCAATTATATTTCCTTTCCGGAAATTTCAGAAACTAATCCTAATCGTGCTTTACACACAAGTGTAGACATTTTCACTTCCTTGTCAGTCATATTCTATATGTTCAAAGTTTCTGAGCTAAAACTTCATCAAGAACTTGAAGAAGCTGATCAGCATCAAGTTGATCAACAACAAGTAATCTGAAACTAAACATTCATTGTCATCATGATATTCATTTTCAGTTGACATTTTTTGTCATGACATTTATTAAATTTGATTAGACCCTATTGCAATTTTCAATAACTTACCAAGGATAATCTCCCCTTCTTTTCCCGTGTAAGGTGTGAAGATCGGAGGAGCAAATTGTTGCAAGACGAACTTTAGCTAAAATTTCTCCTGGTTTCAACACAGGGAGTTTAACCGTATCAGTGAGGAGCGACGGGCTGCGATCGGCTCCGAGAAACACCAAACGGTGACACGCGGGCTCGCCGTCCGCCATCACAAACCATCGGAGAAACTCTGGCGTGTGTTATGTTACCCTACCGCTCATTCGATTCCTATAGCGGCGGCTCTTATGCACTGCACAAACCACCGATCTGATTCACCTTGCTTGATTGTTGATCGCAGTGATTTCCTAATTCCTCGCACAGCTAGCTGTTTCAGAGTCGTTTTGAGCATATGGTAAATCTTCAAACTTAATATTAACGTCTCTCATATATTGAAATATGTAATTCTCGAAATAAATTATATTACGTAATATGTTAGATCAAATGAAGACAAAAATCATTAGTTTTAGTCAAATTTTACACAAAGCCATGCAAAATAATTGATTTGGAGACTTTACAAAGGCTATAACTACTGGGAAATCACCGCTCAGCCACGCCCCCGCGGTCCCCTTGATGTTCCGATAAGGGAGCGGAGGGGAGGGGGGCTGGGGGTGGGGGTGGGGGTGTCTAGTCATATTTTTTCCCCCTCTTACCCTCCATCATATAATCCTTTTCCCTTACATTTTCTCTTTCACCTGCACCTTTCTTCTCTCTTTTTGCCTCTGACGAACTACCTTTTCTCTTTCCCTTTCCGATATACTCTCTTCTCTTTCCTTATCTATCTCTACACTCTCTAGTATTCTGTCACCCCCTCCCTCATTATAGTTCTAGTTTCCTCTCTCCTCTGAAGCTCTCTTTCCATCCCTGTCATACCCCTCTTTTCTTCTTCCAAAGTTTACTCTTCACCGTCTCTTCATACTAGATCTTCCTTCCTTCATTTCCACAAATACTCTCTCTCTCTCTCTCTCTCTCTTTCTCTCTCTCTCTCTTTCTCTCTCTCTCTCTCCACCTCCCTCCCTCTCTCTCACTCTCTTTCTCTTTCTCTCTCTATTTCAATCCTGTCAGTTATTCTCATTAAAATTCTCATTGCCAAAGAAAACCACACCAAAATATAGATTGAATATTTAATATAGATATAAACACATGCACAATATTTATGTGAAAAGTAACATGACTTAACTAATATCAAGTTATACAGCTATAAAAGAGTTATGTTCATCATATCTCTACTTGTACAGCTAACATCTAATATGCATAACAATACAGTGTACAACTGCATACTGACCGATTGAAAATGATTGCAAGAATTTTGCATATTTCCAAGGTTGTGATATAGTACCTGACCTCATTTAATGACATTTCACATCCTGAAGTGATTTGGAGATAACACAATGTAATTGTCTAACACTACATATTATTAGGGGATTGAATGCAATGAGATATCCATGAATGATAAAAGGATATTAACATGATCTGGATTTACAGTTATTTGAGCTATTAATAAACAAATGAGACTGCATGTTGTATTCTAGAATGGTATAAAAGAAATCAGGACGTAAAGGACAAATCTGATTGTATGTAGAATAAGAACTGGAATTATGAAGGAGTTATTTCTATGACTGTCACTACCATTAGTGTAAGCTGGAAATGTTTGCTATGATCTGCTTTTGGTTGGAAGTATATTCAGTCATAATTCAACAAATTTATCAAATCTTATACTTGTAAATCTTGGTTTCTCAACAGATAGATGCTGGCTTCTCTATTGGTCCTACTAGCAACACAACTAAGGGAATCAAACTCTCCTCAGAGATGAATTATGGAAATATAGAGATTACTTTTCACTTGTTGATTCAAACGAACAGTTGGAAATTTGGGCACGAAGCACAAGAAATTGTTAATTTCTTCATCTTCACTTAATCACTAATAAAATATGGTTCTGCATTAATGTGTATTATGTAATATTTGAATACTGGTTAGAGGAATACTGTCTACACAAAACATATTTCACTGATGTCCTGGTCCAATTCCGGTATCAAAGTTATCAACTCAGAAAGACAAGAGGTTTTGCAGTTGTACAAGTAGCAACATATCTTGTCCATAAATAAGTAAGGTCAGCCTTAATACATGTAGCATTTTTTGAGTAAAATAAAGACAGCTCTTGCATCCATGTCACTTCTTTTTCCTAAAATATGAAAAAGAAAAAGGGGACGAAGACAGAAGAGAGAGAAAGAGAAAGAGAGAGAGAGAGAGAGAGTGAGATACACAGAAATTTATTCAAAAATACAAAATATGAACAATGTATCTTACATGAGAAATATAAAATTAGTTTCTATGAAACACAAACAAAAATGTATAAATGGAATTTTGACAATATGAATCTATAAGGTTGGTTCTTCCTTCTCCATTGGACTTACAATAAATGATTAACCAGGTTAATAATTGTCTGTAGGTTGATTTGTCTTCAACATCTTCCTAGGAGATTTATTGCAAGTACATGAATAATATGTATTTGGGACATTAATAATAATATTTATTTATTCATGTATGTTTCTTTAAAACAAGCCAGTCCTGTTCACAGCCAGCCAAGTAGACCTGCTTTGCAAGTACCCCCTCTACATCTAATATTTAGAAGAATACTCAAGATGTTTGATAAAAATGGATTTTTTTTTTATACTTACTTCTTTCTTGGTGGCATATTTAAGTGGATCTTCTTCTCCACAGGAGAGGTGGTATCAACATCCAGGGTGTGGCTTGTAGTTAACTGTGATCCAAGAGGGGATTCCCCAATTACGGTTTCTTCTATCTTCTGTAATAGAATCATTGAGAAAATGATTTGGCAATGGTTACGTTTGCTGAGAAATTAACACTCTAAAAGCTCCAAGGGGACATAATTCATTTCCCCCAGCATAGCAGATATCTAATAAGAACTTCAATCACTTTAATGAGATACCTCTTTTAGTGAATGTAGTGCTTTACATGGTCTCCTATTATTTTTTACTGTTTTGTTTTAAAATTTACAAAAATAATTATGTGTCATGGTCTCCTGGATAGGTCATCAGACTAAATATACCATGGTTCGTGGTTTGACATGGCAAGACATTAATCTATGTTTGCTACACTCCACCCAGGAAGAAATTCCTTGAACGCTTTAGCATCGTATCATGGCACCTAAGGTATAACTCAGGGATGCCAGTCAGAATTGATCAGAGGGCCTGAAAATTACCTAGAATGAGCTATTTAACACCAAAAAAAAATTAACTATGGTCTAAAAAATAAATCGCCAGGGCCTGAAAACTGGCATCCCTGATAACTGTTATTAGAGGTATAACGGGTATACCTCAGGCCATCAAGGCAAATGCCTACAACTTTAGTAGAGGTGTTGTGGATGAGTGAATACGTCACTGGACTAATGTCCTTTGGCAAGACATTGATCTACATTTGCCACTCTCCACCCAGGTGTTAAATGGGTACCCGGTAGGATGCGAAAGCCAACGTAGTATGCTTAGCAATTTGAGTCTAGTAGCTCTTGCTGGAATGCTCCCCAGGCAGTGGAGAAAGTGCATACATTGAGTGCGGGCAAGCCAGAATCGGATGACTGGGGTAATAATGTAAAGTGCTTAGAAACCTGGACATTGCCGTTGTATTAAGCGCTATATAAGCAGAAATATTAGAAATATTATTAACTTACCACGTCTTGTGAGTTCTCATCATCTCCACTCATTAGCTCTCTCTTCACGCCACCCATCCCGGCTGCCGTGCTTCCTACATCCTCTCCATTGTCTTCCTCCTTAACCCCAGCGTACCATTCATTGCTACTCTCATCCACCACCCCCTCCTCTCCTCTCTCTCCTGCTTCTACCACTGTCACAGCTCCACCGGAGTCATCCAAATCCATCCCACTGAAAATGATACCGGTAAATTACATTGGTTTTTAATAAACGTACTGTGTAAGACTAGTAGTCTTTTTTTTTGGTTCAGTTTTATTTATGCAAAGACACATGCTATGATTATATTATGAATGAATGGGTATTTATAGGTCTGAGAGTTACTGACCACATAAATCATAGCATTTTGGTGATAGACGACCACCTACAAAGGTGGAAGATTTTTGTGAGATACCACAAGGAGTATTATATGTAAGTGGTAATTGTGCTGTTTATTGGTTAGGCACTAAAACAGAACACAATTAGAGTCTATGCTACAGTCCATCACATAGCAAGAACTTGGTGAGTGAGAGAAGCGCGCAAGGCTAAATATGCTTAGTTTGCGCTAATTTTAAAATCATGGGTTATGTAAATGAGGGTTTGAACCATGGGTTAAAGGGAGGCTTTACTACTTCAGCCAGAAGGGATTAGACCACACAGCGAGCCAGCGAGGTCACTGTGACAGGTGGCTATCTCATTAACCCAGCTTTCATTTAACATAAGAAAAAGAGGATCATGGGGGACCAACAGACACTGATTGGGGAAGTTTTCTATATAGAGGGAGCAAGTAGCTACAAGTAGGACAGTGTGCCTTTAAGATAAACCTCCTTTGTGCATTCGGGCCAAAGGGTCTAGGTCTACCAGTGCTTACCCGAGGCCGTGAAACGAGAGTGGCTGATTCGATGGTGTCTCTGAAGAGGATGTTTCGCTGTGGTTCTCAGCTACATCGTCCTTGGGCTGTGACTGAGGATCGTGGAAGGATGCATCCGACATAGGCTCCTCTTTGACTCTACAAAGAAAAAAAAGATATAAGGGACTGATGGTTACCTAGGCAGAAATGTGGTTCCTGTGAAGATTTTTTCTCTCATTAAAATGGACTAATAGAATATCATATGAGGAGGTGCTTACTGAAGCATGTGTCCATAGATCCCTTCTTCATACATTAAAGGGATTGGGTAACTTTGTCTCAGAATCTGAAACAAAATCCTGGATTTAGCTAATGCTGCAATGATAATTATAAACCTTTAGGTCAGTCAGGAACCCCATAACTTTTACAAGCCGATCGCCTGTCTGATTATAAAGATATTTATGATTGGAAATCGAAATTTAAAAAAATGTTTTCATAACGGTTTTCATAACACTACAGTCTATTGGGAAAAACGAGTATGGTAAAAACCGGTCACTTAAGGATTTTTACTCTTTTGAGGCACTTCATGAATTTTTAACCACAATTTTGTTAGGGCTTCAATATAACACCATATCACAGACACTGATAACACGTAGGGCCATGCATCTCAGATTTTACATTGTTAAACGATGCCTTTAAGTAAAAGACGACTCCAGTTGCTTTGTAGGTCAAATATTGAAAACAGAGGGCATAAAAAAAAGATATTAAGTGGAAAAAATGTGCAGAGAAGCAATGGAAGACAGTGTATAAAATACATGGATCTGTTCGTTGGGCTGACTAATGACATAAGTACCATGACATAGAAATTTGTAGAAAGTTCTTCCATACCTTGGAGACTTGTCATCTTGTGACTGGTAATTTGGGTTCTGTAAAATCAAAGTTTTACAATCAGACACAGTTAATGATTGATATGAAAATGCATGTGCTAAGTGGATTAACACGAGGATAAGGCATATTGATGACCAGTTTGTTTGATAAACTTTTGAAAATAAATTGACATAATATTAATGGGTTTTAATAACTGTCACAAAGCCTCAATTCAAGGTTAAAACTGCTTACTTAGTTTATGGAACAATATACACCTTAAAATAAAGACACAAAATTTGTCAATTAAAGAATGCATTCTTATCAAAATTTGGGCCATATACCTTTCAGTTTATGTCTTGGATTTTGAATGGTGCTCTACGGGGCCTGTTAATTTTTCGTTTGTTACAACTGTCTTCTTTAACATCAATTCTAGGATTCATTATTGCCCCTAATGAGATTTGAACCTCTGACACCTGGGGGGGGGGGGGTGTTTCACAAAAATCAGTTACAAATCTGCTGATAACTAATCAGAAGCGAGGAATTCAGTAGCTTATAACAACAACTGTCATTTGTCAATGATGACAAGTTTTGTGAAACGCCCCTCTGATCTAGAGATCTTGTGACACATCCATTACATCACAACCAATATGGCTTGCTTAAATACCTTCATATCTTCATATTTCTCTCTAATTTCCTCTGTCTGTTTCAAGATGCGGTCATGGTAGTCTTGTATCCTCGTCTTCCAGAAGTTGATAAGTGTCTGTGTGCTACCGACACCAATCTCATGGAATACTTGGGAAAGGGTGTCCTTACAGAGATAAACAAAGATTCAAAAGTGCCAGGTAACTTTGTGTTAAAACATCTGGCCCACAGAATATGGGAAGCAAGGTAAATTGGGTGGTGAGTGACAATAAATAATAGGGCATTTCTCTTTTAAAATACTTTTCTGGTTACAACAGCTTTTCAATTCAGAGTACAGTCATCACATTTATATCTGGCATAAACAGGTGTAACTGATTTAACTAGCGTAACTGGTGTATTAAGTGGTATGGTGTAACAGGTGTAGATGGTGTAGCTGGTATAACTGGTACAATTGGTGTAACTGGTCTAACTGGTGAACATGTTGTATTGTAATATATCAAACTAGATTTTTCACGACAACATTCGAACTTCCATGTTCATAAACCTAAACATTCACAGAAAAAGTTTGAAAGGGTGTAGTATGTATTAAAAAAAGGGTAGATAAATCTGACTGAGTCTCACGTTAACACCTGCCCCTCTTTGATTAATCTACTGTACTATTGTCCAATTGCATGTATTACTTTTAATAGCCCCACTTACTTGGAATCCTGTATGCCCCGTATGAGCCTCTCTGTCTACAGCAACTCTCAATAGTTTACAGGTGTTACATAAGAACTCCTGGAGAACGTCAGATAATGTTTCTAATGAAGATTCCTGACTTGCTAGGAATATGGAGGGGGAAAAAAAAAGATTGAAAGAAATATCATGAAGTTAAGGTGTCACAGCTGTCGACTAATGATGCAAATCATAAATGTCTGACACTCTACGCAGTCCAGACCTTGTCAATTGATAGACTAGGTTGCTGAAATCTAAGCTAATATGTTTTGTTATCATTTTTGAATTTAGTTATCTTTATTTCATTGATGAAAAATTCACCAGAGTATTTACTTTTCTAAGAGAAAGCTAGAGTTTTATGTGAAACATTTTCAATCATCAATGGTACAAATGCAGAGGTGAGGTATGCAATATTACACTTATAATGTGCAAAGGAACAAAATCCCAATTCTACCCAATCTTTTATTTTGATGATCAGAAAGACATAGAAGCGTACTCAAGCTTCCACTTGCAAATGAGTACAACATTTTCTATTCCACCATTTTCTATGTTCTAAAATTTATTAAAGATAGCATGAATTGCTAATGTGTTATAGGTAATGTTTTAGATTGAATATTGTAGTTACCGTAGTTTACATTTTTGTGGTACTTGTAATGAAATTATAAATCCCTAATTCCGAAGAAAAAATATTTTGGTGAAGTTATTCTTGGGCCCACAGTCAAGGTCAGGAATTCAAGAATAATGTTATACATTGACTGACGATCAATTACAGCTTGACCATTATGACTTACAGTTGACTATTCTATTCGGGCATTCAACTTACAATCATATCCATTATGTGAACAGATGGTGGCCACTGCCCTACAGCTGAGCTGTCTGGCGGTCCCTGCATCAATCTCTATGCTTCCATCGGCCAGTTTTAATCTTGGACACCTGAATGAAGGGAATTTTTTAAAATGGTATTAAGCTATTTTAACATATAAAATGATAAACAGTAGGCTTACGGTTGCACCATATGAGAGAGGGGCGAGGATTGGACTGTCGGTAATCTTTCTTTCTTGAGAGTGTGAAGTTGGCAATGAAGTAATTATAAAACAAACACTGAGTATAATATTTCCCCCATTTTTTAAATATTGATTGCAAAGAGTTAGACCTTATATTTTCTACATCCATGTGGTAAAGTACACCTGTAAATAAGTCAGGAAATCATCATTCGAGAATTTATATTTGAATTTTTTGTGTTGTATACCGGGTACTTGTTATTTTCTCTTTTGATGCATGTTATTATCGTTGTGATTGTTCATTTTATTCAAATGTGAAAATAAAATGAATAGAATTATCACAAATTGAATTGAATATAAATCAAAAAGTATATTTGCACTAAGTTTGACAAATCGTGACATAATAATAAAGTAAAAATGTGAGCTATAAATATTTCTTTATTATTGGGTATTGCAAGTTATGGTACCAACATTCCACTCTAAAAAAAATCCTAAGGTAACACCAAATTAAAAGTAGATTTGTAGATGCAATCATGGATAATTAGCATTGGAATCAACTTCAAGATAACCCTAAAAATATCCATGCAGTCCTTGATATGAAAAGAATTGGGAGTGAGTGGTCCCAAAGCACGGTTGTCTAGTTCAGAACCACAAGAACAAGCTTTACAAGGAAGCCCCTAAGTGTCATGTGATAGTATTTTGACCAATAGTATTTAACTCCAAACCAAAATAATAAACTTTTCTTACCCTGGTCTCTCTCTTAAACCAGTAACGACAGGGATAGATGACTTGTCAGAAGATTGCACCTGAGGCTGTGGTGGTAGGGGTGGTAGTCTGGCACTGCTAAATCTATCCTCTCCTTTCTATTCAAAACAATTGAACAAGCCAAAGAAAAGGAGCTTTAGAATGAATACAAGTGCATTATGTAAAGAAAAGAAGAAAAAGGCCCATAGAATACTTCTTAAGTGGTGGGAGGGGAGGGTATAGATGAATGAAAGATATTATTTATTAAATATTAGTTTAAAGTATTTTAAGGCACAACGTTTATCCAGAGTACAACAATTTTAACAACAGACATGTTATCATTGATTTCGTTATTTTGATAAAACCATGTATAATTTCAATTATAACCAATATTTGATAATAAATGATAATCTTCCTTCAAATATAAATCTCAATCAATGTTTTTTCTTTAAAGGTACTATGTCCCTTTTGCAGCCAACCTCAAATTCTGTAGAACTTTGCAGGAATTATGAATATGTCATGTATGTCCTATCTGTGAAATTTCAACGTTAGCAGTGTCATCATATTCAAATTATGCAAGGAAACCCGTTTACTTGCTAGACTTCACTGTCAGACACTATTGAGTGACTGACTGGCTTTTTTCCTTCTTTGGTAATAACATACATGAAAAGAGTTGTAAAGGATACATGAGCATTTGTCTACATCAATAACTCACTTCTTGTGATGGCCAAGATTAAACTGATTGAATCTTTGCGCAGCATAAAACGTATGACCATTCGGTACAATTGTCTGAAAATCAAGACTATTACTTTTGGGCTCTATAGCCCTAAAGTCGATTTGACAACTAATAGTCGTTATTTTCCCACTTGAAGACATTTTCAAGCCCCACCTTTTTTAGGGAAGTTCTAAATTAGTATTATCTTTCAAATGCAGTTGGAATTGAACTTTTCCATTTTTTGGGCCTGCAAATAGGACATAGTACCTTTAAGATATTCCAAAATGGTTAAAAAAATAATATTCTGATAAAGAAATTTCAGCTATGTATACATTTACGTGGTAGAACTTACAGATGACTCTTGCTGATGTTGGTGTGTGAGCATTCTCGTCCTGATCTGCCTGCAATGCTTGAGCAAGTCTATAGAGTGAAGACTGGTCACATCAGGGCGACATAATTCAGACTGCAATCTGTTGAAGAAAATCAAACATGAAGAAAGAGATAATTCAAAAGAGAAAGATGTTAATCTGATTTCAATATATTTTTGGTAGAAGCAGTCTTTTCTTACTCAAGGCTCCATTCTTTTCTCTCTTTCTCTACTTATTTTTTTATCGGATAAACCTCCAGGATTCCTATTTATACTGTAAGTCTATTATGCTATGGAGTGAAATTCTAGACTGCCACATTGCCATGCCCTCCCCCAACTGAAGCCGTCTCCTGTTGGATTCAAGAATCAACCAGAGCCTGTAAAGAGCCAACGCTTAAAAATAAAGTGTACTGGTATATTTTTTGTTGTTGACATTTCGACACCCCTCTGAATTTTGGTTAAATCAAAGTTATAACATCAACAGAAATATAATCAAGATAATAAATCAAATGCCATCCCTTGATAAATACTTACTGATGAACTTGTGGCTTCTGTTGGGCAGAAGGCTGATGAAGATGAGGAACTTTAACCTGGACACTCTGTGACTTCATAGCCAGGGCTTCCATATCCACCACAGAGGATGTCACAGGGGAAACAATCGACCCAGACATCTCACCCCAATGACCACTCATCGTAAACTCTCCGACTCAAGCTCCGAAAGAAGTCAAATGGACGAGAGCTATGAAAGAAATGAAGGAAAATGTCAGTAGTCTCAGTTTAATAACTGAATTCTTCACTCAGCATGTGTATGTATAAAATTGCTCTCAGAACAGTTTTGAGACTAAATTCATGATGTCAGGTTTATCATGCATTTGACTAATATCTTCTCAAGGATTTTAAAGAACCCTTTAAGTTTAACATAAGTAGTTTTCTGAATGGTTGTGTGTCCAAACCGTGGAGTCAAAACCTTTGCAGATAACAATATCTTTGGTATTGAATGAGAAATTATTGAAATATTAATAAAACAATGAAATAGCAGCGTTTAAAAAAATTTATGATTAATATCTTTGGTATTGAATGAGAAATTATTAAAATATTAATAAAGTAATGAACATTTATAGCATTTTTATATTTGTTTAATTGTTCAATGTGGCAAAAACACAGAATAAATGGCTGGCAAGGGTACAGCCTAGAGCCGAGGTGATGGCAATATGGTATCAAACTACAGAATGATGAAACTGCAACTGTGAATGACGAAACTATCTCACCCGTCCTTGGTACGATTAGTACAGTATTGTGAAAACACTCATTCCTCCACACACAGACTCATACAACAGGAATGAAGCATCATTTTGTCTTTGCCTCATTTCTGTTGAATTTTCTCCTTTGTGACTTGTGTAATCTAAAATTTGGGGGATTCCACAGTAATAAAATTTTCACATTCAATAAAATGAATACTTGTCATAGATCTAGTCATATTCGTATAAGACTAGGAGTAAACCCCGGTGTAGTGGTCCACCTGCACACACCCCCAGTATAGTACGATAATACTCTGTAAAGAGGTCTGTACTCAAAAGGGGGAAGAAGAAGAAGAAGAAGGGTAGGGGGAGAGGGGTGTCGCCGCTGCCGACGCGAAGGCAGCGGGGATTTTTTCGATTCAATCTCCCAAGGCCTCAGTCATGAAAGAAACTCATGACATAAATACTATTATATGGGACCGTACATTAAAGTACCCGCGTCTTTTAATCGACCAAATCAAGCAGCTTTAAAATGTATCAGAATACCCGTACTGGATGAATGTCTTTATACTCACTTAAAACAGAATGTGAAATCTTATTAGTTGCTCTCTGCCCGAACAACAAGCACAATCGCGGATTTTGGAAGAGATCTCTCAGCTCACGTATTCGAGACAGAAAAAGTATTCTGGTGTAAAAGTGGCAAATAAAAATGGAAAATTCATTAGACCGAAACATGGCGAAGTGTTTTAAAATCTCACAATCGGTATTTTTATGATTTAATTTCTTATCATTAATAGGCCAAATAACACAAATAAAGTGTTTCTCGATCCCAATCGCTTAGCTTCCTTTTTGCCCGCCTCCTCCTTTTTTTAATGCTCACTATCCCCTCCCCCCGCCCCCCCCCCCCCCCCCCCCCCCCCCCCCCCCGTTGAGCAAAAAAAAAAAAAAAAAAAAAATTGCATACGAGGCCTCCAAGCAGTTTCCCAAGGGTTGACAACTTGACAGCCCTGTATTTTGAGTTGAAATAACGGTCAGAACATTTTCACCAGGCATTTAGAAACACAATCTAACCTATCCTTTTGTGAAGGACATGAAGCTACATAATTATAGGAAGTTTACATGCCCCGGTCGCAACTATGTGACAGAAAATAGAAACAATTCCAGTAGCGTGAGATCGATCTCATTCCCACACTTCCTAATGGTCAGGGGCCAAATCGGAGGGAGGGGGGGGGGTATATTCCCCTTTTAAAAACTTGAGTCCATAGATTTAAAAAAAACTCTTAATTGCGTTGTGTCTTTTTGAAATTGATTTTTTTGTTTTCTTAAAAAAATGAATTATACAACCAAAATGTGATAACTACACTTTTCTTTTCTTGCTTGTCACAAATCATCGGTATAGCCCCCCCCCTCCCCTCCTTATAGAATCCTGGATCCACTCGTGCTTCCGATCTTGAATTTGTCACGCAGCCTAAGTTCACAGACAATAAAATTCATACGTGTTGGCTTCGTTAAAGAGAACTGACTATGTGCTTCATCAGATTTATAGGTACGTGAACTAGCACTTTTCTTATGGAGTGCTTCTCGTTTGCTCTCCCCTTTTTATTCCACTAGCTCTTCTTCTTCTTCAGTAGCAGTACAGGCCACCGTCAGGTGTATTGTCGTACTGTTGAGGTGCAGTGCAGTTGAGTACAATGTCTGATAATAGTTGACTGAGTGCGAGTAAAGACAGTTACCATTTTAGCGGAGCTGGGGCTTTTGTACCTCTACCTCTCCTTTCATCATCATACTGTGCCGTTCCTTCAGAAGGGGTAGACGGCTATGCACCTCCATCACCTTCTTTCACGTACCCTTGTTCTAACCTCTCCGTAGTTATTTTGTGGTTAAATTAAATTGCTCTTCAGGCTGATCTCTGGCATCATTACCCGGTCGAGACATAGCTAACTGTATTACACGAAAGAAGAACAGAGTTCATCGCACCATGGATTCTTTCGAAACATCCACACGGATGCGATCTGATGAAGAGATGTTTTCCGACGATGTTACAATGGTGACGGGACTGGATAACTGGACCACTGGTCTCTCTCCTCCACCTCCTCCTCCTCCTCACATCGCAGCCTTGAAACAAGCCAATAAGATCACGTTGATCGTAATCCTAGTCTTCCTGATGCTTGCCATGGGTTGTGTAGTCCAACCTAGAGATTTCAAAGAAGTGGTATGTCAAATAATCTTCTATCTTCTTTTAATGTTTACCCCCGTTCAGTCCAAGAACTGCCCCAAATGCTCAATGTTGTAGTGATGGACAGGTCTTGATTATGGAAACCATGATATCGCTTCTTTCCGTTCATGCCTTTGCATCCAAATACGTTGTAAAAGCATCTCTTCACTATTAAATTATAATTTTTGTTGACTGTGTATGAAATTCCTCTTTGTATTGAAGCAAACTTTTACCTCTATATATAAGTATAAGAAACCAACAAATATAGGTCATAAAATTGACATAACTTTATGTTTACTTAAAATACAAATGCATGGGAAGACTTTTGTAGTGTTTACATTGTCAGGGCTTCATACATTTATTTTTTCAATAGTAGCATAAACGAGAAATAATTTAATATTACGTGTCTGAAAGCCATAAAGTTCAATATTTACAGTTCAGTAATGTTGTATTGTCCAGTATCTTTAATTTCCAAGGACGATCAGTACCTCTCGTGTTGTAACCCCAAGCACATATCTTCATACTACATAAATATAGTTCAGGTTAAGTTTAGTACAGCCTTTCGGGCGAAACAGACTGTACAACTAACTATACAGATGGAAGAATAAACTGCTCCAGTCTACAAATTACATGTATAGGTCATATAGTATTGAGCACTGTCGGTACATGTACATGTACCTGTAGCCTCATGCGCTTACTTACCAGTTTGAAATTCATATAGTTATAAATCGTTATTGACAGTAAACTTTCCCCAGAATTTTCTATGTATGGTCAGCCCCAGCCCCAAGACTGAAAGCTTCTGTCTGTGATATCGACGCATATGGGGAAGTCGTTGAAAAATGTCAGTTTTATTAAAGACTTTCGTATATCATAAGGTTTTTTTTTCTGACAAGGTTAGCCCTAAAGCGATGAAAGAAACCGCACAGTATTCAAATGAGTATATGCGATTGCGCCTCTTATAATACGCGAAGTCATAAACGTTAACAGTTCTTTTGAATTTCAACGGGTTTAATCACTGTCAACAAATGTATTGTCCAAATTGGGCCGATAGATCGCACCCCTTCATTTCCCCAGAGAAAAACAAGTTGGCTTTTTCTTTCCATAGTTTTCTAAGAGAAGATTGCCGTCAAGAATTTTAATATGTTTCATAGTGTTGTCCATCATTTTTATTATGTAAGTCAAATGACACATCTCTTCTTTTATCAAGTTTTTTACTAGGATCAATAGGAAATAAGCATTGAGTTATTCTGTATTTCCTTTCCATGAAGTGAATTTGGCGAATCAAATCAAATCAGATCAAAATCATTTGTCTTTCAGTTCCGTGTTCCGAAGAGCGTATTGATCGGAATGTTATGCCAGTTCCTCCTGATGCCCCTGTCTGCTTTCTGCCTCGCTCTCGCCCTCTCCTTACCCACTCCCATGTCGTTAGGGGTGCTCATCATGTCGTGCTGCCCCGGAGGAACCGTCTCCAACCTCTTTGCTTTCTGGACCAAAGGAGATATATGTCTCAGGTGTGGCTTTAGGATCGTATTGAAGGGAGCATCGGTGTCATGGGGGGGGGGGGGGGGCGGGAGGGGGCATTGGTATCATGGGGGAGGGGTTATTGGTATCATGGGGTAGAGGTTATTGGTATCATCGGGGGGGGGGGCATTGGTATCATGAGGGGTGGGGGCATTGGTATCATGGGGGAGGGGGCATTGGTATCATGGGGGGAGGGGGCATTGGTATCATGGGGGAGTGGGCATTGGTATCATGTGGGGAGGGGGCATTGGTACCATGGGGGAGGGGGCATTGGTATAATGTAGGGAAGGGGCATTGGTATAATGGGGGAGGGAGCATAAGTATCACATGGGAGTGTGTATGGGGGTTATTGGTATCATGGGGGAAGTAGGCGTTCGTATCATGGGGGAGGGGGTATGGTATCACGGCGGAGAGGTATTGGTATAATGGGGGAGGGGCATTGGTATCATGGTGGAGGGGTTATTGGTATATCATGGGGGGGGGGGGGGTATTGGTATCATGGGGTGGGGGCATTGATATCATGGGGGCACTGGTATCATGGGAGGGGGGCATTGGTATCACAGGGGAGTGGGCATTGGTATCATGGGGGGGGGGGGGTGGGGACTCATTGGTATCCTTAGGAATGTCACTTGTTTAGCAGGATGGATAATTCCAGAGGTCTGATCACTATAAACTGTGCGGGAGAGGGTCATATCATTAACATACTACGCCTTTTACCTCCTTCCCTCTCTTTTTTGTTTCTCTTCATTATTTTTATTTCTTTCCTCTTTTCTCTCTCTTCTATTTTTGCTCCATTCCATGTGGATAGGGGGGGGGGGCAGGTGTCCACAGTGCTCTTCTGTAGCTTGATGATCATTATTTTACCCGACAGCTGAGAAAGACAAGTATCAGATGCCTATACATACACACTTTTACTTACTTGACTTACTTGACTATATATATTTATATATATACAGTATATACAAGTACCCTCTGATTTGAGTTTACCAACAAGACCCTAATAGTCCCGTATGTGGAAAGAATAAAGAAGGTACAATTTAGTGAAATTTCGCCATCAATTTTGTTTAGAGAGGCGACATGAGATTACTGAAAATCTATAAAACCACTTTTAATTTCAGTATCAGCATGACCACCATCTCAACCTTAGCTGCCATTGGGTTAATGCCCCTGAACCTGTTCATCTATAGTCGAAGGTGGACTGATGATAATGCGGTCATTCCCTTCGTGAGTATCGTCACGGCGCTTGTCTCTATCGTGATCCCTGTCGCGATTGGGATGGTTATCCGATGGAAGAGAGAGCAGTGGACATCGTTCATCTCAAAGGTCAGTTCATTGGAAATGGTCGGAAAATGGTTCTTTCATGGTCATGTTTATTGTTCACGGTCAGTTGTATCATAGAGAACTATGAAAAGAACGTTATAGAGTGGACATCGTTTATTTAAAAAGTCAGTTCATCGGAAATTTTCAGTTATAGCATAGCAAATTATGAAAAAGTGAACAGCGTCCATTTCAATTATTTAAATGGTTAATGGTATCACATTTCATTATAAAAAAAGACTTTATGTTTATAAAAAATGAATATCGTTTAGTTGTATCACAGAGGATTATGAAATGGGCTTATATTCGGTGACATAATGTAGATCCCAGCACTGAGGAGGCACTGATATCATTTTTTTGTTTGTGGGGGGGGGGGGGGGGGGAGTGATATCTTAATAGGTGAATGGAACTTAATTAACGATGCCTTTGAATAGGAAAAGGGTGCGGGAGGGGTCCTACCGTCTTATTTTCACGTTATTTTCCACTCCCCCTTTCTCTATTCCCTTTCTCTCTCCCCTTTTCTCTCTCTCTATCTCCCTATCTCTCTGTCTCTCTCTCTCTTTCTTTGTTTGGCCCGCAAAATGAGGGGGTGTTCACGTGCCCGCCATAGTACAATTTCTTTCCATTTGAGAGCAGTGTTCATTTTAAAGTTCAGTATTAACCACAATGCCATATGCTGTATCACAGAGAATTTTGAATTATAATTCTTTCATAATTATTTTTTGTTTTTTCATTTTTTTATTATTGTGGAGTCATAATCGGCCTATATTGTAGTTAAAATCCATACAGTCACTTCCACCCCCTTTAATCTTACTGTTCCTCGTCTCCCCTTTAAGGCTGCGAGCATCTTGGGTTTCCTTGGAATAGCCACCAGCGTCACCCTCACGGCAATCATCAACCCCGGCATGTACTTGGTCTCCTGGCAGGTCTGGTTCTGCGTCCTCACCCTCCCTGCCCTGGGCGCCGCCCTCGGGTATCTCATCTCCTGGGCTCTCCGTCGTTCCCCGCAGCATTGCCGTACCATCGCCTACGAGACGGGTTTCCAGAACGTCTCTCTGGCTATGACCCTGATCGTCCTGACGTTCGACGGCTCTCCCATCATGTTCGAGGTCTTCACCTATCCGTCGCTCTACGGTCCTATCATGATGATAGAAGGACTCTTCAGTGTGGCTGTTTACAAGGCGGTGGTCAGGTACACGAAGTCCAGTACCAAGGATGGTAGACCTGTCACTGACTTGGACTCGAAGAAGAAAGATTTTAACTCCGGAGACGAATATTCTGCTCACGATTCTGAAATTTAGAAGAAACGAACAGACGCAAGAACTTGATAAGCCATTTTTGCAATGTAACCAAATTTAATGCATACGTCTTTGTGAAGTTCCTTGATACGAATGATTTCTTCCATTCACCCATCACCGATAATTGTATTTCAATAATCAGAATGCAAAATGCTTATATTACGTATTGTTAGGTAGGGTAAGACATAATGTTTGTCCCACCTAGCAACAAAATGATGTATGCAATTGTCATGTTGACTATTGAGATACTATCATATTTTGTAACAGTTGAATGAACTAATGTGCGATACCGAATTTCAATAGTGCATTTTTATTGAGATTCATTTTCTTTGCTATATCTGTTCATTCCGACTTTTCTTTAGGTGATCAATGATGTCAACTCAATTACCATAACGAGCGCCCTCAACATGATATATCCTGGCTTTTGAGTTTCCTCATTTACTCATTTTGAGATATATTGGCAAAGAAAATATATTAATGTCATAAAAGTATTGTCTAAGGGCATACGCATCTGGCAATTTAAACTTTCGTTGAATATTTGTTTCGAATAGCGAAAAAGTGTATTACAAAAAAAAAAATCCATGATAAGGGGGTTGTTAAACGATTTAGATTAGGGGAGATTGTCTGAGTTGCGCCAAAGTCACTGAAAAGCCTTTGCCGTCAGGAGAGCAACATATTCAAGAAACAAATAAAATAGAGTGCAGCTAGATTTTTTGATATGCTGACAAGGATAGAAAGGCCTATTTTTAAAACATATTTACGAAATTGCAGACCGCATAATTATTTATTTGTAGACACAAAGTTTAAATGTACTCATGAGGGGGGGGGGTGGCAAATCTCACCACACCGCACCGTCCCACGACTCATGCCTGTGTCTATTAGAGAACGAGTTCTGAATCTAACAAACCTAAATCATATATGGTAAGTCCCTAAATTGATTACCGTTATCCCTCATATTACCGGCGATCTATAAATAGCTGAGGCCGGGAAGAGAGGGGGAAACGTACTCCCGTCGAGGGCAGCCGTGCACCGTTTCCATATACAGATAGGCAGCCGTTCACTCGAATAGGAGCTTATGTGACAGGGGTTAATCAATCAATGAGAGATGCTCTTAACTATCTAGGAGAAACACAGTCTGGGGAGAAAAATTGGAAGAAGACATAATAAATGGTGAGAAGAGAAAGAATGTGGTGTGAGGAGTAATAAGAAGGGGAGAGAAGAGAATTAAGGAGGGGGAAGGAAAGAGGGAGCTGGGAAGAAAGAAAATGAGCGATTTGGATGTAGAGGGAGCGGTAGGGGAGGAAGGTAGGGAAGAAAAACGGTAATGGAGAGAATGAGGAAGAAATAATTAAAAGACAAAAATGAGTGAGAGAGGATGAGAGAGGGGAGAAGGGGAGAAAGATAAAGGCCTACAGAGAAACTTATATATTGATAGAGAGAGAGAGAGAGAGAGAGAGAGAGAGGGAGAGAGATAGAGAGAGGGGGGGGGGGGGGGGGGGGAGAGAGATAGAGACCCAGGGGCACCGAGAGTATTTAACTTTATTTAATAAGGATAGAAATATAAAAACATATTATGGCCAATATACATCATTAATGAAAAGTGAAAAAGAATGAAAACAAGACAATGGGAACGCCCCCTCCCAGTTCTAAAACTAGATCTGAAATCCGTCTGATCCGACATAATTTCCAAACTGTTCCATGCACCAATGTCACCCATACTTTTACCAAATCAGCTGACGCGAACGGAAAACTCATCATAACTTTTCCAAAAGTCAGGTAGCTCCAAGCCCCCCTATGATTAGACTCACATCCTCTTAGTCCCAACGTTATGGTAACCGAGTATGAGGTCACCCCAGTCAAAAACGCGAAACAGTTATTCTGCAACTCGTTCTGAAAAACATGGAATCCGCTTAGCTTGGGCCAACTATACGATGTGTCTAGTGCGACCTTAATCCCATAAACGCGCAAGTTATACTGTTAAGCAGACTTCTTAGCTTTGAGGGAGGAAAACTCAATTTGTGTGATTTATATTCTTCTAATATTTCAGCAGAAGCACGGTGACAGTGCTGGGTTCGCTGTGGATATTATCTGTTACTTTGGAAATATGAATGTGATTATGTTGTGTATCGCGTTGCTGCTGCTATGTACTATGTCAAGCCATAGTTTAGCACGTGAGTATGACATTTATATGTCCTTGGGAATTATTTTCTCTCATCTGAAACAAATATGAAGCATGTTGTTAATGATTGTTTTATACCAATTGTATTTTGATTGGAGAGCGGCTATTGTCATGTTTGTTAAATTAATCTAAATGTTTTGGGTTGTTATTACTTCGAAGGCTTATTCATTACAATATATTATGAAAATGTATTTCATTCTTTTTTAAAATAATATAACCTCTGAAAACTGAACTCCGCAATCAGAGATTCATGTAATAAACCAAATGAATAATAAATCATTATTGTTAACTCATAACTGCTTTATTTGAGATTGTATTGCCATATTCTTGTGTGAATGAATAATTCACTCTACCATCTTTTTCTTTTACTATAAAATGAACAATCATGCTGTGTCAAAGTTTTTCTCAATCCTTATTTTTCAAGTTGAATAAAGTACAAAAGTGGGTCATCATAAACACGCGTAATCGTAAACTTTTCATAAACGCTACATTTATTGAAGTAAATCGTAAAGGATTGTTCAACGTTGATGGGCTATTACTTCGCATATATTTATATGTCGCGAATCTACATGACTTATGAAGTTCTTGACATACATTTGTACCTATATACAGGGAACGGATCTGTAATTTCCTACTTAATCACTTGATCTTGACACGTTTCTCCGTGCCCTTATAGACCATATCAAATAATATGAAAGATAGGTCTAACTTTTAACTATTTGAGATTAAAATGAAAGTGGTCAACTGTGCAAGATCTTCCCAAATGTGATTTATAAGGCATATTGGATATTTCAGCTAAAAATGATGAACATTTATGGCGTTGAAGAAAAAAAATTGCCGGTTATTACATGTATAAATATCTTTTCTTTTCTTTTTTCTTTTTCTCCTTTTTTTCTTTTTGTTTTACTTCCGGGAAACAATGACACAGATCTACAAATTTCATTTTGCTTAGACAATTATGTTACCAAATGTTTGCTTTAATGGTTGCAATTCGAATGCATATTGTTGAAGCCCAAACAAATATTGAATTGTATCAATAAACATTCGTAATATCTTTAATACCAGATAAATAGAGGCAATTATCACTCATTGTGCGCTCTCATGGAAACATGTACAGCAGGAATTATACAGATCGAGGAGGGGGGGGGGGCAGTGGAATAGAATGGGGGTTGATAGGGTGTAGTACATGTTGCAGTCAATCTTTGGATTAATCAGAATCTGCTATACCCTTCACATTTTTTGGACACTACACAGACTTGTGAGTCACAGCCCCGGTCTATTATAGTATGCCTTTATGCAGTGTGACACATATAGCGTGAAGGGATATTGGGCCACTCACAGTTGCAACTTCCCGAAGATTTTCGACAGAGGAAGTTGTTTGTAAGGTTTTATTGACGTTTTTCCCCCTTTAAGTCAGTTGTGTTAGGCCCTAGAATTGTTTGGCAAGAAGTCTCATAAGGGGAAGGGGTGGAGTGTATATTTGGAAGAGTTTCGAACCGAGCTAGTATTTTCTTTGCATAGTTTACAAGGTGTATTCCATTATCATGCTTGTTACCGGCGTAGGCCTTATTAGCATGTCTGTATGAGTTTAAAACATGTTTGAAATGTTCATATCCATATTTCAGCCCAAATTAAATTTTGATACTTGAGACATTCATAGGTTCAGTAACGGGAACATATACTGTATGAATATCAATATAGACCTACATAATATTGTTAACTTAATTCCTCTTTTAAAACTTAGGATTGTTATTATTTTACGAATATATACAGTAGTTTTAGACTGTTCTCCTGTGGAAACTAAGAGGATCCCCCTATAGGACCTATGCATAATAAGCACAATCAATAAACACGGGTACTGAATGGTACCAACAACCGGTATTCGATTAAATTGAGTAAATTGATAAATCTAATAAATAACTGCGCTTCCGAGTCACCCACCCACCCACTAAATGCTGAAACACACGCGCGCACGCACATTCCCAAAGCACGCACGCCTACACAATATGGAATACATGTCTGAAAGAACCGTATCGGCTTCTATGCATAAACAGGCTACTTCGTAAAGGTTGTGTAAACTCCGAGACGTGTGGTTTTGTGTCAAATTTCACACTGCACAGTTTTTTTTCTTCTGTTGAATTAATGTCTATTAGATAACTTAATTAGTCTTTCCCTTCTTCCAAAATGTAACAATTCCGAGTGCTTTACGTCATTGATTTCCTTACTTAGTCAAATTTTTAGTTTTAAAAATGAAAAGAATAAGGAAAAAAGCGCTTGTTCATTTTCACTATAATGTAAAAGTGTAACGATGTAAAGTGAATACTACAATCTACTTAACCAAATTTTGTACTTGGTGTTAAAGGTACTATGTCCCTTTTGCAGCCAACCTCAAATGCTGTAGAACTTTGCAAGAATTATGAACATGTCATGTATGTCCTATCTGTGAAATTTAAACGTTAGCAGTGTCCTCATATTCAAATTATGCAAGGAAACCCGTTTACTTGCTAGACTTCACTGTCATACACTATTGAGTGACTGACTGGCTTTTTTTCTTCTTTGGTAATAACATACATGAAAAGAGTTGTAAAGGGTACATGAGTATTTGTCTACATCAATAACCCACTTCTTGTGATGGCCAAGATTAAAGTGATTGAATCTTTGCACAGCATAAAACGTATGACCATTCGGTACAATTGTCTGAAAATCAAGACTATTACTTTTGGGCTCTATAGCCCTAAAGTCGATTTGACAACTAATAGTCGTTATTTTCCCACTTGAAGACATTTTCAAGCCCCGCCTTTTTTAGGGAAGTTCTAAATTAGTATTATCTTTCAAATGCAGTTGGAATTTAACTTTTTCATTTTTTTGGCCTGCAAATGGGACATAGTACCTTTAATGTGTGAAAATCACAAAGTACTTTTTCGTCAGTTAAAAAACAAATGCAATGGTGTATTCAGTGTTTTAACCAAATTTCCACATCGTTTTATAAATTCATCTTCACATTGTTTTCTGTGAATGTACCTGGACAGGTTCCACAGCTCCTATTTAAATCATGTCAATTAAATTTTGTCGTAAACGAAGTTGTGAGTGCGGTTTTCATTTTTTCTTCGATTCAATTCAATTCAATTTATAATTGCCAATCAATACAAAAAAGCATACATGGTAAACAAAAAGTACAGTGTACAAAGTATCACACAATTACTATTACTAACATAGATAAACACAGAAAAACACAGAATCAATTTAGAAACATGGATGAATGTCGTTAAAAGGACAAGGGAAATTGCTTAGGCTGGTAGTAGCCAGAAAAGAGATGGTCCTTATATGTGGCTGACCAAATAATCAAATATAAAAAGTCTTATGATTTAATTTAAGCTATAATAACAAGTAAAACAAATAACAATAAATGTAAAATATAATGAACTTAACAACCATTGAAATCTTTAGCCGGCATCAATATAGGTCCATCAAATTTCTTGTAATTTACTTTTAAAAGTGTTAACAAAATTTCAATTCACGTAATTCATTTTGAAAATACGATTGATACACGTGACTTATACACGTAACTTTGATGTAATTCAAAGTGCAGCGGTCATGACCTAGATCACCACTGGGTGCATGGGGGAGTGATTGTATACACTGCCTGGTTAACATGTTAACCTTCACCTAACCTCTTGTAGGACGAGTCAAAAGGACAAATCTCATTCTAAAAAAGACAATTCTAAAAGTACCCAATTGTATTTTACACACTATCCAATACGTTCAGGAAAGTACCAAAACTGGGCCAAAGTTCTTTGATAACTCCAGAACCTTGCAGTACACGTCAATACTTATTTGCTACATGATCAACTGTTTCTGATTGATTCCACATCGTTTCTTCCACAATGCAACCGCATAACCTGAACTCAACTTTATTTTTAAGTCAATATATACTTTTGTATTCATCATTTTGTATTCCCTTGTGTATAATATAAAAATCATCAACATTACGAGGACCAGTGAACAAGTTTGACATACAACAAAAATGTTTCCACATGCAAATAATCGATACATGTAAGCTAACTGACATCCTTTTCGTTTTGCCGCCTTCGGCTAGAACGTAGACCAATGATATGTAGTGACTCGTTAAAAAAAGACCAATGCATACTATAAATGCAAAGATCTGGTAATAAAGATATCACGAGTCATTTTACATTTAAACAAAATAACATTTTCTAATGTTGCCCATGGGTCGTCTAAATTTGTACGTTCGGTTCCCAATTGATTGGGTGATTTATTACGCTTAGAAAAGCAGCGTTTGTTTCAGAATTTATGAGTTAAGAAAAAAAATACACTTCATTCTTACAAAAATAAATATTGAAATGTAAAACTTATAGCCGTACATTTTCTCGTTTTAGTCGTAAACATTTGACATGTTAACCCTATTTTATGCTCACTCGGATATTATCACGTAGACAATGTCATAGCAACCTCTGTAGAAGAGGAACAAATAAAGGAAATTAATGTGGACATTTTTACGATAAAAAAAACCTGAAGTTATTCTTACGTTTTACGTTATCATGAGGAGTATGACACCATAACTCCGGCTAGATTCTGATTTTAATCATGCTCATGTTCAATAGCAATTTGTAGTGATAGAATAGAAATTAATATGGTTTTGAGTGGCATGTCGGTGTTGAAAGGGGGGGGGGGCATCTGCTTTTTACATTGCCTTTCCCCTCCCCCCTTTACCCTCCTTTACCCCCCTTTACCCCCTTTACCTCCTGTATCTCTCTCTCTCTCTCTCTCTCTCTCCCTCTCTCTGTTTTGTATTTCATTTTGGTCAGTGGATTGGAAGGGGGCGTGTCCCCCCAAAAAAAGTTACACCACCTCATATAACAAAGCGACATATGTTAGGCTTTAGGGCAGTAGGGGATGGGGCAGGGTCTAACTCTGCAAATTCGTAATTTCCATTTAATTTGCACTGTTCACTTTTGTGCCCTGTTCATAGCTATAAAGTTGAAATCATTTATGATTATAAGAAATATTACGACATCATTTTCGTTTATACCAACTACTAGAGAAAATAAAAATTGTCACTGTTTATAATAATGTGGAATAACCGCACAAAAAAAAATCATTACATTTTGATCATAGAATTCGATATATTGATTCGCAAAGCTTGTCTTTGGTTATAAATGTATCTTCAGAGACTGTTAATTCGCTCCGCTTATAAAATGTCTGTCTTAATAAACCTCACATAGGAAGTTTAATACAAGACGTTGAACTGCATGCATGTATACATGATTACATCTCTTCAAAGATCAATAAACGTAGACTCTTTGCACAGCTTGAAATCCATACAATTACCAGCCCCCTCGTCTAGCATGTCTCAAAATTGCTTGCATTTTGATTCTCTTTATTTTTATGTGAGCAAATTTGTTTGTGCGTTTAATATCCTTTTCTGAATTTACTATCAAAACGTGTATATTTCCCTTTTTCCCGGAGGTACATATAATTTCGAATTTATTTATTTGTTTATTACTCCGGAAGGTTTGTTATTCCGAAGGATTGCTACTCCAAAGGTTCGTAATTTCGAAAAAGAAAAGGGGATCATGTTTCCGAAGGTTCATGATTTCGAAAATAAAATAGAACTATATATTATTTTCTGAATAATACATTTTTGAACCGATGAAATATTTTCCTCGTTCAGAATGAATTATGAACCCTTTTTCGTTTTCGAATTTACGAACCTTTCGGAGCTATGCTTGAGCTTTAGGAAAAACGAGTATCCCCCGGTCTGATGAAGTATTGTGAACTCAAAGGAAATGATCCTATTAATCAGCTAGATTAAAGGATAAAACTGGCTTTGACTGTTAGAATATTGTCGATGGATTATGCAGTGCCCGTCCTTGTCTACTTTCCAATGTCATATCCAGCAAATAGGACGGAACTCACTTGTGCCCCTGTTCGTTGTCACCCCTCCCCCAAACCCCCCCCCCCCCCCACAACAACAACAAAAAGCCAAGTGGGACAAATGGATAATTATCTGGGATGAGTTAGTGTCTGGATGGGAAATGAAAACTGACATGTTCACATGCACAATCTCTAATCAAATATGAGTTGATCGAAGGCAAACTTTGTCTTTCGCAGGGCTGTATGCCGGGCTTATACCATACGTGTGTTGTTCAATGATCATATTACCTTGATGTTTTAAATGATATCTGTTAATGTTGTTAGAAAGGGGGCGTTATAAATGATGGTCGCTGGTTTTGCCATTTCCTCTCAGTCGATCTTGCTATTTGCACGTGACTGATTGGTACATTTTCTCGATTGTATGTAAACTCAGTATTGATTTGGTGGAAAGAAGGAGAAAAAAGGAGAGGAAGAAAAGAGGGGAACGGAGGGGATAGAGAGAGAGAGAGAGAGAGAGAGAGAGAGGAGAGGGGGGAGGGGAGAGGGGGGGGGCAGACATTCTTACATATCATGTGCGGGTTAGTAATTGAATCCAATTATCGGGGTAATATTAATTACAATGTGAAGCCCTTACAAATGCAGTATCAAGCGCTATTCAAATGTGACTGTTTTTATCAGTATTATTGTTATGACAAGGGCGATACACAGAGGTAATCGAGAGATCTTGACCTTCACAGTGAATGCAATTTGCAAACGAGGTCAATATGACACTTCCTGTATGTTTCTACGAAATTCAAACAAACAAATATCTTATTCTTACCAGGAATCGCGACCATGGAGAGTTGTCAATTTTATGAAGAAAACGGTCACGTTCAAGGTTAGGTAGAGTGTAGACCTGTGACGTCAATTTGAGCATGCTATCCTCAAACTTTAAGAACACGAGCAAATGGAGGATTGTTATTGACATGAATACTAAACTTCAGCGCCCCCACCGCCACCGGTACCGCCTACTTTCGCAAAAATCAACCTGAGGAAATTTCAATAGCTTTGTGCGTCACGTATTGAAATGTGCCAACATGACAATAACATTTTATGTTATCCGATCACGATTTCTTCTGGATATAATAATTATAATGGGGTATTGAAATTGCCTTTGAGTTGATTTCTCGAAAGTCTTTATGATCGTGTTAAACAAACAAGCAAAATATGATATGAATTCAACAAACCAATTAAAAACCAGTCAGTATCTTAATTAGTATTAAGCTTACAGGAAGTTTCAGGTGATGACTCAACAATCGAAGAGTTCGTTACCTAACAAACGAACAAGCAAACATAAAACATAAATGATCAGGCTCAACCAACAAATTAAAATCGGTCATTATTTTATTAAGCATATTAAGTGTCAAGCCCTGACTTAGGAGAAGTTTCAGGTGGTGACTCAACTATCGAACAGGTAGTCAACTGACAGCTGTACTTCTCTGATATACCATGTAATCTTTGTCAAGATCAATCGGTCATGACATGCTGGCGAGAACAATAATCTGAGTCATCATAAACTCGTTATGACTCTATAATTATCATAGTTATCGAGTTTCTCGCCTCGACTGTTAAGTGTTATGATATTAAGTGTTATGGAGCATAGTAAGATATATACTTAAGAAAAGGCTGCCAACATCATGTTTTAGAGACAACTCCCGTGCGCTATTCTGCCAATAAGTTATTTCCTTGATTCTACGTTTATTGATTCAAATTTGTCCACATGTAATATTTTCCCATAAACTTACTGCCAAGATGATACAAACTGATATGCCTGCGCCATTGCACGAATGTATCTGCCGTAAATCATACTGATTGTGGCAATAATAACAGATCATTTTACATACCAAATAAGAGTTGGTGATGTAACAGGATACTTATCTAGTAGGCGTATCTTTGGGAACCTTGTAAAGTGTTCGTTTGAGCATGGTGTGGTATTTTTTTATTCAAGTTTCTATTCTGGCAAGAAAAAATATGATTCTAGCTTCAAAGGTTTTATTTCAGAACATTATTATGAGTATTTGTGGCAAAAAATGTAATTTCTGACTAGTTGCAAACGAAAATGAATAACATCAACAGCAACATAGAGTAGCTGATATTAAAAGGGCCCTGACGTCATGATGATTAGGGGGGGGGGGGGAGGGGAGGCACAGGTTTAACCAGAGAGACGAAATATCAAATAAGAAGGCTACCGATCAAGGAGGGAATTGGAGGGGTACTTTCACTTTCTCTTCACGTTCTTTTCCCCTCTCCTTTCATCCACTCTCTCTCTTTAGAAAAAAACACACCAACAACAAAAACAACGACACACATACGAATAAAGCATATTCCAAACGGATTATAATCTATTTAGTTATAACTTTGCAGCATAATCGGTGAAATACATGTGTAAATCCACAATACAGTTAGTATTTATCTTACTCGTCTCATACCATTACGTCGATTATGGACAGGTTAAATGAAACGAAATTTTTCTAACTTTTGAACTGTTTCCTATTGCTTTGACCCTGAAATGTCACAGAAAATGTTCAGCAGACGCTCCTTGTTGATGTGGACTTCGAGACGTCAACAATGGGAGGGTTCACACAGAGTCGAATAGATCAGTATGATTGGCAAAGGAGGACAGGGAGAAATCAGATGCATGTGAACGGACCAGCGGTCGATCACTCCACTACCACTTCAACAGGTAAGACGAATGTCATCTTGGCTTCCAGGCGGTGCATTGATCATATTTTGATTATATTATTCTAACCATCATCTTTGATTTTTACTGTGTACTTGGTAATGCAATTGCATTATGGTATCATACCACTTCAAGGATATTCAGATACTACATAGTAATATCTGTGTCATTTTTTTCTCACCATCTTTGGTAATATTTGGTAGACTATGATTAAGTTTATAGTTGTTGGTACCATGTCCTGCTTCAAATCAATCGAAAAGGTAGGTGTGCTCCTGAACGCCACGTTCGAGAAAATTATTTATCTCATACTTTGTCACCACTTTTGTCCTCATTGATTCGATTTTTTGGTCAAACATTGAAATATAGAGAAAGACGTACAGCAGCTAGCTTAACGATAGATATCGGTGCATGCAATTCAAAATGAGTCAGGGCTATACATTTCAAAATTGTACAATCAAACACGACTCCTATATGCAATTCGAGTATTTATCATTTGCCAAATAGCCAAAAGAGCTGCCAATTTCGGATAGAACATGAAGAAATTTGTAGGCTGTCAGGCGGGAAACTCCAAAGAGATTCCAAATAACATCTATCTAGCCCTATAAAATCGCACTAAAAGCTACCTTATACAGCACCGTCTTTGCCAGCCTGGAAAATTCCATTTTGGACTTACAATTATGATTATTATAATGACTTTGATACATACACCAAGGACAGATATCTACTTTTCATTGATCAAGAAATGTGTTTGCGACCAAATGAAAACTATACCCCTTTGACTACCACCGGACCACTAAACGCGAGTGCAATTACCCAGGCCCAAGAACAATTACCCCGCGAGTTGATTACACTCAGGTAGTTGTCCCCGGGAGTACTTGTCCACTGAATAACTGTAAGTGGGGTAGACTAGTTTTCCTGCAGAGGATTGTAGTTATTATTCGTTGATACATTCCAAGTTGTTATAGTCTTCCTGGTAAAGTATTTCATAGATGGACACTGAGATTGTTGTATAAACTAAATAATCCACGTTTTATCTTTACCAGGACACTTTATGTTCGTCAACACGGTAAGCTGGCGAAGCGGTAGCAAGGCAGAACTCTACAGCCCCGAATTACCGGCTAGCGATTCCAACCGCTGCGTGCGGTACTACTTCTACATGACCGGAATAACACCGGGGTCACTTACCGTCAGGGTCAAGTCTGGTACCGGATATAATATGACGTCACATGTCGTAGGTCGACAGATGGGGGATAAAGGTCAAGCGTGGAATCGTGGCATGGCGAAGCTACCGCCCATTGACAAGAGCTACCAGGTAAAGTCTGTTTAATAGTAACTGTTGATAATAATAGACAGTCATGTAACTTTGAAACCTTATATTGAATTAATGTGCTTGTGATTGTAAGTAGAGGGACTCAAATGATAATCCTTGATTGGTTGATAATGATAAGTCATATTTTTAAAGAAATTACTTGACTTTAACACTAAGACATTTTGTTCTCTGTTAAGAATAATGTTGAGACTTCCTGAGTCCGACATTCATAAAAAAATCAACTTGTCAATCAACTAGTACTGATTGTATTAATTAATCTCTAATGATTATAACATGCAGACTATATGTTATTCCTCTCATGGCTGGATTTCTCTTTACTAAACTAAAAACAACGATTTGGTTAAATGCTTTTAATTATCAGATAACATTCGAAGCGACCAGTGACAACGCGATCGGAGGGGAAATCGCCATTGATGATGTTCAGATTCTCAACTCTGACTGTCCTAGCGGTAAACTTCTTTATATATTTTTTAAATATCATTTTGAACAAGAAAAAAACATTGTGCTTGCAAAGGTGTACATCTTAGTGGCACAATATAGAAAAAGCCGTTTGAATATTCAGATGTACTATTTTGTCTTTGTTACAGAAATGACGAGCTATTCACAACTTAATTGTTCGAATTTGACCCTCCGTTGAATACGTTTTGTAAATTGAATACTTCACAATGCATTTTTTTTGGCTACATCGAACAATGTAACATTCTCAAAATGAACGGATACAAATTGGTATTTGGCAATCGGAATTAGCTAAAACATAAATAAATTCGATCAAAAGGTTGTTTTTATGCTCGTAATTAACACATACAAAAAAAAATAACGTTTACAATTTTCATGCCTTTTCTACTTAATTCATATTATTCATTCTCTCTTTAAACTGAGAGACCTAATTTCTGTTTGTCGAATAAGATAATGAAAATGCTGTTATTTTTCTACTTTCAGATGAATTCCAATGTTCATTCGAGAGTCCCGACCTTTGCGGAATGATTCAAGACTCGACGGATGACGGTAACTTGGTGTACGCCAATGGAAAGACAGATAGCTTCTATACTGGACCTTCGTTTGACCACACCTTCCGAAACACTTCAGGTATAGTTCAGAGAGAGAGAGAGAGAATGAGGGGGGAGAGGGGGAGTGAGAGAGTGAGAGAGAGAGAGAGAGAGAGGGGGAGAGAGAAAGAGAGGGAAGAGAGAGAGAGAGAGAGAGAGAGAGGGGGGGGAGAAAGAGATAGAAAGAGAGAGAGAGAGAGAGAGAGAGAGAGAGGGGAGGGGAGATGAGAGGGAGGGGTCAGAGCTAGAGAGAGGATTACTGTCCCATTATTCTCTTCTCGGAAGCCCCCGGCCCCTTTTAACAAATTTCTTGATTCGTCACAAATTATTTGTGTTTATTCAAACCCGAAATTATAACAACAGTGATATATGTTCACCTAATCAATAATCAGCCGCAATTCCCGCGTTTCCAGCGTTGATTTAACAAAAAATAAGAACACTAAATCAAACAAAGGTATACCACAATTGAACGTGGAATGTATAATTAAGCAGAACAAAATCAATAAAATAAGATTCATATTTTTAAGGGGATATGCTTTTAGTTTTAATGATGTCCTCCGCCCGGCCATTGAACTTCATAAGGCGTTTTCCGAGTTGATTCCGACTTAATATATTTTGTGGTTTTATCGAAAGAATTTAAGTTGTGAAAATTCACTTCGAAATCTTTTTTTCTGAGAACTATTGATCAAATCACGAAATCTTATTTTTGAAAACTTTTGATCAAACCACGACAGGGGAAAAAGTACTCACTTATATGAACCAAAAAAAAAGGGTTACAGGATATGGATATAAGGAGTAATAAGAAGAAAAGGAAGTGAGGAAGACGTTGAGGCGTTTAAAAAGAAGAAAAAAGAAAAGGAAAGACAAACAAACGGAAAGACACAACCATAAGAATAACATTAGAATATTGGTTATCAAACTTACGCTTGATTTTAAGAGATCCACTTGATTTGTCAAAGTTCCACTTGATTTATTAAAATTACGCTTGATCATAAATCTTTATAATACGGGCCCCAGAACTGATAACATAATTTGATCCAAGACCCTCACAGTAGTAGACCAATGTCCCACTAGGCTCGCAGCCCTCTAGACCGACGAATGCAAAAAATACATAAGGGGAGACAGCAAGATGTCAGTCTCATGGCTCGACGGTCTAGTGAACCGTCAAGAAACGTTTTCAGAAGGTCACTGAGACCGACGTTATCGGTCGACGTTATCGGTCTCATGGTCTGTCGTCTACTTTGCGCCGAACTTGTCGGCAAATTATATCTGTACACTGCTCGCCATCCAGAATGATATCGTTGGGCCAAGTTCACTATAAGGATGATGACCGGCTGCACATAGGATTGCGTTAAATAGTCCATGGTTTGATGCTTGAAAAATATTAGAATTGGACAACATATCGTGTTGTGATCTGTCCCGCGTGTCACTATACATTTCGCTTATTTTGCTCTCTGTTTGCTGATGTTTGTGATAAAAATTAGCTCTTTATTCCATTCTTGATTCCTTCAGGTCATTATGTATTCATGGAGGCCACACCGCTAGGTCGCAACCAGACTGTTCGCCTGATCACCCCTACCCTAAGAGGGGTTCCCTCTGACCAGGAGGCACATTGCTTGGTGTTTTGGTATCATATGTTTGGTATGGCTGTTGACTCATTGGCTGTCTATCTCTTGGATGCCACCCAGAAGGTGTCCAGTTTGGTATCTACGGAACCTCTCTGGATCCTCAGAGGCAATAGAGGCAACCGATGGAGAGCAACGGAAGCATCGATCACCATGCGGACCGATTATAAGGTAAAGATCCACAAGGAGATAGCAAGGTGATACAGGTGAAACCGGTAGTATGCCATTGCCGAAAACCCCGGCCCAAACTCAAAATTTCTTTAGGCAATTTTTTTAGAATCGAGAACGGTATATACGAATCGTCTTCGTTCTCTAATAATTTAATGCAACGTCAGAGCTTCCGCGAAGAGTGGGAGGGGGGAAACTGAATTCAGACAAGGATTAAGAGTCGAGAACGGTACAACGATTTGTCTTCTTTCTCTAAAAATGTAATGAAACGTCAAATATAAAAAAAGACAATAAATGAACAAGTCACCAATGAAAGTACACGCCGTGAAACAGAATAACGAGAGAGAGAGAGAGAGAGAGAGAGAGTATGTGTAGCAACTTAACGTGGTATAACTGTCAAGTAACTGTACAGGTGACATGTAATTGTGCTGCTCCCCCCCCCCCATACTCAAGCTCGGAATGACTCTCTTGATGTAAAGGAAACACATATAGAGAGAAAGCCGGATTGATCCGCTTGGATCACACCAAGCCAGAGACAAAAGAGAAAACAAAAGTATTTAAAAAACAACAACTAACAAACAAACAAATAAACAAAACAGACCGCACATACAGTGACGGTCCCTTATTGATGAGAGATGAGGGGAAGGATTTAACAAAAACTAGGAGGCAACAGGACAGGTGTCGAGTTTGGGATCAGCTGAACCTTACTGGACCCTCAGAGGCACTAGAGGCAACAGGTGAAGGGGAACGGAAGTATCTATCACCATGCGGACTGATCGTTAGGTACAGATATTTCATCGGAGATAACCGAGGATAGCTGGTAGTGTCAACTATTTCCGAAAACCCTGGCTCCAACTCAACATTTACTTCTGTAAAATTTTGCCCGAATCTGCAACGCTTATCTATCATGATATGTAGTGATTACAATATAAAGATTAGCTTGTAGAGATAGTAAGGTGAGACATGTAACACCGTAAAGCAGATGGTATGAGCCTTTACAGACAACTTTAAAATATAAGGCCCCATTTCTCACCTTCGGCCTCAAATCCACACTTCTGTCGACAAAATTGTCCAACTCTGCAAGTTACAGTCAAATCCGCAGTTGTCGAACATAGCGTCACTACATACGAGGGGATAGAGAAACAAAATCAGATAGAGAAATAATTCAATGCTGACAAAGCACAAACCTTGAACGCACTTAAAGAGAGCAAAATGGTCTACCGACACCCCATCACAAAAGAGATATGAAAGGGAGGGGGGGGGGGTAGATAGATGAATGTGAATGTGAAATATGCGGGGTCTGTTTGTAATTTAAACATTCTGTCTTCTGTTCTTTTTTTTCAGATTGTCTTCCAATTTACACGAGGAGTTCGGTACGATGGCGACATTGCTATTGATGACGTCATCGTTACTTCATATGCCTGCCCTGGTGACCGTAAGTAAAACAATAACATAGGCCTAACAAAAAAAAAGATGTTGTATTGCCCTTTAAGTCCTAAAACATGGGTCGGTCGGTCGGAAATCTTTTTTTTTTTTTTAATAATTTGTTTCCCTCTCTCTTTGGGCTGATATTTCTCAGTTTTGAGTGCTTTGATATTTTTTTTCTCTAAAAAACGGTTAAAAAAAAAACTTTTTAAAAAGCCGACCGTAGATTTCAAGATTTCGGGGTCGGTCGCAAAGGGCAATAAAACATCTTTTTTTGTTAAAGGCCTAATCGATGATTATCATGGTCCTCTTTACGAAATGGAGATGGTGCACATTATGTGTACTTCCACGAATCCAATGACAGGTTAAATGATATTTGTGGAGTGCTAAGAGACTAATAATGTAGACTTGTCTTTTGTGACGTTAACATGCTACAAAATCCTAACTCTAACTCTGGCCTGTCTCCACAATGGAGTAGATAGAAATGTTACGAGAATGAACAGAGTGTTGGACCGGTGTCCTTTATGCTCTAAATTCCAGCTGTACGCCAGCTAGAAGGGAAATGACAAATCTACTTCCAAACGATCCAGCTTTACAACTATAAAAGTATCGTTTGTCATATGCATCTCGAAAGTGAGCGAGTGTTATTACCACTACGCTTTATCAATAAAATAAAAAAGATTTACTGGCATTATCTTAACTCTCTCTCTCTCTCACTCAGACGTCTATGCGAATGTATCAAGTGTATCCTGTGAATTCGAAGAGGCCGATATCTGCCACTACATACAGGATCGGTCAAAGGACACTGAAGATTGGCAGTGGGGTAACGGGCAGACCTATATCGACTTCACTGGTCCAAGTGTGGATCACACACGAGGAGACGAACTTGGTAAGAATAACTGGGTGTTGAATCTACCCATGTATTAATAATAATAATAATAAACAATATTTATAAGGCGCTTAATACTGGTGTCTCTAAGCGCACCATATTCTGACTTAACAATTATTTACCAAAACTTATAATAAACACACAACTTAAACATCTGTTCTTTATTCAATAAATCATGCATATATAATAATAAAAAATAAGATAAGAGTGAGATCAAACAAACATACATACAAGAGGTCAAACATAGGATCAAACATAGGATCGAACAAACAAAAAATAAGACGGTGTGCACCTCCTTTGACCGACTCACAACTGCAGAATATTATTTATGAATTAAAAAGGTGCGTTTTCACCAAGGACTTGAATTGGTCGAGAGAATGAATATTATGAAAGTGCGCTGGTAATTTGTTCCAAAAGATAGGGGCATTTACTGAGAAAGCTCGGTCGCCATATTTTGTAGCGGTACGAGGTCCGAGGGTTAACTGCAAGGTTGATGATGATCGAAGGGGTCTTAAAGAACTATAAGAACGTAAGGAAATCAAATCTGAAAGATATTTAGGGGCTTGGCCATGGAGAATTTTGTATGTAAGAAGAAGAACTTTGAATGTGATACGATGGTGTATGGGAAGCCAATGAAGAGAACGCAATATTGGGGTTATGTGCTCAAACTTTCTCGAGAGAGTAACAAGCCTTGCAGCAGTATTCTGAATTCTTTGAAGTGGAAGTAGGGACGATTGCGGAAGACCAGAAAAAATTGAATTACAATAATCAAGGTGGGAGGATACAAATGCATGGGTTAATTTTGCTGTTGTGGGCCGGTCAAGTAGTTTCCTAATTTTCCCAATTTTGAAGATTCCAAAAGATGCCGATTTACATACGTTTTTAATGTGCTGTTGAAAATTAAGATTTTTGTCGATTAAAACACCCAGGTCTCGAACGTATTCACTACCATTCCAAAAGTCCAGTAATTATATGGGATCGATTCTAAGGAGTGCAGGAATAGTATCAATCAAATTATTTTCATTAAAACAACTCAATTATTTTCCTATTATTTCATTTGTCCTACCCTCCCGGAGATGGGTCTACACCCCTTTCCGGGAATACTGGATAAAATGCCAATGTGGGCCCTTACGTGTCCATATTAGGTGGGGTAGTTTGTCAATCTGGGTTATTTCTTTATAGAGATATCTTTCCCCATAAGTGCTCCACGAGTAGACAAAATACTATACTACTTTGTTGGGCAAGACTTCAGAATGCCCTAATGATTGAGGCACTTTATGTTTCACCAGTCCTAACCTGAACATTTTCTGGTATATTATACTGTTGTTCAATTCTCTCGCTTCCAATTTTGACCTCCAAGACCTACTGATATGAAGCATTGATTTTCTTTCGGAGTCATTTGACTGGTGATATTTTGACGTTACCTTTGATTTCTCCGTCAAGGTTTTTACCTCTACTTCGAGAGATCCGTGGGCGGAGGTGATGACGCGCGCATCTCGTCGCCTCCGATCCAGCCGCAAAGAGCTTCATCTTGTGTCGAGTTTTGGTATCACATGTATGGAACGGACGTGAACGCGTTGATCGTTTATATCAACCGCCTGGAAGGAGACTTGGCAGACAGACCAGTTTGGAATAAGACGGGGAATCAGGGAGATAAGTGGAATCGGGCGGAGCTGATGGTCCCGGCGTCTCTTTACCCGCTTCATGTAAGTGTTGATGGTTGACTTTTAAAAAGCTGAGAAAATTATCTTATACTTGTGGGTCGCTGTCAATCTTAAGATCTAAAGTCCTTTAATCGTTCTCCCTACCAGCACACCAAAACAAAAGGGTTACATATCGTCTGCTGAGAGCCAGTAGGGTATGGACTCCCATCCTCTGAAAGAGATTGGATGATCTTCTTGGCTCTCAACAGATGACAGTAATTATACCACTGTTATATAAATATGATACTTCGACACCACCTAGTTGTTACAGGTAACATCATTAATGGGGTTCTAGGACACCTAACCCCTCAATAACCACCCACCGGATAACCACTCCTAGAATAACCACCCTCTAGGACAATTATCCCCTAGGACAGCTACCCCTAGGGCAACCATCCTCAAGGACGACTACCCCTGAAAAACTTACCCTTTAGGATGATTCACTTCCCCAGCTAACTACCCTCTAGTACAACCAACCAAAGGACTACCCCCAGACAACTCCCCCAGACAACTACCCTCTAGGACAATTACCCCCGATTGATAAATACCCTAAGTGGTTATTGTACGTCCGGGGGTGGTCGGGTGGTAGTTGCCCTAGAGGGTAGCTGTCCTAGGTGTAGTTGTCCTAGAGAGTGAATATCCTAGGGGTGGTTATCCGGGGGTCATTGGCCATGAGGTAGGTGTCCGGATACGCATTAATTGAAAGCTCTCTACGTGAATATGAAAGAACTTCTGTTTTTCATAAAACATGTATGTTCCTTTCTTGTCTTTTAGCTTGTGTTCCATGCCGTAGGTGGTACTCAGTTTCGAGACAATATAGCCATCGATGATATCAGACTTTTTGAGAGCGCTGAATGCCCAGAAGGTAAGCGTTTATCTTGATATCTAACATATAGGTTTATACTTGTCTAAGTTGCTCATGTGTTTCTATAATTGAGATTGACGCAACACATTAATTAACGTCTTTTCAACATTTGTTTCAAACATTCCGTTATAATTCAAGAACTTTAAAGATGGCACATTTTCAATGTGGCTCCGTGTAAGGCGGCCTTACGCCAAAAAATCAATCGGGTTAAACAGAACGTCATATCTTTTATCAAGACAATCTCCATTTCTACTTTAAATTGAAAATATCTCCTAATGTTTCTCTTTCAGTGTCCTCAGAGACGCCTATGGACGAGCCTATCCCTCCTCTAGTACGAAGGGTGGAATGTACGTTTGAACATGGGTTGTGTAACCTGACCCAGGAGACCAACGATGTCTTTGATTGGACGCTCGGACACGGACCAGACACCACTCAGGATACAGATAACACCATGGTCGATCACACGTATGCAAATACAACAGGTGAATGTCTTCAAAGTTCTTCTTGAAATCATTCATTAAACATCTATCTGGATATAAAAATATAAAAGTACTTTTTGAATTCGTATTTCCTGATTGCTAAGACGGCAGTGTCGTGGTCGAGTGGTTTACGTCGCTTGACTGGAGACGCGAAGGTCGGGGGTTCGAATCCCGACACGGCACTGATATCCTTTGGCAAGATATTAACCTACACTTGCTACTCTCCACCCAGGTTTTAAAATGGGTACCCGGTAGGATGCGACCGTCATTGCTGGTCAAACAGTTTTTGAGCGTCAAGTCACGCCTGGCTGGAATGCTCCCCAGGGAGTGGAGATTGTGCACACATTGTGTGCGGGCAAGCATTGAATCCATATAATAGTAATAGTGTATCTGTAAATCGCTTAGAGACGTCCGAGGTGTATTAAGCGCTATATAAAAGCTGAATATTGTTATTATCATCTATCTGGAAAATAACAATATAGAGGTTCTGTTGGTATTCGTATTTCCTGATTGCTAAGACGGCATTGATATCATTGTAGGTAAGATCCTACCCCAAGGAAATAGCATTGAAGATTAGTGCCTTACCAAAGGGTACTAATCCATCGATGGGCCTTCGAAACCTGGGACCTCGGAATGGCGAACGCCGTGTTTATAGTCTTGCAACAGAAGTAAGGAAAACTTGTAAATGAGTGGTGCCCAGTTTGATTAAGTTTAATTCCCCTTTTTCCAACCAATAGGAACGTACGCATTCATCGATACATCGCAGCGTTTCTTGAGGACTAACGACAAGGCTCGCCTCAAATCGCCCCTCATCGCTCCATCGCCGTATCCACGTTGCTTCACGTTCTATTACTTCATGGCGTCGACATATGCCGACTTCCTTAATGTGTACATAGTGTCGTATGGCGGAACTGAATCCTTTGACCCGCAGTTTGTGATCTACGGCAGACAGGAAGCAAAATGGTTGAAAGCCATGGTGACCATTGAACCGTCCATGACTACAACCATTTACGTAGGTATTTAAAGAACAAAATGGTTCTTCTCCATTTTATAGTAGTACTTACGCCACTCTCAATTCATTTTTGAAATTTCTTCTTCTTTCTTTTTTCCATCTCTCACTTTTATAAGATTGTCTCATCGTAATCTACTGAAGATCGTAACTTACTGAAACTATCAACGCATGTACATCAACATAATTATAAATCGCTGTTTCTCCTCAGTTGCTTTTTTGTCCATTGATGTTTGAGAAACATAATGATGAAAACGAGTTCATTAAGCCGAGTTAGTCTGTCGATAGCAAGTGCTGAAAGTTTAATGTCGTGTGAAGTGTAGAACGTTATTGATTCTTCGAAAATGTGCATTCTAGTGAAAGTTTTCTTACTCAAAGACTAAAGGGAGCCAATCACCCACCTTGTTTCTCCGGACTTCCCTAACAAAGCAAATTCTATTAAGTATATAGAAAGCTCAATTTCCCAACGAAATAAAAAATACTCTTTTTTGAAACAATCAACGTCCAACTCGTTAATCGTTATTATCAGTGTGCCGCTGTAAATGCATGACAATAATTTTCCTTTTATTTTATTTGTTGGTGGATACATACTTAGGTGATGATTGAAGGCGTCATAGGACCAAGAACAAGCCGAGGAGATATCGCCATTGATGACGTCAGGTTAGAAAACAATGGATGCAATGTACCAGGTAAGGCAACATGGTTCTACGACGCCCTCTGCGCCTGCTCTACAAATGTTAGATTCCCTCACAGAGGACACTACTTCATAGATCACAATAAGTGGTTTCCCTTTAAAGCCCCACTGTCCTACTTGTAGCTACTTGCTCCCTCTATTTAGAAAACTTCACCAATCAGTGCCTGTTGGTCCCCCATGATCCTCTATTTCTTATGTTATTTGAGAGCTGAGTTGATGAGATAGCCACCTGTCAGTGACCTCGCTGTGTGGTCTAATCCCTCCTAGCCACACTGGTGTTGATAAGCTTTATGATTATAGATTACGCTTCAGTGATTAACCACATGATGTCGTCAGGGTTGGTCTTGTTAAGAATTTCATTGTGCTAATGGAACTCGTAAATTCTTAGATAATTATAATGGCACGATGGATAAGAAAGATATCTGCAAAATACTTTATCTAAAGCCCTATTAGACGACCTTTGAGACAGGTTAGAATCGTAGTGATGATAACCTCATTTGTTTAAATATTCAAGTGTTTTAACTTCTTTCAGTTCGACTGTAATTGTGCATAGATCACAGTGAATTTAAACCATTTTGATGCATGGGTAAGATTACAGGAGAAAAGGCATTTTGGCAGTGTTCAATGGCTGAAGCAATACTATGTTTACGCTTAAATATCGCCGCTGCCAGTTTAATCTAAGAAGAAATTAACTTGTAATATCTGATTAAATCATTCGTCTGAAGATTGCCGTTTTTAATCATTCAAACAATATAGAAACGAAAAATCCAAGTCTACCACTGTCAGCAAACTGTGACTTTGAATTTGATCGCGGCTGCGACTACATTCAGGCGAAGACTGATGATTTCGATTGGGTTCGACATCGTGGAAGAACAGACACAGCGGACACTGGACCTCTAGTCGACCACACCAAGGGGACAGCAGAAGGTATGCACTCGTTTATCCAGAAATTGATAACAAATATTAGGTGGCTAAAAATTGTTTGGAGGAAAGGGGATGCTGACATTACCTGGTCATTCCTGCACTCCTTGATTGTAATTGACAGAACCCAATATAAATTGATTGGTTATAGAGTTATTCATAGTTGGCTAATGTATAAATTCTGTTCTAGCTTCGCATAGTCACTATTAAGAAAAAGGAAACAAATTATGAGTTACATAATTATTGGCCTTTTTTCGTTGATAACATTGTCAAGGGTTCAGTCTTACAAGAGATTCTATCTTTTTCTTCATCACAGGGTTTTATTTCTACGCCGAGGCATCGCAGCCTCAGAGGCCCGGTAACCGAGCCGCCTTCCTTACCCCACCCATCGTCGGAAACAGCCAACCCATGTGCCTCAGGTTCTTCTACCACATGAATGGCGTCGACACGGGGTCACTCAGGGTATCCATGGTGCTTCCGGGTCATCAGACAGGGTCAACAGGATTGGAGATTCTAAGGCTTTATGGTCAGAAGATGACGTCATGGTTACCTGCCAATATCGATGTTATTGAGGTTGACGGACCTCTGCAGGTGTGCATTTAAAGTTTTGTATGATATCATTCTTTTGGGGGGGCCGAAAGAGCTTTAGCCTTCCCAGAGTCGGTGTACACCCTACCTCAATTTGAAGGCCTACAAAATATAATAAGAAGTACTTCTAAATTTAACTGAGTCCACGGTGCGCATGGCTGCCCAGTAACCATTCGGAACTATTCCACCCCTTCTTGATACACCGCAGGAGAGAGCATCTTTTTATATTCTAATATTGGAATCATGACATTCACGTTGAAGGAGAAGCACTTGATAAAAATTGTATAGAGAATATTTGTTTCAACGTTTGTTTGACATAAATTAGGGGATCAATCTGAGTTTTTACCTAGTAATTGATATAAATTCTTTAACATCAAACGCGATACTTCTAACTTATTCTTCCTTCAGATAAAATTTGAGGCTGTAATCGGTAAATCATTCCGCAGCGATATCGCTGTCGACGACATCACTTTCCTGCGTCGACCGTGTGGCGGACTACCGAGCGAGTCCCTGTGCGACTTCGAGAAGGGTCTACATGATTGTAACTACCAGGAGAGTGGCGGACCTTCCATCTATTTCCAGTGGTCATGGTATGATTCTACGACGCCCTCTGTGCCTGCCCTACAAATGTTAGATTCTCTCACAGAGGACGGTACAAGAGGTGAGAACGGAAATTTTGAGAACGCTGGCTTAAATATATACCGGCAGGCTAATTCCTTTTGTATAGAGAGACTTCAAATTATACATGGCTGGCAAATGTCGCCTGCTTTGATAAACGAAAAGTATATTGCAAATTCGAATTGTAGAAATAATAAATTCACATGAAAATGGTTTCAACTCAGGAATTTGTTTACTTAAAATGATATTTTTTTCTGTATTTGTTTTTCTTTCCATGAGTGTTAGAAATGAATTATTTATTTGTTAGTTTTCTGCTAACTCAACAGCTCAACAATACTTGTATCTTGAAAAGCCAATTTTATTTTATTTATGTTATTATGTAAATTACCTTGAAAAACAATATTACAGATGTAGATGACCACTAGAAAAGATCCCTGTTCGTCGAAAGTCAAAATGTTTGGAAGGATCAAGTAATGTTTAGAATAGCCTTCATACACTACATCTTAACAAACTTTTTCCGATAAAATATTACCTATTGCTACTTCTGACATTCACAGAAACAGAGGTAAGATAGGTGACAGGTTTAATTTGAGAAAGTAGGTAAATATTCGCCCCGTTTCTTCAGATCATCTCCGTTTCATTCTCATATATATTTATTTTACATCCTTAAAACCACTAATTTAATCCTCTGGCATTCCCAGATTCTTTCTTGTTCCTCATCGTTGGAGAGAAGCCGCTATCTTCTGGCTCGACATCAAACATATCGAGCCCGTTTCTTAATGGCGTGTCCTTCCTCGGTCACTGTATTGCTTTCAACTACGCGGTGATCGGAAGCGGGGAACTCCAGCTATCGGTATTTGTAGAAGGCGAGAACGGATCGACAACCCTCTTGCGAGAACTCGATATATCGGGAAAATGGAAAAGAGCTACGATACCGCTGAGAGTTGATGATTCTTATAACCCTTTTAAAGTAAGTCTCATCTTAAATACATAATTTTCTACCTAGGGTACACTGATATGAATTAGATCATAAATTGGAATTGGATCATTGGATCATAATTTTTTATAAAACATATTATATCTCGTAACTGAATTTACAAAAATAAGAAATATGTTGAATCCAAGATTACTGGGAAGGGAATAGTGCGGGGGAATAGGGCGAAGGCTTCCCTGTGTCCATTTAGTTTTACCATCGATACGTAAAAATGTATTGTATAACATAATTTAGATTATAAAGAATGTGGAATTCAAGTGTCTGGATAAATATTGTGCAAGGTTATGGGAACTGAAAGAAGCAGAGAACTAAGAAAATTAAAGATAATGGGGAAAATAAATCAGCTGGTGAAAAGCATTATCTTATTCCAGGATCATAAAAGTTCGTATGAATTCTAAATTCATTTTTTGTTTTTTCAATCTCCCTTTTTCACGTTTCCTCTTTTTTCCACAGATAACTTTTATGGCTCAACTCAATAATAAAGTAGACACCGATATAGAAGCGATTGCCTTAGATGATATTGCAATTACGGTAGGCGTATGTAAAACAGGTAAATATATATTTTATAACATTACGGCTGTAGATATGTGCAAATATATGTTTTCAAGTGTTAAAAGATAGTGGCAAAGTTTCAATCTATGTCCATGTATATATATATAAGTTTGTAAATCAAGAATTTTGTCAGCTTTAATTTTTATTTCACTTCAGAACGATGTGCATGTGCATTAACCAAATGAATGCAAACAGCCATGTACATGTAGAACTATGGTAACACTGAGCATTTTTGTTTACAAATGTACTATTTCTTGTTTGGGTTTCCATCTGTCTTTGTAATATAGCTTCTTTCACTACCATATAATTAGAACTGTGCAAGTTTGCTCTATTCCATTTGTAACTTTAGATAGTCGCTTTAAAATTGTTGGTGACACGAAATTGTTTAATGTGTGTAGCGAACGATGGAGGGCGTGATATTGTTGAACAAGTGCTTACGCGCCACAGGTAGGTCCGTCTGATCCTTCACGTGTACAATATGATCATGGAATTCCAAATTTCTATATTAACACGGCTAACATAAATTATGTATTGTAATCTTTTTTCATCTGCAGGTAATATTTTACAAATCGAGGGCAAGCATATACCCGTGCTCGCCTTAGCGCTTCTTCTTGTCATCTCTGTCCTCGCCCTGATCATCGTCTGTTTCCTATGGATACGAAGACGGCATCGATCGCCGTTTCCTGTCATGTTCCTCCAACGACGTCAGAGCGATGAACACCCGATCACGATGTCCCTAGCCAACAACGAGTCGACTTTAGACACGACATGTACGAGTATAGATGAATATAGATCATGATAATGACTCGGTCACTCGATCGGGCTGTGCTCGTGATAATACCCCGTTTTTTATGATATGATTTTTTTTAATGAAAAGAAAACTATTGTAGATAATAAAAATAATTGGAGAGGATAAATGTATTGTGAATGATTTAATTTTTGTAGATAAAAGATCGTATATTAGATGATGTGAGAACATTTGAACTAGTTATACCGAGATTCTTTTCCAGGCTAGTAAAGTTTGATAAAGCAGTTACATTATCACTACCAATAATGCGTAAACATATTTTGCTCACGTACTATGCTCGTTTGCAAAACTTAGAAAATAAAAGTTTGATATTTTGGCAAAAAGCATCAGCCGCCCTCCCCTTCTAATTGCGGACATCACTTGTTGTATCAGCCTGTTTGGCCTTTTCAGTAAAATGTCGTCGAGAGTTTTATAAGCGCAATATTGCTCCCAAATCCAATGACCGGGAAGACAATAATATACACAATAGAACTCTTTGATCATTTACTTCTAATTTTAAAAAGTTTTTTTTATAGAAATATTACTTACTTTATTTACTTACTTATTTTAAACTATTCATTACTGAAGAAAGATCTTTTAAGTCCCCAAAACGCTTTCATCTTGGGCAAATAAAAGACCCTCTAAATTTCTATCTATGTTATATGGGGACCTTGCTCTTACAAGCCCAGCTTTTCTAAGGTCTCCACTTTCTCTCATTTGGATTATATATCGACTTAGAAATGCACTTAAATTGTTTTTTCTAATGCTGTTTTTTGTTCTATTATAATATGTAAAAATGTTGTGAAAGAAAGAAATAAAATGAACCTTGAACCTTATTCCCAATACATTATTTTCTTAAAACATACATCACCTGCTTCCCGATGTGATAGCGTAGGAGAATAGTTTAATTAGAACATTTCATCCAAAGCCTGGTATCCACCTGTCTTTGAATTTGTGCGCTATTTTCTTCTATTCCTCCTTGCCTGTGGAATTCCCTCCCATCATCTATTCGCGAAATTGACAACCTTGACCACTTCAAAGCTTCACTCAAAACTCACATCTTCCTTCAGACATTTAAATGCTAACTTTATTGGAGGAGCTCGCGCCTTGATTTTTTTTTAAACCAGATATTATGGCGCCATACAAATGCTGTGAATCATCATCATCATCATGCGGGTGTTGTCGTCCAGTGTGTGTTACCGGACTAACGATTAACTACATGTAACTCACCCTGGTTCGAAATCCAGCCAAGGCAATCTTGCAACATTTACCACTCGTCTCCATACCCAGGAGAGCATAGTCCCGTGAAGATTACAAATAGTAGTTGTGATTGCCTTTCCGTAAGAATAATAACATTCTGGGTTTAAATAGCACTTAATATATCAATGATGTCTTTAAGCGCTTTACACGTTTATTATCATGCATGTGAAAGATATTACTCCTATATAGCGTGCAGGGAGTGGAGATGGTGCACATATTGTGTACTGGCGTGAAACCCGGTGACCAGGGTAAAACTAAATGTGTTGCACCTTGACAAAAGTTTTTCATACAATATGTTCGATATGAATTCACCGATTGTAATTTTCATCAAATATAAAAGACAATCGCATGTAATAGTATTTATTTCAAGTGAAATCATAATTCTTAAGACAGATGTGAATGGTATACAAGATTAGCTATATGTATTCAATGGTTTTATAACAATGTAAAAAAGATATAATGTAATAAATGATCAAATTTGTATAAAAAGAAATACTAGTGTATCAAATCACTGATCGCGCGGACAATTATGTGCTAATAAAAGGTTTGAATGTCTTTCATTGCCATACAATAGTTTGGAAGTGGAATAAGAAAGCTGAATGCAAAAGGAAAAGGAAAAAAAAAAAAATAAAGAGAGAAAAAAAAACTAAACAGAAGGAAAGTGCTTGGAGTGGAGGAATTGTCACAGAGCCTGACTGATATTCATGATTAATTACAATATTCATATTTCTAGAGAACCAACAGAAAGAGCCAGATATTGTTTCAGCCACAAAAAACACAGAAAATAGAGTTAGAAAAGAGAGGGAAGAGATGAAAAAGAGAGGTTCATAGGGAAAGAAAGAGAGATAGAGAGAGAGAGAGAGAGAGAGAGGGGGGGGGGAGGGAGGAGAGAGAGAGAGAGAGAGAGAGAGAGGGAGAGAGAGAGAGGGGGTAGAGAGAGAGAGGGAGAGAGAGAGAGAGAGAGAGAGAGAGAGAGAGAGAGAGAGAGAGAGGAGGGGGGGGGGTAGAACACAGACCATCACTCACACACAAAACATGACAAGATTATTCATGATTAGGTGCTTTCCCTTTTTCTATCAATATCTTTACTGTACTTCCTCTTTGTAATTTTAGCATTTTCTTTCCTCAACCTCCTCTTGTACACCACATGTTCAATCCTTCTTTTTTTAACAATTTTTGAGATTTTCCTTTGTCACCATCTCTCCCCCTCTCTCCCTCTCTTTGTCTGTATCTAACTGTCTGTCTGTCTCTCTCTGTGTGTGTTGCTCTCTCTCCAACTATTTAAATCCTTCTCTGCTTTTACTTTTTCACACATTTCCCTTTTCCTGCTCTTTCTCTCTGCCACTGTTTTCTTCATCTCCAATATTACATCATGATAAGTAGATCTTTAATACTTTGTTATCAGTCTTTTCTAAATCTGTCCATCTTGACCTTTGATAGTGTTTACTGGTTATTCCATTTCCCCTCTACATTCATGTTATTTGTTCATGCTCAGAAATCGCATACAATAACTTTATAACAGAATAACGTAAATTTGAAATAATTATACAGATTTTCGACATTTACAGAGTAGTACAAATGAGAGTAGAATAACAAATGATGTAGATAATTGAATCATTTATTCATGATATTCAAACTATAGTATTTTGAAAAAAGTGTTAACAATACAATTATTATATGTCAATAGCAATGCTAAAAGAAATATCAACTAAATGATTTTAAGTCTAAAATCATGCTTTAAACAGTTTGTACCCAGGGCAAGTTTGGCACAAGGCTTGCAGATCACAATACAAGCATACAGGTATTATCTACTTTGTCTTAAATATCAATCCACATTGAGGCACCTTGTAACTGTTTAGATGATTGAAATAGAAATTCATCAATTTGAAAATAAAACAGAAGTTTGATTTTCACAGCACTGCTTTACATATGCAGGGTCTAAATGATATACAACATCCCATGATAATGTTGTAAAATAGAATTACAAGCACAACCTTTTGGAGTATCTAAAAGTATCCAACTGCAAATTACTACAAGATAGTATTCTGAGACAGTGCAAATATGAAACTGCAACCTCCCTCCAACCACTGTACTAAAAAATACCAGAAGATCTATGAGAGTTGGACCTTCTTAATACCTATGTCTTCAATACTTTTAAACTTCTGAAGGCCTATTTTATTTTGTTTGCACCCCCTCTCTCACATGGTCTCTTTAAAAGGAGTTAGTAAGTAACTCTTATGCTACTTGTTAAGCAAACTTGTGAAGAGCTTTACGGGAAGGAAAAGATGTTCTCAGTCACCAATGTATCCTTTCATTCACTTTGCTCAAGTTTTTAAACAGTGGATTTTAAGCAAACTTCTTTTTAGAAGTTCTCATGTCCAATATATGAACAAGATCAAACCTACTTCATTATCGTGTTATACTTTGGACAATCATCTTCAGAAAAAGATTTCCAGATTTGATTAATTTTGACCGCATAGGCATTTTTTCTATATAGAGGGAGCAAGTAGCTACAGGTAGTGCAGTGGGGCTTTAAACCACAGGATCACATTTTTCTCGGCATGGTTAGCACACTTTTGAATAAACTTTTACAAGTAATGCCACGCCCAAAGAAAGGCAACGATGAAGACTGTGATGCTTCTCTACTGCCTTCGCATCTAAGCAACAGCTGTTCTCTTTCCTTTCACCATCCTTCATCAAGGTCACTCATCAAGGTCACCAGGAGCCTCCTGTCATGCTTCTATGCTTCTGCAGGTCTTCTCATGTGAACTGGCTAGTTCACTTCTGTAATAAATAAAGTAACAAGTACAATTCAAGAAAATAGATTATCATGAACAATAAAAGAAAACAATGTCGCTAGTATATCTGGCATGACGATGGAATTATTTTAGTCTTTCAAAAATATTGGACATAGCAGCTTTACCAACTATTTATTGACCTTCATGGGTGTGATATAATTCACTGTCTGGTATGGATTTCAAAATGGCCTAAATTCTTAGCATCTTTGAAAATGATTTTATGTGTTCCAGTTCTGTACCTTCACCTTTTCTTGCATCTCCCTTCAAGTATGAGCCTGCCACCGAGCTTGGAAGTCCCTGGCCGTCGTGACGTCGACCCCGACGTTGAGCAGCTTGTCGATGGTAGTCGTCACCCTAGGATCATCCGATGGTTCTTGATGGGTGAGAATGGTAACCATCCCTCCTGGGTTGGGGTTAGCAGGGCTACGCAATGCAGGGTCACCACAGCGTAGGGCAAAGAAATGAGCACATTCTGCTATACTGCAAAAGGTTCTGGATACACCGTAGGAAAAAGGGGGACAAATCCAGGGTTACAAAATGAATAATTCCACAAGGGAAACTATGTTCTTTAAAAAAAAGTTGAATTACCATATATGAATCGTAACATCTTAACAAAGAGCAGAATACAGTCTCAATCCTTTCATTTGGCTAAAATACAAGATGTAAAGTATCTGTGTGTCATTCTACTTCTAAGATTCTTCTGATACTTGAGTTACTTAATAGCAAAAAAAATAAATACCAACTTACCTGACATTAATGTCATCTATCTTGACCTTGGAATTCTCATCAAAGCGTAGATTCTCTTTATCTTTCTGAGCTCTTAGATACCTTGCAAACAGAAGAAAGAGGTAGGGGGAACGTCATCCAAACTTTGTTCCAATAATTGCTAGATCATGGATGCTTTGTAAAGGAAAGCCATATTTGACATTCAGATAACCGTTTATTTTATTCATAATTTTATACATTTTGACATATATGGTACCAAATCGCAATGATAAAAAAGAACTCACATTCATTTATGACTGATATATTTATACCTAACAAATAATTCAATACTTGAAATAAATATTTGTTTATTCTTTCAGGGTCATCAGTATCTTTAGATAATCAAAGCATGACAAAATATGAATATTCATGAGCCGGGGTAATAATATGATTTCGGAGCCCTCAGGGAATACTGATGAGGCTACCCTGGGTTAACAAAACAAATCATTAATTTTGTTATTATTATCATTATTAGTAGTAGAGGTGTCATGGTCGAGTGGATATGTCGCCGGACTGTCGATCACAAGGTACGCAGTTCGAGTTCCGTGGCGGCACTAATGTCCTTTGGAAAGACATTGATCTACATTTGCCACACTCAACCCAGGTGATGTAAATGGGTACCTGGCAGGAATTAATTCCCTGAAATGCTGTAGCGCCATATGGCAGACGTGCTTAAGCCAGGGTAATAATCGGGAGCGCCAGGAGTGTCACGTATGACAGACATAAACGCTATACAAGAACCCACTATTATTATTATTATCATTACATAAGAATACATACCTGTTGCCAATCTGGAATTCCTTCTCCATGAACTTGATAGCCTCTCGAGCCTTGGGTTGATGCTTCTTATTGATGTCTAATTGAGACACAACTGCAAGATAACATAAGATTTGTCCAAGGTAAAAACAAATATATGCTACACGCAGAAAATATACACAATTCATGAACCAAAGATAAGTCAAAATATATAGTCATCAAAATTACCTTTCATTTGAAGGCTTTTAAAAATATGGTTAAAATATAAAAATAAGTTGTAGAAATCACATTTAAGGTTCTGAAAAAGCATAGTGATGTTCACAGAAAAATAATTTTAAATACTTTTGAATTGACTAATGTTATAGACCAAACTTCTGAATGACAAACGCCTATAAACTAAAACAACAACAACTAATATATCAAAGATACCTGTAACTTCATGTTCATGTCAATAATCATGGTCCTCTGCCAATTTTATGACGATATAATTATTGATTATAAATATCAATTTCTATTAAAAATAAAACAGGAAGTAGCTGACACAACTTCTTTGTATTTCGTGTATGATCATGTTTAAATCATTATTATTTTGTTTTGTTTTAGGTAAATTGATTTAAAGTTAATATGATCATTGTCTGTTGTCACCTGCTTTGGGTATGATAACGATGAAACGTGATGTGGCTACCAACGATCTCAAGACCGGTAGCTGATTAGATAGGACGGCTGTATCAGGGATGAGGTAGGGAGATAGGGCGTCCATGTTAAGGGGTTCAATACTGCCCTCAAGCTGACTCACTTCAGACTACAAAGACAAAGCAAAAACATCTTTTAGTTGGTTATGAAGTTGTTATATGGGTAAATAGATTGTACACAGCTGATTGGTTAGAATAGTTGTATCAGCAATTTGGTATGGAGAAAAGGTGTGACCTTTAGAGGTATGATACTGTCTTCCAGCTGTCTGATGTCAGACTGCAAAGGTGTTACTGTTAGAGGTACTATTCTATAAACATAATTGCATCTATTTTTGAAAAAAATCAATTTAAGGGCAATTTCAATAACCTATTTTATGTTCCATATAAATCAAATTTGGATTATGTGAAAAGTCATTGTCATGCATATTTCAGTACAAGGCTATTGATATACGTTGCTATTTCGAAAGCAGTTGCGGTCATGCTTATATAGGTATTATTCCAAAATTAATTGACTATAAAGACAGCGCATCAGTGCGTTTCTTTAGGGCAGAAAGTATTCAACACAACACTTAAAGCAAAAGGGACAAACAAGCAATTTGAAGTCATAGACAAATGAGGTAATGCTACTGAAATTTTCCAAATCTCAAAAAAGTATAGATAAGTTTTTTGTTTCTTTTTACAGTTTGGAAAGGTATCAAATCAAAACAATGTTTTCTTTGATAGAACAAATCTGTGTGTTCTGTTGTAATATTAATTTTGGGAAGGTACTAAATAAAAAATAAAAATTTCTTTGATAGAATAAATCTTTATGTTCTGTTGTAATAATGATAACATGCACAACAACAGCAAAACATTTCTAATCTAATATCATGTAAGTTCAACTCTTTCTTCTAAACAGAGAAAAACATTAAAGTCTGAATAGTAGAAAAGGATATCTTCCTAACTAATCGATCGTACCTGTAATCTTAGCTGTGCCATGCCTCTCATCACCTGCTGTCTACGAGCATCGATGTCTTCTTCTTTCTCTTCAGGTCTAGTACTTGGTTGCGGTTCATCATCCTAAAAAGGTTTATATATTCATCATTTTCACAATCGATTCAGTTTGAATGAAATTTATTCAAGAAAGATACTGAGTAATTAGATTCAGTCAAGAATATTGTAGCACACACAGCAACCAACGCATTATTACACATGTACAAGCTTAAATCTAATAATCAAAAGAAGGGCCACACTGTTAATTTGGGGCCTTTCTAAGACTTTTGAACATTCCCTTTAACCTGCTTAAGACAGTTTAATTTTCATTTAATACAAATCTTACCAATGAGATTTAAACCTGATTGATCATAGACCTTGTCTTTAACAGGTTTAATGAAAATTGTTTAGCAACCCCCCCCCCCAAAAAAAAAAAAAGAAGAAAAAAGAATTAGATAACAAATAAATACAAACAAATAGAAATACCCCCCAAAATACAAACAAAATAAATAATAAATAAATAAATAATGATATAATAGATTTGGGACCTTTCCCAGACATAAACACATACCTCGTCTGGTTGATGCAGTTCTTCTTCATCTTGTTCATCAGACAGGTCTACAGTTTCACTGGTAAAGTGATCATCGTCACAAGAAAGACTGATCCCATCTATACTGCTCAGGTAGTAACCAAACTGACGAAGGCACAGGACTCTAATCACGGTCTGGTAAAGACACAGAAATCACATTGGCCTTTCATTCATTGATATCTTGAATACGGTATATTCATGACTCCCGCCACTCATCCTCTCCAAGCGCTATAGTTCTCCTTAGAACTATAAGCTAAGAAAGATAACCAGCAGTCTTTTTCAAGACTATACCAACAGTCCTTTTCAGGACTACACACCCTCAAGAAAGATAACCGAGAGTCCTTTTCAGGACTTCTCAATCCTCCCTCTCTCTCTCACATGGTGCAACTGCAAGCCTACTGTATAACTCTCTGATTGTAAGCCTACTGGGATTCCTTCCTGATTGGAAAGGTGTGTTATACCCAAGTAATTTTATCTCAAATACTGTATTATAAGTCAGCACCTTGGCAAAATAGATTCAATGGTTCTAAACAACGCACTCGAATTGCCACATTCTTTCAATTTTTCAGCGAGTATTAAAGGTAACTTGAGGATAATATGTATAACCATAGGAAGACAATCTGATAAGATTTTGGGTAAATAGATCAAAGGTCAATCTAACTGAGTAAGGTATGGTCTAAAAATTGATTTCCACTAGATGTTCCTTTCCAAATCTGCACAAATAGAACAAAACAAGTCTCTAAAAATGAACAGTATGTGGCTATTTCAGAAGCACTTGGGTGAAGATAATCCCAAACCCTAAGCATGGATGTAGCTTTGGGTGTAATGGCATCACCTACCTCTTCTTGTAAAGTAAGATCCAGCTCATGATGGATACCATACTTCATCTTCTTCTGTAGGTACTGTAGAGGAGGCATAGTCCAGATGGCGATGTCTTCTGTCAGAGGCATAGGCTGATACCAACTCTTTCCCTTCCCGCTTTCAAGACTGCCCTCTAACAGCTGCCGCAGGCCAACGCTACCGCACCAGTCTGTTCAAGATGCATCCAGAAATAGGAAATATCAAAATCACCTAGATTCACCTGTAATTTTACTTTTTCTATTGTGCAGAACCTGTAATTCTGCTTTCGAGTCACGATTGATTTTAATTTCAATCAACCATTACTACTACTACTGTTCAAGATTTACCATGTGGTTGGATTTCAAAATATTAATAATTTGAGTTTCCAAAACAACATTCTAAGGCAAAGCCTTATTTCACCAGCTGGACATATGAATGAGATAGTTATACACTCTGACAGAGTTGTGGCTACTAGTCATATCTGGTCTAAATGATCAAATTAATAATACAAATCTAATGTAGCCTTAGTTTGTTGATACAAATGATAGACAATTTTTTCTACTTAGTCTAGGTGTTTTATCCACATCTTGAGTTGATTTTTGCTCTTTTCATATAAATAAGACAGTACCACCTGTGCGCTTAGAAACATCTGTATAAAGCGCCCTATAAATGTAATTATTATTATTATTAAGAAAATTTTCCAAAATGTATCGAAAAACCCCTCCCCCAAAAAGCAGTTTACATATGCAAGTAAGTAGTATTGATTCTGTAGTTCTACTTCAAGGTATTAAACATTAAAACATGTACAGCTAGTAACAGTTAACATCACAGGCAGTATTACCTTGATTTACAAGTGACTTTTCATGAGGACACATGTTGAGGAGACTGGCCAGTCTGGCCCAGAGAGGTTGGGAACTCTGAGAAAAGAACAAAACAATATACAACATGATCAAATGAGGAAAACAAAAACTTATGATTACTCCAATGATCATACATATTAACTAATGTTGATAAAACACTATTTCTTCTACCCAACCAGCTCCAAACTGACCAACTTGGAATGTCCAGAAACGTATCTGTTATGTTTCACAAAGCCTTTTTCCAATGACAAATTACAAAAATCAGTGACAAATGTGCTGATAACCAATAAAAAGCAATGATTTCAGTAGCTTATAACAAAAACTGTCATTTGTCACTCATGACAAGTTTTGTGAAATAGGACACAGGCGACACTCTCGTTGGTGTGGCAGGGGTATTTCATTCAGTGCACACATGTGAAGTTGTATTCATTTCGTGAAATTAACATAGAAGTCTGATTGAGTAAAAAGACACAACCGACTAACACCATACCTGAGCAGTCTTGATGATGAAGTCTTCATTTGTCCGCAGCCAATCAGTGAGGATCTTAATGACCGGTAGGAGTCCCTCACTTGTTAGTATCTCCATGATTAGTGGTAGAGGGATTGGATTGGTCTGTAGATCTGAAGGGCTGGTCGATGCACTGGTTACACTGGATCCACCTGTATCTCTGTTTTCTGTAGAACGGGATGATAGAAAATATGGCATTTTCATAATGTAACTAAATTTATACCTAAGTGCCTCGATACAAATTAATTCATTCACCTGTTGTATTTCAATAGTGAGGATGCAAATTGCATAACATTTTGTGATATTAGGTAGGGCAAGCCATAAGTTTGCTCTACCTACCTCGTTAATCATTGCGGCTGTTTTAAACCCATTCACTTCTAAATCATCTCATTCCATAAGCTTTAATAAGGAGACCACCACCAAGTAGCTGTAGGAAACGTACACTGTATAGACCAGTTTTGGAAATGCCCCCCTCTCATAAAATGAAATGGAAGCTCTTATTACCAATCATGTGAAAGAATATGTTTTGACTAATACGTGATGATACAAATTTAGCCTACTTATTGATATATTTCATAAATCCGGCCTGGATAGATATCGCGAATGCACTTCAACATTGAACATTTTTGTTGTTGTTGTTGCGAATTTAGGTTGAAGAATTGCCATCTAAATCTCAAAAGGCAATATTTAAACAATATTGAATGGATATTTTGCACAGAAAACCCTTGAACTGCAATTTTACCACTATGTCTTTACCACTATCAGTCTTTACCTTTAAGGTGAACCCACTACTTGAAAATTTCAAATGGGCATATCTGTAAAGTCACCGTGGACCTTTAAAAAAACTCAACCTCCCTTTACACATACCTCTACCCGGAGGAGTCTGCGTAGACCCTGTTGGGGATTCCCCCTTCCTCTCCCTTGTCTCCTTGCCCTCCTCCTTGGACTGGGCAGACATCGTCTCCTTGTTGTACGCATCAAAGCTGGGTGCTAGGCGGATGTTACGCCTACCAGGAGGGGTGTGGGTGGGGCCGGTAGGAGGGGCGATCAGCTGGGAGGAGATGTCTTCTACCGTGATGTCACTCATGATGGAGAGACCGCTCTCCTCGCCTGAGCCAGGGGGAGGGGTCTTAGAATCCTGTAGGATGTTGGAATAAAGAGTTATAGAGTATGTAATTTACATCGAAAATAAAAGACATTGTTCATTTCAATTTGTGTGTATACAGTTGCAGTTTATTGTACAGCTGATGAAGATTTTCTCTGGAGCTGCAGAGCTTTCGTAGTTATTGTAGAATTATTATACAGCTGCTGTGGATGTGTAGTAAGTAGTATAGACACAATTCTTCTGAAGTTCTAATGTTGATGCATTGTCAATTTATTATATTTAAAAATTTCCATAAAGTGGATTTTCTGTAAGTTGGTGACTTGTCGTATGAGTTTTTGTAGAGCTGCTGCTGGAGTCATTGTACAGTTTGCTTAGAGTCACAAATTTGTCTAACAGTTGCTACATGTATGTATTTGTCACAGCAAATTGACCAGCAAAAAAGTGTATGGTCAGGAACAGAGATAGCAGTTACACTTGATCAGAGGGCCTGAAAATCACCTAGGATGAGCTATTTTGTACACAAAAAATGTGGCCTGAAACTATGGCCTGAAAAAAAACTCACCAGGGCCTAAATTCAGGCAATTGCCTGAAATCTGGTATCCCTGCAGGATCAATTTGACAGGGGCAGAAAAAAAGCACTTTGACTTCAAAGAGATAATTACAAACCTCATGCAGACTATGTCTCTCTGAAGACTCTTCCTCATCCAGCTCCAGCTCCTGACTGTCCATGAAGTAATCACTATCAGACTCAGCAGCCAGTACCCTCTCCTCACCGGACTCTCCCCCTGAGCTACCACCATTAGAATGATTATCCTCTCCAGGCTCCCCCTCACTCAGATCAGACTCCTCGCTGGTGTGGGCTCCCAGACCGGCCCTCTTACGCCGACGTCGCATGGCCTTCAGGACCGTCTTAGGTTTCTTCTTCTGTTGTTTCTTCTTGGCTGGTTTGACGGTGCCGTCGCTGTCGATGTCCCGGCTCAGGATGGGTGTGATGGTGTCGGCCGGACTGGCTCGGCCATCGGATGATCCGTCTGAGTCTTGTGCTAAAGGAGACAGAAAAGAGACCATAACAGACATATAGAAAAAACACGTGCATGGTGTTTGATAGGGAAGGGACACATTCACATTTGTATACTTAGACTAGGAATTTAGTGGTTATTTTACCCGACTGCTTAAGAAAGCATAAATGCTTGTTAGTAAGCAGCCAGAGGACCAACGACTTCAGGTCCTCTCTGATGGACCTGGCAATGAGGATTAATGCCTTATCAAAGGGCACTTGCGCATTGACTTGGTTTCGAACCTGGGTCGACGGGTTACAAGACCACTGCTCTACCAACTGAGCTATCGCGCCTCCTTTCAACTGCCAGTGTCTTTCTTGATCTAGGTTTCATAAACAAGTGCCCAAACATGTATAAAATGGTTCCTTGAAGGCAATGTATGCAGCATTTACCAACACTTTGAAAGAGCAGATCTTTGATCATTGTGGCTTACCGGTAAATCAACTCAACTGTACGAAAAATCTCTGACAATTGAATGAATTGGTTTAGAATGTTTTAGAATTGTTTCTCTTTTTTCAAAACTTATGATATTTCAAAATCAATCAAACTGAACAAAATATTAAAATACATACCTTTTGTAAAAGTGGCAGTAGTCTGGTCTGGATAGATCTTCCTGTAGATAGCATTGTTCAGTTTCTCACAGAGATGGTTGAGTGTATATGAAAACAGAGCCAGAGTGAAAACAACAGCTGTAGATGTCTGTTTGGAGCCTGAGAGGAAATTTGATGAAAATTTGGTAATCATTTGATGATCATTTGATAAAATCGTGGGCATATAAGTTAGAGGACAAGTCCACTCAAAAAATAAACTTACTTTCAATAAAAGCAGAAAAATCAAACAAACCAATCAAAAAAATAGCGAGCAAAATCAGATAACTAATAAGAAAGTTATGAATCTTTGAAAAAGTATGTAAAACTATGGAACAATGAGAATCACAACACAAATTGCCAAGATGGTTATCAGTTTGTGTCATCATGTCCTCACTATTTATCAATTGCTCTATATGGTTTAATCACATTAATTTCCCTTTTTATTCCCCAAAACTTGATTTCCCCATGCCTTTGCCCAGGATATATGATTTGTATCATATTGCGTGCATGACATTTCACAAAATCTTTTATGAACTCTGAAGAATTTATACTATTTTTAAATATTGTATATTCATAATTATTGATTTTTATATAAATAGTTTATCAAAATTCACATTTTTCATGAATTTAACAGGAAAAAAATACACTATATTAGTGCATCCACACAAAAACAGATTACTATTAATCTAACTTGGATGCTGGTGTGAAGAAATAAGATTCTTAAGGAGAAAATAGGAAATTTATATCATCAATATAAAGAAAATAATTAGTGGATAGTGAGGACATGACGTCACAGACTCAGGAGCGAGTTGCCAATTTGTCTAGTGATTTTCAAAGTTTTTTAATGTAAGCAAACTTCAGAAATCACATTGCACATCCATACCATCATCTTAAAATTTGTTGCAAAACCCTAAAGTGGAAATGGCCATAATGATTCCATTAATTAACAAAGCTACCCGAGGCATGTTTCCATGACAACATGATACAGCTAGGTCGATTCTCACCTGCTTTCTGCAGCCTGTATGTGCTCATCAGCGTTAGCACAACCAGTTTAAAGATGATGTCATTAGACAGATAGCTTTCTCTGCCCTCCTCATCCCTTTGCCTTGCGTGAGGAACAGCCCCATGTAGCATGCACTGGTGGAAGCCCTGCAGCACCTCCTGACATAGCGACGGTAGGGTGTCGGTGGATGTCTTGTTGCTAGGCTGGAACATCTCTTGCAGGTAGAGGAAGCGAATCAGAAACTGTTTGATATCTCGTGGTCTATGTGATGAAGAAGATGTGGGGGGGGGGGGGTGGAAAGAGAAACAAATAACCATTAAAATATAATCGAGGGGCTCAGATGATGCTCAAGAAAACAGACATATTAAAATGCTGGTCACTGATTGATACACTTTCTTTAGAACAGTGAATTAACCTTTTCTCATCTTACTCCAGTTATAAGATTTGGCGAAATTTGGTGTCTTCACTTACTTAGATTTAAATTCTCAATTTCTTCCCAATCAAGGTTCTTACATGTCTTAATAGTGTGAAGTAGTCATATGTGGGGGAATTAATATTCATATATTCTAATGACTTGTGAGGAAGGGAAGAAGTGTCATCATGGCGTGAAAGTCAGTAACCCCTTGTAAGAAGAAACATGTTGACCTTAGTAAATGATGATGATGACGACTAAAAAGCAGTGACAAAGAAGTATTCAAATGTCAACGTGTGTATAGACACTGGATGTATTTGAAATGAGTATGCATCAACTTTACCTTTGCAATTCTGGAGGAAGATCTGGGCTGGGACTTGAAGGCAACTCATGAAACCTCTTCTGATTTCTCTCAAATACCTTTTCCAAATTGGCAATAGCACCATCAAACCTCAAGTCAGATAACCAGCTACATGTAAGTGAAAGAAAATATTGACAAAAATCTATATTATTAGCAAATCATCAATACCACAATTCTTCCTCTTCTTTTTGCGGCCTATTTTGAATTAATCTTATATAAAAATCAACTCTTAATACATTTGGTAGGGACATCAATTAAAAACCATTGCAACATTTTTTTCTTACAGTAGCAATCAAAATCCAATTGTCATTTCATCTCCATCTCTCCCTCTTGCTCTCAATGTCTCCCTCCTTTATATCCCTTTCTACTTCTACTTCTCTCTCTGCTTTCTTTAACCTTGTCTGTCTGTATGTCTCTGTCTGTCTGTCTCTCTATTTCTTACCATCCCAAGTAGTGATAGGCTGCATCGAACCCGTTTCAGCCAGCGTACAAAGCTGGTCGTGAGGCATGCCCATGGCAGGATTCAACACCCCCCTTCCGTATCCACCTCCCCTCCCCCTCTTATCTCATTATATCACTCCTAAAACAACCTCTCTACACAAAGACTCTTACCATCTCAGGTAGTGATAGGCCGCATCGAGCCCCTGATAACGTGTTCCAGCCAGTGTACCAAGTTGGTTGTGAGGCATGCCCACGGCAGGATTAAGCACAAGGGCCTGGTGGTAGAAGCGTTGAGCTAGGAGACAACTGCTTGGACCTTCAAATTCCTGCCTGTACCTTGCTGCAAGTTGTATCAATAAAGTAGAATGGAATGCATTAATTATTGATAATCAATGTTTATTTAATTGATTGCTAAAGGTAAAGACCTGCTAGCTTTCACTAGGTCAAAAAATATTCTGGACAACTAAAACCAGCACTTTGCATGGACCCTTTAGCAATCTTCTAAAATTTCAGTATGAAATTCTGGAAGTCACAACCACTTAGCTGCCATAATAGCCGTCTTCCTGTACCCTTTTGGTGTACCCTTTCCCTGGAATTCTACAAAAATGTAGGTTGTTAGTAAACATGGGACCTACAGTTTACAATGAACTACTATCCATTCTTTCATCCCAAAACACTCAGGAACAATGTGTGTCTGGAATTTGCCTTTGCAATTGTTTCACCCACTGGGTCATTCACACTTGTAGATTATGCAAATGAGGAATAAAGTGTTTTAAATTACACTTCTAGCTACCGATGGAGAAAGTGAGAAAGCTTGACGACCTACCTAGATCACCGAGGTAGATAAGACATCGATGACAAGCCTTCTGGGCCCAGTCCTTGGCCTCTGGTTTGTTGGCATCCATGCATGTCTCTGCAAAAGAAAGAAACAATCCTCTTCACCTATTCAAGATTCAAGATTCAAATTTATTCATGTTTCCAACAAAACATTACAAATCAATTATAAGCATTTAAAACAAATTTAAGAAATACATGTTGAAAACAGAGGGGTCCACTAAAAAGCAATGCTTGTACAAGTGTGAACACCTCAAATGAAACTATACTATACTATACCTATACTTCTATCTACTCAGTAGGAAGAAATTCTTTGAATGCTTGAGCGCCTTTTCATGGCAGCTAAAGTCGGGGTAATAAGATGATTGCAGGGCCCCCTCAGGGAGAACAGTATCAATACTGATTAGGCTACCATGGGTAAACAAGAAATAATATTATTATTATTATCATTAATCAAATTACGTATTCATACTTGTATGATTGTTGAAATCCCATCGAAATGGGGAAGGGTATTCCAAGTTATACATTGTATATGTATGAGGGATAATATAACTGTGAGATGAAAGGATGTGCGAATACAACTCAACGGAATACAGAGATACTAGCAGTGAAGCCTACTATAACACCAAACATGTCACAAAAATTGTGTTAAATGGATTAATTAGTTAAATAAATTATGAAAAGTTAAAGAATAAATTATCAAAGACTTTCACTTTCTTAAATCATTATCTAATGATCTAATCTAACTTCTATTAAAGTGGAGAAGTGAATAAAGCAAAACACAAGAGGAAATAAGCCTTACAATGAAATAAAATACATCATTTGTATATAAAACTTTGCAGTCATAAAGAGTCTTCACATTTCAAGATGATGATTTCCTGTTTGCTACATGTACTTCTCGAGTACATCTAGGCATGTTTGTGCCCCAGGCTCTAACATTCAGAAAAATAACAAAGTCCGCATGTGAAGTCAACTTGGAAATACAGATAAATAACCCAAAGCATTTTCGTACTAGCAGAAAAGACAAAATCCTTTCAAACAAATGGCTATGAAACGTTATTTGCTAACAATGTTTACGTTTTCTGACATACCCTACAGACAATATGCCCTGAGCTGCAAAATAACAATGTCCGCATGTAAAGTGAACTTGGAAATACAGAAAAATAGCCAAAAGCTTTTCCATACTAGCAAAGAATACAAAATCCTTACAAATAAATGGCTATGGAACGTTATTTGCTAACAATGTTTATGTTTTCTGACATACCCTACAGACAATATGCCCTGATTGGTAAGAAGTGTTTACAAAATGCTGACACTAAGTGTTTGGGGGATGGTGGCCTTGATCTGGATTCTTTACAAACGCAACTAGCTAGTTATTATCCCACTTGTCAATGAAACGCAGGAAGTGTTAATGTATTCGGTCTAGGGGCGATGCACGTAACTTTACCCTCCGATAGTACTTCACATGTCATGTGTTCAGGGCGATGTGATGTCAAGATCACTCACCCTGCGGACGCCGGACTAATGGAATCTTGCCGATGTTGTAAAAGAAATTGTGTTGTGTCATGTTCCATTGCCAGATCAATGCCATAGGTAGATGAACATATAGCTAGTGGCATTGATTTTTGATGGAAATGGTGGGTCCTTTATCTTACATGTAAATATTGTCACTTACCGGTACTCCCAGAAGAGGGCATGTACCCCGGAAGCAAAACAGGAAACGCAACATTATGCATTCTTTTGGTTCCTTCCATTTGTACTATCTCCTTACAAACAAGAATCTCCTGCCATTTTTCAAAGTAAACATTCATTCCTTAATGCGATTGACTAATAACCCTTTGCACATATGTGAACCGTGCCGTCCCTGTATTAAACCAATGGGATTGAGAGATCTCAGTAGATAACGGGTTAAAGGTTTAATGGAGAGGTTCCCACTTTTCTACAATAATTTACCTAATACTTCACGTACATGTATGTCCAATCATATTTTTTTTATGTACTGTGCACCTAGGCTACTCATAATTTCATTCCATATCTACCTATTTAGTCTCATATTTGAGCGCTGATAGAACCTCTGTTGTCATCTACTGACAACTATTCATTTGATGTAATTTAATCAAATTTGTAATGTGTACGTAATAATGCAATTATCTATAATTCGTATGTAATAATGTAGGCCTAATATGTAATTTGTATGTGATAATGTAATTTGTATGTGATAATGTAAGTTGTATGAATGTATTAATGTAAAGCGCATAGAGGATTGTCATCAATGATTATTATGCTATGCGCTATATAAATCACAATTATTATTTGATTAAAAGGATATTAGGCCAACCTTAAATGGATCCTATAGAAATAGGAATTTAAAAAATGACAAGGAGATAAGATGAAAATTTGATTATATACATGTAGATAGATGAGTTGCATAAAGGAAGAAAAACACACACTAATTATGACAATTGGATGAACTGACAGTAAGGCAAGGATATGAGACTGAAACTGAATGTGCATATATGCAAATTGTGTATGTTCATGTTACTTTAAAGAGACAAGTTGGTTTTAGACAAAGTACCCCTATATCAGCCTGCATGACCCCTGACTGACCTTTGACCTGATCCTGATCCGGGAAGCTGATGAAGTCCATGACATGGTTCTCCTGCAGACCATACTCCCACTGTAGTCTCATGAGGAGATGATGGTAGAATCCTGTAGCTGCCAGGAGGTGTGTCCTGTAAGCACATTCCAGAGATGAGCCGCTACGGATGTTCTGTAAGTCAGAGTGAATTTCAATAAAAGGGGGAATCTTTAAAGAATTATTCAAAAAGGGGTCTCTTCCATAATTCAAATGCTAAAAAAAAAAATATCTGTTCAACTGCAAACTACCTCATTACTCTTCAGTACAATTATAATTAGGGTTAGAGTTATGGTAAGGGTTAGGATTACTTTGTGTGGTTTCAAATATTTCAAAAATATTTTCTATATTTCAAAAGGAGGACTTCTCTCTGTATTCAATCATTAAAGAAATGCAGATTGGTGGTGATATTATTTGTTCATTACAATGTAATCATGCAAAGTCAGCAAAATTATGACCAAGTAAATGAGTGATGATTGTTTTACACAGAATTGATAAACTCATATGAATGCTTTAAAAACACAATCTCCTACAATAACTGGAGACAGACTTTTACATAAGGCCCAGCCTTCCTTGTCTAGTCTCCAAATACTTTATTAATGTACATTTTAGAATTTTTTTCCCTTGTTCTTTATGTCTTCTCCACTTGAAAGTATCAAATAAAGTGAACTTGAACTTGAATATTATACGAGAATTGTTTTTCCTTTCTCTTCATACCTTCTTGCTCTTCTTGGCCAGGGTGATGACATTGTAATAAACTTTCCACCAAAGGATCTCCTCTGCTTTCCTTCCAAAGTCTATGGGATGAAGCATCATCAACCGCTCACATAGATCACGTAATCTAGAAAATAAACAGAGCATGGTTGAATCTTTATTGACTACACATTTGTAAACTGTACTTATATGTTATAACTTAAACCAGTTCTTATCATTAAAAGTTCTATATTTTGATGATCATGAAATATTTCATTTATTCTCTGATATACAGAACATTTTCTTTGTTTACACCGACAAATATTAATTCACAAAATTGATATCTCTTAGATAAAAAGATATCTTCCTAGGCCTAGAGTAGAGACTACAAATAAATAATGAAATAATTCCTGTTATTTTGACATAGTTCTAGTCACAAATTAAGGATATATTTGGTACTACAAAATCAGCAAATAAAGCAACGAATACAGACATAATAATCTCTTTGGCTTACACTTATCACCGGCTTTCTGTTCATTTTTGTGTGTGATTTACTCTGATGAATGCAAGAGGAAAGGAAAAGCTTTGATATGTTGTTTTTACTCATTGCTAGTCATGAATTTGCTGTAGATTCACAGTAGCCTAAGGATAAACTGAATGAAGTTGTCTACAATACCATAACTGTATGCAATACTATTAAACTCTTACATTATACATTATTTCACTGAAATGAATAAATTCATGCTTTAGCCTTCAACTCTGAAAGTACCCTCACCTCATGCGCATTTCAATTGCATCTTTTTCAAAGACGACTCTGTATGCCTGCTTATGCCTGAAAATGGACTCCAGCTTGTGTGTCAAGTCTTGGGCAGAGCTGCAAAGAGAGAAAGCAAATTTATGGACTGGAAAACTTCTCATAGAACTTCTTCTTCTTTCGTTATACATTAATGGCACTCAGTCATACTTGAATATTGTTGTCAATTACTTTATTATCATTTTTGTTCTGCTCTCTATCTCTTAATTGATAACTATTTATAACCTTTCATTATTTATCTTCCTTTTTCATTCCTACCAACATCTTTAATATACATACCTCTCCTAGCTAACTATACAATACAAATCCACTAAACATCCACTATTCCCCACACAAGATATATAAATAATGCCAAGATGCATGAATTGAAGGATATTATATAGACCTATCTGTTCAGATATCATTGAAGGAACAACTTTAGAATACCCCACCACTAAAATTGACAAAATGTTTGTAGGGTACCAAAAACTAAGTTCACCAATGAAGCTAAATCTCGAGGCTTAAGCTTTTTATATAGTTTTTAGGTAACAATAAACCTAAACCTAATCCTAACCCCAACTCTAACCCTAACCCTAGGTCTTTGACGTTTATGTACATTAATCGTATTGGTGGGGTATTCTAAAGTCCATTATTCAATTAAACCGTCAGCTTTATTGTTATATAGAAAACAATCAAGTTCCCTACACTGAACATCTATTCATTTCATCTCCTTCCCTTCCCACTTTTCACGCACACTAGATATGTATTATTACATTGTCGTGGTTTCCTATTCCAGAATATTGCCAAACTGAACTGTCACCGACTGTGTTCGGAATTATAAAGTGATTTTTTTTTTATCTTAACAGCCCTAAATTTGTTGATTGCAATCAACAATGAACTTCCTTATTTGCAGTATACACTCGGTACTTAAAAGCATGAGAAAAGAAATAGGGGTCTACAACATTAACAAGTACATGTAGACTAGACATGTAGTCACTACACTACAGTCCCACATGTTCACAAAATTGTGTGGTTACAATTACAATTTTGTTTCCTCTGAAAAATGCATCATGATTTCAACATTTCGAAAGTTTTAAGACTCTCTACATAACATAGGAATTATATAGCAATAAACTGAACGATAATTTCATCACTAAATCAATAAATTCTACCTCCAAGTCAGATATTTTGTGTCTATGCCGCGGCCGCGCCGGTGTCCGCAGAATGTACGCGGAGACCCAGCGCCAGCGCTAGCTGCACGGGAAGCTCTAGGCGGGAGTCGTTAAGTGTTTTCGTACAGACCTACAGCTCGAAACTCACAACATTCATGACATAACAAGCCAATTAATACAGCAAACTACATATTTAAGAATACACACAATTATCTATATTTACCGGTAAACACGCCGCGTCTGCTGAAGACGTTCAACGTCGGATTTAAACGAAATACGACTTTCGTTTCCATCTTCGGATGAATCTCCAATCTTCACCATCTTGCAGCCGCTACGCACGTAAAGTGCATGTACTGTGCAAGTTCGCCATGCATAATGTGCGCGGTCAATTATTGAAGAAAACTGGGGGGGGGGGGGGGGGGGGGGGGTTGTTCCTGTCATGGGCGTGTCATGTGAAATAAAAAAACGAATGGCGCTATGCCCGGCCCCCCCCCCACTCAGTGTTATTTAGGGTACGCATATGCTCGTACCCTCTTTTTGAAAGCACCCCCTATCTGAGGACTGCCAACATTTCCGAACCCCCCTTTCGCGGGCTTTTTGCGGGCTTTTCCTGCCTTGGAGACCCCCCTAAATCAGGAAAAATGCTCAATGTCAGGCGCGGATCCAGGGGGGGGGCCGAGCGGGCCTTGGCCCCCCCCCCCCCGCAAAAAAAAAAAAAAAAAAAAAAAAGAGAGAGAGAAGGAAAAGAAGGGAAAGGGAAAGAGGAGAGAAAGGGAAAAAAGAAGAGGAAGAAGAAAAGAAAAGAGAGAAGAAGGAGATCGGGGGGGGGGGCAAAATGACTTGCCTCCCAGGCTGTTGCCTCCCCCCCCCCCCCCCCCCCATCGAAAAAAAGGTTGGAAAGGGAAAGAAAAAAGAAAAAAGAGGAGATATAGGGAAGTAAAAAAGAGGAAGAAGAAAAGAAAAGAAAGGGATATCAGTTTCAATTTTCCCGCCAACAAGTTGTGGATCGGGGGGGGGGGGGGGCAAAAGGCCCTTGCCTCCCCCCCCCCCCCCGTCCCCGCTTAAAAAAAAGAGAAGGGAAGGAAAATAATAGAGAAAGGGAAGAAGAAAAAAAAGAGAATGAAGAAAGGTAAGGGATATCAGTTGCAATTTTCCCGCCAACAAAGTGTAAATCGGGGGGGGGGGGGGGGGGGCGGCGGCACTGGCGTACTCATAGGGAGGGGGGGGGGCTTGGGAAATTCAAACGTGGTTTATTTTTTAATTCCAAATAGTGTCCTGCCAGTGTCACAAAATAATAAGGTATCAAAAAAATGCTCATCTGACCGTAATTAAACGCCTAAAACCCCTGAGCTTCCGGGGGCTCTGCCCCTGGACCCAACAAAAAGCCCTAAGGCGGGCTCCTTGATGCTCATCTGACCGTAATTGAGTGCCTAAAACCCTTGAGCTTCCGGGGGCTCCGCCCCCTGAACCCCACGCCAATTGGTGACCTGCCAGTGTCACAATTAGTTATCAGAATAATGCTCATCTGACCGTAATTAAATACTAAAAACCCCTGAACTTCCGGGGCTTTGCCCCCTGGACCCCGCCTAGGGTCCTAAGGCGGACCCCTGAATGCTAATCTGACCGTAAATTATTGCCTTAAACTCCTAAGCTTCCGGGGGCGGACAAGGTATCAACACATGTTCATCTGACCGCAGGCGCGTAGTCAGGGTGGGGGGGGGGGGGGGTGGGCTGGTGGGATGTTAACCAAAAAAACGCCGGCCAAAAAAGAGAGGAGTGAAAAGGAAGAGGACGTAGGAAGAAAAGGGAGTAGACAAAGAACATTTTTGAAATTCAGACAAGGATTAAGAGTCGTTCTAACGATACAACGAAACGTCTTCTTTCTCTAATAATTTAATAAAACGTCAAAGCTTCCGCGCTTCGCGCAGGAGGGGGAGGTGGAACTGAATTCAGACAAGGATTAAGAGTCGAGAACGGTACAACGAATCGTCTTCTTTCTCTAATAATTTAATGAAACGTCGAAGTTTCCGCGCTTCGCGCGAGAGAGGGGGGGGGGGGGGGAAACTGGAATTAGACAAGGATTAAGAGTCGCGAACGGTACAACAAATCGTCTTCTTTCTCTAATAATTTAATAAAACGTAAAAGCTTCCGCGCTTCGCGCGGATGAGGGGGGGGGGGGGAAACTGAATTTAGACAAGGATTAAGAGTCGCGAACGGTACAACAAATCGTCTTCTTTCTCTAATAATTTAATGAAACGTAAAAGATTTCGCGCTTCGCGCGGAAGGGGTGAAACTGAATTTATACGAAGATTAAGAGTCGATAACGACACAACGAATCGTCTTCTTTCTCTAATGATTTTATGAAACGTAAAAGCTTTCGCGCTTTTCGCGGGAGGGGGGAAACTTAATTCAGACGAGGATTATTTTCGAGAGTGGTACAACGAATCGTCTTCTTTCGCTAATGATTTAATGAAACGTCGAAGCTTCCGCGCTTCGCGCGGGAGGGGGGGGGGGGGGGGGGAACTGAATTTAGACAAGGATTAAGAGTCGAGCACGGTACAACGAATCGTCTTCTTTCTCTAATAATTTAATAAAACGTAAAAGCTTCCGCGCTTCGCGCGGATGAGGGGGGGGGGGGGGGAAACTGAATTTAGACAAGGATTAAGAGTCGCGAACGGTACAACAAATCGTCTTCTTTCTCTAATAATTTAATGAAACGTAAAAGATTTCGCGCTTCGCGCGGAAGGGGTGAAACTGAATTTATACGAAGATTAAGAGTCGATAACGACACAACGAATCGTCTTCTTTCTCTAATGATTTTATGAAACGTAAAAGCTTTCGCGCTTTTCGCGGGAGGGGGGAAACTTAATTCAGACGAGGATTATTTTCGAGAGTGGTACAACGAATCGTCTTCTTTCGCTAATGATTTAATGAAACGTCGAAGCTTCTGCGCTTCGCGCGGGAGGGGGGGGGGGGGGGAACTGAATTTAGACAAGGATTAAGAGTCGAGCACGGTACAACGAATCGTCTTCTTTCTCTTTTGATTTAATGAAACATAAAAGATTCCGCGCTTCGCGCGGAAGGGGTGAAACTGAATTTATACGAAGATTAAGAGTCCTCTAATAATTTAATAAAACGTAAAAGCTTCTAATAATGTAATGAAATATCAAAGCTTTCCGCGCTTCGCGGAGGAGGGAGGGGGAAATTAGCCCCTCCCTGCACCCCCCCCCCCAAATTCCGTCACTGCTGGTCGCCATTACGTACCAATATTTGGCTCGCATAATTTCAAATTTGGGCCCCCCCCCCCCCTAAGAAATCCTGGATCCGCGCCTGCAATGTACCCCCTAAATTCGGAATAATTTCTCAGGATTCCAAAGAGATGAGAGAAAAAAAGAAAAACACCCCCTTTTAAAGAAATCTCCAGGTGAAAAGTCAAATACACCCTTTTTTTTACAAATTTCGGGCCGGACTTTGTCGCACGAAAAGTACCCCTTTACCGGACATTTTGGCAACACGCATGCGGTCATTCCGACCTCTGAGTGGGGGGGCCGGGGCGCTATGTCAGAAATAACAAAGGCTAGATTCCCTTTATCAGTTTATCGAGCAATTGTGGCTCAGTTTTTATTTTGAATTCAAAATCAAATGGGAAAGAGCGGGGGGGGGGGGAAGGGGAGTACTCACATATTAAGACAAACAGGGGTGTGCCACTCTAATGGGTCACTTTTTCACGAAAAATCTCTAAACATGGTTCCGTTTTTTAGCAAAAATATCCCTAAACGAGGGTCCGGTTTTTCAAAAATTGTGAAAAATGGGCTTTTTACTTCCAGAAAAAGACGCTTAAAAATGGGTAGGGGTTCTGAGGCTTGCCGCTTGAGCGGCCACCCCGTCCAAACCAAATCTGGGGGGCCGGGGGGGGGGGGGGGGTCAGTGTCACAGGCAAATCCCCGCCAAAATATTTGAATTATAGAGTATTGTCGGGGCATGTTAACAAATTCTGAGAAAACGTTTTGATTGTATAAGATCTAATAAAACATTTTTGAAAACGTAATCTGAATCAGTGTTACGATATAAGAAGTTAAAAAAAACAAAAAACCCTATCAATTTCACATTTTCAACAAGTGTAATTTAGGATACTTCCTATGATAGATGTATACTGCCCTTTCCTCCGTCTAACCATTTCTTTTTCTCTTTGATTCTGTATTTTGTTCACATCTTCCTCGGTCATAATATATCCCCTCCCCCCTCTCTCCCCCTCTTTCCCTCCCCCTCTCCCTCTTCCCCCTCTCTCTCTCTCTTTCTCTCTCTCTCTCTCTCTCTCTCTCTCTTTCTTTCTCTTTCTTTCTCTTTCCTCCTCCTCTCTCCCCGCTATTTCTTTTCCGCTCTCTATTCCACTCTCTCATTACGTTTCTTTTACCTTGCCTACGAATTATTCCCCATCTCTCTCATGTCTGTATGTGTGTGTGTATGTTATATAATTATACATATATATATATATATATATATATATATTATATATACCCGGAAAAAATACCCGTACATATAGTTATACATACACTTTCATAAACTTTCATTTTCCAAGTTATTGATGAGGAAATATATTTAGGGAGCATGTATGATTTAAATTTGTCTTTAGGGTGATTAGAAGTTTATGATTTCTTTGTTAGTAAAGAGCAAATGGGCCCCCCCCCCCCTCCCCCCCCCCCCCCCCCCCCCACTCCGGGGTCGAAATGACCGCATGCGTGTTGCCAAAATGTCCGGTAAAGGGGTACTTTTCGTGCGACAAAGTCCGGCCCGAGAATTGTAAAAAAAAGGGGTGTATTTGACTTTTCACCCGGAGATTTCTTTAAAAAGGGGGTGTTTTTTCTTTTTTTCTCTCATTTCTTTGGACTCCTGAGAAATTATTCCGAATTTAGGGGGGGGGGTACATTGAGCATTTTTCCGAATTTAGGGGGGTCTCCAAGGCAGGAAAAGCCCGCAAAAAGCCCGCGAAAGGGGGGTTCGGAAAATTAATGTTGGCAGTCCTCAGATAGGGGGTGCTTTCAAAAAGAGGGAACGAGCATATGCGTACCCTAAATAACACTGAGTGGGGGGGGGGGGGGGCGGGCAAATGGGAGACCTCGCAAGATGCCTCAAAGAGTTGACAATTTGTGTCTCCTTGATGGCAACTTTAAAAATTCATAAGAGTCATGTTGGCGAGGTAACAATATTTTCTTGGACACGTAATACTGGGAAAGAATAACCTAGAATTGATCATCATATTCTGTTTACAAAGCGGACAGACAACACCGTTGGACAAAAGTCTCCATCATGTCTAGACAAAACTTTATTCAATAATACAATTGTAATGCAATAAACTTTTCAATGTGACAGATAACGTGACATTAATGTGACAGTTAACGTAGATAATATTGATATCAAACACTAAGATTGAGAATAGAACAAAATAAGTATAAAAACGTAGTGCCTCTCTATTGTTTACATTGAGTGATAAATATTTTACGATAGACTTTTAGATTATTTTTTGTATATACAGCGTCCTCAATATGAATAATCCCTTTGGAAATGAACATGTAATATGTGTCCTGCCAAAAGGAACCATGTTCATACCCAAACTTGTATTAAAGTATGATAATTTGAGAGAAGTACCCGTTACAATAAATGGCAATGATAGTCTGCTGAGAGCCAGAAGGACGTTAACTAAAAAAAGGTCTGCTTTAAGACAGAATTAAGCTCCTTCTGGCTTTTAGCATAATAGTCCTGACCTGATTAGCTTAACACGCAGCAGCAAGTAACTTCCAAAATTCGTCGTCGTATGCCTGAGCAGCAAAATGAGAGTTTATTTTGTTATGCGTCTTGTAACAACAAAAGTCTCCAAGCCCCTTGTTTCAATAATTGGAAAACACAGGTGTTTGTGTGTGTGGAATAACCAAATAGCATCATTTACTCTCCGCTAGAAAACTGCTAAATTGCTCCACAATTTCAACAGAATGGTTTGGATAATTTTTAGAAAATAGTTTTATAAAATTCTAAGTCTCTTTTACCCAGAGCTGCTGGTAAATATAGGCCTATAATGAAGATTTCTTTGAAACTTTTGAAATAATTGAAATGACATGAATTCAATGCGGAATCATGATACAAACCAATTCATAATATTATGTATAGATAAATACTTCAAAAATAGACATCCTTGTGAATAATGATTTAAAAACAAATTTATAAAGTGTTTTTGAGATTTTTCAAAGTTCATAATGAGTTCGTTTGCAGCGTTTGAAACGTTTTTCTAATGAGGATAGGTCTGATATTAACCCTTCTATTCTCAGAGTTGTTAGGTTCGACAGAGTTTAGAGATTGCTGAGGTGAGTAGAGTCGAGTGCCTCGTGTGAATGCACTCGAGCACTTTCGACGGGTCTTCCTCGACTGGAATGAGTAGAGCAGCATCTCGCGGTAGCTCCTCCCGCTGAACGCATAGAGGAAAGGGTTGAGTGCTGAGTTGGAGTAGGCGAGACAGAGCGAGAAGAAGGTGAAATGCATGAGATGGACGCTCTGCATGGCCTCGCCGTCGATCTGGAACGACGTCGCTAGGTTGATGGCGTGGATAGGTCCCCAGCAGACGCCGAAGAGGATGACGACCAGGAGCGTCATACGGGTGACCTTCCATCGCTTCTTGCGCTGTGCTTCCGAAGCCATACTAGCCAGGTAAAAGCTACTCCAGACAGTCCTCAGAATACGAAGGTAGCAGTAGGACATCACTATGAAGGGCAGGATATAGAGGATCAGCTTGGCATAGACTTGGTAGGCACGGAAAGCGTACAGCCACTTCTGTTGGTCACCTTGGCCGCCTGTACTGAAACCACGCGCACCGCAGAACTTGTCTCCCTGAACGGGGGCGCTGTGCTCTTCCATCAGTAACATGGCGGGGATGTGGAGAATGAAGGAAGCTAGAAGAAAAAACAAAAAGAAGAGAGAGAGGGAAAAAACTATTATAAACTTAGAGGATCGAGAAATCGACAACAACAAAATACAGAGGCTCAAGAAGACAATAATGCTGAAAGAAGGTATTCTATGTAGTGTGGTCTTATTGGGTTTAATGTAGGCACAACATAATAATCACCGGATTTCCTTTATTAATATCTTTCTCGTATGTACTTGGTTTGTATTCTAGCTTAGACGATCACTATTTTCAAGGGAACTTTTGGTACAACGCCATGAGGGTAGCTAAATTTTGAGAGGGCAATCTGGCATTATATTTGTCCTGCATGCACATCTATTTTCTGCCTTAATCTATCATCCCGTATTCCTATTCAAGTTATTGGCACATTCACTTGAACAGTCCCCCCACCCCCCCCCCCCCCCCCCCTCAAGAAGCTTCTGACGGTTATATAGGTTGTTTCAGTTGAACCGTGGTATCATTTCGTGGCGTCACTAATGTTAACGCATATCATTTTCAGAATTATACAATTAGCCCTTCCTCATCCATTGCAAAGAAAAACAGTTTATCCCTTTCTTCAAGTATTATTTGATATAATTCATTAAGAGATGATTTGATTATCCCACGGACGCCCTCAGCAACTCGTCTTTGATTCGAACGTCCTTGTACTTTTTAGGTGCTAGTTTACCACTCCCGGTCAGTGCCTCAACTGATAAATTTGAGATGGCGTAAATGAACGGCGAAAATAAGGGAATAAAGAGAAAATGAAAGAGAAAGAAAGGAAGATGAGGAAAAGAATTGTGAAAAGTACACGATAGAACCTCCTTTTTACCCCTCCCAATAATTATTGGTCTTGTTTATCATTCATCCTCACATTAACATCGGTGGTCCCCAATACTTCCAGTGGCCCCCCCCCCCCCCTGCCCCCCCCCCGCCCCACCCCCATCAATAGCTCGACCGATGCTAAGACACTGGTAAGGAAGCAGTCCGTTTGTGTTACGTGTATTTTCCCACACCAAGACGTGTCACTCTATCACGGTTTCAACTCCCTAAGCTTCACGCACCTATCCATATAACAAAGTTGATGGCATTAGCTCTGGTTACCGTCCTCGAATGGAGTGAGTGCATTGGGCGGAGGATGACGCGGTAGCGGTCCGCTGTCATGGCAACAAGAGTCGCACTCGATGCCTGCACAGTTACCTGGAATGGATGATCAAAAGAAAATAAAGATTGTGATGTAAAAAAAAAGAATGGGGATAATTAAGAAGGATGTGCTTCTCTCTTAGGGCACATAATCAAAACTTTCATTAATCAGAAATAACAAACCCTATATGAAGCAAGAATAAGAACACGATAATTAAAAGATTAAAGTTTTGTGTACAATATTCTGTCTTACTCATCCTCGCGTTACTTTCCTAAATATAGATTGTTTATATTGACATGACATTTATTTAATATGCATGTATGCATTTACAAAATATATATGAAACACGATGCTGAGTTGACAAAAAACAACATAATCATGTTGTATGATCCTATTATAGTGCATCTATGATTGAACTTTTCTTTAGGGAAATAAAAAATTCTGAAATATTTCGAGTACAGAGCAAATGGGAGGGAACCTCCCGAAATACGTCACAAACCTTCACTGACGTGTTTCTCTCATATTTCTGCTCCTATTAAAATCCACTTCATATCAGAGTGTACTTTCCATCTAAGTGCAGACATACATTTTCAAAGCAAAATTTTTTGTTCTCCCTCAAAGTTTGGACCCATTTTACAACACCCCCGCTTTCATATTTCCTCGTAAATGGTTGTTTCAGGCGTTGATTCCAGGGTGAGAACCCTCACCTGTTACCAAAGGGATTTGAAATGATTCTCGATGATGCAGGAAGGAATGTCGATGAACAGAGTAAGAGTGTTTCCGACAAACGTGCTTAGCAAACCAAAACCATCTCTTCCCTCCCTCTTCCAGACATATTAATCATGCAACAAGCATTCTGACCTCATTTGCGAGGGGTAAGGACCTCAGATGGACACCACACATTTTGACCTGCATAATTATAAAGCCACTGGGATATTTGAAATGGAATTGGGATAGACGCTGTCTGGCTTTGTGAAAACGTCATTCGCGTTCAGGCTTATCTCCGACGGCATCAAGAGAAACAAATTTCCCAATAAGACGAAAGGACACCCAGACTTCGAAAATCAAGTTAGTTTTAAGCAGCGACGAGATGAAAAGAATACATAGGTCATAAAGATCTCAGATCTTTCATGACTCTCCAGATCGAATTCATTTGACAAATTCAAAAGAAATAGCATTATGCTATTACTGTTTTTTCCTCGTTAGGTAAAGTCCATCAAAACCATATTTTTTTTGCATACCGTGGGGCCATCGCTTATATTAAAAAATATATATACGTTAGCACCTTAAATCCTGGATTTAGAAAAAGGGTGGTGGGGTTAGACATTAATGTCGGCTTTTGTTCTTTAATTTCCCATTTTCTTCCCCATTTCCCTCTTTTTTGGTACTTTTAGATCCATTTTCGTTCTTGTAATGGGGGTGGGGAGAGTGGGGGCAGCTGCCTCTTGCCCCCTTTGCTACATGCACCGCTTACATCATAGACGGTTTTCTTCAAATTGGAATTGAAATTGGCCTTCAGGTATTCCCAATGGTAATCACGCCAACCTCATCTTCGTCTTCTTGACTGGCCTCTACGTGCGATACGACCCCGCTGGCTTCCTCCGTCGATCTTCTCCCAACTCTTTCGCGCCTCGTTCACGGCAATTAGATCAGATTCCATCGCCATTTTGTTTAAAGTCAGAAGGGCGCTATAACTCCGTGTTAATGTACCTGATTTAATTAACTCCCTTCTGGCTCCAAACAGATGCTTTCTTTCTAAGAAAGTGGCAATCAGTCGAGGTCGATTTCAGCTTTACAGCTTGAGGTGGCATCCAATCGTGTCTAATATGTCTTGCCTTTCAAACGTCCCATGTCTCAGATTTTACCCGTGAATGATCATGATTTTATCTGGGCATACTGAATCAGTGTTTCTCTTCCAATTGGCAATAGAAACAAGACTTTTGTTTTCATTTTTTGTTTCCCCGATCGAAGTATATGTACCTATTGTAATGAATGATATAGGGAAGTCAAAATAGTTTGCAAAGTACACAAAGCATATTAGGTAAATGGTTTTCATTCAGTGACGGGTCTAAAATTTATAGATTCCTGTGCATGATTTTGCCTAAAAACGCTTCATTGAACCATGCAATGCTAAATGCTCCATTAAACAAATCATACTATACACGTAAACGCTGTTGGAATATATTATACATGTATAGGCCTATATCACTTATATGCCTATCAAGTTTATATTACTGCAATATTATATTGATATCTTGACCTTAATACGTAAATCGAAGATTGTGTTTTATATGCAAGTTGTCATTTGAGAAGTTTGATGAAATAAACATCCGAATTGAACAACAAATACCGCGGGATTTACTCTATGCTGAAAGATGATCTTTCTGCCTTACTTAAAGGTAAAGACCAGTATTGGAAACGCCCCAATTTCAAAAAAATGAAATGGAAGCTCTCATTACCAATCATGTGAAAGAATATGTTTTGACTAATACATGATGATAACAAATTTGCCGGGAAACCGCCTACTAATTCATATATTTGGTAAATTTGTTTCTCTCATTGTCTGTGAGAGATATAGGGTAGTCCCATATACATCTTTCTGTGTATAGTGCTTGTAACTTTACGAAGAATGGGCCAAATTTCTTATCATTTTGATGATTCCAGAACCTTGCAGATGCTAGATGCTAGATGATCAACCTTTTCTGATCGATTCCACAACGTTTCTTTCACAATGCAATCGCATGACCATAACTGGTCTTTACCTTTAATGTGAATTCATTTTTCACAAGCAGTTTAGATAGCTGCTTGCGCAATGCAGTTCTTCCGTTTTCACTCAAAAAGCTAAACAGTATCTTTAACCACAAAAGTGGGAAGCTCTATCCGCTATAATGACGTCACTGCTCGGTAAACGCAATTTGTTTTCATGTATTTGAGGAATACCATAGCTGAACGCTGAGATAACAAGGTAATGAAGTATTGATCTTCATTTTTTTTTTACAAAGAGTGATTTTAATATAGAAAACTGCATTCCCCCTGCTCCGGACTACCGTGCGGTTTTATGCATTCACCCAACACTGCCAAAGCTATCGATAAAAACTATTATGAATTCATTGTTTATCTAAGGTAATTATATCAAAGATTTAAACATTAATTCAAGCATCCTTCATTCGGCATTTCGATTTGCAAAATGAGCAAACTGTGAGGACAATATTAAATGTTTATAACGGCTGACTTTTCAAATATGTTTTCTTCATCTATTTATTGTCTACCTATGCACCGTGCGGTAACAAGTATTGTAGAATTATCCATCCCCTAAACACTTCTCATTCGAATTGAATCAGTTAACCTGATTGAAAGAGTAATTTACCTTAAACATGTTGAAACATGTTGAATCAAAGGCTTCGAGCGACAAGACAAGATTTTTGTTTCTTAAAAAGGATTTGTTTATCACACTCTCATATCCTTGAAAGTCAGATGGAAAAGTGTGACGTATTTTTTAAGGCAAGACACGATTTCTGCGTCCTTGAAATCTAACTATTAGTGAATTTCCTTTAAACAAAAATCGTCTTGATCATTCTCAAGCGATTGTTTGTTGTTCTCAATATTTCACAGTCATTAAAAATCTGTGTAAAAACGCTCAAGAGGGGAATTTCAATCCTGTAAATTGCACACACTTGGAACACATTACTGAAATGATATTAGTTGTAAACATAATCCTTTCCCCTCAAGTGTAACATGTAGGCGCTATAGTCATTATATTGCAAGTTAACCTGAAAACACATCTTGCAAATTGATCTAATTACGTTATCGCCACAGGCGCTAAATTCAATTTAAGAAATCCCACTTACTTGTTCCCGATTAGGTGTTTAATACATGATATGTACAGTAGCATTCGCTGCGATGTTAATTATCTCGGTTTAATGCAGCAAATGTAATATTGAATCATCATGGAATGTCAAAACCTGCAATATATCCACTTGTTCATTTATTAAAGGTTTATAAAACTCTTGCACGCTTTGACAAAATATGACCTGAAGCATTTGTCACCGGAGCAAACTTCGGTTCACAACATTTATACCGTCCTCATTCTTGGTTAAATGTTAAATGCTGTCACGAAATCTATCCAAATTTCCACTTAATAAGTATGTCAAAAAACCCTCAAACGTATTAGGTTTCATTTTGTGTAATGAGATCGTACAGAAATAACGCAAAACGAATTAAATTAATACATTTGTAAAATAAGTGTGTTTGACATAAAGCCTATACACCACTGGTCGTCTACTGGACGAGTAAGAAAGTATAACGATGATAGGCCTATCTTTATTTTACCCTTTCCCTTTGAAAGCAAGCATATGTTTGTAAAGGTAAGCGACAGATTGACCTATGGCTTTAAATTTCTACAGAATATGATTTTGACTGCAAAAGGGATACACTACCTTTGAAGGGTCTTCCAATTGTTACTTTGTATTTTTCTTTTTCTTTTTCATTTTTTCAACACTCCGATATGAAATTGTTCAGCGATGTCGCTGATACTCTACAGTCTACACACATGTTTAAACACGTTCTTTATTCCTTTCCCGAAAGAAAGAAAGAAAAATCGATCAATACGTCACGAATAAAAACCTTCAAGTGTATAAAGTCAATAAAAAAAGTCTTAAATTCCATTGGAAAGTCACTGACATTTACAACAGTGAAGCATATGAAGTGCATTCTGTGCAGAAAAATGGAAAACAAGGAAAAGTGGTTTCATTTCATGTATGGAAGATGAGAGAAATTAAAAGGAAAAAGACAGAGTGCAGTGCCTTATCAGTGCCCTCTACATAAAGCCAACAATAGTTGACAACTAATTAATAAATGGAATTTACCAACAGTAGAGAGAGAGGGGGGTGGGAGAGATAAAGAGACAGACAGACAGACAGAGAGAGGGAGAGAGAGAGAAACAGACAGAGAGAGAGAGGGAGAGAGAAACAGACAGAGAGATAGGAAGAGAGAGAGAGAGAGAGAGAGGGAGAGAGAGAAACAGAGAGAGGAAGAGGGAGAGAGATAGAGGGA